ATGACTTACCCCCCAAAGCATTCTAAAGTCGACTCGACTTAAGCACATAAAAGGAAGCTAAGATTTGCCTTTTCAAACCAGAAGATTGAAAGTCACAAAAAAGCACAAAATCAGAAGCTGAAAAATCACCCACACAAAGCAAAATAAAGCCCACCTTGATTTAAGCATATAAAAGGAGGCTCAAATTCGCTTTTCAAGAAGAAGATTGAATATTACAAAATAGCCCAAAATCAAAAGCTCACGACTCACCCTCCCAAACCAATCTAAACCCAACCTAGACTTAAGCACATAAAAGGAGGTTCAAATGCCCCTTTTTAAAGCAGAAGATTGAACATCACAAAAAAGCTCAGAATCAGAAGCTCACAGGTCACCCACCCAAAGCAATCTAAAGTCCACTTAGACTTAAGCACATAAAAAGAGGCTCAGATTTGCCTTTTTTAAGCAGAAGATTGAAAATCACAAAAAAGCTCAAAATCAGAAGCTCACAGTTCACCCACCCAAAGCAATCTAAAGAAGAACCTGATTGAAGAGTATAAAAGGAGGCTCAGATTCGTCTTTTTCAAGCAGAAGATTGAACATCAAAAAAGAGCTCAAAATTAGAAGCCCAAGGGTAACCCACACAAAGCAAACTAAAGCCCACCTTGATTTAAGCATATAAAAGGAGGCCCAAATTCGTTTTTCAAGCAGAAGATTGAATATCACAAAATAGCTCAAAATCAAAAGCTCACGACTCACCCCCCAAAGTAATTTAAAGCCGACATAGACTTAAACACATACATTAGACTAAACACATAAAAGGAGGCTCAGGTTCGCCTTTTTAAAGCAGTAGATGAACTCACAAAAACGCTTTTCAAAAATCAGAAGCTCAAGAGTCACACAACACAAAGCAAACTAAAAGGGCCGCACCTTGATTTTAAACTATGAAAGGTATGCTCAAATTTTGCTTTTAAGGCAGGAAGATTGAATATCACAAAATAGCTTCAAAATTCAGGAAGCTCACTAACTCACCCCCCAAGCCAATCTAAATCGACTTAGACTTAAGCACATAAGAGGCCTCAGATTTGACTTTTTTAAAGCAGAAAGATGAACAACACAAAAAAGCTCAAAATCAGAAAAGCTCACAGGTCACCCATTAAAGCAATCTAAAGCCGACCCTTGATTTTAAGCGTATAAAAGCCAGACTCAGCATTCGCCCTTTTCATCAGAAGATTGAATAATCACAAAAGAGCTCAAAATCAGATGCTTACGGGGTCACTGAACAAAGTAAACTAAGAGCCAGCCCTGCTTTAAGGCGTGTAAAAGGAGTCTCAGATTTTCGGCTTTTTCAAGCAGAAGAGATGAACATCAAAAAAGGAGCTCCAAAATCCAGAAGCTCAAGGGTTCACCCAGACAAAGCAAAAACTAAAGCCCACTTGAATTTAGCATATAAAAGGGAAGGCCCAAATATCGCCGGATTTTTTTCATGCAGAAGATCTGAATATACAAATAGCTCCAAAATTCAGAAGCTCACGCACTCACCCCCCAAAGGCAATTTAAAGCCGCGATAGACTTAAAACACATAAAAGGAGGCTCAGGTTCGCCTTTTTAAAGCAGGAAAATAGATTGAAACATCACAAAAAAGCTCATAATCAAAGCTTCAAGGAGTCACACACACAAAGCAAACTAAAGCGCACCTTGATTAAAATATTGAAAGGATGCTTCAAATTCGCTTTTTCAAGAGAAGATGGAATATCACAAATAGCTCAAAAATCAGAAGCCTCACTACTTCACCCCCCAAGGCAATCTAAAGTCGACTCAGGACTTAAGCACAATAAAGGAGGCTCAGATTTGACTTTTTAAAGCAAGAAGATTGAACATCACAAAAAAAAAGCTCAAAATCAGAAGCTCACAGGTCACCCACTTAAAGCAATCTAAAGCCGACCCTGATTTAAGCGTATAAAAGCAGACTCAGATTCGCCCTTTTCATGCAGAAGATTGAATATCACAAAAGAGCTCAAAATCAGATGCTTACGGGTCACTGAACCAAAGTAAACTAGAGCCAGCCCTGCTTTAAGCGTGTAAAAGGAGTCTCAGATTCGGCTTTTTCAAGCAGAAGATTGAACATCAAAAAAGAGCTCAAAATCAGAAGCTCAAGGGTCACCCAGACAAAGCAAAACAAAGCAAACTAAAGCCCACCTTGATTTAAGCATATAAAAGGAGACCCAAATTCGCTTTTCAAGCAGAAGATTGAATATCACAAAATAGCTCAAAATCAGAAGTTCGCGACTCACCCCCCAAAGCAATTGAAAGCCGACATAGACTTAAACACATAAAAGGAGGCTCAGGTTCGCCTTTTTAAAGCAGAAGATTGAACATCACAAAAAAGCTCAAAATCAGAAGCTCAAGAGTCACACACAAAGCAAGCTAAAGCGCACCTTGATTTAAACATATGAAAGGATGCTCAAATTCGCTTTTCAAGCAGAAGATTGAATATCACAAAATAGCTCAAAATCAGAAGCTCAAATCCAGAAGCGCTCACTTACTCACCCCCAAAAGCAATCTAAGTCGACTTAGGACTTAAGCAAATAAAAAGGAGGGCCTCATATTTTACTTTTTTTTTAAAGCAGAAGATTGAACAATCACAAAAAAGCTTCAAAATCAGAGCTCACAGGTCACCCACTTTAAAGGCAATTCTACAAGCCGACCCTGATTTAAGCGTTTATAAAAGCGACTCAGATTCGCCCTCTATTCATGCAGAAGATCGAATATCACAAAAAAGCTCAAAAATCAGATGCTTACGGGTCACCGAACAAAGTAAACTAGAGCCGGCCTTGCTTTAAAAGCGTGTAAAGGAAAAGGAGTCTCAGATTCGGCTTTTTCAAGCAGAAGATTGAACATCACAAAAGAGCTCAAAATCAGAAGCTCAAGAGTCACCCACACAAAGCAAACTAAAGCCCATCTTAATTTAAGCATATAAAAGGAGGCTCAAATTCGCTTTTCGAGCAGAAGATTGAATATCACAAATACTTCAAAATGGAAAAAATACTTCAAAGCAAAAAGAAAAAAAAGCAAAATTTTGACTTACCTTTTCTGTTAAATCCCTCTACCCCTCCCTTGCTCTCCTCTTAAAAATCAAGCAAAGAAAGAAAAAGAAATCGAAAAAGAAAGAAGAGAAAAACGGAAAAACAAAGAAAAAGAAAGAAAAAAGAAAATTAGAAATCGAGCAAACAAAATACAGACAAAAGAAAAGAAAATAATAGAAGAAAAAACGAAAAAGAAAAAGAAAAAGAAAGAAAAAGAAGAGAAACGAAAAAGAAAGAAATAAGAAAATTTAAAAAATTTAAAAAAAAAAAAAAAACAAAAAGAAAACGTGGCAAAAACGAAACAGCTATGAAATCCCGCTCCCTCGCCCTTACTCTACCCTGAAAAATCAAGCGAAGAAAGAAAAAGAAATCGAAAAAGAAAGACGAGAAAACCAAAAAAACAAAGAAAAAGAAAGAAATAAGAAAATAAGAAATCGAGCAAACAAAATACAGACAAAAGAAAAAAAAAATAATAGAAAGAAGAAAGAAAAACGAAAAAGAAAGAAAAAGAAGAAACGAAACTCACTTGCCTCGCTGAGTAAAGAAGAAAGAAACGCAGGAAATAAGAGAAACGAAAAAGAAAGAAATAAGAAAATTAAAAAAATTAAAAAGAAAAAAAAAAGAAAACGTGGCAAAAACGAAATAGCTGGCTGATTAAATGAACGGCCACGCGTCGCACACGTCAGAAAAAAAAAAGTAAAAAACACGCAAAAACCACACCACTGAGCCTCGAATCCGCGTCCCTTGCACGCACACATAGCGCACCGACCAACCCATCCACAAATAACTGTTGACAAAATTGCCACAAATTACCTACATAAACTATTTTGCTAAAGAGTGCAGTGAACACTTCTTACCCCAACATCCTTTAGTGTTTTATAATTACCAATTAAATAATAAGAAGTTTCATTAAAATTTAATATTCATATAAGATTCCATGATGCTAATTTGGACCGCATTGATACTCTTCTATCATTTTTCATTATCTATGATGTTAGAAGAATCTGTTTATGGACCTTGTTTGTCTATGTTGAAAGGAATGCCAAGTACTTCTTGTTTAAACAATACACACCCTTTATTCTTTCATTTGATCTAATTCCCAAAATTATTTTTATAAAACAAAATAAATACACTCTACTACACTTCTTGATTAAAAATTAAACAGAAATTTTTTTAGTATTCTCTATTTATTTATATATTTGATGTATATTTTTGTTTTCTATAAAAATAAAAGGAAAATTAAGTAATTATGCTATTTCCCATTCAATTATTATTTGATTCATCCAAAGAATTCTCATCAAATCTAAATAAACCCTAATAACTTTTGCCTTGTTCGGTAATATTGGCAGGAGTAGAAGTTGTTTCTTCTATCTTCAAATATTCTATTTGAAAAGGCATTGTATGATTTGAACTGAGATATAATTTATGAGAACTTAGTGTTTAATAATTTTTATAATTCAAGAAGATACCTCCCAAGCTACATACCGATAATGTCTATATTTGTACCGTGATAATGAGCTGAACTTGCTTGTCTTATTCAATGAGAAACCTTCAATGTAGAGACCCAAAGAGCATCTTATACTATATATTTGTCTTTGCATGCTCATTAGCATAATTCCAGGCTATGTTTAAAATTTTATTATTAAGGGTTTGTTCTGCAAAATTATTAAATATTTTGGTAGTTTTAACTGTTCATTGTTTGTTATTTAGGTAGTTTTTTTATTTATTTTTTAATAAAACGTTAAAAGCTAAATGAGTCAATTGTTTTATAAAACGCTACCTCTAAAAGCTAGTTCAAACGCCGTATTACTAGACACTGTAAAAATTAGAATTTAGGTCAAAATGTTAAAAGCCACTTAAATAATAAATAGTGATAGTTGAGGGACTGAAACGTAGTTTTTCAAAATTAAGGGGTGCAAAATATATACAAAAAGAAAATTTCCCTACTAGTTTGTGGCTTGCTACCATCATTATAATGAACTTCCAAATAAAACATGCCAAAAAGAGATTTCCAAGAAAAAATAAAAAATTTCTTAGCTAAGGATTTGTGTATATATACAATAGACGATATCTATATTTGTGTACATAGAAAATTGCATAGCATAACACAATGGCAGGAGAAGTGAAGCTTTTGAAATCATGGTCAAGCCCATTTGCTTTAAGGATTGTGTGGGCACTGAAGCTAAAGGGCATCCAATATGACTCTATAGATGAAGACATGACCAACAAGAGCCCTTTACTTCTTCAATACAACCCTGTTCACAAAAAGATTCCAGTTTTTGTTCACAATGGAAAACCTATTGCAGAGTCATTTGTAATTCTTGAATATATTGATGAGATGTGGAAGCACTATCCCTTATTGCCTCAAGATCCCCACAAGAGAGCCACTGCCCGTTTCTTGGCCAAATTTGGTGATGAAAAGGTAAACCAATCAATCTTACTCCATCTACAAATAAATTCGAAGTAGATAATTTATCTACAAATGGTAAAACTTAGTTCGTTAATATTGAATTTCATAAAATTGAATTTATAAAAGTAACCACCATAGACGAGGCTTCCAAACTTTTTGTAGTGAAAACTTCTCCATAATTTTTAGGTCATGAAATCATTATGGGCAATATCAATAACCAAAGGAAAGGAGCAAGAAGAAGCTTCAGCGAAAGCCACTGAGAACCTGAAATACTTGGAGGAAGCATTGACAGGAAAGAGATTCTTCGGCGGAGAAAAGATTGGATTCCTTGATATTGCACTGGGTTGGCTTGCCAACGTGGTCCCTGTAGTAGAAGAGATAGTTGGTTTTAAAGTAATAGATAAACAAGGATTTCCATTGTTATCAACATGGATGCAAGAGTTTAAGAGTACTCCTGAAATCAAAGAAAGCTTGCCTCCTCATGACAAGCTAGTCACCAGGTTCCACACCTATATCGCCAGGAAATGAACCTATTTATTGCAGGCCTAAGAATTAACAAGCTGTTAGATCATTTCCAACTCATCAGAAACAAATTCAACTACCATTATAAATGTTTTCCAATGTCTATTGAGTGAACTTGAAATAATATTAGCTCAAAAAAGGGAGAAAAGTGAAACAATATTAGCTAGCTTGATTTCAATCATCGCTATACCTTGTGTAAATCCGGCGATTATTCAATTGGATAATTCTATAAATCGCAAGGCCACAAATTACTGAAGCAGATGATTATACAATTGGATAAAAGGCATCTGCACATAATATTTGTGTGCATATTATACAAGACTTTCACTAACGCAGTCAAGCAATACAACAGAAGATACAAAATAATAATACAGAATGCTTTCCAAAATTTAAGCAAACAAGTCTCAGCCAAAGCATTTGTAACTCTTTCCCACTCTTTCCCCATTGGTACATCCTAATAGTTAAAACTTGAGATTTCTATCAGAAAGTCTTAGGTCCGAATCTTGGCGAGAGGAGAGGAGTTCATGGGAAAGTAGAGAGATACTCTCTATCACATAACTCATTTAGATTCCGATGTACCAGAAAAAAAAAAGCATTTGTAATCCTAGAAGACTGTGCAACAAAGAACAAAGTTTTAACGAAGACCAAGGATCAAAGGATACCAAACTGTTTCACACATATGGAATTTTACTCGAACATTCTAATTTTGTCTACCTTACCATAATTCGAAAACTTATTTGCAATTATACTAAAACTCAATTGATCATTGATTAATGCAAAACTATGTTGAATTCGCAAGATTGATTATCCCTTTTTCTTATGAACTAGTGGCTAGGAAGTTAAACAAACTGTACTTGCTATCTGAAGCATAGAACAGCCATTTTTTGTCGTTGATAGCATATATTCTTTGCAACAAAAGAAGCTTCTGCTAGTGTTATATGGATATAAATACTATTAATTGCAAAGCTTGACTAGTCAATTTCCTGTGAAAAGCAGGTCTTATAAAGTTCGGTGTTGCTAACAGTGGCAAAGAAGCAACTGTTCTTCATAATATTCATTATTGCATTCTAGATCCAGAAGTTGATTACATGTTCAAAGGAAAATTATCCAATCCAAGTTTACCTCTTAAACATACTCAAACTTACCGAGAAATGTGTACCTGAGATTATGCTGTTTGAAGATAGGAATGGCCCGTAAAGATAGCACATTATTCAGTTGTTTAAACAACTCCTTTCAAAACTCCAAAAGAGATGACAAATGAATTTTACCAGACATCATGATTGTCATAAAACTTGCAATCCGTTTTGTGGATGCTCAGTTTCCTACCTGCAGATAAGGTACAAAATATTGTATTCATCAACAGTCATCAGAAGAGAAATTAAAAAGGGGAACAAATTTAAGAGTCATGCTAACCTTCTAACACCAATGTTAATGCATTGTGTTGTCAAAGATATCCAACCGTCTAGGTAATTAGTTCAACTCAACTTATTCCTGATCTAAATGTTGTTGGATAAATATATCTTTTTTTTCTCCATTTCACCAGGTTGAGGGTCATATTAATAGAAGGATCTACTTGTTACTAAAATCTTCTTCACTGCTTAATGGCAAGTTGATCCTTGCCCACACTTTTCTTCTTCATTCTTGTAACTTGGTTGTTCTCAACCTTCCTAATTAATGCATTTGTTCGTGTATAGAACATGGCCAAACAATCTTCATCATCCATCACTCAACTTATCTACCAAAAGAAAAAGTGAAATATGAAGAATCTCATCACCAATGATCTCCACAGCTACATGTCCCATCTTGAAATATATGAAATCGATTGGCATCTCTTACTAAGATTTCTCTTTTGACAATCTTTGATATGTGCTTGGTCCAAGTATGACAATCCCCACAAACACGAAGGTTTTTCAATATTTGTAAGGAAGTCCCTGGTTCTGTATTTAACAAACCGAATGCTATAGCAAGCCTTTCACTGTGGCCATAAAGCAAGTCCATCTTTTCATCCTCCTCAACGTCATGCAAAGCATATTGCAAATCAGCGACATAACCTTCTTTTGCAATCAAATTATTGAGTACCCCTAACAAGTTCTTAACCTCTTCATACTGCTGAAAGAACTTATCTCCAGTCGCAAAAGCATATACCCTGTTTTTAATTTCAATCCAACTGCATCCAGGATCCTTTTTCAGGCCTCTAGCCTTGATGGATTTCCGTATCATTCTGACTTCATCCCACCTCCCCAAAGCTGCATAAACATTTGATGCCAAAATATAATATCCAGGATCATCAGAATCCAATTGAACAATATGCTGTGAGATACGTTCTGCAACCTTTAGATCTCCACTTGCTCGACAAGCACTTAGTAAAGCTCCCCATATACTTGCATCTGGCTTCAGTGGCATGGAACTGATAAATTCTTCTGCTTTAGATAACTTTCCAGACCGTGATATAAGATCAACTACACATGCGTAATGTTCAATTCTTGGCTCAATGCTATAATCTTTCTTCATGCGATAAAAGCAAGACAGACCCTCTTCTACTAAACCTGAATGACTACAAGCATAGATGACTGCAACAAAAGCAACATGATCAGGAATGATCCCAGCTGCTTCCATCTCCTCAAAAGCTCTCAAAGCTTTCTTTCCTCCACCATACATCCCATATGCAGAGATCAATGCAGTCCATGTCACCACATCTTTTGTTTTCATATGCTCAAATACTCTGACAGAGTACATTAAATTGCCACATTTGGAGTACATTTCAATCAATGCATTCCCAACTGGAACAGCCAACTCAAATCCAAACTTGAAACAACATGCATGAACCTCTTTCCCTTGCCTCTTAGTAGCTATTAGGGAACAGATGGGCAATATACCTAACATGGTAGCCTTATCTGGCAACACTTCATTCCTCATTCGGTTAATCATTCTAAATCCTAAACTACAATCTTCAGCATGGACACATGCTGCAATTACGGTATTCCATGTCACTCTATCGCGAACTCTCATGTTCTCAAAAACTTTAAGAGAGTCATCCATTTTGCCACATTTAGCATACATATCTACTAAAGCATTCCCAACAATTAAATCTGAATCAAATCCTAATTTAGCCAAGTTGCAATGGAGTTCTTCACCAAGTTCCATCTCTCTCAATCGAGTAGACAGAGACAGGAGTGTTATATAAGTAATAGAGTCAGGTTTCAATTCCAACATCATTTTCTTAAAGAGCTTCACCCCTTCACTATAGCTTCCAGTTTGGACATAGGCATTGATTAATGTATTCCATGACACAGAATCCCTATATTTCATTGTGTCAAAGACTTTCCTTGCAGCTATTAAATCACTACACTTAGCATATGTATCAATAAGAATATTACTTGCTGTGACATCACATTCAAAACCACTTCTTGTCATGTAATCATGAACAAACTTCCCAAATTCCAACTCCTGTAAGAGACCACAAGCACGAAGAATAGATGTGACTGTCAACAAATCTGGCCTACACCTCCTTAACATCTCAATAAACAACTCAATAGACTCCTCAAACAACTCCATTTGACAATATCCACAAATCAAAGTGTTCCAACTGACAGGGTCCTTAACAACCATCTCATTAAAAACTCTTCGAGCATCCATGAATCTACCAAATTTAAAATACATAGAAAGAAGTCCATTACTTAATATAACATCAGCGTTAATACCAAGCTTTTCAACTAATCCATGAACCACCTCGCCGTCTGTTACGGCAAGCAAGCCACCACAAGCAGGCAAGACAGTTGAAATAGTAAAAGAATCAGGTTTCAACCCAGAAATTCTCAACTGATGATAAATTTCTAAAGCCTCCTCCAAGTACCCATTAGCACTGTAACCTGAAATCAAGCTATTCCAAGACACAACATCCTTATGAGGCATTCCATCAAATACATTACGTGCTCTAATCAAATCACCAAATCTCGCATACATATCTACTAAAGCATTTCCTATAAACAAGTCAAATCCAAATCCGACTTGCAAAACATGATGATGAACAACAAGACCCATTTCAAAATCCCCTGATGCAGCACAAGCATTGATCACAGAAGGAAATGTGTATGTATCGGGCTTAAGATTCATTACTCGCATTTTGGAGTAAAAGTCAAGAGCTTTTGAGAAAAACCCATTGTTGGTAAGTGCTCTAATGATTGAATTCCACTGATAAACGTTAGTAGCAGGTGAAATTTGGTGAAAGACTTGAAGAGAAGAAATGGGGTCTTTGAAGTAGGCATATTTTGTTATGAGTTTGCCAGAGAAGAAGGCAGATCTTTCAAAGCCTGATGTGATTAAAAGAGAGTGGATTTTGTGGAGCTGCTTGGTGTTTAAAGCAGAAGATAAAGCTTTTGTTAGAGAAGAATGGAGGAGTTCTTTTGTTGGTCCAAGTAGGATGGGCAGCTTCGCAGTTTTCATGAGGCAGGTCTCGCAGAACTAAACTTGAGAGTCCTTTGCTTATTATTATTATGTTTTTTTTTTTTTTTGGATTCCAACAGAAATGACATTGGCTGGTTTGATTCAAACAGAATAGATTTACATATTTAAAAAAAAAAAAAATTGAAGGAAATATCAGAACGTTCAGGGCTTATAAAACCAAACAAACTTAATTGACAATTTAAATTAAATTTTATTACTTTAACCCTGGTAATTTCAACTTTATACATAAACTCTCAACTTATATAATTATATTTATTAAACTATTCAATTTATAAATTATTTTATTAAATACTTTAATATGTAAAATTAATCAATTAATATAAAAATTATTATTGTAGAAATTTTACTAACGGCATATCAAATCGATAATTTACTTATAAAAGTAAAAAAAATTTAAAAATTATTGATATTAGTATGGTAAAGTGTATAATGTTATTAAAATTTATAAATTTAAATGAACGATAGATCATCTATAAAATTTACATTTGTAAAAGGTTAAAGTTTCAAGAATTTAATTACTTAATGGAGGTGAAAAGAGATTGGATTCATATTCATGGTAAAAAATTTCAGAATGATGGAATTCTAATAGGAATTTCAATTTAGTAATTTAGAATGAAATTTTAAATTAAAAAATAGAATGAAATTATAAATTTCAAAATGATTCAAAACAAAATCCGAACATCCATTCCATGTTGATAAAATGATATGCATGCACCAAGTATATTTACATTTTATTTGATTTCTTTTAATTTTCTACAACTGTTTCTATCTATTGTATTAAAATATTTTGAACTTTACGAATTTTTATAATTTCACCATATTTTTGACATTTTTAATGTTACTTTAATTTCGATCTCTTGTCGATTGCAATTGGGGATGATAATATTTAAAATAAAAAATTTTCTATCCTTTATTAGAATATTACCTCAAAGGATCAAATTATCTTTTTTTTTTTTCACTTAATGTTATTATCTTGTAACCACAAAAATTTGTAAAACTGGCTAATTAATTTTTTTTTAATGATATTAGAATATAATTGTAAGATCCTAATGTAAGACACATAGCTTTTAATTATAATTTAACTCGCCTAGTACCTTATTATTAGAGAACTTGAAAAAAATTAGTAATAAAAATAAAATGTTAATTAAATATCCTATAAATATCAAAATTACATTTACGTATATATGATATTTGAGATATATGAAATTAGAATAATTAAGATGTTATTTATTGATTTTTATTAATGAATAATAATTAAACTATATTATTAATGCAAAAAATTACAACAATTAAGATTATTTCATTCTAAAATATAAATAATATGAAAACAAAATACGTAGTTAAAAAAAAATTTATTTTATTAATTTTATCAATTGCTTGCTGTGGCTGCTCGAACGATTTGATGTTTGTCTTCGTTAAGCTCGGGATTGTGCGCATTCAAAAAATGACACATCATTTACACATAGACATACATGAAAAGCAAAAAAAAAAAAAAAAGGAAGACTGAAAAATAGATTTGAATATGAAACGAATTACAATATTCCATGTCGTTAAATTACTCGAAAAGACAATAACACTCAGTAGAAATTTTGTTTATTTTAACAAACAGAAACACAACCCTGCTTCAATTCCATGCATAAACACATTAACCTCTAACATTAATGCTGAGTGCAATCAGTTGGTTTAAACGACACCGTCTTCTCTTCAAGATCGTAGCCAATCAAGAAATTCATCTGCGACAAATTCCCATATATTGCACCAGACTCAATTGAACCGAAAGCGAGGCAAACAACGCCGTCAGAAACCTGAACAAACGTATTCAAAGGATTGAGCTTCACATCTGCACCGCTAAAATGAACTGTAAGCGTAGGAAGACTGACTTCAGATATAGAACTATAACAAAGGCTAAGAATTCCATTTGGGTCATCCACTCGTGTCCCCTTGACAACATCATCAATTGCCGATGACAGTTCTGAGAAGAAATCTGGTGGGACTAATGTCAATGTAGTTCCAGAGTCTATGATTATGTTTCCTTCAGTAGTTCCAAATGAAGAACCCTCAAACTCTATTCTTTTATTTCCAACACTTATTGCTTCTAGTGTAAGAAAATAGAAGGTGTCAGGATTTTTGGATACTAACGGCGTAGATACCACTCCTTGACCTGAAACGACTCCGTTCTGTCCGAAATTAATCTTGCTTGAAGTTCCAGTTGTAGATGAGATTGGAACCAAACAGTAAGAGAATTTTCCATCAATCTGGGAACCCAGTTGAGAAATAAGAGAAACGGATCCGCCTCCAAGGCCAATAATACCTGAATCTTTTTTGTTAAAAGTTCCAGCATTATCATGTCCACAACCAAAAATAGATCTAGGAAGTGCAACGGAACGACCTGTCGTTGAACCTAAAGTTATAGTATCAGCAGCAACATTTCCATTAGTGTAAGACTTATCTCCATAGGAATATGAATAGTGACAAGTACCATTGCGGGAGCAACTTGATTCTTCACCGAGGAGTTTACATGAGCTCGAACTGCAAGATAAGTCTCTATATGTAGAGGAACTTTCTGGGTTAAACAAAGGAGCGTCTTGTTCATAACACTCTTCACAAGGCTCACACTGAGTCCATATCAGGTCACTTCCTGTATCAGCGATGGCCAAAATTTCAAAAGCAGGAGTTCCAATTGAAATTCTCATAAGATATTCACCTTGAGCCGAGATCAGTTCGGACTGAGCACTCGTGGTGGAGATTGTTTGGGTAAATCGATGAACACGACTCATTGATCGATGAAGAGCATTAGCTAATCTTTGAGTATCAGTTTCATCTGGGTTGTAGAAAGGAGAACTTACAGAATCTCTATTGATTAGTTCTACACTGAAACCACCTTTAGAGGAAGCATCAATGGAGGAGATAATAGAAGAGAGAACCAGTGTAAAAATGGCTAAAACAATAGAGGGTGTCATGACTGAGGTGATGTAAATCTTCAACTCTTAGGTTTTGTATATATAACAGATGAAATGTAATTAAAGAAAAAGACTAGAAGTGGTAATTAGCAGCAATTAAAGGGATTTGTATATTATGCATGTATAAGCATTTATGAAGATGAATGAGCGTTGAGATGTTTATTTCTATTTTTATCAAATTACCATAATTGTTTCGTTTTATGAAGATTTTGTTTTTAAGGGAATATATATTCTTTGGTGTATTGATTTCCTTTACTAATTTGTTTTTAAAATTTTCATATATACTGAATATTACTTTTTTTTTTTTTATATCATACTCATTAATTGGAAAATTTTGTTTTAATTAGTCTTCCAAGTTTTTTTTTTTTTTTTGCTCCAAATGTGAACGGTAGAATAAAATGAATCCCCACAGATTTTGCTTGCTCACTTTTATTGAAATCCATATTTAATAAATTCAAGAGTGATTTGGTTGATAGAATACAATAATGACAGTGAAATTGATTTATATATTATCGAATAACTCTATATAATTAAAAACTTTAATTTCATGGAGATAAAAATCGAATTCATAGTTATTTTAATGAGATAATAATTTTAATTTAATGACTATATATTTAATTAAAGAAGACAATTGTTTTTTTTTTTTTTTTTAATCAATTTTAATTTAATGACTATATATTTAATTAAAGAAGACATTGTTTTTTTTTTTTTTTTTTATCGTAACGTTTCTTCCAGCTTGTTTTGTTCTTCTTCCTCGTTTTGGGTATTGCATTTGTAGAGAAGCAAATTTTGTTTTTGATTGTTTATCCAATAAATCATTGTAGATGAGTCCAGGTTTTCATTTTATGCATTCCTTCTGCTATAGTTTCTCAGCTGTTGGAGGGTGATCGATCTGGTGCTTTTTGGCTTAGAACAATTGTTTGATGTTGGGTTTCATTAATACCCTCCTTGAAGTTAATAAATCGTTTAAAAAATAAATCATTTAATATTTTTAATTAATTTTCAATATTACAATCGGTGGAAAATATTTTATATAAAAAATATGTTTCAGCAAATTATTTTTTATAAGTTGTTTTAGGAAAATAAACAGAGGGTGAGATTTGTTAGTTTCGTTTTTTTTTTTTTTTCCATATTTTAAATTTTATCTACTGCTGCACTATTTTTCTATCCCCAGTTGCTTAGAAAAAAAGAAAAAGAAAAAAAAAAAGTTAAGTAAACTTGTGTTTCCTTCTCCTTTTACATGTTGCATTGTCATTCATTTCTTATACTAAAGTTTCAAGATATAATTAATATTCATAACCTTATATTGTAGGACTATTGTGTTAAAGTCAAAACCTATATATATATATCTTTTAATTTATATATATATTATATATATATATATATATATATGTCGTAATAACAAAAATATTGTAAATAATTGAATCTAACATTTATTTGAAGATTTTTTTTTTTTTAATTTTTAGCCCTTTTGTTTTATTTTAATCTTTTTTTTTCCGATCCCAATAAGTATTTATAATTAGTGCATGAAGTATGAAATCTTTTATTATACAATACAATGCAACGCAAACTAGAAGTAATGCAATAATTATAACCCATAATAAATATTATTTTATAAAAATAGGCTTAGCTCTCTTTTACACTAAGAAAATATAATTAAATTATAATTTTTATTTAAAATTAATATTCCACCTGTCCTATAATATATGTATAGTTCAATATTTTTCTATAACTATCTATATTTATATACATATTAAAACTGAAACGAAAAAAAAAATATTAAATTCGCTCTTTTTTTATTAGTACTCTATTCTTCTTTTTTCTTTTTTCTATTTTTTTATTATTTTAATGTAATTTTGTTCTATGGGACAGAGAGTGTATGTAATTTGCACTTTTGGCTAAAAACTTGTTTTTTTTTTTTTTTTCATAGAAGTAGCTGTTTTATTTAAATAATTTTTTTTATACCCAAAACTTGAATTAAAACTAATTATGTGTGTTTTAGTTGGTTTTTTCACATATGAGGAGTAGAATGTCTGAGTTAGAGTCATTTTAATTATAATAATGGTTTTTACCAATTTTGTGTTTTAAAAGAGACTATAAAATGTTTACTAATCAATAGTGAACCTTCCAATTAAAAAAAATAAAATGTAGAAATAATTATTTAATATGTGTCACCATATAAAAAGTATGGTGAATTTATTAACCCTTTTTCTTATAATTTTTTAATGTATGTAACGTATATTTATTTAAATTAATTCATAAAATTTAATTTATTTATATTTTGACTCTTTTTTCAGAAAAATATACATTGACCTCGAAAAAGAAATATTTTTAGGTTTCGCCACTGAATATGCGTATGGACATTCCATCCCATGAACTAATAATCTTTCTTTTCTTTTTTTCTAAGTTAAAGAAAAGTAAAATTGTTCAATGGGAGACTCAAGTGCATGCATATGGCAGCGTTGATTTCTGAGTATAGAGTCTTGAATTTTTTTTTTTTTTTTTTAAATTTCCTAATTTGACTTTGAGTTGGGTCGACTCAACCTGCCAAGTGGAATAACGAAATTTTTTTTTTTCCTTTTTTGACAGCTGCTTGTTAACCATGCAACTCGGACCACCGATAAGATTCTAAGGCTACCAAGGTAATATACACAAGGGCATTTGGGTTATTAACCATTTGAATTGACTAATTTTTTGGTAACCATCTCAACTGAGTATACATCAATTAATCAAAACTCAAAAAGAAAAAGAGTTTTAATAGTAAATGATAATCTATCAAACCAAAATTATGAGTATTTTACAATTACATGAACTAGAACCAGAACGGGGTTCCAGAACAATTCACTCCATAATCTGTTATATATCTACGCGAAGCTTCAGCAACTGCAACTGCTCATCGAAAAATGATGTTGAGCATGATAGCCTAATCGGACCTTCTATTTTCGAATCGAAATCCTCTTCCTCCGATCCGATTATCAGCTCTTGAAATGACTGGATTGCGAGGAACTTGATCGGAATTTCATATCGTTTAGCCTCTTCTCCGACATACGCTGTTACGCAGCCCCTCCGAGCTCGCCGTGGAGATTTCGCAACATTATTATTCTCGCCGTCACCATTACCGTCCGCGGCTTCTGCTAGACTCCGGTAAGAGATTTTGTTCGAACCTTTGTGGCTTAATTTCCTGACGACTGAACGGAATTTTTGCAATACGTTCCTTCTTGGTGAAGTCATGATTTTCGATCTCTTTTGTTAGGATATTGATGAGGTTTTTGATCAGAGAGAAAGCGGCGGTGACTAACAGGGAGAAAAAGGGTAGAGCTGAGAGAGAGAGAGAGAGAGAGAGAGAGTTTTGAATTTTGATTGAAAAACAATAAGAGAATCTTAATCCAAATTAGTGGTGATAGGCTAGTTTAGTGATGTTAAAACGGAACTTAAATTATGGAATCAGTTAGAATCTGAACGGGCCCGCCCAACGGAGAATGGAATCAACAAAATATTGGTTTCGTTCTAAAATTGAGCGTCATATCTTTCTTAAAAAGGAGAACTAAAAGAATAGAAGTCAGAATGTCATATCATCTATGAGAATGTGACCATTAGCAATAATATTGTGTACTATAAAAAAAAAAAAAAATTAGCCAAACAAAACTTTAGACTAACATTATTATTTTGAATTGGTACAAGCTCATTAAGACACTACAAATTTCTTCACAAAAAAAAAAAAAAAAAAAAATACAAATTTCTTCACAAAAACAAAAAAAAAAAAAAAAGATTTAAAAAAAAAAAAAAAAAAAAAAGATTTTAGTTATTTTCAAATATTTAAGTAATTTTATAAAAAAAATGAAAATTTTATTTTTCTCTGTTATTTTCTCTCTAAATTGTATTTCGTTCAACTGTATTATCAATTAAAAAGAAAAAGTTAGAATATATAAGAATAATAAAGGAAGAGCTTCTTAAAAAAAAAATAAATAAAGGAAGAGCTGTCTAAGGGATGCTTAATTTTAAATTTGTTTTTTAATCTTCTTTTTTTATCAATTTGTGCAAAAACCGGTTATAGAGGAAGCCGCACATGAAGTAAACATATGGCTCATCCTCAGCTTTTCCTCGTAATTCTTGAAGCTGAATGCATGATTCTCTTGGAAGCTAGAATTTTCTTTCTAAGTTTGAGTTTGAAAAGAAAGAGAGAGAAGGGAAACAGGAAAAGAAAGATTAACTGAGGGAGTAGAAAATACTAGCCAGAACTTTTCTTTTCTTTTCTTTTCTTTTCTTTTTTTTAATAATTTCACATGTAAAATTCTTGATCGATATTGCTTATTCTGTTACAAGAAACATGATATAATTGAAACAAACAGGAATCTACCTATCCATCCAGTTAATATTTACTGCAATCAGTTGGCTTGAAAGATATAATTCCTTCTTTAAGATCATAACCTACTAAAAAGTTCATCTGTTGCCAATTACCAATAATAGCTTCCTTCCCAGAACTAGGAGCAAAAGCAAAACAAACAACGTCTTGGGTGACTCTTATAAATGTATTTCCAGTGCCTAATTCAACATTCCCACCTCTAAGATTTATTGTGATTATAGGAGGATTAAACTCAGGTGTGTACAGATAGCAAAGAGGCAGTCTTGGAGTATCATCTTCTTCCATAGGCTTCTGATTAATAGCTTTTATAACCTCTTGTTGTAGCAAATCATAGGCATCGCTTGGCAAGTATGTTAACATTGTCCCTGTATCAATATAGGCTCCATTTATTTCACCAATAGTTACAGTACTCTTGTTTCCTACAGTAATTCCTTCGAGAATAACACTGTAACTGCCTATACCGATGTTTTGGATCAATGGTGTAGAAACTGCACCATCACCTTCAACCACACCTTTCCACCCAAAATCGATTTTGCTAGACTGGTTAGAAGAGTAAGGTACTAGACAGTAAGCAAATTTTCCATCTATCAGATGATCCATTTGGGATATTAAAGAAAGTGACCCATGTCCAAGACCGACAAAACCAATTCCTGGAAAGTCACTGGAAATGTTATTTCCGCAGATAAAATTAATATTGGGAAGGGAAAGTGTAGTATTAATGGAGCTCAAGGTGATTGTGTCTGTAGCAAGGTCTCCATTTGGACAAGAAACTTGGTCTGCAGAATCACATGAGAAATGACAGTTGTTTGATATGCAAGCGACTCCGTTATTTTTTTGACACTCATTGGACTTACAAAATACATAATTGAAAGTTGAGGATTTAGAAGGATCAATCATTCTACCTGTGCAGTTTTTACATATTGGTATAGATGATAAACATGGTATCCATATAAAATCACTTTCAGAAGCTATATAGACTAGAATTTCAGTACCTGGAGTACCAAGTGATATTTTCATTAGATAATCACCATTAAAGAAGATTAATGGAGATTGAACTATTTTATTTGGGTCATTAAACTGATTGACTCTGTTAAAAGAACGTTGCATAGCTTTAGCTAAGCGACTAACGGTAGTTTCTGAAGGGTTGAAGAATGGATAACTTGGTGAATCCCTGTGAATAAGTTCAGTGCTGAAACTAAAATTTACCGCTTGAACAAATGAAATTGAGAGAGAAAATAGGAAAGGAGAAAGGAAAAATGCTACAATGAGTTCCATAACTATATGGTAGTTAATGTGACTGGAGAATTGCATTAATATGTGTATATATATAGGAAAATATTTCGTATTAGAGGATATCTGATCCAGAAATGAAGCTAACGTGAAACAAATATCAGCATAATTAAAGGTCACATGAAGAAAGAGAGAACCTTAAATACTTGAGATGCAGTTAGAATTTTACAAGCGAACATAACTTGTTCACTTAATTTTTATATAATAATAATAATAATAATAATAATAGACCTTGGCCTTAGGGTTGGTGGAGAAAATTTAACACGTTGGATTGTTTGATCTCATCTTTAGCACACATTGCTTTTTTTCACATTAAAAGAAATAAGAATAATTTTGCAGATGTATTGACTAAAAAAAGAGTTTGTTAGTAGGGTGACTTTTTGGCTTGGTTATAAAAAAATTTATATTTAGTTTATTTCAACTATTTATTCTCTTATTTCAAGAGAAATAATAATTATCCTTTATGAAATTTATACTATTTTGGTTCTAGGTTTTTTTACCTAACATTTTTTAGTTAGGTTGAATTGTTTACGGTGAACTTATTGGCTCGGGTTTTTACATATGAAAATACTAATATATCCATGATGAAATACTAATATATATATATTATATATAATATATATATATTTATTTTATTTGAATTAGTAAAAGGGTTGAATTTTTTTGTTGCAACCAAAATAAGCATTGAATTAATTTTCAATGTCAAAAAAAACAAAAAAAAAAAAAAAAAAGCATGATTAAAGGTGTCAGCCGAAAAGAATGACGAGCAGAAATTCTGAAATTCAGTTTGCTATTTTATTCTTCCCTCTTCACCATCTTAGCTAGGCTATCATCCACCATCTAAAAATTTGTAAGATTAGAATAGTAAACTTAGCTTATTTTTATTTTTATTTTTCTTTTTGCAAATAACTATATTACGGAAAAAAAAAAATATAGTTGATATCAAATTTCTTAGTTAGCCACTTCCTCCTCCAGAGAAGACAAAAAATATACTCGGTGAAAGATTTCAAGAGTATCATTCATATCCAAGCTAATTATTTTAATAGTTAAAAGAGAAGAAGACTGATAATTAATAATAAGAAGAAATGCAAGAAACACTTTTCTTGGTAGTTTGCTGCAAATTCTGAGTATCAATTTTTGTATGGTTCACCAACATGATCACAGTTAAAAAAAAAAAAAAAAAAAAAAAAAAAAAAAAAAAAAAAAAAAAAAAAAAAAAAAAAATCATTTTCCAAATACTAAGGTGTTTACAATACCTAGAACTGATAACCCTAATTTATTATCATTTGCACCACTAACATATATGTTATCAGACAAAAACAAGGAGACATAGTAGAACTGGTCAATAGTTGGAGCAGTCAGTTCTCTTGAAAGATACCCTCTTTCTATTCAGTTCATAGCCAATCAAGAAGTTCATTTGTTGCCAATTCCCATATACTGCAATGTCATCATCTGTCGGAGCAAAAGCAAAGCAAACAACACCTTCAGACACCCTTATGAACGTGTTCAAAGAATCCAACTCCACACTCGCATTGGCAAAATGCATTGTAATAACCGGAATTCTGAAATGGGTTGCAGCCCTATAACAAAGACCCAGTTGTTGTGTAGGATCACGAACAGGATTCAAGTCGATGGATTCTCTCACTCTCGATTCCAATCGATCATAAAACCTGTACGGCAAGTATGTGATTGTAGTTCCTATATCAAGAATAATATTCCCATCTCCCGATGAGACACATTTCTTGCAATATGTTAACCTATGGTTGTTTACACTAACTGCTTCTAATGTCAGGTAATAATAAGTGTCTGAGTCTCCTGAAGCTAGCTTGCAACGAGAAACTTCAGAACCTGAAACCACACTTCTACGGCCAAAATGCATTCTACTTGCAGCGTTAGAAAAGTAAGGCACTAAACAGTATGAAAATCTACCATGAATTGAATCTTTCATACGAGAAATCAGTGAAACTCTTCCCCGTCCAAGGCCAATTACACCAGCATCGTAAAAGTTGCCACTGCTATAAGTTCCACAGCCAATTGTAGTTCTAGAAAAAGTAACATGGTCACCTTCTGTAGTATCAATGGCGACGGTTTCCTTTGCAAGATCTCCTTCTATATGACAGTCATCTCCGTAAGAATACGAGTAATGACAAACGTGGGATTCGCAAGATCGGTGACGACGATGGAGGGACTTGCATGGACGAGAATCACAAGAAAGAGTTCTGTAACTTGAGGAAAATCTAGTATCGAAGAGAGCATTTCTCTGGTTCACACAACCGAAACAAGGCCTACATTGTATCCATACAAGATCACTGCATGTATCTACAGTGGCTAGAACTTCGACTGGGGGTGTTCCAATTGCTAATCTCATGAGATAATCTCCATAATCGTTGGTTAAAGCAGAACGAGCCCAGTGTGGTGAAACTGGTCTACGTCTTAAATGATTGAGACGATTAGCAGAGCGTTTCAATGCATTCTTTAAGCTGTGAAAAAGAGTTTCTGAGGGATTGTAGTAAGGAGAATCTGATGAGTGTCTATGGATGAGTCTGACAGAAAAATCATGATCATCGTCATCTCGAGCAAGAACAGAAGCAAAGATTAAAAGAGTCAATAGAAAGGAGCAAAGGGTCTTGTGTGTTGCAGAGACTGCCATGTTGATTTGAGAGAATTAATTGTGTATATGATTAGGCCAAGGTTTGGGATGATAAGAAAATATGAAATATGGGAAAGAATATAAAGGAAAAATTTTCTTCTCACAATTGTTGGATGATGCAGAATGAATCTTGAGTGACAGAGAAGAAGAAGGCATCAATATAGGACCCTTGAGAACTCACTTCCAGAATATCGCAGTAAATTTTTCTTCTTATTTTACTTTATTTCTGGGTTGTTTTAGCTACACTTTCTCAGTAAATACTCCCTCCGTCTGTGTATATATAGTCTTGATCCCGTTTTCTTTTTAGAAGTGGATAATTTACTTATTTTTCTACTTTATAAGAGCACATTAGTAGCTTTCAAAAAAAAAAAAAAAAAAAAAAAAAAAAAAAAAAAAAAAAAAGGCACATTATGAGGAAAAACAAAGTAAAGAATAATATGGTATGGAGGGAGCATCATTAATAATTCTGTTGCTAAAATGGATATTCTATAAAAAATTAAAAATTTGTCGACAAGCATCGTAATGCCAATAACAACCGACTACCATTAAACAAGGAAAGCTAGATTTTTGTGAGTACTTAAAAAAAAAAAAAAAAAAAAAAAAAAAAAAGCTCCTATAGGAATTGATAGGAAAAAAAAAAAAAAAAAAAAAAAAAAAAAAAAAGCTCCTATAGGAATTATAGGAAAGAAACTTGAAGGGAAATGTGAATTGAGAGTATAAGTAGGGCTTGTCAATATTTCTCAAAATCAGTTGGCTTTTAAAAGCTCAATAACCTCTTAAAGCCAGATGTACCTTTTAAAAGTATAGATGCAAAAAAAAGTAGATATGTCATTTTCGAAACAGTCTTCAAAATTATTCAATAGTTTATCATGCAATAAGGACTTCGTATTAGAACTTCTAAACATTCTGAAATAATGCTTTTGTTTATCCACAAATTGACTTTGCTGGACCAGTTAACCAACCTGGAAGTTAAGATGCCCGGTAATGTCCAAGGTCAACTCCTCCATCTTTATTATTGCCAAAGATGCCATCGTTACTATTTGCACACCTTATTATGGTTTTAGGAAGAGATGAGCTTGCCGATTGAACACCAATTGTACCAGCTTTTTCAACAAATAATCCCATCCATTCGAAGAAGATTTAGTTCAACGTTCAACTTACACAATATTGAAGATTTGAGGGTAGCTAGGGACCATACAATCACTGACGTTTGTAATGAATAATAATTTAGACGTGCTCAAAATACAATTTTACTGTGACAGTCAATTTAATCTCTATATAAGGAGGAAAAATAAAAATACTCCAGCTGCAAAACATGTCCTCAATAGAGAGTCAAGAGATCATGTTGGTGGGTGTCTATCTCGTAACACAGTCATCATAAAGTCACCTCATTGCCTCGCTCACGTGCAATTGAAGCCGATAGAATACCAAGATCACGATTCAAGAATGTCAATGCGGACTCGCACTCTGAAATTATCCTTATAACAGATGAGGGTTCACCAGCTATTGTTTCAGATGATCCAACAGCAAGAGCTGCGTGTGAGTCTCTAAGGTTCCTCAAGTTCCCTAGAAACTGTAACAGAAGCAAAACATATATAAATTCCCAGAATAACAGATATGTAATTATCAGAATGCCAGTTTTAGTACGTAAATCAAATATATGGAACAAACAAATGAGACATTCAAAAATAAGTTAGACTTAAAAGTCACTGAAGTGGGCTAATTATTCAGGCCTTTTCATTGGGAGCCAAACCAGAGTTATTAAATCTGAGCCTGCCTACTCGGTTAGATACTAGTCTGTGCTTCAAGTTGGAACACTATTGCAATCCACCTGATGAATCTGCTAGGTTTTACTGAAATCCAGTTGTTTCACCTAAATTGGATTGGTTAGCATCAATATATTCAAGTTTCAAACTAAAATGATATAATGTAGTATTATATCAGGGGCATATCAGTATGTCTAGGCTCACAAAGTGCTAATATAATTAAGAAAGTAGCACCAAGACAATGCCATACAATGATTTAAGAACCCACACTTAGAAATAGATATCCAACAACATACCTTCAACAGCATCTTGTATGCCTCCAACAATCGATTAGCAGCTGGTCCAAAACCATGAAGCTGCGGTACCTCCATCATATGGGTCCATGGGCGAATTTCCTTCAAAAGAAAAATTATAATCAAAATGTAAAAGGTATCAGCTTGGACTCATACCACAATAAAGTTTGACAAAAAGATATTTGAGCATCAATTGCAATGATGAATTTTTCTAACAAGAAATGTACGTTATTCATCATAGGATTAAGCTCTTTATTTTTATGTGATAAGAAACAAGAAAAAGACAGACAGATCAAATATCATAATAAGAGAATAAAATCCTTTGTTTGTATAGGTTTAAGTAAAGCAGAGGAGAGATAAAGTCGCAGAGAAATGCTAACCTTGGTGTAAATCAAATTGAATTGTCTTGCAGTTTCTAGAAAAGATTCCAAATGTGCCCGCAATTGGGATTCCACCTCTGTATAGTCTTCATCTGGATTATAAGCATGCTAGAGAAAAGTATAAAAGTTCACATAATTAACAGAAAGGAGGAAAAAGGAAAGTAAAACTACATAACAACATGATGACAATGGGTGTACCATATAATTTAGTTATGCTGCCAAAAATAAAAATGGAGCTATTCTACAAGAGAAGAAAATTGATGTCCAGTGAAAGATTGATTTGAAAAAGTTGTGAAGTTTAATTTCAATGTTTGAGGGAACAGGTAAGGAACTAAGATAAACCTTTGATGCCAAATCATCAACTTTCTGCTGAAGATTCAAGAGAATCTTTGATTGTTCCGCAAGTTTTGTTTCCAGTTCGGATACATCAGGCCTGCAAATGTACTTTGATGAAAGAAACAAAATGTTACTACATCTCATGGCATGGAAAGTTAATAATCCTCTGATAATATCTGGTACCATAAAAATTGGACATTTATAAGCTACATGGATGCCCAAAATTCCTAGATAACTATGGACATTCCTCAAATTGAATCCTAAACCTTGTCCAGATTATCAGGTTGGGTAAGCTTAAATAGATAGTGCTTCAGGAACAAAACATACATGGCTTTACGTTATTTGAAACAAAGGGAGAACAGAAAAAGTGAAGTCTAACCAAGTATAAATCTTACAATGGATATATAGACTGAATCTGCACATCTGCCGGGAACAACTTGCATTCCTCTGAGAAAATTACAGCTTGTTTCTCTGCGATAGAATCTATCAGTTGTATGTCTTTTGCTACCTGTTCATCTACACTGCATAAGGAAGCAAATTAAATGTTACAGCAAAGAATGGAATGTGATCTGAAACCAACAACTAATTGAAACATTTAAGCCAATAGAGAAAATTAAACTCAACCTCCATTCTGGATTATCAGCATAGATGCAAGCCTCCACAAGATCCACCATTAGGCGAAGCATTTCAGTACGATCCTCATAGCTCCCTCGCCCCTGGACCAAAAAACATTTCACGCTCTCAAACTAAATCCTCTAAAGTGGCAATCCACATTAAAGGGGCAAAACCATCTAAGGGTAGAGTTTACATTTCTACTCAACCATTGACATATCAATAATTCCACTTACCAAGTTGGAATCTATATAGTCAATTTTGCGCTCATAAATTGTATAAATAATGGTGCTAATACAATTACAAATGTTCACTAGGGCATAACTCCGTCAAATTCTAAATGACAAGAAAAACAAAAAGGTACTTCCACAGTATAAAAAAGGTTTTGAAAATAAATAGCTGCCAAATCTGCAATGAATCACTTAATCATGTCAAATTCCAATGGTGCTAATACAATTACAAATGTTCACTAGGGCATAACTCCGTCAAATTCTAAATGACAAGAAAAACAAAAAGGTACTTCCACAGTATAAAAAAGGTTTTGAAAATAAATAGCTGCCAAATCTGCAATGAATCACTTAATCATGTCAAATTCCAATGGTGCTAATACAATTACAAATGTTCACTAGGGCATAACTCCGTCAAATTCTAAATGACAAGAAAAACAAAAAGGTACTTCCACAGTATAAAAAAGGTTTTGAAAATAAATAGCTGCCAAATCTGCAATGAATCACTTAATCATGTCAAATTCCAATGGTGCTAATACAATTACAAATGTTCACTAGGGCATAACTCCGTCAAATTCTAAATGACAAGAAAAACAAAAAGGTACTTCCACAGTATAAAAAAGGTTTTGAAAATAAATAGCTGCCAAATCTGCAATGAATCACTTAATCATGTCAAATTCCAATGGTGCTAATACAATTACAAATGTTCACTAGGGCATAACTCCGTCAAATTCTAAATGACAAGAAAAACAAAAAGGTACTTCCACAGTATAAAAAAGGTTTTGAAAATAAATAGCTGCCAAATCTGCAATGAATCACTTAATCATGTCAAATTCCAATGGTGCTAATACAATTACAAATGTTCACCAGGGAATAACTCCATCAAATTCTAAATGACAAGGAAAACAAAAAGGTGCTTCCACAGTATAAAAATAAATGTTTTGAACATAAATTGCTGCCACAAAATTTCCAAAATTAAATCAATATGAACTTGAAACTATATTTGCTATTTCTTTTCCTCAGTTTTAAATGCAAGTAAAAAGATGTTTAATGTACAATTGAAAATAAGGATGCCACTTCTGTTAAATTAAAACAAATTAAAGTAAGAAATGCAATGAAACTAAGAGTAAAAGACTTACATTGAATACGAGCAGTCTCTTCATCACGATCCATTGCATCTCCTTGCAGATTTTGCTGTGAGAATGGTGATTTATCGCCTAGTAGCCTGCAATGTACAATCTATTATATAGATTTCCACATTTTCTTCCACGCTCTCTCAGCAACCAATCAAAAAAATCATCTTAAACTGTAATAAACAAGATGAACTGACTATGAAATTAGCAAACAAGATCTACTATTAGAGAGAGACACTAACTTGAAGAAAAGCCACTCGAGGAGAGCGTAACGCTCCATGCCGGCGAAGAGAAGAGACTGCGCCGGAGCGTTAGCTCGAGGATAATTCAATACCGTTAGCTTTCTCTGTATCTCTTCCATTTGCTTCGCTGCCATTTCTCCTCTCTCCTACCTTATGATCTTTGATTTTGATCTTCTGCGTTTTGAATGAAAAACCAAAGCAGATACTGTTACTTCGAAGTTCGATCGTTCTCTTCTCTTTTCAATTTTAGCTCAAAGATCTTTTTATTATCCAAGTAAATTTTAGTTACGAGGGTTGGGCTTGTCGATACACCACAAAATGGGCCGTGTCTGGTCTTCTGGTTTCTTTTCATATGTTGGGCCCGAAATATGTTGAGGCCCAATAATGATTGGGTTTTGATCCTTCTGTCGTTTAAGTTCAAGGAAAAGGAAATCTTTTCAGTTCTTCATAAACGACAACACAGATTTTCTCTGTCGTCTATGAACTGTAGGAGGAACAGTTTTTACCGTTGTCTAAAAAAATCACCCCTTGTTGTCTTCTACAAAAACTACAGTTTCAGAGTGGCAAGTAAATTAGAGCAACCCACGGTTGCATCCGAATGCTATAAATGTCAATCCGAATTGTAAACTAGAGTAGTTAAGAAATGGAGGCCAAAGTTTTCCTTTCCAAGAGACGAGTTGACAAAAACAAGTGCGCTCTTGAAGTGTCAGTGAACCAGTGGGTCAACAAATGAAAATAGAGTACAAGTACGAAGACAAGAAGACGCCAGATTCAAGAATTTTGTTTCTGAGGTCGTCTACTGGAGATACTAAAGAAGAGTTGAGACTCATACTTTTGTGATTTAAAAGCAATTATTAAGAAAAAAGGAAAATAGAAAACGTAACGGTCACCATTTGGTTTCCGAAAGAGCTCCTAAATTCTTTACCTAAAAGGTTTTGGAAAGATCCCTTTGAAGCAAAGATTGACGAGCTGCTTTTGTCGCCAAAAAAATCTACTCGAGGTAGTGTGCTTCATATCTTCCTGTCTTTTGGATTTGCAGGGCCTCGCTCTCTCCCCCATATATCACTGGAAAGATGCTCTCTTTGAATATCACCCTAGCCTCTCCTGTCACTTTCTCTAAATCCAACTACCACAAATACCCCATAAATGCTTATCCTTCTTCTTCTTCTTCTTCTTTACTAAATCCAAGTCTTATTAATAGGACTCAAAATCAAATTGCTTTCTTTCAGAAACCCAACTCTCAAATTACTGCATTGAGCACTAAGGTCTCTGACTTCGGCCAAATCCATGGCTACCCAGTTGGCCTTTCTTCAACGTTCACTACTCAGATCTGTGAATCAAACAGAGTCCACAAGTACCCATCTGGACTTTTCTCAAAACCCAGATCCTATATCGCTAAAGCAGCTGCATCTGAATCTGAATCAAGCCCTGAAGAAGAAGCTAGTTTGGATTCACAGCCTAAAGATAAAACTTTCCAACTTGCTATTGTTTTCGGTCTTTGGTACTTCCAGAATATTGTTTTTAACATTTACAATAAAAAAGCATTGAATGTTTTTCCATATCCATGGTTTCTTGCTTCTTTCCAGCTCTTTGTGGGGTCTATTTGGATGTTTATTTTATGGTCATTGAAGTTGCAACCATGCCCTAAGATTTCAAAGCCATTCATTATTGCTCTTCTTGGACCTGCACTATTTCACACTATTGGTCATATATCAGCCTGTGTGTCATTCTCTAAAGTTGCTGTTTCTTTCACTCATGTTATCAAATCATCAGAGCCTGTTTTCTCTGTTATATTCTCTTCATTACTCGGTGATACTTACCCTTTAAAAATCTGGCTTTCAATCCTTCCTATTGTTCTTGGTTGTTCCCTTGCTGCCATAACTGAAGTGTCCTTCAATTTCCAAGGCTTGTGGGGTGCTTTGATTAGTAATGTTGGTTTTGTATTTAGGAACATCTACTCAAAAAAGAGTCTGCAGAGCTTCAAGGAAGTTAATGGACTTAACTTGTATGGTTGGATTAGTATAATATCATTAATTTATTTGTTTCCTGTTGCGGTTGTTGTTGAAGGGTCTCAGTGGGTTCAAGGGTACCACAAGGCTATTGAAACCGTTGGCAAATCATCAACATTTTATTTTTGGGTGTTGCTTTCTGGTGTCTTTTATCATCTCTATAATCAATCCTCTTACCAGGCACTTGATGACATTAGCCCTTTAACCTTCTCGGTTGGCAACACAATGAAGAGGGTGGCGGTGATTGTGTCTACTATTTTGGTGTTTAGGAATCCAGTTAGGCCTTTGAATGCAGTTGGATCGGCCATTGCCATACTGGGGACTTTCCTATACTCTCAGGCATCTGCTAAGAAAACCAACAAAACTGAAGGTGAAAAGAAGAGTTAGACAGATATAGATGGACCATTTTGGATCTTGATAGTCTTAGGCTTAAATAACTCTTGCATTCCCCTTTGTTTACTTTGTTACAGTTGGGATGTTTCATTGTTATTCTTAATTTTACAATCCTTGCTTCCTTTTTCCAATTTTCTCCATGATGTGTAGCTTATCATTCACTGTTTCTTTTAAGCTTTTTTTTCCATGTGCCCTGCATATTTTCTTTGGAATTGAGAGAGGACTAAGAAATTTTGTAGCAGTTTACAGTTTGTTGTTTTCGTCTACTAGTGGTAATTGACTGGTAAACTGTTGGTTACAGCAGGTATCCATTTAAAGAGTTTGCCAGATAAAGTGGCAAAACATTATTTTTTCTTATTATATTGTTTAGGTATATACTTGCATGTTGGCGGAAAATCATAGTATATGGCTTCTTTTAGCTGCGGTTCTTTTTTAACTTTTAGCTATATCAGTAAGCGTTCTCAAATCCTAAATTGAGTCTTAGTTTTGAAATTTAACATTGCTACTGATCTTTTGTTGATGGAACACTTGTATAAAGTGACTAAATGTTTGGTTATATAATCCTTTGTATTTCTAGTGCCTCTGTCCTATATATCATGAACTTGGTCTGATATTAACTTCTTAAAGACTAATTTCCATTATTTGAGAACATAGCTCAGGTTTAAATGCCTTTTCAATTCAGCTTCATCCAGCTTATTTATGTTTTTCCTGTTGGGGTGAACAGTTTTGTCCAAAAATTTGGAACTAATATTAGTGTTTTCATTTGGCTTTGAGGGTACTTAATCTATATATAAATGGGGCCTTTTTCAATTTCAAGGCTTCATCCAGTTTATTATGTTTTTCCTGTCGGTGGGAAACAGTGTTTTGTCAAAAAAAATTTGGGAGAACTAATATAGTGTTTTCATTTGGCTTTGAGGGTACTTTAATCTATATATATATATAATATATTAATATATATATATATATATATATAATATATATTATATATATATAATATATTATATATATATATATAGCAAAACCTTGAAACCAAACCTAAAGCATGTGCTATACAGGTAAGAAAATAGGATCTGCTACTGATGCAAAGGTTCTATGAGATTGATTTCTTTACTGCCATTTTCAGCTTTTAAGACATTTAGATTTGTTTTTCTATATCATATTGTTGGTTTGGTGGTTTCAAGGGTGACATATTCCAAAGATGGACTTCCAAAAAAAAAAGCAGTTTATTTAAAGCAAGTTTACCCATTTTGTTTTTTTTTTTTTTCAAGATTCTTAAATTGTTATTTTCCAATTTATGAGTTTTATTGTGGATGATATTGTTATTTCCAATGGTCTTTGATTCTTCTCTTCTCAAGTTTAGGGTTCAAGATTTAGGATAGGATATAGCAAAACCTTGAAACACCTAAAGCAGTGCTGATACAGGTAGAAAATAGATTCTTGCTACTGATGCAAAGTTCTATGAGATTGATTCTTTACTGCATTCAGCTTTTAAGACATTAGATTTGTTTTTCTATATCATATTGTTGGTGTGGTTTCAAGGGTGACATATTCAAGATGACTCCAAAAAAAAAGCAGTTATTAAAGCAGTTTACCCATTTGTCAAGATTCTTAATTGTTATTTCCAATTTTATGAGTTTATTTGATGATATGTTATTTCCAATGGTGCTTTGATCTTCTCTCTCAAGTTTAGGGTTCAAGATTTAGATAGGATGGAGTCAATAAGTCATGGTTTTGCAATCCAATGATGCTACATTCCATATTCTAATTTGAGTTTTTCAAATTTTGTGAAATTTATTTGAATTTTTTTTATTATATTATGTAATATGGAAGAAAATGTTCCATTTAGCTCCTCTGGTTCAATTTTATATTTCAATATTGAGAGTTTAAGAGTGAAAAATAAATAAAATAAATGACAATGTAATCAAAAAAGGAGGAGAATTCAAAGTAGGTTTGAGTATTTAGGTTTGATCAGATCAAATTAAATTGAATGATGTCTGATTAAAACAACTAAACATTGAAGATGTAAAATCGAATTAAGTTGAACCAAATAAATATGGAGAATTTAAAAATGGAATTAAAATGTTTTAATTGTACTGATAGAAAATCGAACCGAACTAAATAATTGAATTCACAATTTGTATCTTCCTAAACAACCGATTTAGCTGAAAAATCAAAGGTATTTCAGTCAATTTTTTTTCTTATTTTTATATGTACATGTATGGGGCAGTTGGGGAGAAAAAGCCGTCCACGCGGTGCCACCTGTCTCTCTCTCTCCCTCTCCCTCTCTCTCTCTCTCTATATATATATATGATAAGAAGGGAAATGGGGAATTCAGAAAAAAATTAAAAGGAGGGAGTCTGATTTTATACAAAGAGTTGCGAAATTAAAGAAAAGTCATGAAGCTCAAGAAGGCAGCAGCAGAAACCAAGTCTCAAGTGTATCTGGAGAACAAGAGAAAGGTCTTTCTTGTCTTTCTTTCTGTATTAATTAGCGTAAAACTTAGAGAGTTGAATTAACTCTAGGAATTTATTTTTGTTCGTTCTCTGCAGAAGAAATGGGTTGACAAATCTGGCCATAATTGCTTCATGTTGTTTGCAAGATCACTGTACATCACGTGGGGTGGTCATGAGAACTGGATATGGAACTGTTTCAAGGAAACAGGGTACTTGGTTTGCATTTTTTTGACCTTAATTTTGTTTTTGAACATTTAATTAGTTAATTAATTATACTGTTCCTATTTCACTTTCAGGGAGGAAAACGTTGAAGTAGCAAAACTATCCCATGTGTGCTGGCTGGATGTAAGAGGAAAATTTAGTGTATCAGATCTCTCGCCGGGAATTGTATATGAAATTGTTTATCAAGTGAAGTTGACAAATGGAGCGGATGGTTGGGAGCTCCCCATCAGCCTGAAGTTGTCGCTTCCTAATGGAGTTGTCCGCCAACGACAAGTCGTTCTTCTTGAAAAGCCAAGAGGGGAGTGGACAGAACTCAGCGTAGGCAACTTCTTAGCAGAGGAGGGAGAGACAGGAGAAGTCTGCTTTGATATTTATGAGCATGGAGGACACTGGAAGAGAGGGCTTATCATTAGAGGTGCCATTCTTAGGCCAAAACATCCACTCCAACGCCAAATTTAAATCCTAGTTAATTCTTGAAATTCACATTTCTTTTTGCTTTTTTTCTATAACTTATTTATTTATTGTATTAATATTTTCGTTTCATATGTTATGTTTTGTTTATCCGTAAGGTATTTTTTTACCGATGGATTGTTATAGCACCTTTTCGGATTTTATTTATTTTTTAGGCTTTACTTAATTTCCAAAAAATTTGAAAATTAAATGCATAAATATGGTATTTAAATTTACAAGCGAAAATAATTATTTCGTCTCTAGATTTTACAAAATTAATTAACTCATTCTTGTATTTTAATATTAAAGATTTAATTCTTGAAATTTGATTCTCATTAACGGGTCATTTTATTAAAAATTTATTATTTTTCATTAAATAAAACTAAAAAATAAGAGAGAGGAGGATGGACATTTTAAAATGACAAATGGTGCTTTTAATAAAATTTGGGATGACCCATGTCTAACCCACCATCACCAACAACCACCATTTCCTGCGAAGTTATATCTCAAAATGCAGAAAATTCTGCCTCTTTCATTAACAATTTTGCAACAATCATGGCAATGGAAACAATTTCTTGCCTCATGGTGCTCTCTACTGGTCATGATCTGACCTTAGCTAAAAATAATTTCCTTATCCAAGTACGCACAACTACTCTAAAATGGTGAAAATACCATCAAAATGGCAATTTGTATTAGAAATTCATCATCCAAGGCATTTGACAAATTATCTTTGATAAAAATTCCATCACTCAAAAAGTATCTACAGTATAAATGCACGCAACGAAAAGGGGACATGTGAACTAACTTGATCAAAGGGAGCAGATTCAAGCGATCCATTGGCACAAATCTTAGGAACATCTAGAAACAAACATATGACACAAAGAACATCACTCAACGGCATCTCAGATTCGTGTTAAACGAGTTCAAAATGTAGCCTCTCCAATGAATTGAAGTGTAAAGAGATCTGTGAAAAATAAAAATTGAGGGATTTGGATGAGAAAGTTGTGGGTGGCTCGAAGGACCCAACCCAACTTGCTTCATTCTCCTCCTCCTCCATCAAATTTGGATCCTCAATCAGTGGCACTAGCCACCACGATTTCATAGATAGACTCCGATTTATTTATTTAACTTTTGAGTTTCCACTATTGCAAAAATGGAGACAAAGGTAAAGAAGGATGATACCAATTTTAATTTTGTCTTATCATAAGGGTATATTAGTCTTTAATTATGCATCTAAAGACGAAAATCAATAAAATTAAATGGAAGGATACGGAACTAAATTTTAAATACTAAATATTTAATATAAAAAAAATACGAGTACAAATTAATTAATTTTATAAAATCTTACAGAATTTAAAATTTTTAACTAAATAGCACCCTAAACTTCAAGAATGAATTTTATACAAAGAAAAAAAAGAGAAAAAAAAAGGCTAATAAAGGCACATAGTCTGAATAATCAAAAATAGAAAGACTACTTTCAAAAAAAAAAAAAAAAAGAAAGACTATGTCGTCGCGTCGGAGGAACCAGCAGCGAAGGCGATCTGTCAATATCACAGAAGTAAACCATTCGTCTTCGACGGAGACAAGTTCAAAGTTAAGAACTTCAAATCTCTGTTTGCTGTGCAACTTGACTTATTAAAAGTTTCAGTTTTTATTTTCTTTTACTCAACTTGTTTTCTAGAAAGAATAGATCCATTCTTTTGCTGATGTGACAAGTGTTGGTGAGATGAATGCATTTTAATTCATTTCATTTTTTACCCTTTAACCTTTTAATTTGAGTTAAGAAGAAATAGGTAAATGGATGTAAAAGATTTGACCTTTGTTTACTTCCCCTTTAACTCTGAATTAGATACAGAAAAAGGATAGAATGAAACCAAATGTTAATGTGTAAGTTATTAGTCATATAATCCCAGTTCACCACGTTGCTTAAATGATTGAATTAAGCTGATGAGACAAACCAAAAAAATTCAACAGAAAAAGTCCCTTTCACGTTGTTTTTTTTTTTTTTTAATAAGGAGAGCAAAGCTCTAAGAATTACAAACATATTCTAAGGTGGCATGGTGGTAGATGATTTTGAGTTCCTAATGGGTAGCTACTTGCAATTTATTGAAGGCGTCTTTAACCATGCTGTATCTCCATTGTATCAGACACTACTGAACAACATTGACCAATTCAACACTGTTTTCACTTTCCAGGTCCACTTTTGATAGGTAAAGAAACTTCAAATGAAATTGCATATCCAATTTCCGGTTTCCTGCAACTTTTGTATAAATTTACGTGTGGACTCCGTGTCAGTACTCTTTAGGACTTTTGCTAGGAACTTGAAGGAGAAGTAGTACTCTCATTAATAATTTTCAATAGTTCTTTTGTAAGGTTATAACTGTAAAATCGAACAACTTGGCTGACTTGTCTTTGGAAAGAAGCTTGAAAGAAAATCAATTCAGCTTATTGGCTATTTTCTACGACTTTTCTATATCCATTAAATACCATTGCATGACTTGGCTTTGGTTAGGTAAGACTAGGTCTTAGGATGTAAACTTGAAGCATATAGAACTCATCCTTAAAAGGCTGTGAGTCATTCAATGGGAGAGCAATACTTTATTTTTCCTTCATTTTCTTGGGCGTTCAAAGTTAAGTTGTATTTAAATTTCTTGTTCTTTCTTGGGGTCGGGGTCAGAGTTTTATTTGTTTCTTTGCTTTGAGGGAATCTTGAGAGTTGCTAAAGAAGATACCATGGCTTCTCTGGCGTTTCTTGTAGTTAGTCCTGTTGTTAATGAGATAGTTAAAGTTGCTTCTTCATTAATCAAAGAAGAGTTTCTTTTGCTCTGGGGTGTCAAGGATGACATAGTGAAGCTTTCAAGCAATCTAACTGCTATCCAGGCCACACTGAATGATGCAGAGGAGAGGCAACTCGATGAGGAGCATCTACGAGACTGGTTAGGAAAGCTTAAAGATGCAGCTGATGATGCAGAGGACTTGCTGGACATTTTTGCAGCAGAGATTTTTCTTTGGAAGAAAAAGCATGAGAAACGCAGAATTCCGACCCCCATAAGTGCAAGTAAGATTTGTATTCAATCTGATACTGCACATAAGATTAAGGAACTTTCAGCAAGACTAGATATAATTGCTGAAGAAAGACAAAGGTTCCATCTCAACATCAATGTCAATGGTAGGATGTCACAATCCCATGACCGGCCACCGACTGATTACTTTGTGGACACAAAAAATGTTTTTGGTCGGGAGGATGACAAAGAGAGAATAATTGATCTGTTGGATAATTCTGATGAAGAAGGTGACCTCTCTGTCATGCCCATCATTGGGATGGGAGGCCTCGGCAAAACAACTCTTGCTCAACTCGTCTACAATGATGAGAGAGTAAAGGAGCGTTTTGAATTATCTAGGATGTGGGTTTCTGTCTCAATTGACTTCAACTTGACAAGGATCCTTAGAGGGATAATGGAATCTTATTCCAAGATGGCTCTTCCTGCCGACTTATCACCAAACCTAATATTGTCGCGTTTCCGAGATTTTTTGCCTGGAAAAAAATTTCTACTTGTTCTAGATGATGTCTGGAATGACAATTACAGCGACTGGGAGCCACTTTTAGAACTCTTGAAATTAGGGAATAAGGGAAGCAAAGTTTTAGTTACTAGTCGAAGCAGAAAGGTTGCAGATATTGTCGGCACTTGCCCTCCCTACCTTTTAGAGTATTTGCCTGAAAATGAATGCTGGTCACTATTTGAAAGAATTGCATTTAAGAAAGGTGATCTGCCATATCCTCGGAAGAAAGATTTGGAAGATATTGGTAGGGAAATTGTTGCCAAGTGCAAAGGTTTGCCATTGGCAGTAAAGACAATGGGGGGCTTGCTGCGTGGCAATACTGAATTACAATATTGGAGAAGAATTCTGAGAAGCAATACGTGGGAGTTAGAAGACCAAAACATTCTGCCAGCTCTAAAATTGAGTTATAATCACTTGCCATCTCATCTAAAGCAATGTTTTGCCTTTTGTTCCGTATTTCCCAAGGCATATGCTTTCGATAAGAAAGAGTTGGTCAAACTCTGGATGGCTCAATCCTTTGTTCAACCCATAGAACAAAACAACACAGAAGAGATTGGAAGTGAATATTTTGATTTCTTGCTCACGAGGTCCTTCTTCCAACTGTTGAACATCAACAATAGCGTAAAATATAGAATGCATGATCTTATCCATGATTTGGCACTATCAATTTCTGGCCCACAGTATTATCAAATCAAGGACAACAATTTAGATTTTCAGCCTGAAAATTCTAGAAATTGGCGTCACGTGTCTTTGCTTTGTCAAAATGTTGAAGAGCCTTCCATGAAGATAGCCAATCATTCCAAGAAGTTGCGCACGCTTTTACTACCTCGTGAACACTTGACGAATTTCGGTCAGGCTCTGGATAAGCTGTTTCACTCAATGAGATACATTCGAGCCTTGGATCTGAGTTCAACCACAATTACTGAATTGCCAAGCTCCATTGAAGAGTGCAAGCTGTTGCGCTACCTTGACCTCTCTCAGACACAGATCAAAGAACTTCCCAACTCAATTTGCAGCTTGTACAATTTGCAAACTTTGAAGCTCTTGGGGTGTCTTTGTCTTTTCGAACTCCCTAAGGACCTAGGTGATCTGGTTAATCTTTGTCATCTTGAGCTGGATGACATGTTCTGGTTCAAATGCACCACTTTGCCAGCAAATTTAGGCAACTTAAAAGGGCTAAGGAATCTGCACAAATTTAAGGTCGGCAATCAAACTGGATATGCAATCAGAGAATTGAAAGAAATGGTTTATCTTACAGGAGAACTGCATATATCAAATCTTGAGGTTGCAGTGGATGCAACAGATGCTAAACTGAATGAGAAGGAGAGGCTTCAGAAGGTAGTTTTTGAGTGGACTAGAAGAGATGTCAATTCACAAGATGAAGCAGCAGAGGAGATGGTGCTTAGAGACCTTCAACCTCACTCAGATCTCAAGGAGCTTGTAATTTCTAATTACGGGGGAGCTAGATTTCCATCTTGGATGACAGAAGGTCAGCTTCGAAATCTGGTCTCTATTTCCTTGTTTAATTGCACAAAATGCAAAATCCTCTCTCTTGGTGGGCTGCCCAACCTCAGGTCTCTCTATATTAAAGAGATGCAGAATTTAGACATATTACAATGCCCTTCCCTACGTGGGCTAAAGATCAGTAGCTGCAGTAGACTAAGTGAGATACCTGAGTTCTTGCCTAACCTGACAGTTTTGAAGATCAAAAGATGTGCTTCATTGAAGGCTTTGCCTGTAACTCCATCTCTGATGTTCCTGATACTGGTTGACAATCTCGTTCTTGAGGATTGGCAGGAAGTAATATTGCGAAGAATCACCAGAAATAATCAAGGCGAGTTTGTAAGCCAACCCTATCCATCTTTAATTGGCCTTCTGGAGATGAAAGTTATTAACTGCCCCAAGCTGCAAGCACTCCCACAAGCATTTTCTCCACAGAAATTGGAGATAAGCGGGTGTGAACTGTTGACTGCCCTCCCACCTTCAAGGTTTGCACAACGTCTTCAGCATTTAGCATTAGACAGAAGCAATAATGGAGTACTACTAAGGGCAATACCTGATACCAACTCTTTATACTCCCTGGTAATTTCTAATGTGGCAAATGTCGTCTCTTTACCAAAACTGCCTAATCTTCCTGGGCTCAAGGCTTTGTACATCCACAATTGTGAAGACCTTGAGTCTTTATCTGAAGAGGAAGGATCATTTCAAAGCTTATCATCTCTCAGGTTATTGTCAATTCAAGGCTGTCAGAAGCTTGGGACATTACCAAATGAAGGCTTACCTACCCTCCTAGAGTGTTTGAGTGTTGGCTCTTGCCACAGTTTGCAATCTCTGGGCAACAAGGGGACACTAAAAAGCCTCATCTCACTCCAAGACCTTTACATTGAAGATTGTCCCCTGCTCCAGTCCTTCCCTGAGGATGGCCTTCCTACATCCCTTCAGCATTTGTACATTCAAAAATGTCCGCAACTGACGGAGGGATGCAAAAAGGATGTAGGACCAGAATGGACAAAGATTGAAAACATCCCTGACTTAGAAATTGACTTGATACAAGTACGCTCAACCCCACAACTGCCAAAGAAGAAACCTTGGTATTATCATTTCGTCTGTGGGAAAGGTTAGCATGATAATAAACTAAACTACTATTATTTTCCACACTTTCATTTTTTTCTTATGGTTCATTGCTTTGGCACCTGTACAAAAGAGTAAAAGAAATTTCAAACCAGTCATTGTATAATTTTTCAAAAATTGAATGGGTGTATTTTGGGGCTGAAGCAATACAGTTTCTCTCCTACTCGCATTAGTCTGTTACTGCATTGATTGAAACTAATGCTGAATAGATTTGGCAGGACTGAATTCACAAATAGAGATGGAGCTAGGAGAATCTTCTACTCCACCAGAAAATTGTGAGTGCCTAACAACCTAGCGTTTAATTTCTTTTTTCCCTTTTCTGCTTTTTTTGATATGGATTTAAGGTATGAGTGTATATCACAGGAATCACAAGTTAAACAATGTGGAAATCTTCTCCACCAATTTAAGATATTAGACATGAAGTAATATTTGATTAGCAAGATTGCATGACATCGAATTGTAATGAATGAAAATTTGAAATTTAACTGGCTTTATACCAGAAATCTTTATTAGAAGGTTGCTCCCTTCAGGCCAATCAATTAAGAGTGCTAACCTATACATACATAGGGAGATAGGTATAAGAATTTGTATAATGTAAAAGGGTTGGTTAAGAGGGTTGGTTAAGTAAAGCAAATGAGCTTTATCTTTTGTTAATTTGGGAAAAGACTGGAATGTGAGTGCTTGTGAAATTTTTTCTGTGATCTTACAAGAATTTAAAGGTTTGACTTCCTAGGAAAAAAAGAAAAAAAAAGAACATTCATGATTTACTCATCAAGAATTTGTTTGCATTACAAAATTGAACTACTAAGCAATATGAAGAAAATATGGAACATGTAGCAAATAAAGTAACATTACTTCCCTGCAGCTACATACAGCTTCCAGCCTTGAGAATTGAAGTAAAAATGCTTAAACCTGATTTGCTGGCAATTGAAGTGGTTCAGAGACGGATTTATTCTGAATTTTTATACAGCACTGAACAGTGATCAAGCGGCCGGCGAAATTTTTCTGGCTTGGGAGTTGAAACTAATAAGGTCAACTTGATAGACAGGGAGATTGTTACTTGGTGCCATTTCGAAGCCATATGTCTGCTCTCCTCATCATTGACGCGGTCTGTAATGTACTTACCTAGAAATTGTTGTCTTCTTGTGCATTTTCTGTATTTGCTTTGAGGCTTGTTAGGGCTTTGCTTGGTATTTGCAACTTGTCTGCCTGTACTTCATGATTGATAAAAGGAGCTCTGTCCTCCTGTATTTTAAGATCTAATCTGTTTTATGAAACTCATGGAGCTTGAATGGAATTTTAATATTTATCAAAAAAAAAAAAAAAAAAAAAAAAAAAAAAAAAAAAAAAAAAAAGAAAAAAAAAGAAGAAAGACATATTTTAATCCAAGATTTTTGGAATTTATTTACATTTCTTCATATGTTGCATAGGGTCTGCACAAATTCTGCTCAGAACCTTCACTGTCGTAGTTGAATGGTCATTGCTAAGTAAATACGTGCAATGTGCAGTATCTTGTTTGCAGAAAAAATACATGCTTTTTTTTTTTTTTTTAAATTACATTACAGAATAAAGCATTAAGATTTGACTTGTATCGAATTAAACCACATGCTCCACCGCTTGTGCAGGCCCCCGTCAATTCCTTTGAGTTTCGGTCTTGCGACCGTACTCCCCAGGCGGAGTGTTTCACGTGTTAGCTGGGCCCCTGATATGCGTAGACCAAGGGCGAACACTCATCGTTTACGGCATGCACTACCAGGGTATCTAATCCCGTTCGCTCCCCATGCTTTCGCACCCCAGCGTCGATAGGGACCCAGAGAGCTGCCTTTGCTTTTGGCGTTCCTTCGTAGATCTTTGGATTTCACCCCTACACACGAAATTCCACTCTCCCCTGTCCCACTCAAGTGAATTGGTTTCGAGAGCATTCCGAAAGCCATTCGATCCAGTTGTTTTGGCGACTTTCACTTTTCACACCCGATTCAACCGCCTACGTGCCCCTTTTACGCTCAGTCATTCCGAAGAAACACTTGCCCCACCCCCCCCCCCCCGCGTTGTACCGCGGGCTGCTGGACGCTCGAGTTAGCCGGGGCTTCTTCTGGAGTCCTGTCATTTTGATCGCGCAGTGATTAAAACGCAGCGATTTATTCTCAAAACAAATTAACTTCTCGATAGTTAGAGAGTAAGAGTAGAGTAGAGTGAGGATATCTCATAATTTTTAATTTACAATATTAATTCTTTCCCCACTCGTGACGGAAGACTTCAAGCCGCCAATGATAACTGCGGGTTGAGCAAAAATAACCGATTTAACCCAATCAACGCTATCGAGTCAGTTGGGTTTGCTTGTTTAATTTTCGATTTTAATTCAATTCGATTTAATTCAATTCGATTTCATTGGAAACCCATCTGCGATTCGATTTGCTGCAAATCCCGGAGTATTTGACCATTTGCTCACAGCCATGCAAAATTTAATCATATTTGGATGATCTGAATTTTTAAGCGAGTTCTTTTTAAATTCATTCCATTCTTGATGTTTTTTAAAATTCACCTCAAGTTTGATTTTTTTTTAAACAGTAATATACCATCAAAATGGTAATAAGCATTTCCAGTTGGCAATAAACAATCGGAAATTATACTCATTTTGACTTTTGGAAGACCTCAACCAATAAATACAATAGAGTTTAGCAGAGGCGAAATCTTGGAAGTAACCGTAAGGTTGCGGTTTGTCCTTCCGCGTTTTCCTTCATCATGCTTCTCAGACGAATCTCGAGTCAAAATCTTTGAAGACCGCCATTGGCAATCGTAGTCAGCAATCCGTGTGAGAGCCCAGCAAAAACTGTACCATCAGATTTCCGTGGGTTTGGCGAACTATAAAACTATGCGTGTGCTAAACCTCCTTGATCCGAAGATACTGGAGTAGTCCCGATCTTGGTCCCAAGAAGTCAAGGGAAGAAAGGTCTAAAACTGCTTCGAAAGTACATTCTATCAGGCCCATTGAAGCGGTGCTTAAATTGTGGCGAAGAGAAGCGACTGGGAGAGAGACGTTCTCGCTTGAGAAGACTTGGCTAAGAAAGACTGTAAAGAACGCAGTCCTGGGATGCAGAGGATGTGTTGGATAACTTTTAAGATAATAAGAACTGCTTCTCGTTTGTGAAGAGAAGCAAGGAAGGGTGCGGGTTGCTGTTTAGGGCACTCCTTCTATTAGTCTCGGTGCGCTTTAGAATATCTGTTTATTACACGTCAGATCTAGTTACCCCCCCCCCCCCCCCGCCGTCTTACCGCGGCTGCTGGCACGGAGTTAGCCGGGGCTTCTTCCTGAGTCCTGTCATGATCGCGCAGGTGGATTAAAACGCAGCGATTTATTCTCAAAAATTAACTTCTCGATAGTTAGAGAGTAGAGTAGAGTAGAGTGAGGTATCTCATCAATTTTAATTTACAATATTATTCTTTCCCACTCGTGACGGAAGACTTCAGCCGCCAATGATAACTGCGGGGTGAGCAAAATGACCGATTTAACCCAATCAACGCTATTCGAGTCAGTTGGTTTGCTTGTTTAATTTTCGATTTAATTCAATTCGATTTAATTCAATTCGATTTCATTGGAAACCATCTGCGATTCGATTTGCTGAACGGACCATTTGCTCACGCATGCAAAATTTAATATATTTGGATATCTCGAATTTTAAGAGTTCTTTTTAATTTCATTCCATTTTGATGTTTTTTAAATTTCACCTCAAGTTTGATTTTTTACAGTAATATACCATCAAATGGTAATAGCATCTCCAGTTGCAATTAACAATGAAATTACAATTTTGACTTTTCGGAAGACCCCTCAACCAAATAAATAAATAGAGTTTAGCAGAGCGAAATCTGGAAGACCGTAGTTGCGTTTCTTCGTTTTCTTATCATCTGTCCAAAATCTCAGTAAAATCCACTTGAAAGCCGCCATGGAATCTCAGCAAAATCCACTTGAAGCCGCAAAAACTGTAATAGATCCCGTGGTTGGCGAACTCATAAACCTAGCAACCTCCTTGATCAAAGACGAGTATCATTTGGTCCAAGGAGTCAAGGAAGAAGTCATAAAACTCTCAAGTAATCTAACAGCCATTGAAGCGGTGCTTAAAATTGCAGAAGAGAAGCGACTGGAAGAAACCCATTTGAGAGATTGGCTAAGAAAGCTGAAAAACGCAGTCTGGGATGCAGAGGATGTGTTGGATACTTTTAGAACAAATGCTTCTCTTTTGAAGAGAAAGCAAGAGGTGCGTTGCTTTAAGCCTCCTCTTAGTCTCAGTAAAACTTCTTATAAGTATGATGCTGCACATAAGATCAAAGAAATTTCGTCAAAATTGGAATTGATTGCTGAAGAAAGGAAAAAATTCCATCTTGACATTAATTTTGATGGTGAAAGACCTAGAATGGAAGAACCCACTTCTTCTTTTCCGGAGACAGCTTGTGTTTTTGGTAGAGATGATGATAAGAAGAGATTAGTTGATTTGTTGTTATCAGATGATTATGAAAGAGTAAGGAATACTTCCCTTATTCCTATTATTGGAATGGGGGGTCTTGGCAAAACAACTCTCGCTAGGTTGCTTTATAATGATAGGAGTGTGGAGAAGCATTTTGAATTTAGGATGTGGGTCCGGGTCTCCGTACCGTTCAACCTTACATCGATCTTGAGGGAGATGATGGAATCTTATTTGGAAATGCCTCTGGCGGTTGATCTATCTTCAAGCCTAGTACAGTCTCGGTTTCGAGAATTTTTGCCAGGAAAAAGGTTTTTACTTGTTCTAGATGATGTCTGGTCCGTCGACTATAATAAGGACTGGAGTCCCCTTTTACAGCTCTTAGAAATGGGGGAAAAGGGTAGTAAAGTTTTAGTTACTACTCGAAACCATAAGGTAGCAAAGATTGTAGATTCGCGATTTTCTCTCTTATTAGAATGTTTGCCTGAAAATGAATCTTGGTCTTTGTTTAAGAACAGAGCATTTAGAAGTGGGAATTTGTCAAGCTCAGTGCTCAAGGATTTGGAAGACATTGGCAAGGGAATTGTACGGAACTGTGGTGGTCTGCCTTTGGCAGTCAAGGCTATGGGGGATCACTTGCAAGGTATTGTCGAAGTAAGCAGGTGGAGAAAGGTAATGAATAAGAGCATTAACGAGCTTGAGGAATCGATTAATATTCTGCCTACTCTAAAATTGAGCTATGATTACCTTCCTTCTCACCTAAAGCGATGTTTTGAATTTTGTTCCATATTTCCCAAGTCGTATGATTTTGATAAGGAAGAACTAGTGAAACTCTGGATGGCGCAATGCTTTATTCAATCCCATGGGATAGATAGGGCAGAGAAGATTGGAATAGAATATTTTGATGAGTTGTTAGCAAGGTCCTTCTTTCAAGTCTCAACTATTCATGGTAAGGTGCAGTATAGAATGCATGATCTTGTCCATGACTTAGCACAATCTGTTTCAAGCACCTATTGTTGTCAAGTCAAGGATATTAAATTGTGCAGCTTCTCCAAAGGTTATCGACATATCTCATTGCTCTCTCAAGATATCGAGCAATCGGCCTTGAAGATTGTTGATAGTTCCATCAAGCTGCGCACTCTTTTATTACCTGGTGATCACGTAAAAGACTTAGGCCAGGCCTTTGGGAAAATATTTGATGGATTGAAATACATTCGTGTGTTGGATCTGAGTTCAAGCGTGCTTTTGCAGTTGCCAAAATCTATTGAAAAGCTGAAACTGTTGCGCTACCTTGACCTCTCAGAAACTGACATTAAAGTGCTTCCCGACTCAATATGCAACTTGTACAATCTGCAAACTTTGAAAATGTTGGGTTGTCCTTGGCTTTTCTCACTACCCAAGGACCTTGGGAAGCTAGTTAACTTGCATTATCTTCAGCTGGATGAAATGTTCTGGTTCAAGTGTGAGGCCTTGCCTCCATATATTGGAAAATTAATCAATCTGCACAATTTGTCAGCATTTCGGGTTGGCAGCAAGACTGGATATGGAATAGAAGAGTTGAAGGAGATGGCCTATCTCCAAGGAACATTGCACATTTCAACGCTTGAAAATGCAGTGAATGCAAAGGAAGCGAAGTTGAGTGAGAAGGAAAGCCTTCAGAAATTAGTATTTGAATGGAGCAACAGAGTCATTAATCCTCGGGATGAAGCAGCTGAAGAGAGGATCCTCGAAGACCTGCTACCTCATTCAAACATCAAAGAGCTCCAAATTTGTAACTACAAAAGTGTTGGATTGCCATCTTGGATGAGAGATGGACTGCTTCAGAATTTGGTCACTCTAACATTAAATCATTGCACGAAAACGAAAATCCTCACTCTTGGTCAACTACCCTGTCTTGAAGCATTGAACATCAAAGGGTTGCAGGAGTTGGAGGAGTGGCCAAATCTGCAATTGCCTACCCTGCATAGGCTAAAGATTTGTGACTGCCCCAAGCTAATAAGGTTACCTGACATATCCCATAAGTTGGGTATTCTGAAGATCAAAAGGTGCAAATCATTAAATGTGCTTCCTGTAACTCCATGTCTTGAGTGTTTGATGGTTGTTGATAATCCTAGTCTGAAAGACTGGAATGAAGTAACAGTGCCGCTTGAATCCAAGGAGGAAAAATCTTCTCTTCCAACATTAGCAAAATTGAAAATGGTAAACTGCCCTAAGATATCAGCATTGCCTCAAGTTTTTTCTCCAACAAAGCTGGAGATAACCATGTGTGAATCGTTGACAACCATCTCATCAACAGAGCATATGCAACATCTTCAACATTTAGCCTTAGACACATGTAGTTATGAAACTCTAGTGGGAATATTACCCTATGCCAGCTCTCTTTCTTCCCTTATCATATCCAACTTAGAAAATCTGGTCTCTTTTCCAAAATGGCCCCATCTTCCTGAGCTCAAGGCATTGTACATCCACTGTTCCAAGGAACTTGTGTCTTTGTCACAAAAAGAATCACTACGAAGCTTGAAGTCTCTGAAGCTCCTGTCTATCAAGGACTGTCCAAAGCTTGTGTCATTGCCAGATGAAGGGCTACCTGTTTCTCTTGAGTGCTTGAGCATTAATTCATGTGCTATAATGGATTCCCTAGGCCCTAAGGAGATACTGAAGAATCTTACCTCACTTAAGGACCTTCACATCCAGGATTGCCCCCTGATTCATTCATTCCCAGAGGATGGTCTTCCTGCATCTCTGCAGCATTTACATATTCAAAATTGTCCGCTCATAACAGAACGATGCCAGAAAGAGAATGGAGCAGGTCCAGAATGGCCAAAGATCATGAACATCCCTGACCTGGAAATTGATTGAACTAAAATGTCGAAACCAGATTCAACACCTAGGTGCTGTCATTTCATTTGTGCCAGAGGTTAGTATTGTTATTTAGACTCCCTTGTAAATCATATGTCAGTAATATAGTTAAATTGCAGCAATGCAGACCGCAGTATTTAATGCGTCGTATTTCCTAATTGTTCTTCTTTATGACCTATTACCGTATAGCAAGTTTATGTTGCTGCTGCAAAATTAGCTTTGGACTTGGAAACTCCTGGAATGAACTTGTATTCCAAAAATTTCCTGCAAAGGGAATCTACTTAACGTTGAAAACCAAGAACATTTGAATCCCTGTCCTGCAATGCTCCAATACAAGTTGATATGAATATTTTGGGCCAAAACCAGTGCATTTGCTTACATGCTCGGATTCTGATTCTTCTGATAGAAAATAGTTTTGAAGGATAAATTTCTTTGGGATAATTTGGTACTCTAAATAATTAATAGGATCATGTCTACTTAAGAGTTGGATGGTTACCACAGGATAGCAGTTGGTTCTCTTCAAAGCCAAAATTTTCAGCCATTGAAGGACAATGCAAATATGTGTTTCTAGCAGCAGTTTATGATCATTTTTCTTTCTGCTCAGCAGAATTTTTTCAATGAAGGTCTAAAATTCTGAACGGTGATCTGAGGTACTACAGCCCGCTAGATTATTAATTCAAAAGCTAAATTCACGATTTTAAATAACAACAAACCATTAGCTTTAAATGGTTTCAATTCTCCCTTTCTAAATACGAAACAAGATCAGAAAATCCAAACAACATTGTAGGTAACTCATGGGCCTAAAGGAGGCCGAGACAAAAAGGTCCAATGAAACCAGAATTTCCGAACACGTCCTATTTTTCTCTGCAACCCACAAAGAGACGGGCAAAGAGGGAAACATGTACTAGTGCATCAGCGTCACTTGCAAGAAAACTTCTCAGAATTAAGAAAAAAAAACTAGATAAAGGTGTGTCTTTCGAGTTCAGACAAAAGCACCTGCATACCTGATAACAAGCAGGGGTTATACTGAACATAATATTTTGTCTCAATTAGAAAATGGCAAAACATACTTTTTATTTCAAAGGAATTTTGGAGATTGAGATGCTTTGAATGATTTGAATTTATACACACTATAATAATTCTTATTAATTATGCTGTCCAATTTTGTATTTTTTTTATTTTTGAAAAAAATTCTGATGCAAGATATATGTTCTTTTTCAATAAATTGTATCATCAGTTTTGAATTGCCTATAGTAGAGCTCATTTTTATTGATTTGGCAGAGGTTGGGTAATCAACTCTTTCAATTCAAGATTCAGCCTCTTAATTACGTTTACACAGTAATTGCTGATACATTATACAGTAGAGCTTGTTAGCACTGCAAAATGATAATCACATATAGTGAAAGAATTTTCTATTCATGATCTGTATCAAATTTGTGTCTTCCCTTTTTTTTTTTCCACACCTTTAATTTGCATGTTCTTAGAGTTTGTTCTTTCTCAATCAAAGAGTATCTGTATTAGTACTTTTCTTTACTCCACATACAGTATACTACAAGGATAGCTATCCCTCTCTCTTAATCTCTCCCATTCTAGGTGTATAGGTGTTTTGATTTTACTATCTTAGATCTTTGTCGCGACGCTGGGGGACTTCACCAATTATAAGTTATCCAGGTGACTTGTGCTTTCTTCTGAGCTTTTAGAAATTCTAATTGGAAGAACTCAGATCCCGGCATATTTCTCAGTTAAGAGGATTGAGTCAAATTCCGGCTCCTTTCGAAATTGTCATAGGCATGTCTGGTTCGCCGAAAAAGCACATAACTTGAAACTAGACCTACCAATGAAATGCAGCCCCATGCTATGAAGGTCTTCAAGTAGCATTCCCTACCCATGCATACCATTTCTTTCCCTAACAGGGTCTCCAGGAAGCTGGTGCTTCCTGCATTGGAATCATACACTATAGCTGCAAGAAGACCATAGAGGAGTGACCCGATGGGAATGTTGGTGATGAGGATGTTGTGGTTGACTCCAGCACTATTTGGCCCAAATAGCTCAGATGTTACTGACACTGCTGCTGAAAATACAAAGCCAGAACTTAGTGCAACCATGGCTGTGCAAGCACGCAACGCTGCCTCACTGCCTGATGCAACCAGCAAAAAGAAAGCAATTGGCGTTGGCACAAGAGCAACTGCTAACCACCCAGTCCTCGCAAAGTACACCTTGCTGCATTGGTAAACTTTTAATCCTTAGTTTTTGCAGCTTAATAAGTATTGTTTGAAAGTAAAGCCAAATTTCTGTAATGCATAAATGCTGACTATGATTGACATGATCAACAAGAAGGTCTATCAAATAAGGACAGTAAACCTTTAAAAACACAAACAAACTTTGCTGGCCTTTGTTAAGGATGTAATGGCCTTGAGACTAATTCTCCATAAAAGAATGATCTCAAGTTCTATAATTACCTTTATGTTCATCTAAAGAGCATATATACCTAGAATTCATTTATTCACTATTATGAATCAGTTTTGTGCATGACAAGTAATTAGTTTTCACAGTAAATACATACTCACGCAGGAAATCCGGAGCAGCCGAGAGCAAGCGACCAAAGAATGAGCACGAAGAGTACAGGGTGATGAGTGAACTGAGTTTCGAATAGTATCCAAGTGATTGTGCAATCTGTCCTAGATTATTACTATAAACCAGCCCTATGGTTGCTCCACAGAAATATGCAAAATAATATAGCCAAAAATCTACTTTACGCACTAGCACTCGGGCTGGGTGCTCTTCACCAAGCATAGTTAACCTGTCGTTCTCGATTACCCTCTCAAAACAACTGAAGCACTTCTGTTTCTCTGTCATGCCATAGGAATTATCATTTGAGCCATTACTGTTTTCAATTTCAATCAGTTCTCTAACAAGCTCTAGATCATCAGTGTCAACCAGATTGAATCTCGAATCATCAGAGTGGAAACTTGTGTCAATGATACGCCTAGCCCAGTTCCTTGCACAAACAATTCCAGGCAAGCACAAGGGAAGTGCTAATAGAAGAAAAGCACCTCCAAGAAGGATACCTGCTGTCCATGCAACAGAGGATAGTGAATTCAGGAGGAGAAGATATAGGCCAGTGATAATGGCTAGAATGTTGAGGATTAGAAAAATGAAGGAGTCACGGCGGTTGGCTTCAGTGGGGAGTTGCTGAGGAGGTGGTTGGTTAAGTACAGGGAATAGTGCCAGACCAGACACAAACAGAGGGAGGACTGCATTTAAAAGGAGATAAATAGAATTAGCATCAGGGTCTATTGCATTGGCAATAAGAGTATAGATGGCAGCAGTAACTCCATTGAAACTGATGGTGAGTGACAATGCTAATGCTCTGTTGGCTGTGAAGTTTCTTATGCATAGAACATAGCATACTGTGTTGAACCAGCAAATGCTGCATCCAGCAATTAAGCATAGCAGAAATACCTGCCAAAACACAGTTGATTCCTGTTAGTAGAAACCAACAGCCTATTTACAATACAGTTCAAATATTGTTGACAGTCAACCAAAGTCATTAAGATACAGACTCAAAATTTTGTTGGAAAGAAACTATTTTTCATATTTTATTTAGGACAAGTTTACAATTTCCAAAGTTTGGTTTACAACTTCACATTGTTTCTTTGTAGTTTATGCAATACACGGTCAACAGTTTTCTCAAAAAAAAAAAAAAGAGTTATGAATAAAATTTTTATAAAATATATGTAGAATATAATAAATTTTCATGTCATATCACAAATTATTATCAATTTAGATTTAGTTATGATTTAAAAAAAGTTTAAATTATTTGGTTTACTTGAGTTTCGAACCGAACCAAGCTGAGAATTTCAAAGAGAGAAAGGAATGAAGGTTGGCCATCTCAATCACTAACAATTTTAGTTTTTATGGTAGGTTAGTGTTACTATTGATGAAAAGGGCAAGGTGCGGCAATAGGAGCATTTAATGGCATGGATAAGGATAGATGTCTGTATTATCACTGCCGTGCATTGAATTCATTTAATATTGTATTTGATCCTTAGAGACTAAGCAAATGTTTCATAGGCCAAAGAAATAAATATAAAAAATATTGAAACAAATAGTATTTCCTGATAATTAGTTTTTTTTTTTTTTTTTTAATTATCATAATGCCGTGATTGAATTCTTAATATTGTAATTATGATCCTTAGAGACTAAGCAAATGTTTTTCATAAGGCCCAAGAAAATAAATATAAAAATATTGGAAACAAATACGTATTTCCTATCAATTATTAGTTTTTTTTTTTTTTTTTATCTGTAATTTTTCAACTGAAGTGTGGCATTTAGGTATTTGTTTTCTTTACAGAACAAAGTCATGTGCTTGTCAGCTGAAGTATGCAATGTAGAAACTGAGTGAAACGTACAGATAAGAACGGTAGGTAGGTTTTAAGAATACAGATCTAAAATATGAATAGAATAAACTGTCCCACTAGCATTATAAACATTTTAGATTATATATATTATATGCATTTCAGCCACTCCTTAGAGATAAAATTTCTTGTTGAATCAATGATTAATATTTTAGGCCTAAAAAAAAAAAAAAAAAAAAAAAAAAAAAAAAAAAAAAAATATTTTTGGCCTAAAAAAAAGAAAAAAAAGAAAAAAAAAAAAAATAAAAAAACTTAAACATATAAACTTAATTTATAAAAAAAAAAAAAAAAAAAAAAAAAAAAAAAAAAAAAACAAACTTAATTATACAGTAAAAAATTCCACTAATCAAATTAACTTTTTCTTTTTCTTATCATTATTACTTGGTATCAACTTCTGCAACGTATATTATGTTTCTTTCACTAACCAGTTTGGTTAACCAACTATGAATAAACATTTCAGTATGTTTGTTGTTGAGATGCTTAGATTAGAAGATAGATCATTCCCAAATTTCTCCAACAAGATTCACTTGTTTCCCTAGAAAGTAGGAAAGAAACAAGACAATAGAATTTTCTTTTTTTTTTTTTTTTTTTTGGGCACCAAAAACAGAAAAAACATGACTGACCAATATTTTCAGGGGAAAAAAATAAAAAATAAGAAAGAAAAGAGAAGAATTGAACTTAGAAGAAGGGAATTTCTCTAACTAATTTAGATGTTTCACCAACAGCCTGTCATTAGTCAAACACAAAAAAGGATAAAAAAAAAATTATTTAAATAAAAAAACAAGGAAATGATGATTATTTTTTTTTTTTTTTTTTTTTTTTTTGAAGGGCCAAAAACAGAAAAACATGAACTGACCAATATTTCAGGGGAAAAAAAAAAAAAAGAAAGAAAGAGAAAATGAACTTAAGAGAGGGAAGCCTAACTAATAATGTTTCACCACATGCATAAGTCAAACACAAAAAGGAAAAAAAAAATATTTAAAAAAAAAAACAAGAAAATGAAAGATTAGAGAGGACTAACCAGAAAATAGGGCAAAGAGATTATTCCGGCAATGACAAGCCATTGAAGGCCATATCCAAAGAGTCCCATGAAAGCAGCCATAAGCAAAACAACCCATAAAGGAAAATGAATAAGAGACAAACCAGAACACCAACCAAAAGCCTTTCCCAAATCAGAAGCCATAGCCAAGTAGTTCAGTTGAACCTGAGAAATCCCAAGAACAGATTTTAAGGTTGAGGAATAAGAAGAGAAATCAAAATTTGTCCCTGTAAATGCTTGTATCCATGTTGTTGCTACTAGTATCATCCATTTTCTTGATTGCCCTACCATTTGGCTTTGTAAGATGAAGTATCCAAAAAAAAAAAAAGAGATTAATCAAATTTCCAAACCAAAACAAAAACTGTTTTGGAAGAGAAATTTGAAGGGAGAGAGAGAGGGACGGGGTTTATGATACTTATAGGAGGCTTTAACTTTTAAGTCACCCCTGTATCTTTAGCAACGACTAAATTTTTGGGGTCAGATTACTATTTATGATATATGATGGTGAGTGTTTCCATTTTCAAAAATATATCTTTTCTTTGAAATTTTGGAGCTTTTAGAGGTTGGTGTTCTGTCTTTTGCCTTTCATAGATTAGACAGATAATATTTAAGCTAATTAAATATACAAGAAGAAAAATATTTGGAGTGGTGTTGCTGGGATGGATAACAGACTCAGTTAATTATAAAAATTACTATAATAAATTGATAAATTTGAAATAATTACTAACTAATAATGCTAAAATTAAAAAATTTATATAAATAAATTTTAAAGAAACAAGAAACTAAACAACGTGAATTTCAGACTCCTCATGTGATCCTAAAACAAATGAATTTTATAGGCCAGGCCACCAACTTGCCGCCTTAGACGCAAATGAATTATATATTAGTTAGTGTATACCAACCTGCCTACCTAAGAAGTTGAAATACAGACTCAGAGCATCCCCACTTGGATTAAAGAAATAGGCTTAATTGACTCATATCAATTATTGTCTCTTTAATTAAAAGCTTAATATTCAACATATAAATAAAAAAATTTAATTTCAACAAAATTTATATTAATTAAACCAAAATTTTTAATTTATGATTGCTACTGTAAAATTTATTTATACTATAATACCAAGCCAAAAATAGTAAACAGTTTTCTTCCATTTGCATCTACTTTCCCAAGTTGAGCTCGTCTTTGATGACTTGATGAAGAGGCTCAAAGAACAAACTATACCAAAAGCATTGACAGCCCAAATGATCATTACAAGTGAGAAGAAATTAAGGTGCTATCTTCCTTTCCATCAGGTGGCTTAGATCGGTAAGCAATGTCTGGTCAACAACCTTTTCTCATCCAACAAGAAGTGGCTTCTCCAAAGATAATAGTATTACATTAATGAAACACATGCAAGAATAGTTTTACATTGTAAAAACAAAATACAAAAAACAAAATACAAACAACCAAATAGCCCAAGATTCACATTTTCTTCACCCTGGTACAACATATCGCTATCTCAAAGGTGAATTAAAGGTGAAACTTGTCACAAGTATACAGTATCCTTAACCCAGCATTTTCTCATCAGAAGACAATAGTCATGAATGTTTCCTTTCCCATTTCCCTTCGCGTCTTCCATCCCTTTCTCTTCGCTCCATTACTTGCCTCGACTTGCTCCCTCTAGACCCGTGCCTTTGAGCAGACCCAAATCCACCTGGTTGTCCATCAAATGCAGAGATTAAATCTGGATCCCCTACACTACCTGTATCGCCTGAGTCCTTACTTCCATCAAAATTTTCTTCGTAATTGCTGCCACATTCATCAATGCGATCACGGGATTGGAGAATTGTTGGTGGCGGACCTGAAAATGGTCGAGACCCAGATAACACAACAGCTGGCATGGCCATTGATGAACTAGTTGTAGAAATTTCAGCCTGCAGGTTGCTACTATTGCTTCTCGTACTCCCTTCATTAATTGATCTTCCATTTTCCCTCTCGCGATACCTTTCCCGAAGCCTGCAGATATTTTGATTAAACCAAAGACACTATTATGCATACTTCATACCACTGCCAGTAGAGAGTGTATATTCTATATCAGAAGGCGCACCTCTTGGCTGCTAAAAGTTTAGTTGTCTTAATAAGAGAAGTATAATGAGCCTTTTTTTTTTTCCCATTGCCCCACTACATAACTAGTTTGAGATGGAGATGCTTCTAAAACTCAGCATAGCAATCAAGGTAAATAAAAAAGGTTTCTCCACATTTTGCACTAGTGCACAGACTATTCAGATGATAAATATTTCAGCAGTAGTGAGTTAAATAAAAACAGATTCCCTGACAAGATTATTGATGCAAAAATTATATAAGAACCATTTTTTGCGAGCAAAGACTGGCTCAACGTGATACGTATACTTTCACATTTCACTTCTCTTTCCTAATTTAATAATTTTGACATTGAAAACCTCCAAAAAGGTGAGATTATTGATGCAAAAATTATATAAGAACCTATTGATGCAAAAATTATATAAGAACCATTTTTTGCGAGCAAAGACTGGCTCAACGTGATACGTATACTTTCACATTTCACTTCTCTTTCCTAATTTAATAATTTTGACATTGAAAACCTCCAAAAAGGTGAGATTATTGATGCAAAAATTATATAAGAACCATTTTTTGCGAGCAAAGACTGGCTCAACGTGATACGTATACTTTCACATTTCACTTCTCTTTCCTAATTTAATAATTTTGACATTGAAAACCTCCAAAAAGGTGAGATTATTGATGCAAAAATTATATAAGAACCATTACTTTCAAGCAAAGACTGGCTCAACACAATACCTATATTTCACATTTGGCCCTCAATTTTAAAAAATTTAACTCTCCTTTCTAATTTAATACTTTCAACATTGAAAACCTCCAAAAAGGGGGATAGAAAGCCAGATGACATGAAATGATAAAGTCAATTGGCAGGCTTTCTTGATTTGAAACTGAACCAACCAATACAAACCCGTCCAAATGACCCAAATTGACCTAATAGCCACCTCTACTTTCAGGCTGAACACAAAGGAATTTCTCAAATTTTACCTATTTCTATATAATTGCTTGTTTAATCATAGCACCATCATTTCCGACAGGAAAGTAAGGTAGAACAGAGGAACTAACAGGCTTGCACTATATTTCGGTCCATGTTCCTTTCCTTTTTCTTCTTATTCTCTTGCTTCACCAAAAATACAGCTCAATTATTGGTCTAAGTTCTTAAAGAATTGTGTGCAAGAAATTATTGTTTCTTTTAAATTCTATCATTTCATTGTTAGCTGCTGGTCATTTTATATTGACTCCACTGGAACTACACACTGAAGCTAATTAATCCATCCTTCATGAAATCGTTTGTACCTGCTATGAGTAGATGAAGAAAAGTCCCGCCGTGATGATCTTAGTCCAGATTCAGCCTGCTCCACTTCACGCTGAAGTTCTCTCTACATGAAAATGCATACTTGTATTATGCAAACCATTGCAAAAGGCAATAATTCAATGCATTATAGGGTTCTTAAATTCAACTAAAGATGCCTAGTACATTCAAATTAAGCATTGTTTCTGGAAGAACCAATAGAAATAAAGTTGAAGTGTGATGAATAGGGATTTGACAATCCAGCATAAACACATAGTACACATTATAGGAAGACTTTGATGGCGAATTGCTCAAGGAAAACTGGCATAAATCTAATAGTTTGCCAATGGCATCGTCCCTATTCAGTTCAGACCAATCCACAGGCCCAGCCCACAAGAAATCTGGCTTGAATGAGGATTTTTTCCAAAACCAAACTAACTGAGGCACACTTCCAAAGGACACTGGCTTAGGTCTGCATTTACTCAAGGCCAACCCCACAAATTAAATACCATTATCTTACATATTTTTTATTGATATGAGCTAGACTTGGTCAAAGATTAACAGTCTAGCCACCTTGGCATAGATATTAACTTGATCAAAGCAGATATTTGAAACAATGGATTCATATAGCCGACCACAACTAGTTTGAGACTAAGGCTTGGTTGTTGTAGTCTAGCCACTTAAGCCCAGGCTGAAGTTGAGAAATCCCAGTCTGAATTGTGAAAAGATCTTTATATAGTAGAACAAATGCAATATATATATGTATGTATGCACACAAACACACACAAAAAGATACTTGCTAAAAAACAAGGAGACAGCTAAAATGAAAGGAGAGAAGCTTGGATAAAAGAGAGAGAAACATACGCTTTCCCCAGGATAGATGGTTGACAATATTAGTACTGCTACTGCTACCACAAAATGGAAAGACAGTTTTATTTGTCTTGGTAGATGTGACAATAGTTCCTTCGATGAAATACATATGTATTTATAGCGGATGTACTGAAAACTGAACAATTAATAGTCAAGTGCATGCTTTAGAAGTATCTCTAACCAAAAACTTAGGTGTTGTAAGGGCATTGGGTCAAATCTTGCACAAGCCAAACTGAAAAAGTTAAAAAAACCTAGGTAGTAGCATTGCATTAACACATTCATCCACTCAGCAGGCTCTCCAAGACCCCAACCAAATAGAGATAATGATGAAAAAAAAAAAAACCAACCACCACATAATGGAGATTGAAAGTAGCCTTCTTATTATTATAAAATTTAGGGCAACAAACCAGTTCACTCAGGATAATAGGACATCATGGTCCTTTTATCATAGTCAAACATGATGGAGAACCAATAGAATTGAAAATCCCAAAGCCAGTAGGATCACAGAATTGGGAAGGAGTCTTACCTGTGTTTGCCTCTCCTTCTCCATATCAAGATTGTGACGGAGTTCCCTAGTTTTTGCACGCTCAAGCTCCAACAACCGTTGTCTCTCAATCTCCTTTTCTGCTTCAGCTGTTCTTTCTCTGCAGACATAGAGTGACAGTTATACAAACAACTGTCTCTTAACAGCCACTCATAACATCCAGTTGATAACAATTTAGAAACACAAGTAGAACCTATCAAGTTCTCGCAGAAGTTCCTCTTCTCGTAAAGTGGCCTCTTCCAGATATTTCTGGCGGGCACGTCTCATGAGTTGCTTCTTTTGTCTGCGGGCTATAATTTCTTCTTGGAGTTTGGATTTATCTCTGAGAAGAAAAGTAAACCACAAGATAATAATAGACCAACAATTTAGCCTATACCTTTCTGCAAATTAGGAAACAGATGAAAGCAATATGGGAGAATTTCATTATATAAAGGCTAGATGATTGTTGAATTCAATAATTGCTTGAGCAAGAGGAATTCAGTATGATACAGAGAAACAGGGAGCAAATTAAGGTATACTTGAACTACTAATTTTTGACAGGTAATATGATGGTATTGCACTATGCAAAAGAAAAGCATGGGAAAGAAAGGTACCAAAGGTTTTAGATACATATAAACTGATATTTTACTTCAATGAAGAAAAATAAAGCATATGCTTATTGTTGGGGTGATATCAGACAGCTTTGTTGCATGTGCTTACCAATCCCAGGAACAGAAAAAGATTTCATTGAAATTATTCATCTGGAAATTTCTTGAAAAGCTAATCATAGGTTATTTCTATCTTATGGCTCATGGAAAAAATGATTTTAGAATCCAAAATGAAACAACAACCAGAAGAATGCTTGTTCCACCATCTATGCATCTTGTATTCGACCGCTTTTATATTTTTTCTTATAAGCATTTTGAACAAACAAACTTGCCAATGCTACACAGCTTTTGAAAAGGATAGTAGCTACATATTTCTGTATTTTCTGTCCCTTGCATTAAGTTTCATTTATTGCAAAATTACAGCTGAAAGTAGAAGATGGTACATACAAAGAATGAATCCGATCCTTGATTTCCTGAAGACGGCTATCATGCTTTGCAGAAGCTGAACAAGAAGTAGGAACAAAAAAGCTAAATTCCTGATGTAGGTATTTCAAACTGCCAATGATAAAAGGACAACTATTCTAGAGATGGTAATTCTTACCAGTGACCCCACCGATTTGCCTCTCTTTCTTGGTGCCTCTTGTCGATTCTTCCCCAGCATTTTCTTTTTCAAGAATGTCCAATTCAATTTCAGCCTCCTCAAGTTCCTGCAACATGTTCAGGCATATTCAAGTCCATCAACTTTGTTGGAAGGTAAAAAATATCATAACTTGTGATCAGATGCACTTACTATTGCCTCTTCGTCAACTTTTTGGGAGAAAATCTCAAAGTATGAATGAACGGAAGTTAGATTGGCAAGGACCTGTTATCAAATTAAGCGACAAATGATTAGCAGTTAATAAAAACTCCTGAACCTGCCATTTACAAAGAATAAAGAAGGAATTACAGTTTTACCCAGAGCAACCACTCAACTTTGCTATCATTTTTAATAATTTTTTTTCTCACCTGAAGAACTGCTTCACGGGTGCTTCCCAACTCCGAGTCAACTTGTTTTGAAGAATTTGAACAGAGAACTTCTTTCAGGGCCTTACAAAATAGTGTGGTTCAGTAAATTATAAATTGCTAACAAAAATGATGTTATAAATGCAAGAAAACAGATTGCACAACAAAGCTTCAACATAATTTTGCATTCATGCAAGTTTATGTGTGTGTGCAGAAGTGCTCTCAAACTGTTATGCCATAGCTGGAAATGTGAAATGCCTTCAGTGTAGTTCTCGGACAAACCTCTTTAGCCTCATCCCCCTCATTTCTCAATCTACACAAGACTTCACAGGCATTTTTCTCCAAATCACCAACACTGCGTCCTACAAAATAAAGAACAAAATATAAATATATCTATAAATCACCACCTTGATGCGTCCTACAAAATCAAAGAACAAAATATAAATAATCTATATAGTATAATATATATATATATATATATATATATATGATATATATATATAAGTATATATATATATATATATATATCTAGGTCAATTACCAAACCTTGCAACATTTTTTTTTTTTGTTTTGCAATTACAAAGTAACAAAGGACTATACCGATCTAGAAACTTTATTATCGGTCCTCAATATTCTCCAAACTTTCTTCAGGTATCAACAGAAATGTCTTCAGCAGGATTTTTTTTTTTTTTTGGCAATATACAAAGTAACAAAGGACTATACCCGATCTAGAAACTTTTATGGTCTCAATATTTCTCCAAACTTCTTCAGGTATCAAAGAAATGTCTTCAGCAGGAGAGTACAGACAGGCTCCAGCAACAAGTGCTAAAGAGAGCTGTAGTATTGTACCCTCACATGTTGGATGGATAACCTTTCCCAAAACATGAAGAACAGTATCAATAGCAGCAAGAAAAGATTGTAACTGGTGCCGAGCAGCATATGGGATGTAACTTATCAGAAGTGCCATAGCATTAATTCTTAAAGGTAAAAATGGATCAGATGATGCCAGCAAAACCACCCGATCCCATGTACTTGAAACCAGAAGTGAAAGAAAAGGCTCAGGTACTGAATGAACTAAGCTTGGTGAAAGCAAGTTATTGCAAAATGCAGAAGACTGCAGGACTATTCCATTTACATCTTGGCCGACCAGTTTACCTAAATGCTTAAGAGCTATGAAGCGTTGTTCAGGCTCCAAATGACCAAGCAATGTAACAAATAGATCAGTGAGAGGCCCATCACTCTCATGAAGGCTATGGATGCCTCTAACAAATAACATTGACAACCATTTATCAGATTGCAAACGCCAGGCAATTTTTGGTGCACTGCATGAAAATGTTTTTATTGCACCACAAATTGTATCAATGACATTATCCAGCTGAAAACAATAGGGTACTCCAAGTAGACAATCAAGCATTAGAGATGCCACTTCCCAGCAATGGTTTTCTTGGAGCTTCATAATGATTTCAGCTAGACTCTCCAGACCAATCCTACAATGAACTGGAAACTCTTCTGCAGATTTAGATGGGAAAGAACTTTCATTGCCATCCTCTTCAACATTTTGAAATTGGGGTGCCATTGAAGCTAACCATCTTGAGTACATACAACACTGAGCCGATAAAATAGTTAGTTTCTTTGCCAAACGATGATGAAGATTCCAACAAAGCTCAATAGTTGGATTAAGCTTGGTGAGGATATTTTCCAAGCCTTTACAGAAGTCTTCTATTTCCTCTGCAGATAAATGAGGATCTTTTTTCTGTGAGGTTATACCATCAAAATTGTTACTTTCCATCTGCTCATAATTATTTAGTTGAGAAGAATTATGGCAGACATCACTGAGAAACCATGAATGCATCTCCAAGCTATTGTCAGGAAGTGATCCTGTATTGATATCAGAAAAGCAGGACAACTGAAGTGGGAGAACACCAAAGACTCTTAAAGTATGAACCAACAAAGCTTTGCAGCTCTCCAGGGCAGTCTGAAATGCACTGAGGTAGTCATGGAAGGAACTGGTTGGCTCAAAAGAAGCAAAATCAGCCCACAAAGTTAAGGAATCTAGTATTTCTCTTTTACGTTGAAAGGATAAATCCACAAAGACAGAAGCCAGTACAAAAATTGTCAATCCTCTGTTATAGTTGTTCTCTGCAGGCACATCTCCATTTTTATTTTTCTCTCTAATATCAACAAAAAGCTCATCAAAGCACAGGGACTCAAAATTAAGACATGACTCGTCAACAATTTTTTTTTCCTCATCAGATACCTTACACAGTGAATATGATATGAGTGGCTTCAACAAGCGCATTACAGAATCAAGAAATGGGACATCACAGTATGAGGCTCTACACAGACACACCAATACTTGCACCACTCTAGGCATCTCTGGCACCATAGCATCCATGTGTTCAATAACAATGGCTTCGAGAATATAAAGAATGATTGCTTTGGCATTCTTTGCAACATAACCTTTCAAATGATCAGAACCATTTTGAGAAGCAACTTGATTGTTTTGAAGAAATTGCCAAGAGCACAAATCAGAAAACCAACACAAGATATCAGGTATAGTGCTGGAAGACAGAGATCGCAGCTGCAATCCAACAGCCTCCAAAATGTGCTCCCCAAAAGCTTCAAATTGATTTTTCAAATTCGGAAATAACTTATTGAGATCAGGATAGATAGCATGAAAAGATTGATCTCCATCTTGTTGGTCAGAAATTTCGAGACCTTTATGAATTGGAAAATCCTGCTTGACCCCTAATTGTTCAATCTTTACATCTTCTTGTTTATGGTTGACAACATTATCTGCTGCTACAAGCTCATCAGTAAATATGGAGAGTAAACATGTCAGTTGTGACAGATCTGTAGCAAGGAAAAGCCTATCCTTTATATACTGTTTTGCATTTCTAGATACTGCCATCCAACCAAGAAATCTAACAAGGGGATAAGAACTCTGAGAAAATTTAGATATTCTCTGCACCCAGGCTGAAGGTGGAATCAAGCTTCCACACCGAAATCTGTTGTTGATATTGAAAGCAAGGTCTGACCCTTCACCACCACTTGAAGCAATTACCAATCTCTGAAGCATCGTCCAGCGCCGCTGTACACCATGCATCTTTTCTGCATCCAACTGCAAATTGCCTTCTTTGAACTGATAATAAAATGAGGTTAACATTGCACTAAGGTACTCTGCAGATCCTAATATAATATCAATCACTTCTTCAGGAGCACAGTATAACTTTGTTGCTGAGTGCAACAAAAAAACAAGACAATGCATAAGAATTTCATGCATGGAGTGTTGCTCTTTTTTCAACCGCCGAATCAGAAAATTGCAAAGCAGAGCTTGATTTTGTCGAACCAAGGTAATAGCATCAGCAGATTGTACATCGGGAGAAGACAAGTTTATGACTTGCCCATCAATTTCCTCAGGCTGGTAGGGAACACATTCCTCATCTGAGGTGGTTCTCAGAAACTTCCTGTCTAATTCAGCAGCCTCAAGCAGCAAATGAAGAACAACTTTGTCTCTTTTCTTCTCAAGAAGACCTAATGTTTCCAAATCAAAGCTATTCCTTTTAGTAGTATTTTCCAGTTCTGGAACTTCATATATTTTTGTTCTTTTAGTGTCACTATTACTCATGGAGCTTGCTAATTTTGGACTGGATCCGAAAGACATCATGAAAAAGGGATTCACATAGCACTCTGCTGCCAAGAGCAAAGCATCTATTGATGCATCATGACCTTCAACAGCTATATCATTCTGTGAGTGCAAATCAAAAGCCAGGCGTCGAAATTCAGAAGCTCTAAGTTCACAGTCACGATAGTTTATGAGTTGAAAGAAGTCTGCTTGCAAGTTGAAATGTTCGGCAGTAACTCCAGCATCTAATATTAAGCCATTTGGAAACAGGTGACTACATTTCTCCTCGATTACATGTCTTAATTCTGAGTTTGTGTCCTTACAATTGGTATCCAAGGTATGTTCATTGGGACTGCAGGAAACATTTGTCAGTACTATGGTTCGTAGTTCTGTTGGAGCAAAAAGAAGACTGACATCTTCTAATATATCCATCTTCGCACCATTATCAGGAATATCCACTTTCCCATCTGCATCATCTTGGCTATTTGGTTTTGAAGAAGCGCCTGGATAGCGAATAACAGAAGGATGGGACACAGCACTTAAAGCTTCATGCTCAAAATTTTTAGAACTAGGAGATTTGCACAGGTCAATTTCAGGAGGCAGTTGCATGTGAGGCTCCAATATGGAGAGAAGTACACTGTAGAAAAAACGGTAAAAATCTGTTACTAACTCGGTGTAAGATAAAAATGTAAGCAGCATGAGAACCAATACTATGTTTCTAATGCTTCTAATGATCAGTGGGTTAAATTTTTGTTTATGTTTTCTTGCTTCAAGTTGCAAAGTTACATAAACATCCAAACATACGCAAACTATTTTTTACTGTTGTTTTCTGAGGGTTTCTTAGAAAAGTATAGAATTGATGAAGAAAACACAGTCAAGTTATCATAAAGGTATGTAATACCTAGGAGCAACTGATCCACGCCTCCATTCAGATTCTAGGGAAGAAAGGACCGCTGGCTTTTGGACAGCTGTACGGATAACATTTAGAGAAATTAGACAAGTTTGTTCCTGCTTTTCCATAAAAGTGAAAGAAACTTCGCCAAATGCTATGGTGCTCCTCAGCGCATAGATGGCAGGATCAAGAAAAGGCTCTAACATCTCCAGAAGAAAGAGAATTTTGTGCTTAACTTCCTGAAAGTTTAACAATAAAGAAAGGTAAAACAGCCACATCTAATAACAGATAGTTATATAACAACTTGCATCTGGTAATAAAAAATATCAGTAAACATAGGGACATGTGATCATAAATCTAAAACAGCCAACAATTCCAACAAACAGTGGCATTCATGCAATATCTAAATGATACAGCATTTTAAAAAGTACCTTTCCCAAAGATAGCGGCATCTAAATCCCAAGGTACTATAAAACAAAAAAAATGCAAAAACCAAAACATAAGACAGTACCTTATACTTTCCCAATATATCATCCATGTGGCCAGACAAAGCCAGCACAATGTATTTGAGTGCAGCACGTGCACGAGCTGGGGAATGGCGAGCACCCTGATAATCATAGTAGAACAACATTAAGATGTTTAATCACTGTTTAAAGAAAGTTGTTAGCTGAAAATGATGAAACAAATACAGATGCAAGAATGACCAACCCTAACTTATTTCCTCGTCTCTCATTTTTCTTTGTCTCCAAATTCTATTAGCACTAGTTTGTCCTGGAAAATTTTCATTTTTATAGGAATCTTTATGAAAGAGATGTGATGAAATCATTTTCCTTCTTGCTTTATTGGAATCTTTCCCTAGGGTAGGTACGAGGATTTTATCTTCAGATTCTCCAAGTAATCTTTTTTGCAAAATCTTTCTAACATTATGCTACTTTTTAAGCAATAATTAATCGTTCACTTGGCAAATAAAAATTAGAAAACAAGAGTGCTGCGAAAGGAAAAGGCTGGTTTTTGCATGCACTTTTTCAAAATGTGTCAAAGAGAATGCTCATGCATCATAAGCATGGTGAACCTCAGTCTCACTTGTTTTACATTACAAAGAGGATTAGACAGTTTAGGATCATTTTTTTTAAGTATTTTTTTAAGGAACATTGAGTATGTCTAAAATTTAGGACTTCTGTTTTTCAGAAGGGTGGCATGATAGACAAAAAATTAACTCATAAAATTAAAATAGGATAGATGAATGGAGGAAAGTTATATGGTGTGATAGGAAGATATCTAAAAAAGAGACAGGCAAGTTCTACAGAATAGCAGTAAGACTAGCAATCTTGTATGGGAGTGAATGTTGGGTCAAATGCCTTGACAGTGGAAGGTGTAAACAGGAAAAAAGGTACACCTAGAACCACAAAGAGGGAAGTCATCTCAAAAGATTGACTGCTTCTTTCCATTAGTGCAGGCTTAGCCATAAGCAGAGTGGAACAGAAACAAAGAATCCATATAGCCAACCCAAACTAGCTTGGAATTGAAGCTTAGATGTTGTTGCTTCCTTAAACTAGAGAGTTGCTAAAGTTCTTTGATTTTTACAATCCTTTGGAGCCTTTGGATGGAGAATAATACATACATTTTCAACCCCAAAGACTTTTTTCTTATAATTAAGTGTCGGACAAATGGCAATTTTAGCATTACAATGAGTCACACTTGAAGAGCTTTCAAAAGAGAGTCTTTAATAGCTGGTTAGCGTTTAGCCAGATTTGAGGCCATTACATTAATCTATTTTTTATGTGTTTCCTCGTAGTTGTGCATCAACCTTCACAAAATTATATCTTATCCTCCATGTCATAATTTCCTCTCTTTTGTTCTCAACTAAAACTCTTCTTTTAGTTAAAATAAAAAATAATAATTAAAGAAAAAATATTACAGATTTTCAATACTTAAATATCCACAACCAACTTAGAGGTATCTTAATACATCACATGAATTGAGTGAGTTACCAAATGAACTGTTCTGCACAGAAGAAGAGACCTATAAAACTCTACCTCCAAATTCGCTTGTTATGTGTTGTAAAAATGGCAAATCTCGTGCTACTTTTTATCACAGTATAAGGTGGTTTAGGCCTTCTTTCATCTGTCTACTGACCTTTTTAAAGAAAATTTGGAGATGTTTTATTATTCTGAAATGAAGAGGAATTGGAGCTAGAAAAGATGCTAAATTCCTTTGTCATTGCACCTTCTTTGGTGCAATATAGAGTTTTTGGATAAAGAGGAGTGCTCGCATTTTTTCAAGGGCCAAGTTATGCGTTTTAATTATAAAAGGGTATACAAAGTGCACATTTTCAAATCCAAAGGTTCATATTTCCCCGGGTTCAAAAACTGCATTTCAACCAAAAATAAAGCAATCAAAGTTCAGTAACACAATCATGTCTTCTTCCTTCATCTATAGCCAGAATATAATCACTAAATAGAATGCGTTAACACACACCTGAATTGTGCCCAGAAGGTCCTCTAGAAGCTCCACAGTTAGATCAACCTACATCAGAATCAGCCCAAAGTACAGAAATTAATAAATAAATATATACAATGTGGATAGAGATATAGAGAGACATTAAAGCAAATAAAGTAAGAAACTGATAACAAAAGAGCAGACCACTAGTGCACCACCAACCTTTGCAATGACTTGAGCCATCCAAGGTGCTAGCACGCTGGAACATAAATCAATCAGAACACATGCAGCTTTAGCCTGTAAAAGAGGATTATAACAGTAAGTTTCTACATGAGAAAATCAGATTAGTTATGAAAGGGGTTTTTGTAAATTGACAAGGACATCGACAGCAATATACAGGGCTGAGCAGAAAATGGTAAAACCAACAGTTCAGTTTTGTCAGTTTTCAAAAAAAATTCAGTTTGGTTTCAATTTAAATAGAAAAAATTGAAATTTTTTTCAGTTCAGTTCAGTTTTTTTATATAAAACCGAAAAACCTAAAAACCCTAAAAATCAAACTGATTTAACCAAAAAAACTAAGTCAACACCAAACTGAACTGGTTTGGTTTAGTTTGATTTATGAACAGTTCAGTTCAGTTCGGTTCTCCTTGTACAAAAATTTCGATTTATTTGATTTCCTCTGGTTCGGTTCAGTTTGAAATGAGCCGAATGCTCATCCCTAGCTATATTACCCCAACAGTGCTTTTTAATCATTTTTATGCCATTTGAACCATCCAAATCCGATGCAACCATTTCATGTCAAATGGCCAACACCTTTGGAGAGAGGATAAAACAACTTTAAAGACTCAACTCTCAAAGGCCAAATTGTTTACAGATGTAGTCACTTTGATGAAGCAACAAGTTACAGGCTGAGTTGTGTCTTCCATTCTCATGTTTGTGCAAGCGGGAGGTTTTGGAGGTAGGTACACGCTGACACATATTATTCCCACCTTGTAAAAAATAAATACCCATATTACAAATTCTTTCCCCTTCTTTAGGGGAAAAAAAATGCTAGGCATCACAGAGAAAATATAAGATATGCAATGCTAGGACATTAAAACCAGACTGCAAAAAACGAACATGTGATGGCGAATAGGATGATAAATAGCCAGCAAAGGCATGAAGAAGAGGACGGTATGTTGCTGAACAAGACATAGCCACAATCTGCAATTATAACCACCATTGTTAGCAAAATATAGTCTTAAAAGCAGTTTTCAACAAGTATATAGCTCAGGTATATTAAAGGGAAATTTAATAAAAAAAATATATAGAACCAACGTAACTTGAGATAGGGCTTGTTGTACAAAAGGCTGTTTCCATTGAGCAAAGGTATCATCAACATGTTCGCCCAGGATGCTAATAGAAGGACGAAGTGCTGCAGAAAGAGGAAAAAATACACATTAAATACATTCATCAAAGCTATCTGAAGAAATTTGGGTCTGTAATTGTTATGTTTTTGAAAATGCTTAATGTGCCTCCACTAAAAGGAACATTTTGGGTTAACGAGCCTCTTACAGGTGCAAAGCTTGTTGACTTAATTGACACCAATTAGTTTAGAAGAATAAACAGATGGCTATTTGATATAGCATAAGACAAACAAAAGAAAAGGTATATTCAAATTTACATCACTTGTAGAACTTGATTGCACGACTCTGTAACTGTTCATATGATTTAACTACCATCATGCCAACAGTTGGGTACAATGTCATCCACATTGACAGTATGTGTAATTGGTCAACGTTTTTGCCTTTCTAAGAGCGAAAGAAGTTCAATGAAAAGGGACCCAAGGGGTACAAACAAAGCAAATTTTCATGTCGGTCTACTTATGTTTTGATAATTTCATTCCTAAAATGAAAATTTCAATATGAATAGCTATAGAAGTATTACTGATTTGTATCCTATCAACTAGGATTAACAATAAAAAACACAAGGTGAAACAAGTAAATTCAATAAACAGTAACTAATTAAATAAAAAGTCGAGGCAATTCAGAACTCCATTGGTAAGCTAGAAGTTATAGTCTCAATCTCTTGGGAAGTTCAATAAGGCATCAATTTTATATATTATTTAAGAGTGCACATGAAATATTAAATCCTAGAACGAAAATTAGAAGCTAAGTTATCTCATAGTTGATACTTGACCTGGCAGCAATGCTTGCACAAGTGGTAAAGCAGACCAAAATTCAGATGCACTCTCTGCCAATTTGCGACAAAGCAAAGGCTGCAAAAGATAAAAAGATAGAAAGTAAATCGATGGATAAAGATGGCAGTAACAGAATGGACATCAGAGAAAAGGTGCTTAAGGAGTGTAATATCCCTAATACTGTAATCAACCTGAGACGCACAAGCATAAAGAACATGTAAAATGCCTTCTTCCACAGCCCCTATATCCAAGACATTTAAAATGCTAGTGTCCCAATGATCATCAGGTATTTGAAATTCTTCTCCAAGAAAGCTCGAGTAATCAACTAGAGGAACAGGATTTGATAATTCAAATTTCGATGTCTCATCTAAAGCCAATGTAACTTCACTGGCAGCGGTCGATGGTTCTTGCACTGCAACGGTCTCTATAAGCTTGTACAGGATCCTAGAAGCCTAGCACACAGGATCACTCAGCAATTAGAAACATAGAATCCCAAATCGAGAATCGGTTGCTAAAGTAAAAGTTAGGATAGATTGGTCCATTACAATTCTGCAGACAGCACCCAAATCAGATTCTTTATATGCCTTCCTTAACAACACAAAAATTGCATCTGGGCGGAACACCATGGAACTGGAAGTTGATGAAATAAATGGTGGCATGCTTCTTGATCTTCTTGGCTGCACATGAAAAAAGCTGTTTACTTGCACCATTGTCCATTCAAAAATTAGAAAAAAGTAAGTTAAACAAATAAAGTTGCCTAGGTGATGCTTAATACAAGAGTGTCAAAAAGAATAATTACAAGATTATCCAAAAAAGAAAGTTAGAAAAGAGACAAAGCAACACCGTGAATAATCAAAAGTAAACGCTAATCCAATGTTTAATGCTATTGACTCTAATAGAAACATTTCTAGCAGTCAAAAATGCAACCATTCTTGTACATGTAAATCCAAAAAAATAAATAAATAAATAAATATGAGCCAAAGAAGCAATAACATCAAGAGAACTGAAACACTACCTCAAAGTTAGAAGAAACAGTTAAGGAAGACGAAGGCTGACTGTTCTTAGGAACTTCAGAGTCGGAGATACTGGCTGAAGATTTTGCAGCTTCTCTGTAAATATCAACACAATATTAGCTGTCTAATTAAAATAAATTAATATAAGAAGCATGGTACAGGGGATGAAAAGAAGATTTAATTCAAACTTTAAATATCCTACAGTCATAATGAAACTGAAGTCCAATTCTTTAGAGTAATTCTGTATACAGGCACCACCAAAAGGGGAATAAAGCCAAAATGATACTGAATAACCCAGAATTTACTAATCTTCACCAAAAATATTACTAGAAGAATGCAGGATATAAGTCACAGGAACTCAACAATGAAAAGGACGTTTCAGTCTATCACCAAAAAAATAATTAAGGATATTTCTTTTCCGATGCCAAGATTTTCTAGCCAATCAACATAGGACTAATCACAATTCATTTTCTTTCAGTAGTGATAAAAAAAAAAAAACAAAAATCTATACACCTACAAAGACAATATACAAGAAGAAAGACCAACAAAAGCGCAGATGAGCATCAATTTTAAAGATATTGACTTACAGAAAGAAAAAAAAAAAAAAGAAAAGGCTCAAAAAAATGCAACTGTGAAAGTAAAAAAAAACATAGGAACTTCAGACTGCAATGTAACCATTTACAAGGGTAATTTCCATTTCCCAAGAACAGCATTTCAACAGCAATCCTCTAGGAAGGGGGTGTGAATTTATTCCCATGTTTTTAAAGACCTTTTCGACTTAAGTCCGGTAGCTTGCCATAACTCTAGGGAATATGAGTCGTGCCTACACTAACAAACACTTATCAGGGAGACCCCGAAAAAAAAACAGTGAATCTTCCTTATTCAATAGAAGCTATACTCAGAAAATCACAATAAAATAAGACCAATAAGATATTTGCTACGGTAAGGTGCAGCAAAAGGCAAGGGCTTCTGTCTGGTATATAGTTCTTTAAAAGGTGAATGCAAATAACTAATTAGGTTTTATCTCCTGATTTGGTATACTATACATCACACGCATAGCAAGTCTCATTCCCAAGTGTCTTCACTATTGTGAGGTGGCTTGAACCAAATAACTGTTTGTTGGACAGGAGAAATTGTGCATGTCCAAAAACTTTGATGAGATTCATTGAGTTCGGCACCACCTAGACACTTGATCATAGTCAGACTAGCACTGACCACATAAAATGATGAGCCTGGTCTGCCTATTTCTACCCATTGCTAGAGCTCTCTGAGGAGTCCAATGTCGACAATCTCTGTAAATGAGCAGAGAGAATAAAGGAAGATAAAAATATCCTTAAGCCTCTCATTAAGGAATACCTGCCAAAAAGGTCGAATGTCTTCCCATCCTCACCTTCTCCAATGCTTTCCGTTGATCAACAACCAACCTCAGTTCTTTATAGTTCTTCAGTACCCAAAGGAAGGAGTAACCTTCTGTCTGGAGGGGAAAAGTAAAAAGGATGGAGGAATCCGGGGCTTATTGGTTTACGGTTGTGATTTCTTGGTTTACGGTTGTGATTTCTGGGTTTACAGTTGTGGAAAAGGCATTTCTGCTTGCTTTGCAGTTGTGACTTCTTGGTTTTTTCATGTTGTACTTTGGAGGCTTTCATAGGAGTCTCTTTAAGTGCTATGCAGTATGTTTGCAGGACTCTACTTTTTTTTTTAAATTGCTTCGTTTTAATACCTTTTTTTGAGCATTGTTAGGTTAAGAGGATATCTTATATTCCAGACAGTGTTTTTCTTCCTTTCTCCCTCAAAATTTCTTTTCATATAAAAAAATGAGATATTTAGCAACCTTATCTTACCCTTTCTCTCACCAAAATTAAAACCAAGTCACATTTTTTTCTTTTCCAATTAATTTGTTCAAGTGATTTCTATCAGATTTTCCTTCTCTTTCAAAAATTTTCAAACTAACAAGAATCCACATTATGACATCATTTTTAAGCATCCAGGGAGAGAGACAGAATTTTGATTTATGACCAGGAATTACTTTCACAAAGTCTAACAAAGGCATGGAAATATGATGAGACGCAAGAAAATGATTCAATTAAGATCTGCAGAATATTCACACAACTTTTTGTCTGCAGAAATTTTTCTCCTGAATCCATAACCAATCAGAAACCCAATCGAACAGAGTCAGTTATAATTGCACACCCAACTCCTTCAAACCTATACTTGGATTATTTTAAAAAGATGGATGCTAGAGAAGGGATGAGTGAAAGGCAGAAAAAAGAGGATCCTGTAAGTATTCAAATTAGCAATGTAATAACAAAAGCTTAGAAATCACATTCTTGTGTCAAAGTTGTGAAAACCTGGTGCCCAGATCAGCCATAAAGATATTCAGCACCTTAACCAACCTTTCATTCACAAGGTGAAGTATTGGGTACAAAGGACCCACAAGCATAGCAAGAAAACACAAGTTCTGCTCAGCACCATCTGAGAAGCTGCTTAGTTCTGCCTGAACAGTTGAATGGAAGCAAATCAACAATGCAGTACACCTTAAATGAAATTAAAAGTAAAAAGGGAGAAGAAATAAGAAATAGAGGTCCTTAAGTGACATGAGATAACATATCATATACCTCAAGTTGGGGAAGGAAGACTAGCAGTCGGTTTGTCATGTCTTGAAGCAACTATAAACGATGGACATCAGAAGGCAAAGAAGTACGATAACAAAAGAAAAAACATAAGCACTAGAGATGAAAAAAATAAAGTGACGACATAGTCCACCTGAAGATGCATATCATGAGCATCTTGCTTGTGCGATATAATGTATGGCAACAAGTGATTAACAACCGGTTGAAACTCTGGTTCAAGACCAGTCACAGAAACCCCAATCAGCTGCAACACAATAACAATGGAAACAACTTCAGCTCTATCAAAGCAGAGTCCCAATAGAACTATTGTTGGTGTCTCAGGAAAAGAACAGGGAAGTGACCAAAAACTATTAAGATATTATTTTATGCAAAGTCACCAATACATAAAATGATAGAGATCATAGGTTCCAAAATAAAATGGCAGTATCCCTCACTGTGCTTCTTCCTAGCACATCCTTCCGCTTAGCACATAAGTGATGTATATTGCATGCCATAAAACGTCCAATGGCTGACAGCCTAAAACATGAGTATTTGGATTTGCAAAGTAAATTATAATGAACCTCTGATGTGATGCTACATCAAGGCATAAATCTAACTCCAAAGCAGATACCATACTCAAAATTTTCACATACCTGAACGAAAAAAATGGCTATGGGACTTCCACGTAAGCAAGATATTCGCACGTAGCGGCATGGAGTATAGTTCATAGGGTATGTCATATCACGACGAGGTGCTTCACAGCGTGGACGAACTTTTACAAATGTCTCTGGCTGATCACAGAGAAAAGGGGGAAAAGGTCAATGAAATGTAACCAACCATGAAGTTTAATCAGTACAAAGCAGATGCTGTGCAAAACACCATCTCATTAGCATCCATGACTTAATAAAGCCACCATTACCTACCATTGAAAATACAGCAATGACGGTGTCTTATATATAAGTATTTGCATATTTCTTTTTAGAAGATTTCATATAAAAAGTAAGTTACAAAATTCATGGCAGATTACATTTTCTTAATAAGGGAACTTTTATTGAAGAAATAAATATTATTATTACCATATATTTCCAATTCCAATCATGATTTATTAGCAATGACCAGGATCACGATTGCATAAAACAGAGGAGATTATTCATCAATTGCAGCCACTACAAACTTTTTTTAATTTTGGACTATCATATTGCATCCAATTCTCATATTTGCGATACTTGCATAAAGTGATACAATTTTAATGCTTCCAATTAAGTTTAACTCTCTTTTTCAAACTGAAGGAGAAATAGTGTTTGGATAGTCCATTGCAAGTAGAATATCTCTAGCATTAGATTTGAAACATTAGCTTTGTTTTAAATTTGAGTCTTATCAGAATCTCACAACTCGATTCAATTTTCATCCTAAACGATTCACATCTTATAGGATCGGAATTGAACATGAATCTTACGATTCATGCGATTCGAATCTTACAATTCGAGTTAATTATCATGCCCAACGATCCTCTTAACCAACAAAACAAGTGGAAAAAATCAATTTAGAGGAAAAAGAGCAAGAAAATATAGTTATGGTAGAAGATGAAGATGATGAAGGGCTTGAATTTGGAAGATAATGAATGAATATGGATTTCGATAGGAAATTCAATGGCTTGACAGTTTTACTTCATTTTTATTTTAAAATTTTAACTTCATAGTTTGATATTTTGAACTTGACAACTACATAAGTCATTAGGTTCTCTTTCACCTTGTGTTTAGTACATGATTCGGATTGAAATTATATAAATACATTATTTATTATTAAATTTTTAGTATCTTTTGATAAAATTAGTAGAAATATATCCATAAATATATATGTATTTATTTTTAATCAATTTTGAAAAGTTATACTGAATCTTATGATTCAACCGATTCTCGATTCTTGATTCTAAAAATGAAAAATTTGATTCTCAATTCGATTCTTAATTTGAAAACTATATTTGACTAACAACAAAGTTCTTTCAAGTTTACCTAATATAGTGTGTCTTATATATTTAGAATTAGCTAATCATAGAAGTTATCATAATATGTGTGTGTGTGTGTGTGTGTCTGTGAAAAATATTAATGCAATTAATGATATTATGAGAGAGCAGTCCGCTACTGTTCTCATTTAAAAAAGTTAAAAAAAAAAAAAAAAGGAACTAAACCGCATTCCAACATCTACTAGGATCCGCGAATTCGACAACCATCGAATCTACCGATTCATCGCGATTCGAATCTTACCCAATTTCCGAGTTAATTAATCCACATGCCCAACCGACTCCTCTTAACCCAACAAACACACAGTGGGAAAAAAATCAAATTTCAGCCAGGAAAAAAAGAAGCGCCACAGACAAATATCACCGTTCACCTGGTCTAGATCAGATAACAGATTGATGAAGGGCCTTGCCAATTCTGCCGAAGATACATGAATGCAATACTGGATTTCGATACGGGAACATTCCAACTCGGCTCTGACAGTTTTACTTCCATTTTATTTTACAACCCATTTTCAACTTCATAGTTTGATATTCCTTGGACACTTGACCAACCACCTACATGTCCATTAGGTTCTCTTTCACCTCTGTGTTTAGTACATGCATTCGGATCCTGAAATTCATACTAAAATACATTACTTTATTATTAAATTTCTTTAGTCAATCTTTTGATAACCAATTAAAGTCAAGAAATAACTCATCCATAAATTACTACTGCTATTCTTTCTCTTAATCAAACCTTTTTTGGAAAAAGTTATACACACTCCGAATCTTTATGCTTTCAAACCCGATCCTCTCGATCCTCTTGACCTTCTAAACAATGAAACAATTTGGCATCTCTCAATCCTCGATCCTCCTCTTAATTTCGAAACTACTATTCTTGCACAGCTAACCAACCAACAGTTTTCTTTCAGTTCTTCACTACATATAACGCTGTGTCCCTTACTATATTTAGCAAACTTAGCTAATCATCAGAAAGTTATCATAATACTGTGTCGTGTGTGTGTGTTCTTTTCTGCTGAAAAATATTCAATGCAACTTATGACTCATCTCCACATGCAGAGAGCAGTCCGCCTACTCGTCTCTCCATTCCTCAAAAAACCGTTAAAAAAAAAAAAACAAACGGAACTAGACTATTGAAAGAGCTACTCAATAAGCAGCTGCCTCCGGTTGTTACTCTAATAGTAAGGCTGTCAAACAGCAGTGATTCCAAAGTTTATTTCTGCCAACAACTCCTTCAACGCCAAAAATGGCAGGCTTAAATGCCATTCACTTTCTCTTTCTCTTCCTAAACCTCATGGTCGCAAAGGCCATCACCAACCACATCTCCCAAGCTGAAGGGTCACCAGAAAAGAGCACTAAAAATTCCTTCATTCCACACCAGCAGTAAATTTTAGTAATCTTCCTTCAATCATCGCAGTTCTGCTTTCCCACTTGGTTCAGCTTAAAAAAAAAAAAAAAAGGAACTAGATATTGAAGAGGTACTAATAGCAGCTGCTCGGTTGTTACTTAATAGTAAAGGCTGTAAAAGCAGTGATTCAAAGTTTATTCTGCAACACTCCTTAAGAAAAATGGCAGCTTAAATGCCATTCACTTTCTTTCTTCTAAACTCCATGGTCAAAGGCATCACCCAACATCTCCCAAGCTGAAGGGTACAAGAAAGAGACTAAAATTCTTATTCCAACCAGCAGTAATTTAGTAATCTTCTTCAATATGCAGTTCTGTTTCCAATTGGTTCAGCACAATTATAGACACTCGCTTTGTAAATTTGAGTGCAAACTTCAAAAATTAATCATCTAGCAGCAAACTCTTCTGGTACTAAACTGTTTTTGCTATTGTACAGACCAATTTTGACAGTTTACAATTCACAATCACAAAACGAAAAATTAAAATGAATTGGAACTTCAATTTTAAAGACCAATAACTAACCTTAAAACGCAAACCAACAGATATTTCCCACTCAAGTACTGACTTGTTATATATCCGTATATGCGACAGCAAGCAAGGTTCCTGCAATCAAGAAAATCATAGCACAGAACTTCATTCACACTTAAAACTTCTACGTGAGAATTTCTCCTTTCCTTCTACTAATTATTAGAATTTCCTTTGAATCCATATAAAGTTTCGACTCCAGCAAATTCAAAGCATAAAATGAATAGTATTAATAACAGATAAATATATGAAATACATACGTCGAGTTCAAGGAGGATCCACTCCTTGGTGTTGGTGCCAGTGGACCAGTGAGAGCGGAGGTCGTTGTCGAGGACATGAGAGGCTTTCTGAGATGGAGATTCTCTTGACATTCCTTTCACTTTGTAGCTTAGTGGTTTCACTCTTGGCTCCAACTCTATCTCCATCTTTCTATACACTGTTAGGGTTCAAATTGCAGAAAAAACTTTGTCTATCGCCTGAAACTAAAATTACAGGAGAAGGAGAAGAGATTGAAGCGCTTGTTTCTGATCAAAATGGCTGCAACTCTCCCTTTTAATTTAATCGGGCTAAATAAAGCGCTCGTTTCTGATCAAAATGGCTGGAACTCTCTCTTTTAAGTTTATCGGGCTAAATAACAGTGACGTCTCAAGTGGGCTTAGGCCCAGTCCACTAACCCCACGTGCTGCACGTGACATAGACAGTATCATTCCTTTCCCTCTTCCTCTGCCTTAGCCTGCGAACTGTAATTTTGCACTCTCAGACTCGAGCTCTTCTACCATCAAAGTAAAGGAAGGTACTTTGTTCTTTTTGTCTCAATCTTTTTGTGGTTTTTGTGGTATTGAAATTTTCATTTGATGATTCAATTTTATAATTCATAATGTAGATCTTTTTGATTTTCAGTTTCTTAAATAACTCAGATGCCAAAACCCTACACCCTTTTTGCTTGGAAGAAGAAACGAAATAAAAGGATTTCCTATTTTCTTTTTTTGGTTTTTGATGCTTTTGAACGTGTGTATTAGGAAAATGGCAACCCTTAGAAATCTGAAAATCAAGACTAGTACTTGCAAACGCATTGTGAAGGAGTTACATTCCTATGAGAAAGAGGTTGAGAGAGAAGCAGCTAAAACAGCTGACATGAAGGAGAAAGGAGCTGACCCTTACGACCTTAAGCAACAGGTATGCCCAATCCGGGAGCCAACTTAGGCATGATAATTATCTTTGAAATTTTATGTTAGGAATTTTTATACTTGTTCAAAAATAGTGTTTTGAACTCACTCTTGCTGCTGTTCTTTTGTTGCTAAACCTCTGTATCTTTCCCGTCCGTAGCTATTTTGAAAAATATTATGGAAGAACTTTGAAACTGTGTAGGGAAGACAAAAGTGAAAATGGAAATCAGATTACAAAGAAGAAAAAAAAACACTTGGATGAAGTGTAGAACATTTGGATTGGCCGCACACACATATGAATATGTGAATCATCCAGGAAGAAATTTTAGAAAAATTAGGACCACAGGGTAGGCTGCTAGGGGACAGAGATGACTTATTTGGATAATTCAGTCCTTCAAATATGATGTTATGATGACATAAATACATCATGCCTAATTTTACTGTTGTCTATCCATAGAACTTGAGCTCAAGATTTCATCACACTATAGTGACCATGTAACATGGAAGGCAATTGTGCAGAGATTTGCTGCTCCTAATATGAGTTCAAATTTTGGGTTATCTCACAGTCACAGGAATTCCAACCATAAACAATGTTTTGACTTGATTTGTGCTTCTCAAAGTGCGATTCATTAATTTCCGCAGCTTTGCTAACCAGTATATTAATGTACTCTTTTTATTATAAATTAAAAATTAAAGTGATAGAACAGTTTTATTTTAAAATATGTGAATCTCTATTCAAATGTTAGCCGCTTTTTCTTGGTTGATGCAGGAAAATGTGCTGGCTGAGTCAAGGATGATGATTCCTGATTGTCACAAACGCCTTGAAGCTGCATTAGCTGACCTGAAGGGAACTTTGGTATGATGCCATATATGACTAGTAATTCTGTTGATTTTCAACACGTATGAGTTGTCACACAAGGAAATTCTGAAATTTTTTTGCCATTTTGGACTCTACATAAGGGTTTATGACATCTAGTAACACAGAACAATGAGTTCTAATGCAAGAGTTGATTTGAGATATGAGAAAAATGAAATTTCTTTTCATTTTTTATTATAGTTTTATGCATGTGAGCCACCCTACTTTGTAGGTAGTAGCTGGGGTGTGTGATTGCTGCTCACGTAACTGGTCAGACTCTTGGTCAAGTAATATTTGGCTAGCAGATAAATCTTCCAATTTCTTCACTGAATCACTGCAGTTCTAAGGGTTCCATTCTGTTATTTTCATATAAATGATGAGAGTAGCAAGTCTTAACACCAGCAAGGTGAGAAAGATGGTTTTTATAGGACTTAGATTAGTTTAGAACTAAGGGATTATTGAGTTTCCTGTAACTTGAGTAGCATTCTGAACGAGATACAACCCCAGATGATTCAAGGAGGATTAGCTCCTCCTTACCTGAGACTGGCCATTTTGATTTTTTTTTTTTTTTTTTTTCCTTCTTTTTACCCTTGGACAGTTATATGCCATTGGGTAGAACACGAGACTGGATATTGTGGCTTTTTGCATATGGAGCTCTTCTTGTTAATTGATTAGCCATTTATGGTCACAAAAAATTCAAAAAAAAAAAAGCAGCAGCAATGTTGCTTTCTTCTGTTACTTTATTTGTTTGCTATGTAATTCTTTAATCCGTATGTTTTTGCAAACTCATAATATCACGGTAATTTTCAGGCTGAGTTGGAGGAGTCTGATCACAAGGACGGACCAGAAATTGAGGATGCTCGTAACACTATAACAGAGCTTGAGCAACTATTTCACGCAACATATGCTCAGTGAGTGTCAACAATCTCATTGTAAAGAGTTTGACAATGATATGTATTTTGTATCATTTGCTTTTGCATTGCCGTGAGCCTGTGATGGGTTCTGGTAATTTGCTATGTGCAAACATTACCTCCAGCTGAATGTCACATCAATTTTTCTTTCACCATTATTGCATCAATTTTTATTGCTTGGGCTTAATTTGAGATTGAGTTTAATTTCATAATTGCGTTTTGCTTTTTATAACAAAACTTAAATTAGGAAGATCATGATTGATCATGATTTGAAAAAGGCAAAAGTGCCTCAGAATTGTAAGAGGTGCAGAAACAAATTCTAATTTCTATTTTCGTTTCTTTTTTTTTTTTTTTTTTTTTGAGGTTGGCAGAAACCCAAATTCTAATTTATTTTTCGTTTCTTTTTTTTTTTTTTTTTTTTTTACGGTACACCAATGAAAGGCGATAATTGATAGGTAGGTCTTCTATTTTTTTTTTTTTTTTTTTTTTTAGCGGTCACAATGAAAGCGGAAATGATAGGTAGGTCTTCTACCATGTTGATCTTAAATCAAATTTTATCTTTAACACGAAATAGTGCAAGTCATATTGATTGGATTGTCATTTGTATTATAAGCCATTTTCTTTATTTATAGTGAGATGAATGTGGCTTTATCCACACTGGTTTATGTATTCACTGTTCTGACAGTCTAAGCCAAATGACATTTTGTCAAACATTCTAGAAAAAATACAATCAACTGGTGATTCCACGTAGGATGTCTTATATGAAATGGTAAATCAATAGTACATAAACAAATATGTACACGTGTTTCTTAATTTTTGTAATTTTTGTTTCTCTTGTACGGTTACTTGTTTTCAATTTCAAAAACTGTATTTATATCTTTTCAAAAAAAAACAAAAAAAAAAAAAAAACTGTATTTATATATTTAAGATCGTACCTTATGTTTTGGAAAGAGTTCTCTGTTGGTAGATCGCCCAAAAACGAATTCTAGCGCTCTATAGAGCCCGCTCTCCCAAAGGAAAAAGCAATTCAAGGCAAAGTGCGAAACGTCTTGGTAACCAAGTCTTCTAAAACTGGAGGTTTTCTCATTAGGGCATCAATTTCATGTAAAATCACCCTTCTTCTTCCCTTACGGAGCGCTAACTATCAACTATCGAGATGGGGGACAATCCAGTCTAACGAAGTTTACGACTTTATCTTATTTTTAGAGCTTCCCAATATCGGTCTATCTAGTTGAAGTGGGGCACTGGGCTTTCCTTTGCCCAAATCTTTGTCTTTCTAAGTCGAGTGATGGTGGCAGATGCAAGTCCTTCCGAGGTGACCAATGGATCTTTTCATCAATACATTAGCGCAGTTTTAGGAAAATATACTTGTGCCCTGGAACGGAACTCTCGCTGGCTAGCTTTCCTATGTATTAACAAGCTTATTGAAGGGAAGTTCCCCGCTCTCGATTAATAAAGTAAGCGGAATATCCTACAGGGAGCGGACCTTATACAGAAACCAACTTCTTTCTTGATCGGAATTCGATGTGCAATTGGTTGCCCGGTAATTATCTTTTAAAGTATGCTATACAATTATTTAGCTATCATTGGTCATTCTATTGACTGATCTTGATCATTTTTAGATAGACTCAATCTATTATATAATAAAAGTCACATTAATAACTTATTTTCCAATAACTCCTAAACTAATGCAATTAGGTTTCCTATTTCTTTAATCAAAATAGGAAATACGCTTAAAAAAAGAAAAAAAGAAAAAAAGCAAATAGCAAATTGTTGATGTCTCGGGCGTTTTTTGTCTGTTCAGCTCTGAAAAAATGCGGACGTCTGTGTGGAAACGGCAGGTCATCATTTTAAAAGTCAGTCTCACAAAACGACTTTTTGTCAAACAAAAAAGTTGAACGTCAATCCTATTTGTTAAATGGTTTTGTTAAATTTCTTTTTTAAAATATCTACGGTCGCTTTTTAAACGGTCATCTGCATGGATTAAACAATAATAGATATCATCTTTCCAAATCTTTCTTTGAGACCAGCATCAGTTTCGCATCGAACATGATGCATTCGCGGCAAAGGTTTCTGAAGATTAAGCCACCAAAAGTATAAATGAAACTAGTATAATCAGAAACAGGAAGGCTATAAATTAAATCTGGGTAAACATAGGTGTCGTGTGAGCTGTAGTACTAACACCGTACACCTTACCTTACCCAGTTAGCAATTTCTGAAAGAGAAGGGTAAAAACAAAGAGAATCCTGTACACAAATGCTAATGTTACAGCAATTAAAAAGTAAAGCCAAGCCATTTTTTTTCATGAAATTTATCAACCTAATTTTCTTCTTTCTTTTCATAGAGAATGGCGAGACCCTCTTCTAAGCCTCCTACGGAATGGTCTGCATGCCACAATACTAAGATCAACTGCTGCTGCAAGTGCCATAAATATTGCAGCATCCTCCACACACGTTACATGTCGCATTGCTAATTGAACTAATGGCTTGCTATGCTTTCCTTCCCCTTGCACTCTACAGCTCATGACAAAACCACCGGTTGGACCCAATCCTGAAAAGTCTCCACTACTTTGTGGACTTGGTATTGGGGTTGCTGCTGTTCGCATTTGCCTGTCAGTGTCGATGAAAAACTCCCCACCCTTTTCAGCACTCATGAAGATTTCCGACATGAGAACCTCACCCCCCTCTTGGCTTTCTGACAGAAGGTGAAATCTGCAGCAAATGGAATCTCTGATGCCACGCTCACGCCATGCCTCAAGCTTTCCCCATGGCTGCCAACTCTCAGGCCTGCAAACATCAGGGCGAACAATCAACCAAGCTCCTGGGTTGGACTTGGCAACCCAATCACAACCTGTTGATGGCACAAAGGGAGTTGTTATGAAGGCTGCTGCAACAGCCGAGCCAGAGAGATCGTGTATCTTCACCTTCCATCCCTTTCGTTCTCTTCGTTCTGTTTCCAGGTCCATACCCTCCACTGCAGTTGACCAATAGTTGCTCAATGGATCCACCTGGGATACCCTGTAAGTTCATAACCATCAAATTTTCATTAAAAATTATCAAACAACTTCAAGATGGCAAGTGAAACAAGCATCCCATCAGTGCTACTACCAATGAACTTGTTACTAAGAGAATACTAAACTAATGTGCATGACAAGCTGCTTTTACTGAGGAGATAGCTTCATGCAAATCGCAAGGAGTATAGCAGATGGCTGCTTTTTTTTTTTTTTTTTTTTTTTTTGCCTTTTTTTTTTTTTTTTTTTTTGGCCTTTGCCTGAATTGTGTGTGCACAAAGAAAGTTGTATCAACCAAAGCAATTCAGATAGAGATTAAGCTCCCTGAATCTATATAGCTACAGCCAATTGAAATCAAAGAAATCTAACAAAATTTAAAGCATACTGGATAAACACTATACGTAATTTATAAAGGACCACATAAATCACAACACCTGTCTCGACTAAACTTGCAACTGAAGATGGGCTGCCTAATGGAGCCCTGAAGCTGAACTATCTGAGGGCTAGATGTGGTCACGTCTTCAAACTGAAAAACATATCTTGGGTCAGGATCCAGTTTTACTCTCAAATGTAGCTCAGCTCCTGGTTTCCTGCTCTCTTGCTTTTTTTTGCCAATACGAATCCATCCATTAAAAAGAATTGCTGGCTTCCCTTCGCCCCATTCAGGACCAACTTCCAGCTTAAATGTTCCTATCTGCTGTCTTTTGATGCCAACACCACAATGGGAACCCTTCCTCCCTGTGAAAACAACAATCTCAAGACAAGCATGATGAGTATAGAAACAGCCAGGCTCCAATAATGCTTTCAGATCTGATTCTTCAAGATAAAAGCTTGAGGCGATGCTGTGAATATCAGGCGTCACTTCAGATGAGGATAGTAAAGGTACTGATGTTGTTTGCACAGGGAAACCTCGAAGCCGTATCTCACATAAGCATGGAGAAGAGAATGTGTGAATTCCTGATTTTGCAGAATTTAGAGCTGTTCCAGGAATCCTCAGCCCAAGGGATCCTATTGACAACCTGATAAAAGCCTGAGGATCCATTCTGGTCACAAATTATTCCCCATTAGATGAAAAGCCCTATGTTTCGCCAGCTTAAGAACCCTGTCACAAGTAAGCAACAATTAGATTTTTGTAGAAGAAATAAAATGCTGCAATCTCATTCTCAACCTAATTGGATGTTAACATTTATTGAGAATACTTCAACACAATTAGAGCAATGTTTTGCTTTATGTACAATTAAGCATACACAGGAACGTCATTCTTTTTCCGGGTTTCAAACTATTCTGGTTTGACATATAACCCTAATTCGAATAGATGAGTGTTCGGAATCTGAGAAAAGGAAAGAAACAGGAGAAGATTGAGAAGAAGAGAGAAACAGAAAATTAGACTTTTATTGATTACGTGGTTTGTTTCAGACCATTCTGTTTTTCTTATTCTCGAGTCCATTCTGGTCTCAGCCCATTCTCGCCAATTGCACTTTCTTTTCCTGGTTAGATGTGAGGTAATCTCATGTTATGGCCATACTGTCTTAACTCTTTAAGATTGAACAAATTCTTCTCCGGCCAGAATCCAGATACAAGAAAGCACAATAGCTTTATTGATCATACATTACCACCTTCAACCTTTAACTTATTTCCAATAAGAGAGAGAAAATGTTCAAAGAAATTATCAAAGCTATCCTATTTCTGAAGATATTGCCTCCATTTTCTTTGATAACCTTCTTCCCATTTTCCTCTCTCACTATTTAAGGGGAAAACAATTTCTTCAGTAACAGTCATAAATTGATTAAAAGAACAAGCTTCCTGACTTCAATGAAGAATAGACAGTCAGTTATCCATGATATTTTTTACTTGTTCCATAGAAAGTTGTGACGGCAGAAAAATCCTATTTTGAATTCAAGATCTCCAAAAATGGATTATATACACCAACTAGCAATCTCAGTTGGTTCCAGGAAATCCAATACTGCAGGCCTGTTATTCTTAAGGGTATCTTCATGAACTCTTAACTAAGCATAATTGAAGTTCTAAAGCAGGTGCTTCTCATACTGCTCACTCAACGCAAATTTAAATTATAAGACAATTGGTGGTGGATCTTCAAAAATTTGAAAATTAACCTCAACCATATCCAGTTAGGCTAAATTGAGTGCAGACAGTATTGATTTCACAGTTTCCTTTGTACCACCAACAAAAAAGGGAGAAAACAAAATCATGTTAAATTAACTTAAAATATGAAACCCACAAAAAACTTGAGAAATAAATCAGAGTAAAAAGTGGATAACCTCACCAACATATTCTCAACGAAGACTAATTAATTTCTCACCAACAATACCACAAGAAACCATCATACTTAATTAGTTAAACTCATGCAAACACTACACATAATCATAAAAATGAAAACTTCAGAATCAAGTAAAACTATAGAAAGCACAAAATACAAATAGGAATAAGTATTTATTATTCATGTATTTATAATTGCATAAGCAAAAAACAAGGAAAGAAACGATACTCACCTGAACATCTTGCTTGGAAGAGCTATAATTAAGCTGAGAATCTGCAGATGGAGACAGAATCAGCAGGAAAACAAACACATCATTAAGGATAATAATCCAAGAAACCCCCTTCGCTTTCAAAATCACAGGAAATTGTAACAAAGCTCTTCTCTTTCCCTCTCTATAACCCCTATTTGTTTCTTCCTTTCTCTCTCTACAAAACCCAATAAGAATGTGACTTATTCTTGCTACTACAAATCAGTGGGGATGAAACAAACAATAAGGCAATCTGGGATTTCACGGAGACTATGCACAGATCACGAGGAAACAGACCACATAGACTCTATTCCTTTCTTTCTTTCTCTATAAAATCAATATATATAGATATATATATATTTCTTTTATGTATATATATATCTATATATTTATCCAATCCAAAGAGAAAAGGCCAAGCAGCACAAAAGAAAGAAAAAAAAAAAGAAAAATGTTAACTTTCTTTTCCTTTTTGTACTGTTTTTGTATGCTGCAGCATTACTTGTCACGAAATAGACGGAGAAAGAAAAGGGGATGACAATGTGTTTCAATATAATTCATTATTAAATATAGTAAAGAAAAAAAGATTGGATTTTTAAGTTCGAATGATAGAAAGTCTATTTTTTTTCATAAATGGATATTATAATATAAATTTTATTTATAGAAAAGATAAAAAAGAAAAGCAAGGAGGAGAGAGAAAGTAGTGAAGACAGCTGGAGGCAACGGTGGTTGGTTTATAGAAATAGATGGCATCGCTTTCAGACACACATATGCCTGACTTCACCCTCTATAACTGTCTTTCTATTTATTTTCTCAATAAAAGATTTTTTTTATTCCTTTTAAATATAAAATACATATATTTTCACAATGAATTTTGATAAATATATTTTATAAAATACATATATTCCCTATGTAATGAATTTGATATTCGTAATAAGCATTTCAAAATGAAATTTCATTTTGCTAATGATTTTCCACCAATAAACAAAATTTGACCAACTCGCCTTATATTTTGGCTAGTTTTATAAGTGAATCCAATTGAATTAAAAAATTGAATAATTAGATTAAACCGAGCTGAATTTAAAAACTATGCTAATTATATAAAAAGTATAAAAATTATGATGCATTATTTATTTTAGATGCATTTTAAAATGATTAAGCAACAAGGTGAGAGAGAGGGGAAGTGTTAAACATGAAGTAAAGTTTTAATTATAATTAATTATGTTAATTAGTCATATAACAACCTTGTTCTATCAAATTTTTTACTCAAAACACGCAAATGACACAAAAAAAAAAAAGAATTATAAAAAGTTTTAGAAAAATTTTAAGATTCCACAATCCTAAGTTGAAAGCTTGGTATTAAATTTAAAATATTTAAGGATAACATTAAAGAAATTGCAGTGCCAAAAAGCAAAAGGATGAAAAGAATCCACTTTCCTATTTTTTTTTTTTAGGGAAAAAATAAAAATAAAAGAATGTTGTCTTTTAGGGGAAAAATAAAACGGTGCTAAGCGTGGGATGAAAAAAAAAAAGCGTGGGATGAAAAAAAAAAAAAAGAAAAGAAAAGAAAAAAAAGCTTACTCTGTAATTGAAAATAAATAAATAAAAGTGTCCACATGCACAAGCATGTCAGTCCTTAAAAGCCAATTGAATTGATGTGTTTTCATGATCCAATGTCTCCAAGAAAATGACTCTGGCGGCTTACCAAAATATTTTTTGTGAAAAAATTGCACAATTTATTATTTTTCTTTCTGAGATTTATCGATTTATATAGCTAATAACAACAAAAACTGAAAAGTAAAAACTATTAACGGATTATATTTATATTATCAGTTAAATCAAGTCAACAAATTGTAAACTGCTAATGTGCCTATAAACTGTAGTTGAATTGACAAATCAGTTTCCGTATGTGGAAAAATTTTCGAATTTGATTTCTATTAAATACATTTACAGAGGAAGATGAGTAGTTATAATTGTAACTAAATCCGAACCGAATTATACGGTCCCCAGTAATAATATCATAAAACCTACTTATTCATGTAAAATTATTAAAAATTTACTCCGTATTAAAAATTAGATCATAAAACCTAAAATATTTTATTACTCCCATAGAAGGTGAACAAAAAAATCAGAGAATTAATTTAATTTTAACAAATGAAACCAATTTAATAATATAGATTGTAATAAAAAGGGAAAACCTTAGGAATAATTTTAAAAATGGAAAAAATCAACAACAATTTTTTATTATACATAATATGGCAATTGATGCTAATTTAGCTAGCCATGACTAAATTATAACATTTGAATTTGAATATATATCAGCGTCAAGTGAGTCAACGATACTATAATAGACTGAATACACACAGGTACAGCAAATCGTTATGCCGTGTACGATAGTAATAAAAAATTTTTTTCTATTTTAAATATTTTTTTAAAATTTAACTTAGAATATTCCCCATCGTTGTACCTTGTAAGGTGGAAAAAGAAGCAACAATTTCATTTATAAAATTAAATTAAATTGAATTGAATTTCATTATCTAAAAATAAAAATATTTCATTGTCTTTATTTTTTTTAATATTAATATATTTAAGATAAGCTATTTTTTTTTAGAGGGTTTTAACTCATTTTCAACAAATTATTTTCTTTTCCCATTTGAAGCCACATCCAATAAACTACATCCTTTTAGAGGTTTATTGGATTTTTTTTGGTTTTCATTTGTTTCGTGCTCATAATGAAATTTTTTTCTTCTCTTTAGTCTTTATATAGATTGTTTTAAAAAATAAAAAATTATGGTAGTTTTTGATACTTTGAGAGATCAATGGATTGCAGGATTTGGTGATTGCAGGATTTGGTGAAATTCCATAAATTATTAATGTAATTTGGTAAGTTCAATTTCTTTATTCATGAAATTAAAATCTCAAAATGCGGTCACTCATGGTGTATTTATACATAGAGAACTCCATTAATTAAAAAGATATGATACAAAATTTTTCATGGAAAATAAGCCGTTACAATTTCATTTTATTATTTTATATCTGAGAGATTATTTATTGTAAAAATATTGTATGTTTATTAATTGATGATTGTCTCTTTTCATTAAAAAATAAAATAGAAAATAATACACAAAATCAATTTGTAATGGTTAATATAATTAATATTAAAAATAAAAATAATATAAATTACTTTAAAAATAAAATTTTAAAAAATTAGCATTAATACGTGGTTAATATAATTTTTTGAATAATAATTTTCATATTCTTTAAATATTGAATAATCATATATGCAATTTAAAAAAGTGATAGATTCAATATCCAAAAGAAATCATTTCAATCACTTAAGTCCAAAAAAGATACATACTCTCAAATTCTAGACGAGTGAACCATATCCCTTAATTCAAAGTCCACCTATGTTCATAGACTCAATTTTTGGCTCTCATTGTCACACACATGGCATCTTGTTGGGGACTTGAGATTCGCATTTGTTTGCTTACCTACTAATGTGTAAAATATAAATATTTCTCAAAAAATAATACAAACAAAACAAAACTTAATACATAAAAGTTTGGACTTTAATATTTTCAAATGAAATGAGACAAAGAGGCAGTGGTTAGAGTTTCATCTTTAAACTTGCCCCTACACATGGCTAAATTTAAGATGTTTCGATCATAAGAGTTCATTAATTTAGTGATTCTATTAGTCTCCCAATGAATAAAAAAAATTTTATTTTTTAATGGGTTTATAATATAATTTATAATTATATATTTTAAACGTTTGTAATTATTAAGTCTACATAAAACGTAGCACTACAAAATCAAAATATTCAAATAGAAAATAAAAAATCCATCTTTATAATATAATATGTATTTTTATTTTAGAATCAAACAATAAAAGGAATACATGCATAAGCTAAAGACAACCAGTTTTTCATTACTTTTCTCAAAAAAGGGGAAAAAAAGGTTGTCCAAATTGATAGAAAAGGAATGAAAATAATGTGTTATTATTTGACAAATAAATAATTATCTTCAAATCATTTGCGTTGATGCTTAAGCCAAAAAATTAACTCACAATCGATTCAACTAATTTATATTTTAAATTAAGTTCCATTTTTATTTTTTATTTTTATCTAAAAAGTTATTAGCATGATAATTTATTTTAAATTTATATTTAATGTTATTTATTTTTTCATTTTCTAGTTGATTGGTTCACTGACAAGTCTATTCATGGAAACACAAATAAAAACTCGTTCATAAAGAAAAGTAAACAGCCCACAATTTTTTTTTTTTTTTTTTTTTAAAGAAAAAAGTAAACAGCCCAACATTTTTTTTTTTTTTTTTTTTTTTATCATTGGAATAATTATGCTATCATTTCTAAAACAGTAGTATATCCATCTGCTGTAGTGGGCCGTGGCCTGTGGACCTTGGATTACCGATTTACAATACATTGTGGATTGATTGCCAACATTTTCAAGACCAGTCAAGCTATTTGAAGCTACAACGATAAATTTAATTAATGACTAAAATGGAAAAAATCAATTCATTCTTAAATAAATTGCATTATTTCTACAAAGAAAAAATGTTTATAAGATGTGATTGCCCTTAAGTTGAAGGGATTAGAACCCTCCAAAATCAGGCAGCTCGAGAGATAGAACAAAAAAAAAAAAAAAAAAGAAAAAAAAAAAAAGAAAAGGAAAAGACGCAATCTCCTTTCTAATGAGGTTTTTTTAACTGTAGTTCCTCTTGTTTCAAATACTAGACCAACTCATTCATGCATTCAAAAAAAAAAAAAAAAAAAAGAAAAGAAAAGACCAACTCCTTTCTCTGAGGTTTTTTTTAACTGTAGTTCCTTTGTTTCAAATATAGACCAACTCATTCATCATTCATTACACACACAATAAACCAAATAAAGCAGCAAATATCATACATGCAAACGGTTAGAGTTACAGTAACTTCTAGATATAGATTCATTAGGAGAAACAGAAAACAATCTTTGATAAATGAAACCAGTTACTGGAGAAAGCTTGTGCGTGAATAATAATAGAGATTCAAATGAGTAGGAATCACTTCCATCTTTTGAAGAATTTGCCCTTGTGCTTTCCGAACATCCCGTGCTTACCAAACTTCCCATGCTTAAATTTTCCATGCTTGAACTTCCCATGACCAAATCCATGACCGAATCCGTGCCCATATCCATGTCCATGTGACAGTTGGTGAGCACCATAAGCAGCAGCTGCAGCGGCTGCCCCCCCAGCTAACAAAGCTCCCATACCAGGTCCATGCCCTGTAATCATTTCTAGTCAGCCAAAAGCATTATGCATGGAATATACTAGCATATATATGATAAGGCTAAAAAGCATCGTGGCTATTCCAAGTTTTTGAGGAATAAAAACATTTTTTATATGCAAGCAACATCTTTAATTCTCAATTTTGTGGCAAAGTAGAAGATCATTCCAATTACTGTCAACATTTCCCACCCTCCACATTAAGACGATTGATTTCTGTCATCAACCTTTCCTCTCCATGCAACATAGGCCCACAAGGTCCTCTCCTCAGGAAGAATGACCATTTACACCAAGAAAAAAAGCTAGAATTTAAATAGAAAGGGGCAAACTATATAACATACAAGTTAAGAGGGGGCAAAGTGGTGGGAACGCTATAAAAATAACTCGAAAGCTAAGGTTTGAACCTTGTAGAAGTAAACAAATTTTTAATTTTTTTAATAGAAAGGCAGTAATTGACCCACTCCCCTAATGAGTAGCTTTCAACCCTGATTACACTAGAGTCCATGAACATATCACTAACATATAAAAAGCACATTAATGATACCTGAATGATGCGCGGCTGATGGGCCAGGATAACCAGCAGGAGCGTAACCACCTGAAGGAGGATAACCGGCCGGCGGGTAACCCCCTTGGGGAGGATAACCTGCCGGTGGATATCCACCAGGAGGAGGATATCCAGGAGGTGGTGGGTAGCCCTGCTGGGGATATGGTTGAGGAGGATAACCATGTGGTTGCGGAGGATAACCATGTGGTTGCGGAGGATAATGGTGACCAGCAGCATATCCAGCAAGATGTGAAAACAACCCTTTATCATTATGGTTATGCTCGTCCTTTCCGCCTCCCATCTTTCTTCAACTTCAATTTATGCTACAGTAATTGAAAACAACAGTTTGTTAAAAAGTACTTGAACAAAATAGCAGTATCATAAAATGCACCAAGCAAAACCTGCAGAAGGAAAGAAAAGAATAAAAACTATACTGCCTGAAAGAGGTACATTTATCCTTGTTACCGTTTCTACTTTAGTAGAAAGATGTAGACTATAAAAAGGAAAATAGATGAGGTCACAATCCCCTGTCTCTTGGAGTGAGGTCTAGAGGTGAAAGACATAAACTAACTGATAAGTGAAACTCTTATCTATCTATTGCTACCATTCAAATTAGTCCGTAAAGTCATAAAAATTCCAGGGTCAAATCCTCATATAGGTACAATCTAATATTGTTACAGAGTATTATTAAGAAATCCAGATATATTACTATTAAACCGAATAAAGCACAAAGATGCTCGCAATGGCACAGTATAAACTGACATATAAGACAGAGAAACACCTTAAAGAACTGAAATGAGAAGCAATATATCTAATATCTACAATTTATAGGTTTTAGCAACAACAATATCCTCTATCCTATTTTGCAATTATGATTAAGAAGCTTAATACATGTACATAATATGTAAAAATAGTAAACCAAGTTTTCTTATGTTTGCATACCACATGGGTATGCTTCAGTTGCAAAACAAGGCAAATTGTGAAGATCTGTAGTTGTTAAACTCAACAAATATATGCTTTATTTGAATATAAGCCAAAGTTCAGCAGATCGTCTAATGCATGAATGATGAATATGAATGAAAACAATACACAAACGAGATTTCCTATACATGTGCCAACCTCAGCCGTTGCATCAATTAAACAAAAATATAACCAATTATTTGTTTAAGCCTTAAATTTGTAACTTGTGAATGGTCGTGTTTTTGTTGGAGAGAAGATCAAACATAAAAATGGCAAGAGCTTCTAAGGCAAAATGTTAAACATCGGATCAACCCTAAAAAAAAAAGAAACAAATCATAATAGGGAAGAACGAACATTAGAAAGAAAAAGAAAGAAAAGGCATGCAAGAATGGATCTTGAATATACAGTATCAAACCACAGGTACCAATTAACAAATAATCCATGAAGAAAATGAAGAAATAACAAAAGGGCAACAACATAATTGAAAGATTGCATACCAGATATTGGTTTTTGAGAATAAAGGTTAAGCCTTTCTTGAGTTATTCTCAGAGCCAACACTTTTTCTTCTTCTGGGTAGATATTTTGGTTTTGGAAACATATTGCGGAGAAGAAATAATGGAGGAATTTATTATAGTTTGTGTGCGCATTTGACCGTACGCGTTGCTTAAACGCGTCTCTGCTCGGTGGATTTCTTGCTTTAGTTGCTTTCAGATAGAGATAGAGATGGACACGTAGCAGCAGAAGAAAATATTGTACGAGTGGGGCCAGTAGACCAATCTGAGTAAGGCTATGTAAAATTTTATAAATTAATTTTAATTCCCTCATATTAATTTTATTTTTTCAGTAATAATTATATTTTGATTACTTTAATTCTTATTTAAAAAATTATAATTTAATTAATTTGAAAAATAATTAATGGCATTACGTGAATTTTTTATTAATAAAATAAATTTAAAAAATTATGTACAAATTATAATTTGATCATATGACTTTATAAAGGATTATTTTCAATAGAAAAAAAAAAAAGAAAAGAATAAAGAATACTTGTATTTTCTACTCTTCGAAGGGTTGCTCAAATTCGAGATTATGGAGGAAATTTGTGTTGAGCTAATGACTCAGAACCTAATTAGAATAACCCAATTTTGATATTATTGAAAAAATTAATTTGAAAAGGCTATATAATTGTTTGAAGTATGTAGAGTTCATCATGATTTATATCATATATTTTCAAATAATAATTTTAATGGACTCTTAGTGCTCAAATTTTATATATATATATATATAAATTTTTCATTCTAATAAAAAAATGGATTAAAATCTTGAGAGCCAAATCTCCTTTAGACTTTCAATCTGCCAAATCTCCTTTAAATTTTATATATACATTTTATTTGATAGAGCATCTTTAAATTTTTTTTCAAGATAGAATAATTTTAATTTTTAAATTGCAGTGGGACTAGAACAAATACCTTCATTATTATATTATTCAGAATATATAGGGATTTTTTTTTACTCATGCTTAACATATTCAAGATTAATTAGATTTTTCCTATTGCGTTCTTTTCCCCTCCTTTTGGTGTAGGGTTCCTTTTTGTTTTTTTCAACCTTACGTGGATGAATTGTTTTATGCTATTAGGATTTGCTATATATTATAAGATTATTATTTGGCTCTTTTAAATAACTGATTATTATTATTACTCCATCTAATAGAATTAGATTCCCTTGTATAAAGAAAATGGAGACTTTGATTAGATTCTCATTCCATATTGGAGAGTAGAAAAAAAAAAAAAATACTAAATTTCTTTTTTTCCAGAATTAATATGCATATTCAATATATATATAAACACCATTGGTAGCTCAGCATCATTAGTATTGTTTGCTGCTTGTAAGAGTCACACTTTACAGACTATTATTACAATATCTTGCGCACGACAGCGAGACACATATGGTTGCGCTGTAGAAAGCTTAAGCATGATACATGACAACGGAACTCACGGGTCTCTATGCTAGACGAGTATACATCATATTAGAAATTAAAGAAAATGGAGACTTGATTGATTCTCAATTCATATTGGAATGAGTAGAAAAAAAAAAAAAATATAAAGTTTCCTTTTTTCCAGAATTAATAGCATATCAAATATACATGATACTATAGTATAAATATATATACGACACATATATTCATACTCAATAAACATATAGAAATAATGCGAAGATTAAAATTTTTATATTGAAAACTAATAAAATGAAAATAGTAAATATAAAACGGCGAAATTTTTGGTATTTTAAGTGATAATATATTAATAATAATATATACACATATATTTTCATACTCAAATAAACATATAGAAATAATGCGAAGATTAAAATTTTATATTGAAAACTATAAAATGAAAATAGTAATATAAAACGAAATTTTGGTATTTAATGATATATAATTAATATAAAAATAAATTTCACATAACTTGAATTTGAAATTTTTTGTTTCCATTTGCTCAGTTCATGGCCAAGTCGTCAGGCAGCAAATGCAACAAGAAAAATAAAATGTGAATAAAAAATCCCTCTCTAATTAATCTCTAAATTATAGTACATTTCCAAAAGTTTCTTAAGCATGAGCTTGAAAAGAACTTTCAAGTCTCTCTGCCACACAAACTTGAAAGCTATCAATAGTAGACAACTTACTTATTATGAAGTCCGCTTTTGGTACAATCTTCTATAAATTTTTGCACCTTCAAATTCTGCATGGATTTCTCTTTCAGTCCTTATTCCCATTGGATTATTCAATAGCCATCCATCTTTGTCACACAACATGCTTAGGTCAGTTTCATCAATGTGTCGAAGCATATCTGATTCTGCATCGAACTGATTCCTCATGTCAAGGGCCACCTCAAGCACATCAGACTGCACAAAAACCTGTTCATGTATGAAACGATAATTAGCCACAAAGCTGAGTACATTATAAGATGTACAAAGAAAGTGAGAAACTAAAAGGTCAGTCACTTAGCCTCCTTTCTAAATAATGAATATTTGGAGCCCATACCTTTCCTCCAGGCGCTAAATTGTTGATGATAGAATCTACTAATGGCTTCTGCACAACTCTTCGCTTATGATGCCTTTTTTTGAAATGAGGGTCAGGGCACTGCACAAAGATTATAAGGATTATAGTTGGTTTAGTTTAGTATTACATAATCCAATGTAACGATAGCACTTACCAAAATTGAAACAAACATCAAGGGTCCGGGGTATCCAACAACCAATTGTCTGAAGGAAACTGTGGCATTTGCAAAGAGGAAATGTCTGCAATATCATCAGATTACACAGCAATCAACATCGTTGTTTTTCCTTTTTAACCTTTGGCAAGTAAAATTTTGTATCAAAGTCTTACAGGTTATCAAGAGCCAGCTCTTTTATCCAATGTTCAGCACGGTTGACCAGCTGCATCAGTCAGAAAGTAGAACAAAACAGAGAAGTCAGACTTTGAAGTTGAAGTATAAGAAAATTAAGTAAATACGCATTCACGATCAAAAGATTATTTGAGTGAATTAGAAGTCACAAGAAGTTCAGTTCCATACTTTCTGCCGTATTTCAATTCCCAAATAATTTCCTATATTTCGATTCCTTTTTGCAAGCCATATGAGAAACCTGCCACTTCCTATGAATTATACTGATAGTTAGGTTGGAAAATACTTGAGATAAGTCACAATCAGAAACTAATTAAAAAAGGTGATAAATTCACAGATTACAGAAAACTCTAAAAGTGAGCATTAACAATGAGCAAACATTAGGACAAATTTCAGCCATATATTACTTGAACACGTATTGTTTTTCTCTTCAAAATATAATGCAGGAACCAAATTACGGTGCTGCTAACTACAAATACCAAAAAACAAGTGCTCAGAGCAGGCATTTGACCCAAAACTATCCAAGATGGGCATAATATCCAATCATTTTTCCTATTAATGTGACCTATTCTCAAGCATAATCTCAATGCCATAGACTGTAATTCTGTCTGATTATCATTTTTCATTTTAACTTTCATTTTAGGTTTTTTATGTTTAAACTCCAGAAATTTAGTATATAGCTCCATTAAACTAAACAAATTCTCATTACTATATGAATGCTAAGATGCCAACTGAAGAGACCAACTAAGAGAAACATCCTTCTTGAGAAAATCTTTAACTTTTGATTTATTTTGGCAACAAGAGTTGAAGAATAAATCACCCTAGGCTAGTGGATAAGCCAACAAAGTATCCTTCTAATTAGATATAGACCTTTGTTTCCCATTCAATTGGTACAACATACACCGATGCTTGTATTGGAAGTCAATCACAGAAAAAGTTATTGAATCAACTAATAATTGTCACATAGCGTCCCAAAAAGCTATAGAGTAGATATTGAACAACAATGATATTGAGGTTCATGCGACCTTAGGAACACACTATTGGACTGATAAGGGTATCAAATATTTAACACGAAGAGAAGTAAGTTAATTGCTCACAGTTACAGCCAGCATCCTTAGGCTTACCAGACTGCAATAAAGGCTTATGTTCCACCTCAAGAATTCAAAGAAAAAAAATATCCTGAATGGTAAATAAGGTTTAGCAACCAATCTAAAGGTCTAAAACAGCGTAACACAATCCATCCACAATGTAGCATGTAAAGAATAATAGTGAAATAGATTCTTAGTTTCTGTTCATCTCTCTACATTTTTTACTGTCATCATAGCAACTATTCAAATATAGCTCATATTATCCCAAATCAAAAGTATCACAAGTAAAATATACATAATAGCAAACATACAATTAAAAGAGAAAATACCGCTTCCAATATCCACCATGAGTGGTAAGGTTGGGTCCCTGAAAACTTCTTTCCAGTCAGGTATTCGCGCTGGCACCTATCTACCAAAATTTTTAAAGCAAAATCATCCTCTAAATATGAACCCAGGAACAACAAGAACTACGACTAACAAAATGAAGTCATAATCAAACAAGTAAACCATATTATAAGTTAATTATATCATTAATTACCAAGCTCGTACTTACAGAAAAAGAGGAACTCAGAGGGTTTACATGCTGCCTGACTCTAACATGACCCAGTTCCTACAATCAAAAAAACCAACCCACAATTTCAATGCCCATGAAAACCAAAGTACTCAATAATAATAATAATAATAATAATAATAATGGAAGATAGGATTACCCCAGAAATGATATGACTAAGGTTAAGGTCAGCATACTCCATAGCAACCAGGTCAGTGCTTCTAAGTTCTTTGGCACCGATACATGCATTGATTCTGTTCCTATAACAGCAATTTGAATGATATCTAGACGTTGTAGACTTACTAATGAAAGGTGAGAATGGTAATTTTAATATTAAAGATGAAAGAGATTGGTTTGCTGCTGCAGCAGCCATGCGCGGTGAATTAGCAGCAACGGCAACTTGATAGAACTGTAACCTCACTGAAGAAGAAACTTTAGCAATATATTTTGTGCAATGGGGCTTACTTAATGGGCCAAAGATTGAAACTTTAGCAATAGTGAAGGTAAAATTCTATAACAACAAGGCCCATATAACTCACTCATCATATTTATGCCCCCCACAAGTCCACAACCAAGCCTTAGGGTAGGGAGTTACTGGCTGTGAGAGTGTGCACATCATGCAAGTGCCAGTTTCTTGCAGTATTATCATCTCAACTGTCAAAAACAACCGTTAAAGCTGTATGGGCATGGCTCTTGCCTTGTCTTATTTCCATTTCAGAACCCACTGCTCCTTTTCCTCTGCCTTTTCTTCCCCTACTATCCGCCCAGCTGTTATTCTTCCAGTTGCTCGCTCATCTCTAACTTTTTCTTTTGCATTTATTATGTATTTTGAATGTATTGCAATTTGCAAGTGATAGAGTGGATTGAAAATAATTTAATTGCATTTGTTTTAGGGTTTAGGGAACAACACTGCAGACTATCAGAAGTTGGAAGTGACACTGAAGGAATATGGGGTGCCTACGGTTGTTGCTAAGGTGTCAAGATTTGACTGGTTCAGGAATGCCGCTGGTTTGGTAGACCCCAATTACTGGCGTGGAACTCTCCAACCTAGGCCCGTTCTTGATTGGTACTGAATTAAAATTCAACCCTTATTGATTTCTTTCTAGTGTTAATTTAAAATGAAAGTTATTTGCAGGTATATGAAGAGGATTCAAGAAGCAGTCAATGAGGCAAAGGAGTTGGCACAAGGTGTGGTCTTTTTCTTTTACTTACAATTTGATGCATAAGTTAAGTATGTGTTTATGATCAAACCGGTCTAGTTTTAGCTCATCTACGACTATAAGGACTGGTAGTTCAATTACTTGCAATATTTAGTTACTATCGTGATTTTACTTGAGGGAGAACAGAAAGTTTTCCTGTGAAGTTATTGCTTTTGTTCATATGTAGAAAGCAGAAAAGTTAAAAGCTAACATTTTCATTAAAATCTTCCTTATTCTAATATAGAGCAAACTTTATAATAGGCCAATGCTTTTTCATTTGTGGGAAGGTTTCTGATTGACGGTCCCAAAGGAGCCATCAACAGAAATGCATTATATATGTAACATAGTGTTTCTTTCTTGGAAATCTGCTAAGTTCATACTCCCTCTGAAAGACTAGTTATCTGCATATATGCTAGCTTAGCTCTATCTAAATTCTAAAATACTTGAAAAAATCCTATTTAGGTGGAACTTTGTCCTTGATCGGCCACTCGGCAGGAGGGTGGCTTGCACGCGTCTACATGGAAGAATTCGGGCTGTCTGATATCTCTTTGCTATTGACGCTTGGTACACCCCACTTGTAGGTCATCAGTTTCAGCTTCATTTTTATATTTTTTATTCCTCCTAATGATTCTCGAAATTGTGCTTCTATTTCTTGATAACTATGAAGTATGAACAATATGTTTCAAGTATGTTTGTAATGGCTGAGTTTCCAATGAAGTGATTATTAGTCTATATTTTGTAATTTTTTTTCAGGCCACCTCCAAAAGGAGTGCCGGGGGTTATTGATCAAACAAGGGGTCTCCTTTATTATGTTGAGGAACATTGTGCAAAAGCTGTTTATAATCCTCAGTTGAAATATGTATGTATTGCAGGGAGGTAATCCCAGATTCTGAAACTTCTCGCTTTTTTGTCTCAACTTAACTGAGCATGAATTCTTCTCAAAATGGTTTGTTTCCCTTGTAAAGTTTCTCTCCTCTGAAATTTTTGGAACCTTGGCTAAAATGAGCTAGTTCATAATGATAAATTAGCACTAGAATTTAATTTTCATTGAATGTATTTTTCATTAGATCCCAAAACTTTCAGTAAAAAATATGGTTTCCGATGAGTTTGGGGGTGTTAGATGGTAGAATGTGTGAGAGATGTTGCAGTGTAATTCATTATACCTACAGCCTCAAAGTATAAAGGTAATAGTAAGTTAATAATCCGCAATAGCTATCATAAACTGCAGGTATATTCAAGGGGCTCGTTTTTTTGGGAAGGCAAATGCTGAAGTTAGTACTGCTGTTCCTGACCAACCGACTGGGGAGGCTGTTCTCGTGAATGACAGGAGCAATTCAACATCTAACTTTCGTGCTCGCTTTGTCGGGCAAGGATATAAACAGGTAAATCCAGGTCGTCAGCAATTGCTTTTGCTGCTAAGGAAACAATAGTGTTCGACTAATGAGTTGTGTTGAAGTTAAAGAAATGTGGCATTGTGTAGGTATGCGGGCAGGCAGATGTATGGGGAGATGGAGTGGTGCCAGAGGTGTCTGCACATCTTGAAGGTGCACTCAACATTAGCTTGGATGGAGTCTATCACTCACCAGTTGGTTCAGATGATGAGCAGAGACCATGGTATGGTTCTCCTGCCATTGTAGAGAAATGGATACATCATCTCCTCAACTGAAGTTATTGGACACATTAAGAATTGGAAGATTGATAAATTGCATTCATAAGCAAACAAGTTGCATACAGAATTCTTTTGAAGTCTAATTCATTAAAACAATTTTTTTTTTCTTTGACAACTGCTATTATATTTCTTCCTCTGCAACTCTCCCTGTTTGTTTATTTGTGTATGCAAATGCAGTCCAAAGCATTATCAGAAATATTCATTTTGATACTTCACAATATCAGAGCAGAAACTGTTGCATCTCCGCACTTCTCTTTTGAATTTCGTACCCGTGTTTTAACTGCTCTAAATAAACTGCCCCACTAACATCAAGTAGAACAAACAAATTATATGTGCTATGGACATGTTAAAACAAGTTTCCATCGTGTTACACCTTCAAGGCTCAATTCCTTCTCTGAAGAAAAAAGCGCTATTTTATGGTTAATCAGCCAGGTGCAAACATTATCATTATATCATATGAAGTTAACTTTAGGAAATAATAAAAAGCATGTTGAAATTCCAACCCTTTTTTCTTAGCCAATTTTCACATCATGTCCCAACTAAAGATTTGTCAAATCACAACAAGATACATAGAAGCTTGGCTCTTAAACAAAATCAGATATTAACATAACATCACATTGAAGGATTGAAAATTCGTAGTTAAAAGCTTGCTCCAGAGACGGTCGAGCCAGAAATCCAATTGGCATCGCATGTTAACCAGTCTTCACAAAGTGGCGGGTTAACAACTTGCCTATCTCCAGAAATCCAACCTTCTCTTTTCCATCAAAAATGGCCTTCAGCTTTTCATCACAAAAGATCTCCTTCTTATTTGTTGGGTTCTGCGGATAAAAGCACACTTATATTTCAGTAAATGGCATTACAGTACATCAACATTTCTCATTCAAACCATCCAACTCAACACATGCAGCAATTAATAGCTAATAGAAGAGCAAGCAAAATCAAAGTTTATTAAACAAATCAACAATGCACGTGCATCCACAGTCCATCCATAACATGAAATCACATAACACATGAAGCTATAATTAAAACAACATAACACATGAAGCTAAAATTAAAACAGCGAATCTGCACTATTAAACAATTCGTACATATATTAGGTTGTATTTTTTTTTTTTTTTTTTGGTCCACCATAACAATGAAATCATAACACATGAAAGCTATATATTAAAACAAATAACACAGTAAGCTTAAAAATTAAACAGCGAATCTGCACTATTAAACAATTCGTAACATAATATTTAGGTGTTTTTTTTTTTTTTTTTTTTGGTAAAATGCAAAACGGGTTTTAGTTAAAATAATCTCAACATCATATCTACTTCAAGGGATGGATGACCTGTCGGTGCCAAACTGGCAGTGGGTAAAAACTAACAATTCAATCAAGTGTAGTTTATTGAGATATACTGCAGGCAAACTATAAAAACTCGAGTTCTTTTTGAAATTATATATAAATTTGAAGGGTATTAAGCACCATTTCCAAACTCAAAAATTAACAGAGCAAGGTTGAACACCATAAACAAAATTCAACATTCAAAAGCCGCAAGAAGAAAAAACTACTGAAGTCTGAATTACCACAACCTCCCCCACTACCCAAAAAATACACAAAATAGTAAAACTTTAATGAAGCAGAAGAGCCGAAAGGCAAATTATGAAAGGGGAAAAAAACCATACCTAGGGTTTATAAATGTATAGCACAAAGCATGAATAAAATTAAACCCATAAGAAGTATGTACAGAAATGCTAAAACCCCATTGACTAACAAGGCTTAGGGTTTAACGCAAAAAAAAAAAAAAAAAAAAAAAAAAAATCGCACTAAATCATAGAGAGGGAAGCGAGGGAGTAAATACCTGCAAGTTATTTTGCTTGATGTGTATCCAGATCTTTTTAAAAAAAAAAAAAAAAAAAAAAAAAATCGCACATAAATCAGAGAGAGGGAGCGAGGGAGTAAAATACCTGCAAGTTATTTTGCTTGATGTGTATCCAGATCTTTTTGACGGCATCAGTGCGAGAAGATTCAGGAACACCCAGAAAGTCGCGGAGAGCTGGGGAGACAGGAGTGACCTTCAATATTCCAGCGGGCTGAAGTGGTTTTTCCGGTTTTGTCTTGGGCTTAGCTGGTGCCGCCTTGGTAGCGGCGGTTTTTGCACTAGAAGTTTTTGCAGCGGCAGCAGACTTAGCTGGGGCTAAGAGGGCTCTGCAACCCTTGAAAACCCTAGATGTTGCAAATGACATAGTAGGTTTCCCCTTGCTCGCTTTCTCTCTTTTGTATCTAGGTTTTGTAACTTACAGAGTGGAAATGAAGGCGACTGAAAATGATCTTAAATTGAAAGGGTTTTCGCGTGGGGTTTTGTGTCTCTCTCTCACCTGGGGTTCAACAGAAAAACCGTGCAACTACCGTATTGACCCTAAACGCCATCTTTAAACAATAAAGCCCAAGCCCGTGAATATTAAGAGCTTTAACTATATTGGGCTTAGTTTAAGGCCCAATGCAGAACTCACTGGCCTCTTTAATCGAATCTTAAAGGACCAAATAGAAACGAATGATAATTATTTATTTGGAATGGTGATACCGTAACAGCGTTATGAATAACAATCCAACAAAAATCAATAAAAATCATTTTTAAAATTAAATGAATAAAAAAAATCAATGTGAAATTTAAATATTAAAATTTGGAAACTAATATTCTTTTAAGGAACTAGTAACTAGTAAAGCTTATTTTTATCATATATGGAAACAAGATTGACTTTTGATCCTAAAATTAATAATTTAAAAACAAATAAATACACTTGAAAAAATTGGTTTTACAGATTCTTTTTTTATGGAAATTGATTTTACAGTTAGTACTAGAGATAATATTTTCAGTTTAGTAAAAAATATTAAATGCGTGTTAGGGCAAAAAAGAAAAAACTCAATTTACTTGCAAAAATAGGGAAAAAAAAAAGAAGAAGAAAAAAGCTGTCTCTCTCTCATCCGCAGGCAGGCAGGACTGCTTTGCTCCCCTTATCCGCTCATGTTATCACAACACTATCAGTTAACACAGCCTCTCCCCCCTGTCTCTGTAGTGTCCTTGCAACTTTCGAACTTTAAGCTTGTTCAAACAATTGCTATGGCCTCTTTATGGATTTTGCAGATTAAAGAGTGAATTGAATGAGAAAGAAACAAACACTATTAGTAGCAGAAGAAGTGGAGGATGTCTTGTTTACTGCCGCAGTTTAAGTGCCAACCAGACACTTTCTCCATCCATTTCAGAACTCACTATCTTCAAAATTCTAACTTTTGCCAGTCTGGTAAATTTATACCGTCTCCTTCTATGACTTGCAATTTTCCGTTATTTCCTCGCTATTGCCTTCATTTCAATCCTATTGAAGTGGGTGTGTTTTGTTTCTGGGCCTTGTTGTTTTCTTTGGTTGATATTCAATTTTATTGGTTGATATTCAATCACAACTCCTATGGGTTTAGTTATGTTGAATTCCATAAAATTGAATTTACAGAAGTAATGTGTTTGTACCAAACTTCGAAGTATGAGGTGAACACAAAATTCATGGAATTCGTTTATGCCATAAAAAGTCCTTAGCTTGATATATTGTGTGCCATTACTTTGCAGATCTCCTCGCTTTCATGATCAGTACGTCTTGGTTATGTGAATGTTGCGTGATATTACGTACCTTGTTAAAATTTTTAGGATAGTTGATATATTGTAGATTGAGAGAGCTATGGTTTATGAGTTTAACTTCCCTTGGTAAATAACCCAAATTTCAGTTATTTTCAACTGCATCAACTGATATTTTAATTGTTGAAAATCCTTAAATTTATGGCCACTTCTTTATGGTATCAGCTATTATTTCATCAAAAAGTTATATGGTTAAAAGCTGTGGCATGTCCATTAAAATTGATGTACGTAGTTGAGGGTGAACTGCATTTTTGGCTTTTCATGAGCTAGTGCTACAGTTATTCTTATTAAAAATCAAACTAGCTCTTTACTCTGCCATGGCATAGCAGCTATGGGAATAGCAAATCAGACTACCTTAACGACATTTCTTTGTCAACCTACCAGATCTCTCACCACTTCTGACCATATGTGCTCCATCATAATGGTTGCATCTTTCTCCAATAGGAAACATATTGTTTCTGGCTGAAACCAACTGATTACTCTTAACTGACCTCTGTTTCCAAATTATTCAGGGGATGTGTTTTCTTAGAAAACAAATAATCTTACTTACTGGTTAAATCCACCACAATGCGGTTTAGGTGCCGACTCACTGTTAGCATCCACATCCCTTCTGACATTGCTGTTACATGTATGTGGAAGATTGTTACCCGAAACTGGTTTTAAGTCGTAATGGCATAAATTTTTTCAATTGTTGGCATTTAGGGAATACTGATTGAATGGAGACCAGTAACTACTGGGGCTTTATTTCCTTTGATGTTGTTCAGGATTTCGTGTCGTGTCCCTCCTGAGCATTATCTTTACTTCGATTGCTTTGTTGAAACAGCAAAGAGTAGAGAGCCAGTCTGTTTCCGAGCACAATGCATTTTGTCCACCACATCACCTTCAACATCCACTGCAGTTCTTGATCTAGAGAAGCTGAGATTACCTTCTTTTGAAGCTCATCCAGATTCACTTGTAGCAAATAGTCCATGGACATATGTGGGTTCAATTGGTCCTCCCAAAGAGGTGAGACTTGTTTTCTTTGGATATGAATATAAATCATGGCTTAATCTTAAATAGAAAAATTTTTGGAACATTTCTCAATGCTCATTCATCATATACTCTTCTGCAATAAGCCTACATTGGTCATATGTTAGATATGGTGGTTACAATGGATGGCTGAATTCTAAATAGTTGAGTAGCATCCTTTTTCATTTGCAATTGCATAAAGTATTCATTTTCATTAAGTAAAGGGTTCTCCAGTCATCTTTGTTTAACATTTAATGCTCAAACTTGAGCCCTTGATCATCAGGTAACTGCCAGGTAACTGTATCCTCTGTTTCGTTGTTTGCTATCTCCATTGCTACTGTATATTTTTCTGAATATTCATATATCCTAATAAGAATCCAAACTCTATTTACTTTTGTATTGTTCTTTCTAAAACTGTTGATGGTCTCTGATATTGGTTTTCCAGTTTATCCTGGACAACACAACCTGGCATACTTTTGGAACTCTATCTTTATTATATTTATTTGCGATGCACATTCTTTTCTGACTTAAATCTATGATGAATTTTTCGTTAAGGTTGTTATGATTTATTGTTTTTGGATGTTTGTGCAGACCTTTGGATCAACTTTGGCTACAGAAACACTTATTACTGGTGATGATGCTGTAATTGCTGCAGCTGCTGCTGAAGCAGTTGCTCTTGCAAGAGCTGCCGCAAAGGTTGCTAAGGATGCAGCCATTTTGGTTAAGAGTTTCCCTTCTTCTGAAGCGGAAAGTAAACTTGAAATTCCATCCATAGCTGATGTCTCTTCTAGATGGCCTCAGTTTACAGAAACAGATCGAGCTCGTATTATAGGCGATTCTGTAACAGCTGAAACCGGATCAAGAGAAGAACATCCCATGCAGCATCCTACAAAAGAATCTGATCATTTAGAGCCAACTCATGAAGAGCTTGAACTTCTTCAGAAACAGCTTTCTGAGGGTATAGCTGTGAGATCGAGGCGCCAAACTGAAAGAAAAGAAAGACGAACACGGGCAGCTGAAAAGGCTGCTGCAAATGTAATGTCTTGGAAGTCTGGTTCCACTAGCAAGAAAAAGCGTGGTCCTTTACAGGAAGTGGACTACTCTGATCCATTGCGCTACCTGAGAGGAACAACGAGCACTTCTAAGCTTCTCACTGCTACTGAAGAATTGGAATTGTCAGAGGGAATACAGGTGAGGTTACAAATTGCTAATGCCATTGTTACTGAAGGAAACATGTCCTTCGCGTTTTTTTTTTTTTTTTTTTTGCTTAGATGCCATTGTGTAGCTTGAAGGAAACATTGTCCTTCGCGTTTTTTTTTTTTTTTTTTTGTCTTGTTATCACATCCTTTTCCCCTTTTTATGGTAGACATAGATGACGTGTGTATGTGTCTATATAATATTAATTCCTTTGTGAGGGATTCTAACTGCTGGTGCTGCTATTTTTTTTTTTTTTTTTTGTCTTGTTATCACATCCTTTTCCCCTTTTATGGTAGACATAGATGACGTGTGTATGTGTCTATATATATATTAAATCCTTTGTGAGGATTCTAAACTTGTGTGCTGGCCTATCTCGATTTTATAAACTTGTACCTACAGTTGATTGCTTCCGGTGGTTTGAAGACCATGTTATGCCTATATCCGAGCAGTCCATATTAGTGAAATGTTAAATAATTTGCAATGAGACCTAGCTGGGTTATCGATTTTTCTGATGCTTCTTTAGACAGTCAATTTATGAAAGTAAGGTTTTCACAATGTGAAGCCTGTTTTTATTTTTTATTTTTTTCTGGAAGGTTCACATCTCCTGCATGACTTCCTTTTTTTATTTGAAGTTTTGTTAACAGTTTTATTGGAAAATTTGTTCTTTCGGTCATATAAGAAGTATTTTAATTATATAAGCTGCCTGTGACAAGAATCTTAATGTTGGCAATTTGCGCAGTCAGCTATAAAGTAGATAAATATTAGAAGCGTTTCCCCTCTATATTTAGAAGGAAGCAAAAGAAGGTTATTCTTGTATTTTAAAATTCAACTTTTTCAAGTATGTTTTTTTCCTAGTTTTCCGTTCAATCTTCACAGGTCTCTAATATATCATCTTTTTGTCATGTAATTCAGGACTTGCTGAAACTTGAAAGGCTCCACGAGGAGCTTGCAGAGCGTTGTGGAGGTCAGCCCACCTTTCAACAGTGGGCTGCTGCCGCTGGAGTAGATCAAAAAACTTTAAGGACACGTTTAAATTATGGTATATCTTGCAAAGACAGAATGATAAAATCCAACATTCGGCTTGTTATTTCAATTGCTAAAAATTATCAGGGAGCTGGGATGAATCTGCAAGATCTTGTTCAGGTATTTATTGCTTTGTTTATGGCCAAAAAAGTCAAGCTGAAATCCGTTGCCTATTATGCTTGTGGTATCTGAAATTTAGTTTTGACTCACAGGAAGGATGCCGAGGCCTTGTAAGAGGTGCAGAAAAGTTTGATGCTTCGAAAGGTTTCAAATTCTCAACTTACGCTCATTGGTGGATCAAGCAGGCAGTCCGTAAGTCTCTCTCTGATCAATCTCGGACAATTCGCTTACCGGTAAGTTTTACTTCACCATCGTGTTGTGTTTATCTCTGACTAAATCAGGTCTTCTGCTGTTGTGGTTTAAAATTGAATAGATGGCTTTTACGTTTCTTGCCAGTAACACTACGAATCATGAAGTTATTGTTGAACTAAATGAGTTATATTTGAACCTTTTTGTTTGAAATGTTCTGGATTTACAGTTTCACATGGTGGAGGCTACTTACAGAGTGAAGGAGGCTAGAAAACAGTTATATAGTGAAAATGGACGATATCCTGATGATGAAGAAGTTGCAGAGGCAACTGGGCTTTCAATGAAGAGGCTTAGTGCTGTACTACTAACTCCAAAAGCTCCGAGATCTCTTGACCAGAAGATTGGGATCAACATGGATCTTAAACCTTCGGTCTGTCATTACACTTTTGGTTTAGCATCTTATAATTTTATCTTTGAATTTATTAGTTTGCTTAACAGTTCATTCATCTTATCTGCAGGAAATAATTGCAGATCCTGATGCAGAAACAGCAGAAGATCTGCTAATGAAGCAATTTATGAAGCAGGACCTGGAGAAGGTGCTGGACAGTCTCAGTCCCAGGGAGAATCAAGTCATCAGATGGAGATTCGGATTGGAGGACGGAAGGATAAAAACATTGCAAGAGATTGGAGAGATAATGGGCGTGAGCAGGGAGAGAATTCGACAAATCGAGTCGAGTGCGTTTCGAAAACTAAAGAAGAAGAAAAGGACCAAACAGTTGAAGCAGTACTTGGTTGCATAAGCTACATGACTTAGAAATTACAGTGCTTAAGAGCTAACTAACTTGCCTGAGGCTCTTGTATTTATTTCTTCAATTTTCTTTCTCCAGCAATTGAAATGTCTGCTCTGTATTCTTTTTCAGAATTTTAGAGCATAGTTGTGCATAGGAACAAAAATTTTTGAATCAAGTATTTTCTATTTTTCCAAGTACCAAATGCAATTTTTCCTTCTTTCAGCAAATTGTTTTCCATTTCTAGAAATTGCAAATATTTAAATGATTTGTTGTTGATGTTGAAACGATTTTTAAAACTTGAATTGTGTAAATTTTTTTTCTTTAACCAAACAACATAGATTAATTAATTAAATAAATTTATCCCTTATTTTTACTGATTTAGCTTTTCAGGAATTCTATAATCAACAACGTGCAATTTATATCTCGAATTTAAAAATTTCAAAGGTTCAAAATATCTAATGCAAGTTAATTTTTTAAAGGATATATAACTTACATATTTTTATTATGCAAACCAAGCAAAAGGGTGGAACACTTAAAAATTGGAATTAATATGATTTACATGTGTTTTATTATTTTTTAAACAAGTAAATGGCTTACGTCTAAACAGTTGCATTGATAATACAAACTAAAATTAAATTTCTACTTTTACATTTGGTGATTTTGCCTCAATTCCAATGCAAAACTAGTACTCCCTCCATCAATCAAAGTTGATACAATTCAAATTACACAAAACTAAAGAAATTATTAAACAACTTCAATTTAAAAAAAAATGAATAATTAATAATAATTTAGTGTACATTGTAAGAAATAAGAGTAAAATTGAAAAGAATAATTAATCTCCTCAATTTTCTAAAATGTCAAATGAAGTGGGCTAAAAAAATTTGAAATTGTATGGATTTTGATGGGACAGAGAGAGTAATTGACGGCTATAATAGTCTAATTAATCTAAATAAAACTTTGCTAAACTCATCATGTAGCTTATTAATATTTTTTTTCATTTAAAATATGTTGAAATTCATTTTTTTTATTTTGTTTTTAAATAATAATAATAAAGCTTTAAAAATTGAATAAAAGAAAAATATACTAAGAAGGAGGGGTTTTTCCTTTCTGGTCCGAGTCACATTTGGTTTTTCCTACTGGGAATCCGTACACAGACTCAAAAGCAACTCTTTCTCTTCTCTCCACTGCCGCTCTCGCTATCTCTCTCTCTCTCCCTTTCTCTGTTTCCATTAGCCAATCGCAAGCAAGCACTGTTTCTTTTCTTATTTCTCCTTTTTTCGTTTCTGTAATCCAAGAAGCGTAATATATATATATATTATATATTCCAGACCAAATGAAAGGGAAGAGGAAGGCAGCCGCAAGCCCCAATACGGCACCCTTGAGTGATGCCATGGAAGACTGTAACAATAGCATGGCAGTGGTTCTCGCTCAAGTAGGAAATGCTACAGAGGAAGAGAAAGAGGGAGAAAAAGATGTGATTGATGATGGTGATAATAATGGGGAGAATCGAGAGGAAGGTGAAGGAGAGCAAGAGGAAGAGGAAGAGGAAGAAGAAGATGAAGAGGAAGAGAAAGGAGAAGAAGAAGAGAGGCCTAAACTCGATGAGGGTTTCTTTGAAATCGAGGCTATTCGCCGAAAACGAGTCCGCAAGGTCCGTCTCCCTCTCTCTCCATCTTTTCCCCTTGCACAAACTTCGTATGTTTGATGGCATTCTCTTTCTCTTCATATATTGCTAGTTTTAAATTTGCTAGTTAATTATGTGGAATGGAAGTTATGGGTGTTTTTACTTGGGTATGATCTTATTTTTGTTGTTATTAATTGTTTGGATGGTGTTAATTGAATTTTCTTTACTACCACTTGATGGTGCATTGCAAACACACTCTTCGAATGTTGCACAACAATAGGGTCAGCTCCAGTATCTTATAAAATGGTGAGTAACTCTTTTTTTCATCATTTTTTTTGTATTTTTTTAATTGAATTTTCTCTTTTCTATTTTAACATTGATTTTACTTGACATCAAAGTTTTTTAGAAATAATATCAGGGTATATTAATCCAATTTTTCATGCTCTCTTGGTTATTCCACTTTAATTGGTTTAAAGGCGAGGCTGGCCAGAAACTTCCAATACCTGGGAGCCCTTAGAGAATTTGCAGTCTTGTTCTGATGTTATTGATGCATTTGAGGAGAGGTAAATTCCTTTCTTTTCCTATTTGCCTGAATTTTGGCAAAAATGAAGTACAGAGCCTAAAAACTTAGAGTTTCTTATTTACTCAAAATTGGTTTTCTTTTTTTTTTTTTTTTTTTTTTTATTTACTCAAAACTTAGGTTTCTTTTTTTTTTTTTTTTTTTTTTTTTCCATTTGCCACCTTGTTTCATAGCTTACGACTCAGGCAGATCTTTTTTTTTTTTTTTTTTTTTTTTTTCCATTTGCCACCTTGGTTTCAAGCTTACGATCAGGCAGATCTTCAAGAAAGAGGAAACGAAAATACGGGGGTACGCATATTCAGCCGAAGAAGAAGCAGCCTCGTTCCTCTGTTGGCTATAACATAACAGGTTTTGAAATAAAAGTAGATAAACCTTTATCCTCCTCTCCTCTGAATAATCTGAGCCTCGCCGATCCACCTATCGGTTCAGGTCATGAAGGGGAGAACAATGGAGATGTCAACAACGTCAAAACAGCCAAGAAAGCTGATGAGAATGGGTATGCTGGTGGTTCTAAACAAACTTTTGACAAGAAAGCGGATAATGAATATGACCCAAAGCTTAGTGAGCTGAGAGGAACAGTGCCCACCAATGATGCAAATGCAGAAAAGATAGCCATACATTTCCAAGAAGGGAATGCTTCAAGAGGTGATGGTTCTGCAAATGAGCTTCCCAAGGTCGATTATGCAGATGCTATTCAGAATGGTCGCCGCACAGGTGCTAAGAGAAGGAAGTCTGGTTCTGTAAAGAGGTTTAAAAAGGACTTGGACATGTGTGAATCCGTTTGCTTACAAAGTTCACCATTTTTCTTACAATCTTCACCATTCAATGTCTCTGTTGGCTCTGATGGTGCAAAAGCACATATGGGCACTCAAAATGGGAATTTAGCCGGGACTAATTCGAGTTACAAGCCAATGGGTGAAAATTCGAAAACCATTACCAAGATCCTCAAGCCAATAGGCTTTTCAGCTTCTGTAATGGACAACATTCAAGAAGTATTGGTAACTTTTGTGGCATTGAGGTATGTCATCTTAACTCACAGCTTTTAGTATCTTGTCTTATTGGGCAATGGGCATAATTTTGTGGGCATTGTAAGGCCCTTCCAGAGCCTAAAATGGTGGAATTCTTATACACAGGAGTGCCCTTTTTTTTAAACCTAACATGCTTATGCTTCTTTTACTGGCATATTTGTTCTTCTGTTACTTACACTGCTCCAACAAGTCGCTATCTAGTTGGAGTTGTTCTCTTGTGTTCAGGAAATCCATAAATATGAAGAATATGCACATGTTATAATCTGCTTCTGGCTAACTATCTATGTTAAATATCTTTCCTTGCCTGTTCTTTTAAGGCTTCTATGCTTAATCCATATGATAAAGAATTTTGTAGTATTAGATCTTTATAATATATGACCACACTTTTGGTGTGTACAACCGTGTCTTTCCTGATACATTAGTCATCTATGAAGTATGCGTCTTAGAATTTAGGAGAACTATTTGTGGGTGTAATACCATGTTGTGTCAAAGTAGTAGATCGAGGACAATTGGAGAGAAGTTTGGCAATCTACACGTGCTGTTGATGGGTTTGTCCACTGGTGAGGGCTAAATAGATGTTAATAAACTGGGCCTCTGGGGCTTCATGTGTTTTTGAGTTTAATTCAAGAAGCAGAATTTGTTGTGGAGGTGGTGAGGAAGTTCAAGGCTTCAAGATGGTAATTATGGGTAGTAAGTTCTGTGACTGAGTGAAGAATGTTAAATTGAGAATCCAATATCAGCTAGGCCTTCTTGGAGCTGCAACATTAAAAGAGTGTATTAAGAGCTTGGCTTTACATATCTTTGTTAGTCATATTCCCTATTATATCCCCTTTTCTTTTTCTTTTTTAGCTGATGCTTTGATCATTTATTTAGTTGTTGGCTAGTTGGCATGGAATTGGTGTAAGGAGATGAGTGAATGGCTTGGACATGAGCTCTTAATTGTTAATGTGGTAACTGTGGATGAATTGGTGCTGTTGTTGTGTATCTTTATGTACTATGATTTCTCTTTCTCTCTTCTTATGTTTTATTTCTTTTATTGTCCTTTTGTTTTTAAAAATGTATATTCAAGTGATAGGGGAGAAAAGATATGAAATAGAAAATGAAAAGAAAAGCAGTTGGGACTGTTAAAAATAATTTGCTTCATTAGAATTAATCTCACATTTGTTAATGCTTTAGATTATTGGTTAATCTTTTTGAATGTCCGGGATTGTGTTTTAGGCATATCTCAGAAAAGGGACTGGTCAGATTTTTGATGGAGTGAGATGGATATTTTATAAATGAAATGGTTGCTTTTAAGGTTTGGGATTAAGGTTTAGTTGTTGTTGATGAAGGTCCTTATTTGGACAATAATAGGCTAATTTTTTTTTCACAGTTTTAACATTTTTCATATGTTTGCAATTGGTTAGGTAATTTGTGTGGGGATAATATTTCATTTTGAGGCTCATAATGCTCTCACCTTCTGCTTTAGGAGAAGTCTATGATCATTGGTATTCCTATCTTTATCTTTCTAGAAAACATCAGTAGTCTTTTGTTTTCTCTAAAAGCTCTAATGAAGTGACAGTCTGCAAAGAAAGATTCCTCAGTGAAGATTACAAATGCTTGTCCATCACCTTATAGAAGGCCTAACTTCCTTCCAATTCCAGCTCACTTCCTAAGATCTCTCTCCCTTCTTACTTAATGATTTCTTTCTAGTAATTGGATATTATAAATTAATCAGAAGTCCAAAACTAAAATAAAACTGAGGTCCACTGCAGATTTATTTAAATGCTACTAGGCACTTCTGCCCAAACTGACTTCTCCATATATCATGTACTTCTTCTTTCTTTCTTCTTAAGTTTAGTGCAGTGATGACTTGGGTTGGCATATGCAGGGAAATTTTGTAATTAAGCTAGAAGGCAATAGCATAAATGAAGAGTTTATTCCATTCCATTCCTTATTTCCATTGTGCTCCATCATAATATATCAAACCTGCACATAGCATGTGGATGTCATGAGTTGGGAATTTTGATTTATCACTTCTTTGTATCCCATTACACCCTTAAGATCCTATTGAATTATAATGCCCCATTCTCCCCACCATAGCTTTCAAAGGGGCCTCAACACCCTTAGACATTGACACTGGAATTTCTGCAGTATTTGTCCTTGTCTTTGTTCCTGGCTGCAATCCAGCCATATACAGCAACAACCAAATGCCCTTTGTCAATATATGAACCACATATCTGATTGACACTTCAAATACTTGAATATTTAATTCATCAGGACTACAAAGACGTCCAAGGATAAGTTTATCATATATATCCTACATCCATACGATCTCTATGCATTTGCTTATGTAAAAGGGGAGCACAGAAGTGGGAGCATTGAGATATAATTTTATGCAAGGACGCTGTTATTTTGGTTTTGTCTGTTAGAAGTTCATCTCGCTGAATAATCTTGTATGGTTTCCTGCTTGATAGGTCTGATGGGAAGGAAGTCATGGTAGATAACCGGTTTCTCAAGGATAACAATCCACTTCTGGTATTGATCAATCCATTAATAACCTCAGAAATTCAAGTGAATATATGAACAAGTCTTTCATAACTATTATTGTTATGTTTACTATCCTTTCTTTGGTGGCAGTTGATCGACTTTTACGAGCAACATCTCAAGTACACTACATGACTAGGTGGAGATTTAGAGGGAGAGTTAGTATATCCTCATCTACTCGATTGTACTTTTTGCTGGTGTACAGTTGTAATTCTATAGTTCCAGGAGATAGTGTAAGATGATTAATGCTGTTTTATTCAGTAAATTAAAGCTAGTGATATAGCTGTAGGCCAGTCGTCTGTATCTCACCCCTGTACTCTTGTATTATTAAATATTTTGTACTCGCGGCTGTTAGAACTCGTGACAATTAGAACTTGTCCGGTGCTGTACCTCTGTCATTTCCGATGAATAGCATCGTTTGTTCCAACCTCTCTTGTGTCTGAAATTTGTAGGCTCACAGTGCATCCTGTTTGGAGTTTGCATCTTTTTTTCATGAGAGACGGTATGATATTCTTGGGAGATTGGTAGATTTTTCCTATAGCAACGTACTTCTGGAAAATGTCTAGATATAAACAACGGATGATGCCTGAATGTCATACTCTTTTTCGTTTGTATTACTATTGGATAGTGGATACTGTTTCTGAAGATATTGAAAAAAGAAAAAATGTCATTTTCATTTCTATTATATTCATTGATATCTAAATTGAGATGCTTTATGGCGTCATTTTAGTTCGCCGACCTTTCTTTTCTTTAGTTATGGAATTTGTTTGTTATGGTTGGCTTTGAATCTAATCCTTTGTTTTATATATTAGTTTATGGAATTTGTTTGTTATGGTTTGGCTTTGGAATCTAATCCTTTGTTATATATATATATATATTATATTATAATAAATATTAATATAATTGAATATTGAAAGCAGGTTTAACTTTCATATAATAATATAATATAATGAATTGAAGCAGGTTAACTTTTCATATAAAGGCATTCCCGCAGGTCAACTAATTTATACAAAGCAACAGTGATGAATCAGAATTGTCATCTCTAATTTCAACTAACAACTTTCTTACTGTTTCCTATACCTGAAGAAGGTTCTGTGCTTGTTTTACTGAGTTAAGCAGGAGAGAGCAAAACAACAATGGGGAATAGAGGGCCATCACCATTAGTACCATCACTAATGGTGGGAGCTTTAGGTTTGATTGTATTTGGTCCTATGTTGATGACTCTTATGGAATATGTGTTGCCTCTGTTTCAATGGCAAGCAGGTGGTGAAGATGTTGCGTTTTCTTTCGCTGTGGTGCTTCCTCTTCTACTGATAGTTCTTGTCCACTTGATTTCTGCATCATGTCCTAGATTTGGCACATGTTTTGCTTCAGGGTACCAAGCTGTTAGCTCTGGCTCTGATGCTGATGGATATGGTTTGGGAACATTACTTTTAGTTGTGCTCTTCTTTATTTTGTATAATATATGGTGAGAAGATTACTTTCTTTAAAGTGTTTGCGTTGTTTTTTTCTATTCCTTGCAATATAGTCTTATGTCCACCCACCAAAAGCCATAGGAAATGGTGTCTTAAGACCAGGTTTTAAGGATTTTTAATATTTGCGTAGAATTATTTAAGAAGTTACAGTTTAGGATAGAAAGGAAATTTCATAATAGAAACATGTACATATATCTCAAGACAAATGCCCCATTCAGTAAAAATAAAAAGAGACTGCAGAATTAGTTAGACCATAACTTGCAATGGACATTGCCTTTTTAACTATGTTGGGATTAATGTCTGTCATCCTTGTACATTTTAACATATACATATGCTAGTAAAAAAAAAAAAAACATGATTCTTATCCATTATTATTCAGTCTACATCATAAGAATTTTTTGATTATGATTTGTTTTTAGTCCTTTTTTTTATTTGATAAAAATGTTAAAGTGACTTGATAATAACTATATAAATCCTTTTGACTACAAAGCACAAAAGAAAGGCTTCTTGTTATATTTTACTCAAACTCAGATAATGGTGGATTTCTCATTATAACGAGATATGTTCATTGCATGTACAGGACAATCCTCTCATACATCATTCAGCAGTAATTGTCTAAAATTTGGGGAAGGCAATGTTTTTTTTTCATAAAAAAAATCCCCAAAATCTTTCAGAAACACAGTTGAAGCATTTGAAGGAAAATATTGAAGGAACAAGATATGATGTTAATAAAATTTAAGATCACGAATTTGAAAAAAGAACTAGCAACGCGGGGAATTTGTCAACAAATTGTTATGCAAAACAAAACAATAACATTAGATCTAGCTCTTTGGTATGTTTACACCAACAATCTTAGCTGGTGCTATACGTAGAAGATTTCCTGGTTTGCCAGGGACAGCACCTTTGATCATCACTACACGAAGATCATTATCAATTTTAACAATCTTGAGCTTTCTTATCTTTCTTTTTGTTCCACCCATTCGACCAGGCATCTTCTTCCCCTTGTATACACGACCAGGTGTTGTTCCAGCACCAATTGATCCCAGTGCTCTATGACTCTTGGAACCATGACTCATTGGACCCCTTTTAAAATTGTGCCTCTTAATTCCACCTGCAAGTGATTGTGAAAACAAAAGCAGGGAATCAGGCACCACCACTGTGTACTGAGTTCTAAATTATCCATACAACAGAAGCACTCTACTCAAATTAACAAGAGAATATGAAATAGACCACTGAACCAAAAGAATATGAAGAAAACATAAGTTATAATACAAAGAAAAGCAACACCAAAAATAACGATCCTAAATGAACTCATGACAAATTATGATATCACACGCTAATGGATGTAGGTCCATTTTGACATTGCAAGCTCATGGCAACAGCACATTTTAACTGATGAATTGAATGCTACCATAAAGTGAATGTATGCACTTCACTTGGCTTTTTCCAAGCAAATATGTATATACATATGCCGACATCCTATAGCTGTCGGCAATTCTTAGAGGATTACTGAATTAATTAAATCAGGTAAAAGGGGTTCATTTGGGAGAGCATCAATGAAGCCTTGCTCGTTACTTCATTGGAAAGCCTTGCAAGTGATAAGATGCAGGTTGCAGAGATGCTGTGGAACAGCTATTTCATCAACTGGAATTTTCACACACATTTTTTCCTTCTATTTATATTGTTGTCATTTAATATCTTGCCATAAGATCATTAGATTAGTATCAAACTCCATCAATTAACACCAAAATGCTTATTTTCGAGGACACTCTCTCATCAAATCAGCTTCATGGTTCTGACACAGGATATTCAGACCTAGTGCCAAGTTTTTTTTCCTACCATTGTAACACAAGCAACATGGCTCCCAAACCCACTTGCTGTCATTGTTAGGGACAAGATTATGCACATCTATGCTTATGCATATAAAAGATAGAAATTCTTGGATTAGGACTACCCATCGATGAAGTGCAGCAGTTTTATAATGCAGGTATTGAAACTATACATAGAAACACATTACAGTTTTATTCAAATTGATCAAAGATGCTAAAGCTGTTGAGGATAGAAATAAATATCTTCATGAAAATGCTACGAAAGAAACAGAAACCATATCAAAATAATCCACACGATATTGTCATCAAAAAGAAAAAAAAAAAAAAAAAAAAATCAACAAAGATAAAAAAAAAAAAAAAAAAAAATCAAGATAAACAATTGATCAAAAAAAAAAAAAAAAAAAAAAAATCAAGCATAAACAATTGATCTGAACTCTTAACATTTCCCTGAAATCCTCAAACTTTTTAGCTCCTCATCAATAAGAATCTATTGCTTTCAATATCTTACAAAAAAACAGCAACAGATATACCTTTTAAGCAATTCTCAGTATTCTTTCTCAAAAATGAAAGAAAATAATTTAAAAAAAAATTAAGAGCTCAGTTGCTATCATATTCACCAATAATCCCCAGCATGACAAAGCATTCCACACAATAAAACAAACAAACACCAAGAAAGCCAAACATAAATAAACAAACAAATCAAGAGTGAAAAAAGATCAAACCTTGAAACCCTTTGCCAATGGTTGTCCCGGAGACGTCAACAAGGTCCCCCTCCTTAAAAATCTCCTCAAAGACCAATTTTTGCCCAGTCTCAAACCCATCAATACTCTGCAGCCTAAACTCCTGCAAATGCCTCATGGGTATAACGCCAGCCTTCTCCAAATGACCCAGTTCAGGCTTTGTCAGCTTTTTATCCCTAACCCTTCTATAACCCACCTGAACTGCATCATACCCGTCGGTGGACTGAGACTTAATTTGCGTTATAATGTTTCCTTCTCGAAACCCAACTACAGTTACTGGCACAACTGTTCCATCAGGCTCAAAGTAACTCATCATACCAAGTTTAGTCCCCATCACACCAATTCCAGCTTCAAAGCTCATTGCAACGATGGTGAGGCCAAATTTCTTGCTTCTATTAGTGCAAGTGGTGTAACTCAGTTGGTTTTTGGAGCGGGAAAGAAGTGGGTTTTTTGTGACAGGTGAAAGGAAATTGCATTTTAGGGAAGTGGTAGGGGTTCTGGTTTTAACAAGTGACGCAGTGCAATAGCAATGATTCAATGGCGAAACAGCTGAGATTGGCATCTTTATGATTTGACTTGGGAATTGGGTTTTGAAGGTACTTACTCTCATTTGATAGAAAGAGAGAGGAAAACAGAGAGGAGATAGAGCAGAGAGAGGCCAAAGGAACGGTTTTTCCCATTTCCCCTTCTCTTATCCTTAATTAAGCCTTAGGGAGAGTCCGGAATCTTGTGTGTTGCATTCCACGGTAAAGTGTATAACCAAATAAGCGAGGCATTCTGATACGCTGCCTATATAAATACACACGGCCAAAAAGTCATCTCAATTTCATTTGCTTTAGCAAATTTATAATCCTTTCAAACAAACTGAACGATGCTAATTTTTGGCTTGAAGAAAATTTTCCATATTTATTCTTAAAATAAGTTAAATAGCGAATCCAGTTAGCTCATCTCCTAAGCAATTAACTCCATTCTATCTCATTGTTGATGCTTTGTATGTTGATGAATTTGCTATTTTTCTTTTTAAAAAAAAGGTTAAATATGTTTTATTTTATAACAAAAAAAAAAAAAAAAACGTTTTAATTTTAGAAAACTTTAATTTTAAAAATGGAAAGCAAATCATTCACCCACAGTTTCATTCAGATGGCTGTCAATGAAGCATTTGGTCCTACTGATTTCAAGTAATCTGAAATTGGAATGTGTATTATCCATATAGGGATCCTCAGATTGATCTCAAAAAATCACATTTTTGTTCTAAAATAAAATAACTTCAAACAAGTTTTGCCTATTCTTGTTGATTTCACTCCTAAACATGCTTAAATTGATACAGTGCAGGCTTAAATTGCCCTTACAAATGGCACACAAATAGAGCATTTCGTCGCTCTATACCATTCATTATTATTATCTTTGATCAGTTAAAAATGGTAATAGCCAGATACAAAATTTCTCTTTCTACTCTCTAATAATGAACAACAAATGGGTTGAAGGGTCCTCATATATCAGCGGAATCATGAATCTCCTGCACCCAAAAAAAAAAAAAAAAAAAAAAAAAACCCAAAAAAAAAAAAAAAAAAAAAAAAAAGAAAAACAGAAGAAAACAATTAAAGGTTCTTTTTCCTGCTTCTTTTGACTTCCCAGAAAAAATAAAAAAGGCAGTTGATGTTATCGACTCACCTAAAAAAAAAAAAAAAAAAAAAAAAAAGAAAACAGAAGAAACAATTAAAGTTCTTTTCCTGCTTCTTTTGACTTCCCAGAAAAATAAAAAGCAGTTGATGTTATCGACTCACCTTGTTCTCAAGTACTACTCCATCAGGAATTTCTAATTTTACTCCAGGCTCAGCAACAATACTTACTCTCCCCTTCAATAATGAAACATCATAGAGATTCAGAATAATAATAGTACTTCCCAATAGAAACAAACCATCATAGTTATAAATAGCATACTTGTCACTTCCCAAAATCAGCCTTACGAACTGTTAATATCCAACCTCTTGCATCAAAGAAACTATTTGATACAATATTTGTAAAACAAGGAAAAGAACAAAAAAGAAGAATAAAGACTATTAAGTCCAGACTATTCCCCTTTTCTCTTGTTTGCTCTCAGACCAGAGGCTAATATTTCATTTTTTGTCTTTCTTTGTAGTTTTCCACCTTTTGATGGGTGTTTTGGATTAGTTTATTGAAATATTGTTGTCATCCCATGAATTTTCACCAAACAAACAGAAGATAAGGCATAACAAACTACAATACCTTAAGAGTTATGCCAGCACCAAACCACACATCACCAGTCACCTTCAAGCTATCAAGCTCAACTACACTAGGGATGGATTTGAAGCGACTTAGAAAGTCACTGACCTGAAGGAAGAAAATGACATCAGAGCAAGTAGCATGCATGTAAAGCATTGGTGAAAAGCATTTACGTTTACCTTTGCAAATTCAGGTCCTAAATCAATAGATGGATTCACTGGATTAGCTCTAGCTGTATTTCGAACTAGGACGCCTTCAGCAGATGAATACAGATCTGACTGCAGAGACAGAAATAGAATAGCTAAGCCTTAAATCAAGATTCAAATATTCTCCGGTTCTATCATCACAATGTATCCAAGAAGAGAGTTTCCAATACCTGGATAAGCAGTAAGTCTGATGTTGTATTTAGTGGAACAAACCGAGATTGAGGTACAATTACGCCAATAGGCTGACTAAATAACTGGCACAACCATAAAAATTTATTAACTTGAGAAATTAACCAACAGTAATTATACCAAGCACAGGAAGGGAATATATATGAGATGAATACCCCCATTGCCGATCCAACTGATGTTTCTTGTGGAAGTATTTTATTGCTATCTATTCCCTGGAAACAAAAATAATTTCACTTATTCCATGGTCATTGTTCAGAAAGCCTATCTGGTTAGTAAATAACAATAAAGAGATGCCAAGTACAATGATTCTACACCTTCAGTGCATCAGTATCCACAAGCCTTTTGATGGCTTTCAAATTCATCCATCTGGGCGAAAAAACAAAAATCTAGGGTTATGCGAGAATTTAAATGAAAAAGTACTCAATTGAGAAGCCGACTCACGAGCTTCTTGTATCAATAAATTCGAACTCCTCCATTGCCTACATTTTTTGTTGATCATAAAAAAAACAAAGAAAAAACAAAAAGAAGTCAATAAAAGCACAAGAGAATTCCTTAATATAACAATAGAAATCATGACAGCCTAAGCAGCCCAAAATTATATTCAAAAATAGAGTTAAAGCAAACAGAAAGTGTCCACTGAGGCCCCTCCCCCAAACAAAAAAAAGAAAAAAAACTCAAAGAAAGAAGACCCTTATGGAATACAAGAAAGAGAATTATAACTCACATGCTTTGAAAGATCCCGTTTAATTTTTCCGAGCTGCATCACATTGACAGAGAAATGTTACTGGGAGCAATCACCAAACATAACCAAATAAAATTTAACAACTACTTGATATAGTTAGAAAGTTCCTTGTTAGGGGCATCAAAAGAAGGGAAATTAATAAGAATCAAGGAACATTCGACCTGAACCCTTCCTTGGCGCTGACTAATCAAATTATTCTCCAAGTAAGTTGCTGTGGTTGGCGTCACCTGTAAATTTTAAGAGCTAAACACTTTTTCTGAGTGAAAACAGCAAAATAATTATTAGTCCATCACTTGGTACCTCCATACAGTATTCAATCTCATTTTGGATCAAATGATTCAAGATTTCTGGAAAAATGAAAAATCAAGGCGAACAAGTGTCGAGATAAGCACCCTTCAAGAATTGATAAAACAAAAATGCATAAAACTCAAAGTAATACCAAAATATAATTATTAAAACAAAAGAAATGCAATGAGGATACTAGGATCAACAAAAGCAGCAATGTTATCTGAGCTAACCACATGCACATACTCCTTTCCCTGCAAAACAAGTTGAAGAACAGCATCCATAAAAAATTTATAATATCCCTTCTCATAGACACGGTACTATTGCATTTCTTAGATGAACATTATTGTCATCAATTTGATTTAAAACAACATAATACAGTGTTCCAACCAAACAAGGAGAATACCTGTGACAGCAACACATCTATAGTTCCACTGTTCATCAGGGAAAGGAACACTGCAGCATCCTCAGAAGGATACCTTCATATGGAAAATGTTAGTGTATCCCTTTAGAAAGTTTCAACTAACAGAGACTAAAAACATAAGATCATTAAGCAAATGAACAGAATAAAATCTATCACAATTCTGTAAGTTGTCTAAGCTGATAAATTTGTCAATGAGAACCTTAAGATTTTTGGCAAAAGTAATAAAATTTTGGAAAGTTTGAAAAGAAAGGACGAGAAAGAGGGGAAAGGAAAAAAACAAAACATTAAAATCAAACTGTTCTGTAACAAGTATGTCTAATCACAAAGCATAAGTCATTTAAAGATGATTCCAGTAAGACAGAGACACTAGAACTACATATTTTTTCTCTTTAATTTTCTTTTGAGCCTACAAAAATTTTTAGCAAATTCCAAGACTTTTTTCATAACACTATAATTCATTCTTCATATCCATTCAGATTTGATGCTAATTACTTAGCAGCTGCAGTAAAACCACCAGAGTATAAAATATAAGAAAGCAACAGTGTCAAGAAATAAAAATCATAAAAGAAATCAAAGCCATCCTTAAATTTCAGCAATTAATTTTCTCGCACAACACTTCTTCTGCACCTTGAACAAAAGCAAAACAGTCTGTACAGGTAAAAGAAAAAATATGTGTAAAGAAAGAAAGAATCACATACAATTTGTCCTTGCTGTTTTGCTCGTCAAGAGAATCCTGTTGAATATATTGACCCAGCATAAATCAGATCACGCATGGGAGAGTAAGTTATAAATAACATTGTTACTTGATCAACCCAACAAAGACCAATTCAAAATAATTGACCTATAAACTTATTCTTTGATAACAGACACTACATTATAAAAAAGAGAGAAATTGCACACCAAGCTCAGGGGAAGAAAGTCAATGCTAGACTTGGAATATTTCCTCAGAGCCTACACCAGAAAAACTTGCAATTGGTGGATTTAATTATGGGATCCACAAAAAGAAAATGGAAAAATAAAATCACCTTCAATGTATCATCGTGTGTACTAGTTCCATTCAAAAGCATCAAAGGTATATGACACCCATACTGGGAATTGAGCGACTGGAAAATTACAAAAGTTGAACACGTGAAACCAAACACAAGATTGTAACAACGATACTCAACAGAAAGAGCCAGAGACTTACCTGAATTCGATTAACGATTAGGTCAAGAGAAGTCAAACCATTTTGAACTTGAATTGCAGACCTGTGTGCAAGAATAGGGTATAATTGAGCATAAATTCAGAAATGAGTTAACAGTCAAACTTTATTCACAAGAAACTATTGCATGAACAGAGTATATAACTTAAAAAAAATGAAACAATGATGTAAACTAAGTTACCATTCTATAACTTGAAGTCAGTGAGCATCTTTTTATAATAGCCATTGTCTTTTTTAAAGAAAACAATAAAATATGTAAAATTTTTCCGGAAAATGGAAAACAATGTCCATTGAATCAGGCTGAGGGAGAAACTTGTTACTATCAAACTGAAATTTTTAAGAGAGAGATTTCTTAGTTGCAGAAACAAAGCAAAAACAGATGGACATGAAGAGAATCTCAATTGGGAGATAGAGTAGTAGTTTTATAGTTGTAATGCAACTACCTAGCTATAAATCACTACATACAAACACACGAGAAAGCAAACATGCATCTGCAGCCAGCAGAGCATGTGTTCCAATCCCATTGAGCTCAATCACATAAACGGAAATCATTTTTTCTATGTTTTTCTCCTTTACTTTTTCTTCTATTTATAAAATAATGAACAAACATACAGTAAATTTTTTTTTCACCTAACAAAGGGACAGTTACTAACTTCATGGTTCACTCCATAATGAAGATTACTGAGCTAAGTATTAGTGTCATCTGTACTAAAAAAATTGAAATATCCTCAATATTTCAATTACATAAAATTGTTTTACACACCCAGGGTCAGGATAAGTGCTTACTTGGGGCCACTGAACCCCACTGCAGTTCCGAAAGCACCATTGAATTTCACAACCACAAGCTTGTCCAACAGCTGCTTAATTTCTGCAACGTCTGCATTTAACCCGGGCATTTTCTTTAAGTGAACAGGAAAAGGAGGAGAGGGATGGAACTAAACAAGCTGAAATTTTCAATTTTCTCTAAGTAGACAAACAACAAGTTGAATTCCATTACCATTAGAAGCAGGTGCTAAGTTCTGATAAGGAACAACAAGCAATTCATCAACTGGAGTGCCGACCTTGCTCTCACTCTTACTTTGCTCAATCTGTTGCACTTTAACCCTTCAGTGCAGAATTTATCATCACATCAATCAAATAATTGACAACGCCAAAACAAAAATAGGAAAACCTTGGCATTATTAATCCAAACCAGCAACCTATTGCATCAAATGAACATAAAGTTGTACAACAAGCCAGACACAAGCCAGAAAAGGAATTCTGTAAAAGATTAGTAAACTTTGTAATTGCAAATTATTTTCTTTCCTTTAATCTGAAAGGCTAGAAGTAAATTCTTATTGGTTAGTCGCAGTCCAAAACTCAACTCAAGATTAAGGAAGTAGAATTCCCCGCCAATTTCCAGAAACAGCACTAGTAAAATCAAGTTCCTATCTTGTAAAATACAAATTATAAATATGACCAAGTAAAGTCATAAGTTACCCAGTTTCTTTCTTAGAAACATCAAGCTCTTCTTTAACATCATCTCCCTTCGATTCTTTTAACTTCTTCTGCTCAAACAAGAACGTCTTGGTAATCATATTGCAGAACAAGTACACGAACTGAACTGAATCATTAGCAGGCACTGGATATGCAATCCTCTTATAATATTCCCATGGCATACTGGAATCTACCAGAGCCACAATTGGAACCTGGAGTCTATCAGCCTCCACAATCACGGAACTCTTCCTTTCTGTGTCTAACACGACGACACAGTCTGGCGGTTGTATTGGTCCAAAACAAACCTTTACCATAAGAAATGGAAAAAATACATTTAATCAACAGAAAAAAAAAAACAGTTTTTTCGATTGATGATTCTTGAAAAGAACAAACCTTTTTATTTCTGGATCTAAATTTTTTAGGACTAAAACTATTTGTCAAAAAGCCGCCCATTCTCCACATAATATTATCTCTTGGACTATACAGCCCAATCTTCTTCGTCATTTGTTCCACGATCTCATCAAACAGAGGATTCGTATTAACAAATAGAAACCGAGCTTTCTTGTCACGAGCTAGATGCGAAATAAAGCTGGCAGCATTTCGAAGACAAATTAGGGTTTTATCAGAATCGATTATAGCTTGCGAATTTCGCATTCCAAAAGTAAAGATCTTGAAGTGATGGGCGGCTACGCGACGGCCCAAATGGGCATTTGTGCTTAGTAGTTTCTGGATTACAATGGAGTGAATCGTCATATCGATATCGATATCGATTTCGATTTCGGCGGCGCTGCTGGAGGATTGGAAATATCAAGGAATTAAATAATGAAAATTCGCTCCATATATAGAGAGAGCTAGTCGAATAGTGTAATTGTAGAGATTTTTGAGTTACTCTTTCAGTTTTTACCTGCAACGAAAAAGACGAAGAAAAAAGAAGAAGAAGGGACGGTGATGATAGGGTTTATGGGGTTTTTGGATGGGCCTGAACTTGAAGAGTCCATTAATTATCTAAGATCCACAAAGAATTTTTTTTTCCTTTCTGCCTTTTTTGTTATTATTATTAAATTATTGTTAAACGACCATTTGTTGGACACAAAAAGGAACAATTTCAAATATTATAGGACCCGCCGTTTAATTAGCATGGACAAAACGTTTCGAACAAAGCCACTGCTTTTTCCTTATTACTAAAAAACGACAAAAGAACTAAACTTCCTAAAAAAAGTTAAACGACAGACTGATGTGATGGACATTTGCTGAGTTACTGAATTTGCACTGTGAGAACTTTGAAGTGAACAAACTGAGCCTAATTGAAATTTAAGCTCAAGTTTAATATATATATATTACTAAAAAACGACAAAAGAAACTAAACTTTCCTAAAAAAGTTTAAACGACAGGACTGATTTGTGGATGGACATTTGCTGAGGTTTACTGAATTTGCCACTGTGAGAACTTTGAATGAACAACTTTGAGCTATTGAAATTTTTAAGCTCAAGTTTAATTATATATATATATATATATATATATATATATATATTATATATATATATATAATATATATATTTTATATTTTATTTTTATTTATTTATTTATTTATTTATTTCTTTTTGTCAACAAGCCAATCTTAAACGAGCTCGAGCAGGACTCATCAATCAAACAAGTTTAAAAATTTGGTTCAAACTTGGTTTATTGAGAAAACAAACTCCTCACTTTTATCGAACCAAGACTCAAGACGATTTAGTTTATTGACAACCCTATGTGATAGCAAATGGCTGGATTATACACTCGGATCAGATCAATAGCCAACTAAAAATGAACTTGCAGACCTCATAGATGTTTAATGGGTAATAGAACTATAAGGTAAATTTTAAGCCAAAATATATAGCATACATTACTTCCATATGACTATTGCCATTGTGTGCAGCTCTTACAAGCTGAATTCCGACAGAACTTTCATGAGAGCTTGCTTGGTTAGATCCATCAGTTGCTGCTGCTGCTGCTGCGCCATTGTGTGCAGCTCTTACAAGCTGAATTCCGACAGAACTTTCATGAGAGCTTGCTTGGTTAGATCCATCAGTTGCTGCTGCTGCTGCTGCGCCATTGTGTGCAGCTCTTACAAGCTGAATTCCGACAGAACTTTCATGAGAGCTTGCTTGGTTAGATCCATCAGTTGCTGCTGCTGCTGCTGCGCCATTGTGTGCAGCTCTTACAAGCTGAATTCCGACAGAACTTTCATGAGAGCTTGCTTGGTTAGATCCATCAGTTGCTGCTGCTGCTCTTAAGCCTTTCTTCTTCTTCGCTTTTTGTGCCCAACCAACAATGCCAGCTTGAATATGATCATCAAATATAGCTCTTTTGAAAGAACTTCCCATCTTCATTTCATTGCACCAGAAAAAAAAAAGGTCAAGATTGATCATTTCACAAAAGATTATGCAGTTAAAAGCAGTTGTACCTACCTGTGTGACAATGGCATAAAGTGGAAGAGTGCTGTAACTGCAGAGTATCTGAATGATTACCCTAAATAAATAAGGAAAAAAAAAAAACGGTGAAATCATCACGTAGCATACTGAAAAGTAGCTCTTGACAAAAATCTAGTAAGGTATATATAAAAAAAAAAAGGTGAGTAGTTTCTACCCAATAATTAGCCTGGGCACGATATATCTGACTTGTCCCATTATACAGGAATCAAAGCCATATTGAACCTACAAAGATATAGAACTAGTATGATAAATGTCCATCTCAACTCAACAAATTCATATAAAGGGCAAGCCATAAAAACTTAGCTTACCCATATCCAGAAGAAAAATGCAATCTCAAAAGCATTTTGGAAGAGGATGAAATGAATTAAGAATAGGACAATGTGGGGGCGGCCGAACCAAAAGTGATCATCTGACGGTTTAACTATTAAGTCCCCTTCTATGGCTACATGTTTCTCAGCAACATCATGAGCCAATTGGATGATTACGTGCTCCAGCTTGGTGCCCACAGCAAGTAGAAGCTGCAAAATAGAACATAAGTGAAACTTGGCACAAATGGAACAGAAGAGTGAAAAATTCAAATAATTTCCATTGGTGCAATTTTTACATTTTGCAAGAGGGCCCCAAATGCTGATTTTTGGGATTAATTTTTAGTATACATCCATAAATGGAACGGTATTATACATGTGTGACCAACAACTTATCTGGAAAAAAAAAATGTCCAAAATGCACTCATGCGAGAAGTTGTTCACAAAATTTACTGATGTGAACTAAAAATTAAGCATGTTAAAGAATGGACATCCCTCTGGAGTGATACAGTGCATGTGCATGTTTCTGTCCATGATTACAAAAGAGTCATCAAGCACTATTGGAATGTGAATTCTGCAATCCATAGATCAAAGCCCATTTGCTTATGGAATGTAAAAATGGCTTCTGAGTTCTTGCAGATGTAAGGGCACAATCAGGCATTCAATGGCAAAGAAACCATAGTAGAGTTGATTAATCAACAATAAGAACTCCAACAGCTTCTCTTTGTCAAACATATGATAGGAAAAGTAATGCAATCCCTCATTCAACAACAATACTATTTGTTGTCAATAGCTCTTGGAACAATAACTTGAATTATAAAGTAATTATGATATAATGGATCTTAACTCTTCAGTTAGCGATTTTCTTCACAAGGAGAGGACACAAGATCTGATAAAGACAGAAAGCATGTCTAAAGGTGACAGCACTAGAAAGGAAATTATATCAATTCTACTCACAGCAAAAGGAATGAAAGCTATCCAGAAATATGTATGCCAGCCTGTAAAGGAGAAAACAATACTATAAGTACAATTTGACAACAGCATATGCCACAAAAGCAGTTAGAGAATGCAAAAACGATAAAGCAACAGTTAGTATAACAATAAGTGACCAAAGAATGCACAACAGACTCGAGAAAAATCCTGCTGCAGTATGTTTATTGGACTCCAGAATTGATATCAGATATGGGTACATGTCAGGAAGTCAAACATGCATATTTTCAAAAGATCCCATTGTTCAAAAAGCAAAGTAACTCTTATGTCCAACCAACCCATATTTCACATACCCTTTAACTCAGAATAACAATTTAACTCTTATTTCCAATTTTTTTGGGCTGAGGCCTGAGATTGATTGAGCTATAGAAGTTTGACATGATATCATAAAAATATGAGGAATGCTAACAACATTTGGAAATTGGCTCTAAGGTATGAAAGATTGTTGGAGTAGCACCATACCATTAACATTCAGCAATAAGAAAATGATCACAAATATCCAAAGATACCAACTGCAGGCCAAGAAAATTAGGAGAATCAAGAATAACAGTTAGCAAATCAACAACAAAGTTCGAAGTAATAAATCTAATCTTAATGATACAAAAGATTTAGCACTTGCCTTATACCAACAACCGTCTTAAAGTCATCTTCAAGGGCTCGTACCATGTAGGCATGAAAATTAAACTTTGGATTTGTTTTGCAGTGTGTCTACACCAAAAACAATAAATGGTTAAGTAAACATGCATTCATATGCAATACAGAAAAGATCAATAAATAAGCCAAGTGTCTATAGAAAAAACAATTTTACCGTGATGAAACCTAGCCGCAGAGTTATGTAATCTGATTTTGTTACAGATGCATAGAATTGCTTGAAAAAAGAATGCTGCAGAAACGAACAAAAAATAAGGGGAAAAATGTTGTTGAAATAATTCAAATTTGCAGTTACCAAAAAGATGCCAGTTGTTATTATTCCAAAATTATTTTTGCGTTAAATTACTAGTGGTTTAAACAGTTTTTATTTGCACAGTTTTGAAGCAAGAAAATAATTAACCAAAGTTAATTATTAAATTATTTCCCATTAGTCATATTATCAGAAGAAAGACAAAGCCACCAAGGAACCTATTAACCTAAAAACCTATGCATGTAGTTGAGTACCCAGGAATATGCTTTATCCTTAAGTACACCTTACATGCAGTTCCTGAGGGGTTAAATTTTATTACTCAGCATAAAAAGTAAAACATGCATCACATCCTTTCTGCACATTAAACGGAAAGATAAATTTCATCGGTGAACCTCTCAATTTAAAATCTCAAGTCAAGCTTGTCAGGCTAGAAATAAGAATAGGAAAACTAGGATTTGAAGTCTTCCAATTGATAAAGGATTTCATTATTAGTGATCCACTCAAACTTGTATGCGATGGTTCAAAAATAAGTTTTATTTGCTAGCATATCCATCTCTTCAGAGTACTGCTATCTTATTATGCACAAAATACTTTATCCTCCATCAAATATTTCCCCCAATAGTCTAAGATGCGCGCATCAAATTGTATACTTTGCATCATAAGCTAGAAAGGAAAAACACATATCACTCCAGCTTGTAGATGGTAGCTCATAGATAAGATTACAAATCCATCTCGTTAAATCACAAACCAAACATGATCATGAGTCTTACAAAGCAGATGAGAAGTTTTTTGGAGCTAAGTAAATTGTAACTACGAAGACAGAGACCCAGAAAAGGACTGTGTTGCTATGTCCAAAAGTCTGAATGAGGTCAAACAACTTCATTAGTTCTTGCCATAAAAAATTCCCTGCCTATGCATAGACAGTTTCTGAACCAAATGAAGGCATGTCTCTCACATGTGGAAGGGTCAGAGCACAGAAAGATGATTAGATTCTAACAAAAAACATAAGTATTTAGAAAAAGAGTGCACTTCATGAATATTTAACTTAATGTAAAAATATGGCAAATAGATAAGATGGTAACTTACCACCCAACCTAACAGAATTGAATCTTTACCAATGCCCAGAAAATGCTCCTGGATAAATGTATGCTGATGGACGTTGGTAACCTTTTTCATAATAACTGGAATACCACAATTCATAAAACAGATGCAATAAGCATAAATATAAACTGTCACGACATCTTTCTAAGGAATTAAGAAGAAGAGCACAGTCTTATTTTTCTGTTTTCTTCACTAGGTCAGTTAATCATCCAGTTAGGCACAAAGTTAAAATCCAAAACGAAACTCTGTTTGAACAACTTGAATTAATCATTTTCATGCTATGCACAGGCATAACATGCATCAGCTGACCATAGAGTTTAGTGCATGACAAGTGGAAAAGGTATGTAAATAATGCTAAACATTCTTACCTTCCTCTGTATCATATCGATCTTTTGCAATTGAGTTCTCCCAGTGCTGCCATTGACGAATCTAATTAAACAAAAACAAAATAAAAAATGAATCTTTGGAAAGAAAAAAATAAAATAACTCCACCACAATTAGAAATTAAAGATAACATAAAGAATTGTATCAGATGCTCACCCTTGCCCCTCCAAACAGAACAGTAAGCACGCAGAACGTAACATGGACAATGGCTAGGACAAAGATAAAGATATGTAAATGATGTAGAGCTTCTATAGATAACAATGGCACCTTACCCTGAAGAAACAGGAGTAAAAGCATGAAAACAATGAGAATGCATCATTCTGATTTAGTTTTTACAGCTACATAAACCTAGAACATGAAACAACCATGAACTCCAAAAACCAGTGCGACATGACATATCTACACCTATGTTGTAACCCAATCTGACAAAAGCAACTGCACTGATCAGATTCCTTTATTTCCTTCACATATGTTTCACCTTTTCATTTTTAGTGGAAGAAAGGGTGGATATTTTCATATTGGCTAGGATAGCCAAGTGATCTCACAAGTCACTAAGAGGTTCATCTGTATTTAGCACAGTCCATTTAAACCATATAAAAGGCTAATGTGTCCGACAAGACTAGACTACAATTGTTCTCAAGAATTCAATGAATGACTTGTTTTTACAATCATATCTATTTCTTTCATTGACATGATTGAGAAACTCCATTGCAACAAATGCATCAGATGCCATTAACCTCTCATTGCTTTAAACGTTTCATATGAAAATGATAATGATCAGAAAGAAAATTCTTATAGCAATTATTAAACCAAAACAAGCAAAAATGAAGCAATTGACTAGTAAGTAAGGTTAAGAAATTGGGCTACTATTAAAAACTAAACAGTAAAATTCATGACTTTAGTATTTTATATTTTAATCATCAAAAATAATACTAATCTAATTAAGTAGACAACTCCCTTCCAACAACTACAGAAGGTGTCATTGAACTCTTGCTGTTACAATCGCAAATACATGAATAGAGAAGCATAAGAATACAAACAGCGGCAGATGATATAATTCTACCTTTCTGGCACAATAACCAAGCTGGGATTCCGCTGATTCAGCCAGAAGACGCCTAGCGGTACCAGAAATTCTAGAAGTAGAGAACCTCTGAAAATGTTCAGTTGTTGTAGTGTTGGATTCATGTCCTCCTTTTTCAGAGAGACTACAAGGAAGCATATTATTTATCACATGCTCAGGTACACAGATTTTGGAGAGCAAGCCCTGAGATACTGTTAATAACAATGATATGAAACCCAGAAGCATCAACTCTGCCAATTAAAACACAAAAGTGAATATTTCGAAATCTGAAACAGGAAAATAAAAACCAATTTTGAATTTACACACACACACACACACACGCAGACGCATACATATTTATGTAGCAGGAAAACCCCCAAAAAAAATTCAAAATTTCAGAGGTAACTTGTCTGCCTTAAATAAATTTTAACAAATATAGACACGAAATTTTTTATGATAATGCAGAATGTAGAAAGAAGAGAACTCTGTATCATTTACATATCTTATAGCATAATTCACAATAAACAACTGTGTTTGTTCATATATTGTAGAATTTCAGAAAAGAGTTATCATCTTCATTAACAATTTTCATCAATTTCGCTTTGCATTCCAAATATTCCCAACAAAAAAATTCTCCTTGAGGAAGAGTGTATGAGAAATCCAAGTGTCTTCTACATTTTCTCCAAAAAGGGTCTATCTTTTTCTCTCTCTACATGTCCATAAACATCAATATATCTTGAACATAAAAAAAAAAAAAAAAATGTAAATGTCTCTACATTGTCCATAAACATCATATATCTTGAACATAAAAAAAAAAAAAAAAAAAAATGTAAATGCAAAACCCGATTGGAGAGAGAGACGGGTTCCAAAAAAAGATACCTTCTTTAACTTTTTGGAGGGCTTCATAAAGGGGTTTCTGGTTCTTCTTCTTAAGATATTTGCCACCATAATGAATAGATCTCTCTACAGCCAAAGATATAGCTACAATCACTGTACACACAGCAGCCACCACCCATGTGGGTGTGAACTCTAATGAAACTCCTTCTTCACTTCCTCCACCAGACATCTTCTTTTTCTTTTTCCCTCTCCACCTGCTCTTCCTCTGAGTATCTTATCCAACAACCTGAAGACTTATTACCGTACAAAGTGTAACTTTTTCAAAGTTAAAAATTATGGAAAAAAATCTTTTTTCTTTCCATAATTCAAAATTTTTTGGAACAAAATCGGGCAGTAGATATACTGTGTATTTTGTGATCAAAATTTAAAATAGTGAAAGTGGTTTTAATGTTGATTGTGTGAAATCGAAAAGCATTCGGATTTGAATTTTGTGGTCATTAGAGTAATGTATATATACAGAGAGAGTGTGTTCAGAAAAGAGAATCTTTGTCTTGTCAATCCACCCTGCGGGGGCAATGTGCAACACGTGTCTCGCTGTTTTTTATTTTAGGTTAATTGAAAACTCAATTAACATAATTAAACTTTTAATTTAAACTGCGAAAATTATTCAGAGTTCTTGCAAATATTAGATCCAAATTAGTAAATTTTATAAATATTTAGCTTTCAAATAAGATATCCTTACCATAATTAAACTGTTAATTTAAACACTTAATATTAGATATAAATTAGTAAACTTTATTGATACTTTATTTTTAATAAAATTTAGAAATATCTACAGTATTTACATGCTTTATTTTTATTATGAATTAATATTTAACTATTTATAAATTTTATCCTGATTTAACTGATAATTATATTCATTTTGTAAACTAATTATCTTTAAACAAGAAACATGCGAGTGATGTATAAATCTAATTTTAAACAATAATTCGGGAGAAAAAAAAATTATTTTTATTCCTAAGTTCATTTTATAAAAAGATAAATATATTAAAATACAACTCATTTTTAATTATTTTCTTCAATTTATGAAATATAACTTTTTCTGGGCTCCAAAATATTTTTATTAATATTTTCCTTTATTTAATATTTTTTTCTTAAGAAAAAATGACATTCTTTAATTATTTATGTCAATTAATTTTTTCCGTACATTTAAAAAAAATCATTTCTATTTCCAATCAAGGCAATATATTCTGATAAAATTAAAATCTTAAAAAAAAAAAAAAAAAAAAAAAAAAAAAAAAAAAAAAAAAAAAAAAAAAGAAAGATCATTTAGTTTGTTACATAAACAGCAACAAAAAAATCAAGAAAAATAATTATTAATTTTCATGTATATTAAAGATAAGCTTGTGGGTCTTCGATTATGACTATAACAATTTCCCTCAAATTTTAGCATAATTGTCACTTATTATTAGGCATGATGGTCGTGGACCACCTCATTCAGCAATTGAAGTATATATATATATAGTTCTTAAACATAAAAAAAGTGAAAAGTCCTCTAGGAAACATGCAAGCAATTCTTTATTATCTGCAATAAAAATAATGGAAAGAAAAGTAGTACACCCTATTAGATCTTGAAACACAGGACCATGCTTATAAGCTTTTAAACTTTTCCAACATAATCTTCCAAAAGCAGCTGGGAACAAAATTTCTCTCCAAAATGTAGATGTAAGACTTTGATCGGTAGTAAAAAGAGTGGAGCACTGAAACTAAAAGCAAAGAGAACAGATTTTAAAGAAAATGACAAAAAAAAAAAAAAAAAAAAAAAAAAAAAAAAAGAGAAGAAAGACTCTGCTTAGCCTTTCTACTGTACAAAAGTCGTTGGCATTATTCTTTGATCAACATGAGCTTTTGAGCTCTCCAGGCATCAACATATTGAAACAATAATAAAAATCGAATATTTTTGAAGTACTTTAACGGAACCACAGTTTTGAAATCATTAGCTTTTTCTTTTTTTTTTTTTTTTTTTTTTTTTTTTAAAAATTAGACGAGAAAAGGAACTGATCGTTTTTTTTTTTTTTTTTTTTTTTTTTTTAAATTAGAACGAGAAAAGAACTGATCGTATATACAATATTCAAAACTTTACAATTTCTGTTTCCCATCTGATGCATTCTGGGTTGACATTTTTCGATATCCTTCAAATCAGGCTATCCAACCAACCACTAAAACCATCTTTTTCCCCAGTCTCCCACATAAGAAACATATATAGGAGTAATCAAAAAATTATATATGGGGAATGAAAAATGGCAAAAATAAGGACAGAAGAAAAAAAGAGAGAACTAATATTAAAACGTCAAAATTTCTTTTCCTAACTCAACAAGAAATATACACTTTGTACACAGAATGAGCAGCCCGAATTCACCCGTTGAGCTTGGATAAGAACTGGGTCAGATTGTACTCTTCAGTGTACTGTGATTGATCCCAAAGCTCCTCCAATCCCCCAAGGATGGCTTTTAAGCCTTTTCCGGTGCCCATTAATTTAGGATCTCCATCAGAGTTGCCATCTGAGCGCTTCGTAGTTCCCTGCTAAAAGAAAACAACATAAAATTTGTCAACCTAAAAAAGACCAATTCAACGTTTGATCTCAACACGAATGAATACTAAGTTCACAACACGATAAACTTCAAAACAAGGGATAACATGAAATATTTTCCCCGAACACAGTGACATTCCTATCAATACCTTTGTATTGGCTTCAGCTGATGCAAATAAATCGAGTAATTGGTCAGTATTCATTGTTTTCAGGCTGGCATTCTCTGCATTAATAACGGCATTAGCAACAGATAATTTAAACTTTTGGAGACTCATAACTTTCTCTTCGAGCGTGCCACGCATGATGAGGCGATGGACATTCACAACCTTCTTTTGACCTAATCTATGTGCCCTGTCCATGGCCTGCAAACATATTGAGGAAACATAAGATCAACAATGATTATGATACGACATGTAGATTTAGAAAAATAATCTGTAACGCTCTTGGATAGTTTATTGACATTTTAAAATTCGTACAAATAAAACATTCACATACAATTTTTGTATGCAGTGGAAAGCAAAGGTTGGTAGGCCATAGAAATGTCGCATAATATTATTTTAAATCCAAATCATCCACAATGAGCCAACTGCTGAATTGAAATCATTGTCACCAGCATTAGAAAGCTAATGCTAAAATGATAACCCTACCCACAAATTCCACTAAAGTTAATGGCCCCACTTATGCTAGTTGCAAGATTTCATATACTTTGCTGTGCAAAATCTAGTACGGTCATTCAGTTTTCACAAGCCAACTTTGCTTATCTTGCAATATGTAGAAAGATTGTAAATTACATGACAGACAATAAATCATTCTGGCATTACGCATATTTAGTGATCAGTGACGATGGGTAAACAGTAAGCCTATTAGCAGGAGTATGTTTTAAACCTGATGATCTCGCATTGGATTCCAATCATGCTCCATGAAAATAAGGGTATCGGCAGATGTCAGATTCAAACCAAGGCCACCAACTACATACAGAGCAAAGAAGGTTATATTGATTTTTTAAATTTATGAGTCGAACCACCTAAACCAGAAAAAACAATCTTACCATGCGTTGTGAGCAACAAGGCATCAATAGTAGGATCTGAATTGAAAGCTTTAACAATGTCAAAACGTTTCTCTGGTTCAACTGATCCATCCAGCCGCAAGTATGTGACACTGCTTTGAACCAACAGGCACAAGTAAAATTATATCAACCCTAACTTACTTTCATGTCACAAGTCTCAAGTCCACAATTAAGATAATCCATATGAAACTATGAAAGGAAGTAGAACAAGGTGACAAACTTCTTTTTGAAAAATCTTCAAGTAGAACAAGATCCTATTTTTTACTATGATTAAGATATCGCAGCCCATCAGTGACTGACTGGTTTAAAACAAAAAGTCCTTCCCTTTTTCAGCTTAAGTCTCAAGGGCAACTCAAAGACTACACGACTAAAATTACCAGCAAAAGGAAAATGATGTTATCTATAGAGATCTGATGAGGTAGAAATGGCAAATTATATGAATAAAAATGGTATGAAGAAGGATATATGGTTGGTCCACATTAAAGCTTTCTTGATGTTGTCGGAGTTAACAACAACATGACAAGAAATTCCAGTCATATGGTTATAAAACGGTTTATTTTCTTTGCACAAAGTTATAAAACTCAGTTTAGAAGTAGGAAAGGAAAACTTACTTCCTCATATGGGAGTGAAATAAATCTCTTTCAATAATGTCAAGAAGGGCCTGCATGAATGCCATTGTTAAGCAAAAGTCATAGAAGAGCAATTAAAATCAACAATATGGAGATATAAATTAAACAGATTATATATTACCTTGTGCTGAGCAAATATCAAAACTCTGTGCTGCCCAACACTCACAGCATTCTCAGAACTTGAAGCATCTATACCTATGCCACACTCTTCCAGAATCTCTTGGAGTGCTACTAATTTTGGAGAGTGGTGTAGCTTATGCAATTCAGAGATTACATCAGAACTTGGAGGCAGGAGTTCTGACAATTGAGATGCAAGTACTTCAGGCATCTTTTCACCAACAACAAGCAATGGATGACTGCAAAGTTTTAGCAAGTATTGCAGTGCCTGAAACATGTAGGAACACTTTAGCTTCTTCATAACTAGTTGGACTGCCCAAAAAAAAATGAAGAAAAGAGGCTAAAAAAAGAAACCTGCCGCAAATTACCTGGAAAACATGTGTAGATGCTTTGGGTGAAGCATTATGTCTTTAGTTTTAATAGTTTTTTCATCAAAATCTTTTTCATATGGTAAATCTACCATATGTTGTTTACGATTCCAAAATGCATTTGGATGATTAGCACAAAGCTGTGTCTCCATTAATGCTTTTAGTTTGTTTATTTTATCTTGAATAATTTCTCTGTTTAACTGTTCTTTAATTCTGTTTAAATGCACATTGTTTGTTAAATCTTTTAAATCTTCTTCTTTAGATTTTATCAAAGAATTAATTTCTAAGATTTTAATAGAGTGGGCTTTTAATAAATTTAAAATTTTCTTTTTAGGTTTTTCTGTGAATTCCAATTTAGCTTTATTATTTCTGACTTTAAATTTAATACAATCTTCTTTAACAGAATATGGTGTTATTAGGTTTATAAAAGGAGTTCCTAATATTACCATGTAATTTATCTGAGGAGATAATAAAAATACTGTATTTATTTCTAAGTCCTGATTTACAATTAATGCATCTGTTTTACCAGTGATTTCTAGTTTAGATTTATTGGCTGTACTAAGTTTTTCATTAGTTTTAGACCAATATCTTTTAGGTATTAAATCTGATTTTATACAATTTAAATCTGCACCTGTGTCAAACAGTGCAATTGCGCAGCACCAAATTATCATTTTCTCATTAATTCCTTTCAAGAAGGCAAATAACTCTCCAATCCCAAAAGCCCAACAACCATTCATAATATATAATTAATTAGTGCTTTCATCAGCTAGGAATAAAATTTCAATTTTCAGCACATATAAAATAACTACATCAAAACTCTAAAACATGCATTGAAAAAATACAAAGTAAACAACCCAGATATGGACATGGAATTTCAAGAGACTGTACGACTTCATTTTTTTTATCCAAGAGCTTAAGAAAAGCCAGTAATCATTCCCATAGTATGACAGGAAAGTTCACCAAGAAGGAAAAATGCCAAAGAGAGTAAGCATAGGTAAACAATAGGTAGATTTACTTCATGACAGAAACTTAAAAAAGCCAGGCGAAAGCATGTCCAGCATCTTAGAAGTTAGACAGCTAAAGACATCCGAAGTTTTTTATATAACCAAAGACTATCAACTTTGACACGTATGATTAAGCTTCCTTCTTTTTTCTTTCTTTTTCCCTCTCATTTTCCCTGGAATCATGTGCATTCTCATTAACTATTTCGAACTGGACTAAGTATCTATCCAATGAAACCACATAAAAAAGCTTAAAGTCCATAAACAGTCTTTAAATACAATGTGAAGCTAAGAAGCAAGGAACCTAGACATTGAGCCCTTACTTGTCTGTCAGTCCCAAGAAATCCTGGCATTAAAAAGTCAAAGAGAGACCACAGATCCATGATGTTATTCTGCAATAGAAAAGTAAACCGTTTATCAGTATAACCAGTGAGGTAATTTTCACTGTATTTTTTGTCATGAATTTAACCTGAATTGGAGTTCCACTAAGTATCAGGCGATGTTGGGCTTTCAACTGCTTCACTGCAGCAGTAATTTTAGACTTCGCATTCTTAATTATATGCCCTTCATCTAAAATACAATAATTCCACAGTATCTGCCTAAGGAAATCAATATCTTTGCGAACCACATCATATGAAGTGATGATGACATTATGCTTATCAAAATGATCTCTAAGAGACATGCGATCTTGAACAGAGCCAGAATATTGCAGGGTACTTATTACAGAAACATCAATGTACTTCTCCATCTCAAAGGCCCAATGTCCAACAAGTGTTGATGGACAAACAATTAAAGATGGTTGAATGTCATCACTGCTATTCACAGTGCGACGCTCAGCAATGTCAGATGCCACAATTGCTGATGCCTGTAATGTCTTACCAAGTCCCATATCATCACAAAGGATCCCGTGGAGCTTGAAACGTTTTAAGAAAGCCAACCAGTTTATCCCTTCTTGTTGATACCTGCAGCACAAATCTTACCATTACTGCTCTTATTACCCACAATCAAAAAAAAAAAAAAAAAAAAAAAAAAAAAAAAAATGCGAAGAACAATCTGAATGAAAAAGTTTGCGATGCAGAAAAAATAAGCACCATCTGCGGAGTTCAAAAGCAGTACTTATGGGCATTGTGCAATTTGTTCCAGAAACAAGTTCCATTGTGATTTTGCAGCTTTGTGATTAAAGATTCTTTCACTTATTTTCTTATCACAGTTGCTTTACTTGTGCTTATGTCCTAGAAACAACTTAGACGACTAGGAATTTGCCTGAAAAGAGGGTGGAAGGCAAAAAGTAAGGAAGGGAAAGATGGTTAACCTTTCTGGTTCAAAAGAACTGAGGACAAAAAACAGAAAGGAAGGAAAAGGTAACATAGTCTCATTAGAAAAGCATGGAAGGGACGAAATAGGTTAGCATCTCCAATCTAAGGGGGCCACAATTAGGGATGGCCAGAGGCTAGAAAAAGAAGGCATTGTGAAATCATCAATTTTGTCTTTCCCATTAAGACATCAAACAGAAACACTTAACTTTGGCCTTCAAACTAGAAGCAACTTTTAAACATCAAATCACACTTTCATTTCAACAATTAAATTGATTATGGCTATGTGTTGAGGAAAAATATGTATAGGTACCAACCTCCTTAATGTGACCCTCAATTCAGTGCAAAGCTTGTAATCATCAATATGTGAATTGTCAAGCAGTTGCTCCAAAAACTGTGCATCTTCTGTATTACTCGTTAGAACCTCATTCAATCCACAAGGAGGGGGTAGGCCTCGTGCTAATGGAAGAAGAGGAACAAGGGCAGCAAAACTGCGTGTCACACACTGCCTGACAGAGTGATCAACATCACTCATGCACCGAAGAAGAGGAACAACTAATAAAGGAGCATATGGAACCAACTCCACGCCCAATCCCTGAACAAGCAAACTAATAAGCATGCCAGCACCTTGTCTGGCATGAACAGAAGTGGCATCCCCTAGCATTGGAATTGCACTCTCGACTACTGCAGCCATAACATTTGTTGTCATTGACTTGGCCATTGAAGTAATACACCTAGAGGCAGCCAATCTAACTGCAACATGAGAATGGCGAACACATTTGAAAATACATGGGAGAAGTGTGAGCAACTTAGGCTTCAATGCTTCATTGAGCATTGGAGTGATGGAACGTACTACCTGCAAATCATAAATGGGAAGTACATAAGTGCACATAAGCCAAAGTAAAAAGAATCTAAGTCTGTACGACATAACAAATAAGCAATTACAGATTCCAATTTTCAAAGGAATATCTACATGATAAAAACACCTGAATATTATTTATCAAGATCTGAGGATCCTTCACAGCCTCAATCCTTCTTGTAATTTGTTGTTCATCTGCAAGACTTCCAGGCATCAGAATTTCAGTGAGGCAATCCCATAGTTTTGGAAGCTTGTCAAATAAGGAAGCACCAAATTTCTCGCACAAATATTTCAATGCAAGTTCAGAACCCCGTCTACTAATAAAGCCCTCAACTTTTGACCTGTCTTCTCCGCCAGCTACCGAATGAACCTTGGACTTTTGTTTTCCTGTATTACTCCCAAAGGAAAGGAAATCTTGATCATCAATAGTCTCCATGGAACTGATTAGTCCAGCTTGAGGGGTCTCAGAGTGATCCGAACATGTCAAACTACAAATATTCTTGACTAGCTTATCATTTGGACTAGGCTTACGTGCAATACAATGAAAAATTAGCTCAGCAAGTGCCTCAGCAGCCTTGTGCTGCAATATTTCCTCCTTCAAAAAGGAACATTGAAACAAAAAATAGAATTCAGTAAAACCAATGTATGATCAAAATAAGAACCATGGAGTGGGGAGAGGTGGATGGGAGACCTGTTCTCTTCTGATTGAGGCCATCAGAGGCAAAATGATTGGGTTAAGTCTGGCAGGAAGCTCAGACATCCAGACAACTGCAGCAGCAACTAAAGCAGAGACAGTAACATGCAAGTTACTCTGCAGATTGTTCCATTAAATAAACAAGTGTCAATGAAAGAATATGTAGAAATTAGAATAGTGATTGATTCCTTTAAATAAACATTCTAACAAAGTTTAAAGACATCTAAAGCACACAGGGAATCCATTTGCATGTCTGCCATTTTTTCAGAAGAAAGGTGAAAAAGATGTAATCATAGAAATCAACTGCCTAATATATCTCTGATGGGTGGGTTCCAACTGAATGTACAAACTTATCTTAAATTCTTACTCTAAAAGGTTCCATGCTTCATTTCACACAAGATGAGAACATACCCAGAAATTACCTGGACGCATTTCAAATAGCCTGCAGTTGTCAAAAGTCGGTGCTTCAATGATTCAATATCATCCACAATGTTTCGTCCCAAAGATTCATTCCCAGAACTATCACCACATAATGGAGGCAACTTGGAAGCAAAATTGATTGCTTCATCAGCACTCAAGTTCTCCATATCAACTTTAATAGATGATAATGTATTCTCAGGCAAGCCAGATGACTCAGTGGCTCGGCATAGCAGACTGGCCTCATTGCGCATCTTCACATAAGTCCTTGAGAGCTCAGAGTATGGCAGAACTGAATCTTTTGTAGGAAATGCAGGATCCGAACAGGATAACAAATCCAACAGCCAACTTTTAACATTGCTAGGAAAGGCAGGCATAAAATGCACTTCAGGGAGGTCATTGCTTTTGATTTCTTTGAACCATGATATGAGAACCATGGATGCAACCTGATAAAGCAGAAAAGTTATGTAGGGATATAAAGGAAGAAGGGGAGAAAAAGAGTGTAAACAAATCCAATTCAACTTCAATGATTGGGAAAAAAAAAAAGTTACCTGCCGCTGTACTCCAGATAAAGAGGTAAGAGCATACTGAAGCGGATCAATAGCATATTGTAAAGAACTGTCACGCAACTTAGAGGCAAAAATTCCCAACGCTGATGCCGTAATCACTCGAGTATTAGTGACTGACATTTCAACATCAGCACCAACAATGATCTTAACTGTGCTAGCAGAAGCATCCCCATTTCTTTCCTGTAGAATAATTTCCTTCCCTGGATCTAAATCAATGTTTCTAGAAGAGTCATTTTCAAGTTTCGCAGCTCTCATTTTTGCTGCTGCTCGAAAGTGAGACTTCCGAGGTAGAGCCGCAGGCCAAAACATCTTCGTAGAATCTAATGCTGAACCATATGGAGTAGTTGCAAGTTCAATCCACGAAGACATGTAGGAATTTGCAGCAGCTTCCAAATCCTCCACAGGGCACTAAAACCAAAGAGAAAAGAAAAGGGGAAAAAAAAAAGGAACCATTGAGTCTACTCAAAAGCTTCAGAGAAGAGACAGAAGCATAAAATAAGTACAAAGAACAGGGAATCAATTAAACAACAATTACCATTCTCATACTCTAATAACCCCAATAAATAATTAGAGTATAATAGAAATTGACTATCATCTATCAAAAAGAAATTTCAGTTGCAAAGTAGCACAGAACAGGTAGGTTTTTTTCTATTTCATCTAATCTTGCTCAGATTGAATGGAACATAACTGAAAACATTCATTTATCTGACACTATATTTCTTAATATCCCAGTAACTCACTTTATTAGAAATGAAACCCAATCTCTACCTTCTGCTTCAAAAATTAATACAAGCGGTTATCGTGCTTCCACAGAATATTCTTTACTTCTATCTAGTCTCACAGATAATCAAACCACTAAGAAAATTTCTAACAAATATTACTTCTCTACCTCCAACCCCAACCCCATACCTACCCCACCCTCTAACCTCCACCAACCCATCTACCCCACCCATCCCCAAAAAAAAAAAAAAAAAAATAATAATAATAATAGTAAAATAAGAAGAAAGAAAAAAAAATACATACATGCAGAGAAACAGAAGTTAAATCTTAAAAAAATTGAAGGACAACATATAGTACCTAATGAATATAATCCATCTTAATCGAACAAAATACCTGAACAAGGAGCCTCCAAACCCTCTCCGAACATAACAAAATTTCTTCATTTGATTCAAGAAGTAAATTCTGAAAAACAATCCGAAGGGTATCTCCCAAAATAAAGGATGGCCAAAATGATGCACCAGATGGTTCAGAAATATTCCTTTTATAACTAGCTTCAAGTAATCGCTCCTGCAAATAAGATTCCTTGTAAAATACAACAGGATAGAAACATTCCCACATATAAAGAAACCAATCAAGATAGCATTCTTCCATAAACATTTAAGAGGGGAAAAGCCGAAGGCCGGGATAGGAACCAAGTTAATGAACATGCATAGAAAGAAAGATACATCTGGAAGCAAATGAACAAAATCAGACGTGGAACTTTATACATAAAGTGTATAAACAAAATCAATATCACTAATATTATTGAAACACAGTCAAAAGCAAAATGTTGGAGACAACTGTGTGAGATTAGCAAAAAATTGAAATATACACAATAATGCATATATTAACATTAACAAGCACAGACCAGAGTTCGAATAGCTGAATATCGAACTGATGTGATACTGTGCCTCATAAATGGCCATAATCGCGGTGCCAACGTTGACAACATGTAAGGATTCTCCTGCAAATCTTTTCCTTCCCTGGCATCGTCAATATGAATTACTTCATTCAGGTCTAATTCCTGCTTCTCTTTTGATACCATCTTGGGGATCATATCTTCCTGGGAATAAATTTCTGCCAACAGATTCATCACACTGCAAAATGCCCATGAAAAACTTTGTTATACTCTCTGTATCACTTCAAACTACCAAAGAAGGCACAAAGTTCCAAAGCCTATTTCAAGATCAGTAATCTAACCCGAAGTCTGATAAACTATGCAGAGTTCTAAACATAAGGAAAGATATTTCATACAGAATTTGAAGAGAGGGGGAAAGACAGCACAGATTAATTAACAACACTGCATATAATAAAAATTCAAAGCAAACAACAAGCTTGTCCAAAGCTTAGAGTCTGAATCTAATTCATACACATCATCTGCGAAAATTAGCTTCTTTATTTATTTATTAGGGAGGAGGTGGGGAACAAGCGTTGGCAAAGAAAAAAGAAAGCGGAATAAACTTTCACAAACCTTAAATATAATACCTAACATCAACGACCTTGCTAATAGTTTTCATTATCAGTTTATCACTCTATGGATGAATGCTATAGTTGCATTATCAAAAGAATGCCCTTGAAAATTTGACCTTTCTATAATACACATAGGCGATCAACATATTCACCCAACACAGAAAATCAATCTCTAAGACAAGCTTGAGCAACACTTTCTTTTGCTTCTCTACCGATCCTACCTTAGCTTCAATTTCTAGACTTAGAAAGCAAAGAGGTGTTTTTTTTTGTTTGGTGATATAGGTGTTGGCTGGTTCCGGAGGGGGAAGGTCTGATTGGTTGGGGCAAAAAGCTCAAAAAACAAATTAGCATTTAGAGCCACTGAGTGTGGTGGCCGAACCATTTGAATTGAAATTAGGGGTGAGCAAACTTTGGAAAAAACCAAAAACCAAAAACCAAACCAAACCGAATTATGTTCGGTTTTTGGTTCAGTTATTCGGATTTGGTTTCAATCTTCTATAATTTAGGTTTTCAGTCTTTGGATCAGTTATTACAAAACACTTATTTTCTAAGTAAAACCGAACCGATGTCTAGTGAACCAACCAGTTTAGTCGATTTCCGAACTTATTTCTGTTTGGTTCAGTTTCAAGGAAAAGTCATTTTCGGTTTTCGCAGTCTGGTTCACAACCGAACCGCCCATTTGCAACCCCCTAATTAAAAGAGAAGTAAATCATCGACAAAGCCAAACATAATAAAGACTAAGACAAACTTTACAAATATGATACTGCCCTCTAAATCAAAAGACAACTTTTATACAAATATATACTGCCCTCTTAAAACTTTGGATTCTCCTTGAGGGAGATCACACAGGGAGTAAAATGCATAAATCCTGATATCAGAAAAATTGGGCAATCCACCTAACATACACACATCACTAGTTAGTTGGCAGCCAAATTTGATAACAAGGAATTTTGACAAGTGGGAGGAAACTAACATGGAACTCTGAGCAATCTGCTTGTAAGTATAGCTGGATCACAATTCCACAAGAGCCCAGAGAACCCAGCCAAGCTTTATGTATTTTAAATTGATAAGACACTAAACACGCACTTAGTCACAAGCATACAAGCAGAATACCTATTAACTGATAAATATGAAGAAGCTGAAAGAAAGCCACAAAAGTTACAAACATTTGAATTTACAGCAGGTGTTAGCATCAAGACATTGACAACTAACAGTCTGTGCAATATACAATTCTAATGTGTTTCTCTCCTATCACACAAAAAAATGCAGTGTGCATATTTTTAATTCTCCTGGCACATAAATCAGGACTATTAGCTACCATAAATGACCAAAACAGAAAGATGAAATACCAAAGCACCTTGCTTACAGAAATACCTGCTAGTGGATGGACTTAGATCATCTAAATCAAGTAATATATCCCAAAGTAGCATAATAATGGAATGCAATGTCCGACCCTTTAGAGAGACGATAGAAGCAGCAGTAGGTATTAAAGCATCTGCAGCAACTGCCCGAACATCATCATCAGGGTCCTCCAGACCAGCTTTACAAGCAGGCAATACATAGTCAAGCAAATCAGGCAGCATCTCCTAAAAGAAACAAGAGATGAGGAATGGCACAAGAGATGGGAACAATTACAGACAACAGCTAACAATTGAATGTATGCATAGCTTGAATAGAATATGCACCCGAATGGACAAATGCCTAAGCAATTGCTCTGATCTCTTTTCCTTTGCACCCAGATATTAATCCCAAGCACTTGGAATTGGGCAAGGTTCTCCCAGCAAGACTCAGTCGGAGCATTTCCATTGCAGGAAGAGAGATATACCACTATAAATTATGATACTTTCACCCCATTTTTGCCCAGTTCCTAAACTCTCCTCGTATGTTATCTATGTATTGTGTGTGTGTTCGTGTCTGCATGCCCACAAGTGAATAATGTTGACTAGAATATGATATTGAAACAAGAAAATTTCAAAGAAAGTAAATCAATGTACCCCACATTTTAGTGATTGCATAGAGCCTAAAAAAGAAAGGTCCTGCAGACTATAAAAAAATGAACAAGACTACTTGTAGTTCAAATGATTCATTTGTTTAGATGTGCAACCACATAACAAGTAATTAAACTTTGTGGTATCAAGGAATCAGGAACAGTACTTAAAATCAACTATGTCTGACATATCATTGGGACTTTTTTCTATACATCAGGTTTTATCGTGTTTATTTTTTCTGAAGGAAATAAAAGGTCGATTATAGCCAAAACTGCTATGGTCTTCCACCCTGGCCAGTCACAGGCCTCAACATCCAACCTTATGATAAGTTTAAGGCCTGGGCCCCAACCCATAATAGGCATCAGGTCCAGACCATCCAGTCTAAATCTCTTCCAAAACATCAATCTATAAAATTCAAAGCACCAGAAACTCAAATAACCAAAATCAGAGAAAAATAAAATCAGATTTAGCACTTAGCTCTATTAATATCATCACAACAAAGTTTTACCTGACGAACAGCAACCAAGTACTTGATACCCAAAAGGCTTCCATGACGAATTTCCCATTCTGGTCTACGCTGAACAAGAAGAATGCAAAAGAATAAAAATCACGAAAATGGGCACTAAGTGCACTGCAAATCCGTATCTACAATATAATTGAGACCAAAAGCATGTCCTTAAATGATATCTACCTGCATTTGAAGCAGAATATTTAATGTTTCAAAAACTAAAGTGCGATGCATGTACTTAAATGTGGCACCCAATGCCTGTGCACAAGTTTCCCGTACAGGAGCAACCACCTGGTCAGATACATAATCTCCAAAACTGCAGGACAAAATAAAAGAGAAAGAGCAGGCATAAATTTTGACATGAACCGAGAAAGAGAAACTCCAGACTAAATGGTAATCAGCAGATCCCACACATAAAGGTAGCATAATGCACAAGCTTGAGAGTAATTAGTACTATTTTTGGCATTTGTAATAGACAGAGGAAAAATGGGACCTTAAGGTCAGATCTAACACGTTAAATTAAAAGAAATTGGGATCTTACCGGTCTAAGGATAATATGCACAAGAAACGAATAGAAAAATCTTGAAGATATTCACTATTTTTCTTCCACGAATACCTAGAGAGTTTAACCAAGTTCTTTAGCTCACAATTTTCAGGAAGGCTGCTAAGTACATCTGATTTCACAGAAACCTTATCTACATAACAACCCTTAGACTCCACCACCTTAGATGAACAAGGTATACCATCAGGGTAATTATCACACTCCATCTTAACAGAACTAGCATCAACTTGACCATTAACCTGTCCTGAAGGGATGTTCCATCCACCATCTTCAACCTTGATACTGATGTCAAAGTTACCTACACAGCCAGTAGACAACATTGACATTGATAAAGAGGATGCATCTTCTAACTTTGGCTTTTTCTGATGTGACTGCAACTCATCTGCTGAAACTTGCATATTCAAATCAATTTCCCTCTCTCGTTTCCTTGTGCTTGAATAATCTAGGTCTTTTAATTCATCTAGAACACCATCTAAGCTCAAGTCAGGCATGAACACCCCAGCAGAACCACCATGATGGGTTAAAATTTCTCTCAATGCCATGACACTACCGTGACGAACCTCCCAAACTGCAAATGTATTTCCAGAGAAAAAATCAAATGATTGAACTACACCATGCAATCCAACATCTAGCAAAATATATAAGCTCACCGGGGTCAAACATGTCAAGGAGAAGTTGCTCAACAAAACCACGGAAAGGCCACCTCCCTTCACCATCATGCTCAAAGCTTTCTTCGTCAGTATTTACCTGCATTACAAGTCAGGTTCAATCGTTGCTTTGCACTTGAACAAGTGAAAAGACAAGATACATAAAGAGGACCTTATGACCACCAAAAAATGAGGGAAAATAAACCACAATCGACAATCTAACTCTCCCAATTTGCACTTCACGATTCCATTTTAGATGTCTCAGCTTTATTTGTTTTAGAAAATAATGTCATTAAATATACCCCATCAACAGAAATAGCTTTAGAAACACATGCCCTCTTTAAGAAAAAATGAGTTTGCAGAGAGGAATGTACAAAATGGTACAGACAGATTATCACATAATTCTGATTTGTCAATCAGCTCAAGTGTTCCTAATATATTTCCAAATGAACCTTCAGACATTTCTAATACACTGATAAAGAGTTCGAAAAATAGTCCGTGGGCTCATATAGTCAAGATATTTTGCTCATTGGAAAACTGAACAAGTAAATCCTAAGCAAACATACACATCTTTTTTATTCCAATTTAGGATGATAGAATAGTCAAATTGTATAAGGAAATAATGATACTATCACTAAGACGACAGCAACAACAATAACAATAATAATTGTTGTCATTAATGACAAAAACAATTGGCCACTAGGAAAAGGTACACCATTGTTCATTTGTTTCCATGTAAAAATATCCAGAAAAGCAGGAACATGTGCAGTGACCGTGAAGAGCAATCCATATTCTATATATCAAGGAACCAATTCAATACCTTGTTAGAGTTAAATGAATCTTGATTTGAGGCCTTTGGAGTTGTACTCTGAGCAAATGACACCTCTGTATCACCATCCTCAGACCAACCTTTTGCTTGGTCTTTTGAATTAATTTTTGCCTTTCGCTTTAAGAGGTTCAGTTCCCTAGCACTTGGTCTTTTTGATACAACAGTGGGAACCATACTTGCAACCAGTCGCTGGATATTATGTACTGATGGAGGCATATAAAATCCATGCTCCAACCCATTTCCTTGGGAATGCAATTTTTGGGCAACAAGGTCTTCATCTTTAATTACATCATTGACATCCATAAACTGCTCGCAGACATCCAAACCTGCTCACAAAAATCTAAATCAGTGAGAAGAGACTCAGCAAGCAGAAAACAACTTAAGATGATAGAGCAATCCACCTCACAAAATGCAACAAGGGAAAATTTAAAGATAGGAAAACCATATGAGCAAAAAAAAAAAATCATCATTTCTAATGAAAAAATGAAATGCAATTGTGAAGTGAGGAACCCGCAATTAAAAGAGGCTACAGAGCTCAAAGAATGTCCATGATGTAGCAGGCAGGTACTTTCCATAACCGAATATGTAACATGAGCACATCTAGCAGTATGTTAAGGAGAGAAGATGAAGGGAGAATAAGGGATAAAGGAAAGGGAGGGGAAGTTGGTTGGCTAACAGAGAGTTAAAGCTAAATGCATTTAAAGACTTATAATGCAAATCCCTGCCCCTTCCACTATCTGGTCCAAGGAAGGCATACCAAGCCCCACCACCCGAAAAATAAAAAGCCTATGAAAAAACATTCCTAACTGTGAAAACCAGGTTATCCTATTTTCCGTTTTGACTCCACTGTCAACCTACTATATCCAAACAAATTGCATCAAGAAAAAATTATTCAGTACTGTATTCAAATATCCATCTTCCAGCATCATCTTAACAGTTCCAAGATTTCAATTTGATGGTGAATGTCAACAAGTTGTCCCCAAACCAAATGCAAAATCTACAGCACTAAGAAATCCAATCATCTGGTGGCAGGAGATACTCCAGTTATCCAATGGCTACTAATAGTTAAGCAACAATGTACCCAGAAAAGTAACTGTCATATGCGTCCCAAAACAGTAGCAGTAAACAGTTACTAATAGGTAACCAACTAAAACCAGCACAACCTTTTTAAAAGAAGAAGTGGGGAGTAGAAATAATAGAGTACAGGTGGAGCACCTGTACAGGATTAAAACTTCTAAACTGATTACTTCCAGACGCTGGTGTTTTCATCCCCTACTACTGTTTCGCCTACCAAATAAATACAATCAATCTAGCAATGCATGATAACAAGCTAAATCACAGGATATCAGAGAGCCAGGACAATTAGAAGTCAAAACTACGGAACCTTTAGTCCAAGGATATCCAAATTATTGACTCGAAGATGTAAACGATTAATGTTCTCACTCACCAAGAAAGGAAAATTTTAAAAACAATACATGATATGTATTCAATAAACTGCTTTTCTGTTAGAATTCCTAACAAAAATCAGTAAATTGAAAATAACAAGATGCACAATTTCTATCCTCATACGTTCAGCATGAAGTCTTAGTCTCACTTCATTATTCTCTAATAGGTCCTACCCACCCTTCCTGCCCCTATTTTTTTTATAAAAAAAAAATTCAAATTAAGAATAACTGGTTTACACTCTTACTCTCTCTCAGTTGGTACAGTTCAATAATGTACCACTTAGGTTTACTTGTAAACATACCCAACTCTATCCAATAAATCTGAACATTATTTGCATAACATTTTGTAACTAAAAGAAATAAGTCTGAACGAATTATCCCATTGAACCATGTTTGGAGAGAATGTCGTAAAAGAGACACCAAAAACAAAAAATTTGGGGAGCACTAACCACTTGGCCATCTGATAGTTTTACACACTGAATAAACTCAATCTCTAATATGCATATAGATACACAAGTATATCGGTCTGTAGAAAGCAGAAAAAACGTGTGAATTACTAACCCAGTCTGCGCCGGAGATTTTGTTTCTGCCGAGCTAATCGCTCCCTTGGACTCTTGTAATTATCAATTGCAATATCATACTCCTGGATCAAAGCTGATGTAAGAATCTCAACCTATAGATGCATAAATTTACACAGGCAACATCTGAAAGGAACTGGCACAACTGGGACATCACATATAGTCATTTTAATTCAAAGCAAACTGCAGCAACTGCTGATAAAAATGCAATGATGATGGTAATGATAATAATGATGCGAATGGTCATTGAAGGTAGTAAACAGGAAAAGGTACAATGGCAGATTTTCCAATGAGTGCAGCTATCAATATGTTGTCATAGAACTATCAAAAAATAAAGTACAGATATGGCTTTCATTAAATGCCATTAATTGTTAATCTAGTTTTATGCATAAAATTCTCTGCTTTGTTATAACCTTAACTTGTTCAATCGACAAACCCATCTCATCCTGATAAAAACTTAATAAGGGGCCATCTTTTCTTGATTACAAGAGAAGAAAAACATTCTTAATGTCAAAAACTTTGGGAGAAACGGAAAGATGGGTGAACAGAATTACAAGTGCAAGCTTATCCCATCACTTTCTGATATCAAACATGCAGAATGTAGAGAATTATAGTGGTTGAGAAATTGAAGCCGATAGATTTTTCCAGTTCCCCTCACAAACAGATGCATTGTTTATTATGATAACTGATAAAAGTCAAGCATGACCCTTCTGAATTTATAAGCAAGACGATGAAGAAATTTAGTTCTTTATTCCCTTTTCCTCCATCCTGGGACTTCGCCCAAACTCCCACATTTTTATTTCCATTCCAATTCTTTCAAGCTGAGAAGCACCTTCTAATTCACATCCAAAATTGGGAGAAATAAAACAAACAAAAGCGAACAGTCCAAGTATAGTACCCAAAAGGTGAAAACAACAAAGTCAAACAGACACAGCGTAGTTAACTGAAAGTAAAAGAAGAAGAAACATATTACCTGTCCCCCAGATGCCAACAAGGCACCAAACTCTAACACCTTGTTCATATCAAAACTGCTTAAACAGTGTGGCAAAGCATTTAAAAGAAAAAAAGGAGAAGTGAGTATATCAAGATACATAAAAATGAATATAGCTTACATGCATATCTGAAGATATATTAAATATACCAACTGTATACAAGAAAAAACGTGCAAAAATAAAATAAGCAGCAAATGCAAACTCCATCAACAACCTTCTAAATGAACCACTTGACACGATCTTAGAATGAAAATCAGGCCAAGCAACCAAATCTTCAACAACACCTGAAATCCCAGCCTCGGACATTTTTGTTTCCACGTAGCCAAATAATTCAGGCAATGATGTGTGCTTAACATTCTGAGCAATTGCCCCAATTGCATGGGCAGCAGCAACTCTCGTATCCCAGTTTTTACTGCGGAGATATTGAGAAACCTATTTTCATAAAGTACACAGCTTAGACCGTGGACAAGAATTAGCTTATCATAGACAAAAAGGAGTGAAGGAAAAGAATAAAGATAATTGCAGATAACAACATTTCAAGCACAAATCAATTGATATTACAGCCAATATAATTATTCATTGGCAATTTAAAAGAAAAATCTTGTTATAACCCAAATCATTCATGAATATTTCAATTGAATATCCTGAGACAATTTTGCAACAAAAAAATCCAAACATCGGAGTAATATAAACAATTGAAGAACCTGTAGAAGCTTGGGTGAATCTATGTTTTAATGATTGACTACAAACTTTAGCTAGCAGTAAATCCAATAATAAGCAATTATACAGGTTGTCTGGGGAGTTCAGTTCAAGTTTTAATAAGCCAGTGATGCATCTAAGCAAGGAAAAATAGATAAATGTCAGCAGATTACAATATATCATTTATGCAGACTAAAGTCTTCAAAAAGTTGAGTTAGATTCAGTGAAAGCAGAAGACTAAAAATTCCCCCTTTTCCCTACACTTCAAAGCAGTTATTCTCATCCAAAGTACCCTCTGAATTTCGCTCCACAACTGTTCATAGAGATTTCTCTCTCCACATGCAAATTTTCATAACCAGTCAACAGTTTATAAATGAAATACATCCTAGATGACCTTCTCAATCCAAACCGATTCCTATCACAAGCTACCATAGCTTAAGCCTTTTGTATTATAAATTGGTTTACATCCCAAGTATCTGTTTCAACTTCACAGTTGGCATCACTATTAAAATGAAGCCAGTGCCCAAGTAAAAGGTCAAAATCGAACAACAACCATATCTCTGATCATGCAGCCTTAAAGCTCCTGCACATCAAGACAACTCCCAACAGACAGCGCTAAAAAAAATGATAATTGCACTACACGACGAATAAAAATCCAAAATTAGTAAGTAACCGATAAAAACCTTCTTCAGAAGAGAGCTTAAATCCTGAGGATGTGATTTTGCAATGTCCCCAATCTGTCTAGCTGCAGTAAATCTTGTCGCTTGGGTAGAACCAGCTTAAGAGAAGGTTTCGTCAAAGAAAAACTAAAATTTAGCATATAAAAAATAGAACCGTTGTTGTGAATTAGAAAATACTTCACACTAACACCAAATCACACCAAATCAATCGGATCCAAAAATGGCAAAACAACTCAAAAAAGAAAAAGAAAGGGAAAAAAAATCGAAAAACGGCAGACAAAGGATACTGTCTAATAGAGTCAGTAAACGATTGAGACGCGAAGATTGCTGCTGAGCCATAGCCAAAACACAAGAGGCTCCAAACTACGAATGAAACGACAGCATTTATCATCCAATTCACTTATGCCCCGTAACTATAAACATATTCTTCCTGTGAATAACAATAACGAAATGATCGAAAAAAAATTAAGCTTCAACGCGTAAATCACAATGCCTTTGACTTCAGGTTCAATTCTCCGGTTCCAATATTGTTGCAAATATTGCTGGAAAGAAGCAAAGGATAAAGAGAAATATTTCGCTTGGTTTTGCTTGGTTTTGTTATTATCTCCGTTAGGGTTGGGATTTCAGAGAGAAAGCAAAAAAATATTAAAAGGCTAATAATTAGGTAAAGATAAGTGTATGTATATGTTTGAAAAAAGTGGGATAGAGGAGGAAATTAGGGTTACCAGGTGGAGGAGGAGCAAATGGGCGGTGTTTATGGCGGTTGAGACAGAGGCGGATTACGATAACTTTCTGGTTTCGCGTCAATGTGAAAAATCAAAACAAAAACCTTATTTTATTTTTTTTTTTCCCCTTAACTGCTGTTATAATTAAAGCGTAAATAATTAAAACTAACGACCTTGTGTATGTATTTATATTTTGCGTATATGCGCTTTTTCTTTTTTTCTTTTTTATGAACCTTTCGGCCTCTGACTCTGATTGGATAAAATGGCAACAAAATGCCAATTTTTAATTAATTATTTTAGATCTTGTCAAAAAATATATATATTTTTTTAGATCGGGCAATATTTTGTCACAAGTATCATGGGAAATAATGAAATAAAAAACACCCTCATTTGAAAAGTGGATTTAAGGTTTAGTTGATAAATAATTTTAGTTTCTATATTCAAAAAAAGTAATGGGAAATAATAATTTATTAAACTAAAATTTAAAATTTTCTAGTTAAATTTAAAAGGGTAAATGTAATTTTACTAGTATATTAATAAATCAATTTAAAAATTGAAATTGTTGCTAAACTTATAACATTAAGATCTCAATTTGTGCATTCAGATTGTAAAATTTATTCAAAATTTAATTAAGTGATTTTTTATTTAAGATAAATTAATTTCACTAATTAATTGAATAAACCATAATAACAAAATAACAATGAAATTTAAATAATTAGGACGAGACCCAACCCCTCACTCGTCTTAGTGCTATATCTTTATGAAATATCTCTGGGTTGGGTAAAGGCCCACAAAATGAGACCCTAAGCCCATTGTAGTATCAGAAGATATCTGTTAAAAACCACTGGGTTCGATTGGGCCCATACTGCCTAGCTCCTAACCCTCCAAAAGCCAACGGCCGGTCAAAGCGTCGCCCACCCTCCAAGTGGTAGAGCAAGCAATCACGCCGGCGCACGCCATCCAAATACCAATATCATCTACTCTGTTTTTGTTGGTTTCCATTTCCTTATCTGGCAACCGCAATTTCTTGGATAGATATGTGCTTTTCTTGCGTCTAGTATTATGTAATCGCTATCGTCATTAGTTCTATATTCAAATTTCTATTTGCTCAGATGGCCTTCATCTCTACAAATAGCTCATCTTCTTGAAGAGGATAAAAGGTGAACTTATTCTATTTCTTTTTCTCTGTTTTTTTGTTTTGTTTTCTTTTTAATGTGCTTTTAGATTTGTTTTTGATTGATTTCAATTCCAAGTCTCAACACATTTATGCTGTGCCAGTTTTATCTTCGAACGTATGGTTTTTTTTCATTTGCCATATTATACTTTGAAAATGTGATTGACGCTTGTTAATCGATTTACAAATGCTGGTTTCAGCCTACTTTGGCATTTGCAAAGATGTCCAAGAAGCTGCGAGGAGGTGGTGAAGAAAAATCTCTATCGCCTGAGGAGCAGCAAGCTAAGGTTTATCATTTTTACTTTTAGTGGGTCTATTCTAAAGTGTCTTACTGCGTTAAACTAACTAATTTTGATGTAGTTTTGGTATTGCTCAGAATTTCGAAAGCAACACATATATTCAAAAGATATTAGCTTTTTTTTTTTTTTTTTTTTTTACTAATTTTGATATGTAGTTTTGGTAATTGCTGTCAGAATTTCGAAAGCAACATCAATATATTCAAAAGATATTTAAGCTTTTTTTTTTTTTTTTTTTTTTGTGATAATTGTCCTTGTTCTCGTTTGGGAAGCCCATTGGATTGGCAAGTAGACGCTTATATTTTTCAGTTCAATTTGCTAAACATTTGAATCTAATTTGGCTTTCTTTTTTTAGATGTCTTTCAAAGTAAATGATGTTAGGAAGATCTTATAGGTCCTATCGGCTTGATAAGTTCGCCAACGTTCTTGTTTTTCTGATGCATTCAATAATTGAGGTATCTTTCAGAGCAATTAAACTGGCGTTTTTTTTTTTTTTTTTTTTGATAATTTCCTTGTTCTCTTTGGAAGCCCATTGGATTGGCAAGACGCTATATTCAGTTCAATTGCTAACATTGAACTAATTGCTTCTTTTATGTCTTCAGATAAATGATGTTAGGAAGATCATAGGTCCTATCGCTGATAAGCCGCCAACGCTCTGTTCTGATGCATCAATATTGAGGTATCTCAGAGCAAGAAACTGGAATACAAAGAAGGCAGCAAAAACGTTGAAAGAAACCTTGAAGTGGAGGCTGGAATTTAAGCCTGAGAAGATACGATGGGTATGTATTTACTGCTTTCCAATTTTTATTGAATAATTTTGAATGTTTAATTGATTTGATCACCAAAGAGCAGAAAAAGCAACATATATTTATTACCGTGTGCAATATTTTTCACCCTAATTGATTTAATGGATTGCCACACATTTTTGGTTTTTAGCTAAATGGTATCCTGCAAGCAATATTTGACAAGCTCAAGTCTTTTGAGTGGGTTAGAAGGGTAGAGCACACTTTCAAAATTTAGAATAAAGAAATGAAAAAAACGTGTTACCACAATGTCAAGAGAAGACGATAAATTGTATCTACATATGGGTTTAAAGGAGGGAAGGACATCCAGTAGGTACGGTTAATCATTTACTGATCAATTTACATATTTATGGAATCAGAAATTGACTGATAGAGTTTGACTGTTTATGGACTGATTTACAGAATTGATCGATTTACCATATGAGAATTCGCATTTATTTTCTTTTTTTTTTTTTTAAAGTTTAAAATGTCACCGTTTTGAGTATTTTGATAAATTGGGAATTTCGATTTTTTTTGGTATCTTACTGAATCATTTACCAGTTACCGTATAATTCCCAAATACTTTACCGTTATTTTTACTGAATAGGCTCAATTTGGCTCGGAAAATTGGTTTTAACGGTATTTTGTTCACCCCTAGTTTAAAGTAGTTTTTCTGTCTAGAACAATGTGCTATGACTTGTTATGTGGCTCTCATCTTCACATTGATAGTTTATTTGAGCAGACGAAAAAATATCTGAGATGTTTTTACCTAACTTAATTATTTAGCAGTTGATACTTCTATAAACATGGATGTTACAGTTCCTAAAATGACATTTTGTCTTGATTGTATTTGTAGGAAGATGTTGCTCATGAAGCTCAAACTGGAAAAGTCTACAAAGCTAATTATTTTGACAGGAAGGGGAGGACTGTGCTTATCATGAGACCTGGTTTCCAGGTAGCTAGATTACTATTGAAAGATTTAGGGGCCATTCAATGTTGTTGCCTTTTTTTTTTTTTTTTTCTAAGGACTTAAGATACATTGTGGCAATGTGACCACTTTGCTGTGGGTTCGGAAAGACAAAACCGGTAACAAGTTGTGATGATGTTTCCTTAGTGTTATTCGACTGCTGCTACTTTCACCTTTGCCATTACCACCTCCTGCTAATGTTACTTTTGCACTACTGGCTTTTTAACAGTACAATGGTGCCGTCATCATAACTGCCGTTGTTGCCACTAGACCCCTCTCACCAACACCTTTGCTGCTACTGTGATCATCATTGCACCATTCGCGTAATTTACTACTGTGCCATCATCCTACCACTAAAGCTGATGCCTTACAACTACTACCATTACTGCTACTTCAACATCCTTAGCACTATACACTTGAGAACTTCAATATACAATATTTCTGTCTGATGTCATGTGGTGGTGGGGGTTGGAGGAACCTGATCGATTTTATTGATACTGTAGGTTTAGGAAAACAAGCAAAGCTGCAATGTCCAGCTCTAAAATCTCAATACTGTTATGTAGCTTTCTCTGTCAATTTTTTTCTGCAATATCGCAAATGGCCCTCAGTGCTGACCTTCTTTCTAAATTCATGATGTTGCCATGTTTTAAATTTCAATTTTTTCAGAATACAAATAATCTGGGAGGACAGATCAGACATTTGGTTTACTGCATTGAGAACGCTATAATGACCATGAATCCAGATCATGAGCAAATGGTGTGGTTAGTTGATTTTCAACGATGGACAATGGCTAGCATATCAGTGAAAGCAGCCAGGGAAACAGCTAATATCTTGCAGAATCATTACCCTGAAAGACTGGGCCTTGCAATCCTCTATAATCCCCCAAAAGTGTTCGAGTCTTTTTGGAAGGTATGTCTAATATTGCCATTATATCATATGATATTTCATCTTTAGTATTGGTGTTTGCTTACATTAAACAATAAATATCAATATTTGAATTGCTCCATGGATCTTTTATTTTTCCTCATTCATCAACTATAAAGCCACAAAAACTGGCCCCATTGCACAAATTTCTCTTTTTTTTTACTCTCGTATTTTTTTCCCTGTATTTGAAATCCACAACTACACATCTTTATGTGCTTTTGGTGCTGATAAACAAAACAACAGTACAAGATTTCAAAGCATTATATCTTTAAGAACAAATTCATCTTGGAAACTATTTGTTTTTAATACATTTTCAAGTTCTAAAAATGAAATTCTTTTCACTTGTCTATACATGTCTTTTTCATTCTACATGTATATTTGAGATACTGTGTTAAGGTTCTGTTTTTTGGTTAGGGAATGACAGAGTTGTCTACTTTCTGATGTTATATCTAATTTTAGTTGTAGCATCCAGTTCTTATACTTCACATACGTACATGCCTGTGAATATTAGGACAGCGCAACTTGAGTGGTTTACACAGTTCTGTTTGAAAGCGTGTGCTCAGCTAACCGATTATTTGTGGAAATTCCTTGGCCAATAAGAACTTTGATCTGCAAAGTTTTTTAATCTCTAATAATTTCATAAAGCTTACTGGTTCACTTAATTAAACATAATAAAGAAAAGCTGGATCGTCTATGTTTCTACTGCTCCATGAATGAGTTTGGCGTCCTTTATAGTAGCTGCTTCAAAATTATGATCACTCCATCCGCCATATTTATAACCATTCAAAATTGTCAAAATTTCCCTTTTTCAGATGGTGAAACCATTCATTGAGCCCAAGACATACAAAAAAGTGAAGTTTGTGTACTGTAATGACCCACAAAGCGGAAAGATAATGGAAGAGTTCTTTGATATGGATAAGCTGGACTTTGCATTTGGCGGAAGAAGCTCAATTGGGTTTGACTTTGAAGCTTATGGCCAATGGATGAGGGAGGAAGACAAGAAAATTTCTGATTTAAACAGTTCTGAATTGCCATCATTAACACTACCTATTACATTGCAATCAGAGAATCCAGAATCATCAAGTCCAAACCATGTGGCTTCTTCTGATGAGGATGAGGATGACTCTTCTTCGTCTGTTGATGAAGGTACTTCGAACTTGAAGCTTCTTGATGAGAAAACTCAAGATCAACCTTGTAGCTGCAGAGATATTGCACACGGTGATGCAGCAGTGGTGCGCGGACAGATATCAAATCATTGACCACAACGCTTAGCATCTGGACAGTGCTGATGAGCAAAAGATTCACGGGAAAATGTTGCAAAGTTCAAACTCAACGCAGAGAATTCTGGTAATGATGGGTTTTCAATGATATTACTATTGTTCTGTCCAATTCTTGAAAATGTTTGAATAGTAAACCATTTCACATAGTTGGTTTACGGTACAAAAATCCTCACAAGATATATGTATATATATAGGCCTTGATCAAATAATCCCTTAATTCTCCTAAATTAAGGGAGCTTGTAATTACTCATGTTCTCAAGATCGAAAAGTCACAGGCGAATGATAGAATGGATTTAAACAATTGATATCGACATTTTCATTGATAGAATAGAACAAGTAAAATCAGTTCTATGCTTTGAATTATCACTTGTGGGCAAAATCAACATGATCTTGCATGATCTCCTTCGTTGACGACAAAAGTATTATGATCATGGGGAACTGTGGATCACGAATAGCAATTTTGAAACAGCTAAAAGGACGTAAACATTTGATTATCAGTTGGTACAAATGGAAAACATTTCCTCTAGTCCATGAACCACGGAGAAATGTTTTTCTATGTTCATTTGACTGGAAAATGTACTTCAAATGAAAACTAATGCAACTTGCTCCTTAAATACTTTATTATTACTCCTTAATGATGTCATCTTACGCCCTGCTTCTAATATTCTAATCTGTACAGAGAACTATTCAAAATGATAAAATCCTTCTTGAAGTCCATCTTTGAAATAATCTTTTCTTTTTTTAAAATCTTTGAAATAATCTTTGACTCGATAATACTAGTTTATTTATTTATAAATCAATACTAATATAACATTATCTTTCTCTAAATGAAAGATAATATAAACTTTCAACCATAAAAGTTTCACAAATTTAGTAATCCACAATATTATTTCGGTCTATTCATCTCATAATGAATTTAAAAAATAAAAAATAAAAAAAAAAAGAATGAACTTTGTATGAAACCATATAGATGAGTTGAGTTCCATAAAGTTATACTTAGGTTTTAAGTTATTCTTTTTCTTTCTAGAGGATGTGTGCTTTAAGCTAATAATAAAGGAATTATTCTTTTTCTTTTGTCAGCTCCAAACCAGAATTTTTTAGCAGTAAGCAGCCAACTCATTAATTGAATTATTGACCTGTGCTGCTTACAAAAGGAAAAAAAAAAAAAAAACACCAATCTGCAAGAAATTGTGATCTCACCTTTTGGAATGGCACCGACCTGTGATTCAGATATTAAAAATTTTAGACCATTTGGAGTTTTTTTTTTTTCATTAAAATTATAATTAACATAAATTAACATTAATGCAATAAAATTATAGATCCAAGAAAGAAAGTTATGTGATGGGGTTGAAAGGTCCCAACAGCCAACTTGGAAAGCAAGGGAATGGAATAAAATCCCTTTACTCATGGAAGCAATCATCATTCTCACAAACTGTTTAAATCAATTTGGCAATGTTCATAATTTAAGGGTTCATAGATACTAATTGCTCTTTAATTAGAATTCTAAATATTAATTATCAAATTGAACAAAATTGTTTAATTTTTGCTAGTGTAATGAACAAAGCAAATAATTAATGAACAACAAAAATAGCACAATAAAGAAAATTTAAGTTATTTTAGCATTATCACATTATGCAACTGATGCTAAATAAATTGAATGGTTAAGATAAAACAATATTACTAAATTTGGAACAAGATTACAATGCATAACAAACCTCGTTAGATGTTTTCTTACAATTGATTTCCATCCTTAAGACCTATATAACAATAATCTCTTATTCATAAAAGAAAAAAAAAAAAGGCCTTATTTGGTAAAAACAGCTATTTTATAATGTAAAAAAAATTAAAAAGTTAAATTAATTATTGTTACATGGTAAATATAAGTGACCTAACATTTCATGGAACACCGTTTAGCGTTTTATATATACAATTAAAAAAATTACCTCTATTAATCATATTTACAGCATTAAAATGACTTTTAATGTAATATTTACAGAATTTAAGATTTAACAATAATAATTATTTTTTTAAAATTACTCTAAATTAATATTTGTATCAAACATTTCTCTCTAAAATTCTATTTAAATAATATCTACCAACTAACGGTTTATATTGCAAAACGGTTCCTAAATCTACCTCATCAGTCAGTGGAGTCAATAATCCAATGGCATGTAATAAAGGAGTATAAACTTATCATAGTTGGGAGTGCACAAAACAGTATTCTTAAAAAAAGAGAAGACAGTACTCTAAACAAAAAAAGACAGTTCTTTTATAACAGACGAAGTGATCACTAAAAATAATTAAAATAAAACGAAAGGAAGAAAAAAAAATTAAAAAGAATGCAATCAAACATTTTTTCTCCATTGCCTTTCTCATTCAATCTATTCTCTTTCTCTTCTTTTTGTACCGCCCCATTTTCTTCTTCCCTGTCCATGACACAATTTTATACCAAAAACACTGAGAGAGAAAGCTCTGTATAGTTGTTTCCTGTTGTTGCTGAGCACAAAAAATCTTTTTTTTTTTTGGTTTTTCTTTAAAAAGTTAGCTAAAGAAAGAAAAGAGGGGCAAAAGCAAAGGATTCCGTTTCCTTCTCTTTTGAATCCTCTTTTAAACACTTTGATCTCTGTTTCAATCTGTTAATCCATTATTTTCTTTCTCATTTTTCTGTTCCTTGAAAATTTCCAGACTTCAACCAGTTTCTCCTCATTTTTTTTCCTTAATTGAATTTCTGTCTCTCAGGTATCATTATTATGAAGTTGATCATAATTGGATTACTTTGAATTTGCAGAATTTTATCTCAGTTTTGAGCTCTAATCATAACCCATCACTCATTTTTTGATTTCTTGGGTTTCAGGTATTGAATTCGATCATCGTCGGGTTGCTCTGTTTTTTCTTTTGATTGGAGTTCTGAGGTGGGTTTTTGCTTACACTATAATTTCTCTTACTCTTTTAACTTTTCCTCATCTTTTTGTGTCACTGTATTTCATGGATCTAGTGCTTGTTGGCTATTTCTGATTTCTTTTCTTTTCTGTTTAGAAAAACAAAAACAGACTGGGATTGAAAACAGAGACAAAGAGAGAGAATGGGTCTTGATGCAATGAGAATTAGAGTTCAAATCAGTAGATTTTTGGTCATTTCAATTACGGCATCTTATAAATCAGTTCGTAAACATCCATTTATTGTGGGGATGGTTTGCTTTTTGATATTTCTGTACAGATCATTTCCTTTTTTGTTTTCCCTTTTAGTTTCGGCTTCCCCTGTTTTGGTTTGTACTGCTGTTTTGCTTGGTACTTTATTGAGTTTTGGGGAACTGAATATACCTGAAGTTGAAAAAGAGAAAGAAAAAGAAGAAGAAGACGACGAAGAAGAAGAGGTTACCCATGAGATTTCCTCTTTGAAAGTTGATGTTATTGGGGATGCCACTGTTGTTGTTGATAAAGATGAGAACTTTTTTGTAGAGAGTTTTGTAGGAAAGAGAAAGGATACAGTTGAGGAAGCCATTGAAGGAGAGAATTGGGAGAAGATTAGAGTTAGTAAGATTGAGGGAGATGGTAGTTTAGGTGATTATATGCCACTTATCAATGAGAGTTCCCGGGAGATTAACTTTGAGAAGCAAGTGATTGAAGCAGTGGAGAAACAGATTAATGATTTGGACTTGGACAAGAAGAGGGAATTTCAAGAAAAGGAAAAGCAAGGGATTAAAGGGGTCTTGAGTAATGGAGAGGCTTTCGATAGTCATTATTCTCTGGTTCAAAATCTCGAAAAAGAGAGCCTTCAAGAGGAAGATGATAACTCTGCTGGAGAGTTTAGTGAAACTGAGAAGGGTGATCACTTGGATTCTGAGCTTTCATCTTGGAAACGGGCAAATGATGATGATGAAGAGGAGGAAGAAGAGGATGAGGAGGTTTCCGATTATGGGTCTGATGGGGCAGAAAGTTCCTCTCCAGATGCTTCAATGGCAGACATCATTCCAATGCTTGATGAGCTCCATCCACTTTTAAATGAGGAGACCCCACTTTTGCATGAGCAGTCTCATAAGAGTAAGGATGGGAATGCTGAGTCAGATGATGATATCGAAAACCATGCAGATAGAGAAGAAGATGGTGATGACAATGACAATGAGGAAGAGGAAGAAGAAGCACAGGGAGGTAAAGAGGATGAGAGTAAATCTGCAATCAAATGGACAGAGGATGACCAAAAGAATCTTATGGATTTGGGGACTTCAGAGCTTGAAAGAAATCTACGTCTGGAGAGTCTTATTGCTAGGAGAAGAGCTCGTAGAAATTTGAGATCAGTGACTGAGAAGAATCTTATAGATTTGGATGCCACTGATCTTCCCATTAATGTTCCACCTATTTTGACAACAAGACGCAACCCCTTTGATCTTCCTTATGATTCTTATGATAATGTTCCGGGGTCCGCTCCATCAGTATTGTTGCCAAGACGTAACCCATTTGATCTTCCCTATGATCCAAATGAGGAAAAACCTGATCTTAAAGGTGATAGCTTTCAGCAAGAGTTTTCAGCATTTCAGCATAGGGAACCATTCTTTCGAAGACATGAAAGTTTCAGTGTGGGACCATCGGTTTTGGGTGTTCCCAAGCAAGATAGGCTAGATGTTCGTTGGAAGCCTTATTTTGTTCCTGAAAGATATGCTACTGAGGAAACAAGCTACCGATCATTCCAACGGCAATTAAGTGAAGCTAGTGAGTCAAAGTTGAGCTCAGTTCCTGATTCTGAATCAGTAAATTCAGCTGTTGAAGAGGAGGACAAGAAGCTCAATGAAGAAACAGAAATGATCTCCACTTTGGACCATGTTTCTGTTCTGGTTGAACGTGGAAGCCTTTCATCTGAAGATGTTGATTCTGTGGACATTGAGAAGAGAGATGTTCATCATAATGGGGATGAAATTATACTTGGGAATGTAGAAATTCGCCCCGAATTAGATTCAAGTTTGTCGACATTGGGAATTCCTGTGGAACTCAATACAAGTGAAATTCTTTTGCGAATGGAACCTGTTGAAGAGGAGTATAGTAGTGGATCAAGCCTATCATCATTATTAGAAGTAGATGAAAAAATATCTAATGTGAAAAATGCATCAATTGATCCGGAGCCAAGAAATGGTCAGATTGAGGAATCTCACATTCCAACCCAAACTTCACTTGGTTCAGATTTTCATTTTAAGAGTGAGGTGGCAGATGAAAATCAACAAGAGGAGCCTGTTGTGGAGCTAAGAGACAATGGTACTGCAGAATCTGGCATTGTGATGCCAACTACAATTAATGCCAGTTATCATTTTACAAGTGGCATGGAGGATGACGCTAGATGTATGGAGCCAACTGGCAATTATGCTGTAGATTCTAGCATTCCTAGGCAAGTGTCTCTAAGTTCAGATTCACATATCCTAAGTGAGGTGGTAGATAATGATCAACAAAGGAATCTTGTTGTTGAGCCGACAGACAATCATATTAGAGAATCCAGCATTCCGATGCAAACTTCGGTCGATTCAGATTTTCATTTAACAAGTGGCGTGGTGGATGATGATCAACATAAGGAGCCTGTTTATGATTCAAGCCCTCAAGCAGCTGAGAAGCTCTTATCATTATTGTCCATCTCTTCTGATACACAAGGAGAGACATCAGAACTGGAGTCACCTCGAGCAGTGGCTGAATTTGCTGGCAAGGAATCTGAAATTCATACTGAGAGCATGGGGAAAGTTGCTTCTGGTCACAAAGATGTGCATGAAGCCTCCTTACAAGAACATTCGCTAGATGAAAAAGAATCAAGATCAAGGGAAGTTACAGAGGTTGACTATGATAGTACGAAGGTTGGGATGTCAGGGGATGATCTAACTTTTGATTATCAAAATCTCAAAAATGGGTTTATCAAACCGGAGTTGGTGGTTGAGCATGACGCAGTTGATTCACCTCCATCTTCATCAACCAATGGATCCATAAAGGACAGTGTAGCATACTTGGAAGAAAGATCTGATCATGAACTGGATCAACTGCACTCAGCAAGTTCTATTGCAGTTGGGCTGCAGCAAGATCTAATTGGGAAGTTGGATTCTCCCTCTTCTACTAATCAGGTGGCTTCTGAAGAGAATATTTTGCATGCATTGGAGAAAGAACATCTTTCTGCTGTAGTTGATGAGCATGCGGTGAGTACAGAAGGCATTCTTCAGCTTGATCAAGTCCCCTCATCAAGTTTTGATGCAGAGATCCATGTCAATGGTTCCCCAGATATGCGTGAAAATTTAGATTCTGCACATCCAAGCTTTGAGAACATGCCTTCTAATGATTCAAACTTGTCCACAAGGGAGGAAAGACAGCCTGCAGTGGTGGCTGAGCAAGTTTTAGAGGCTCATCTTGAAGTATCTTCTTCAGAGATTAAGCATGTGGAGGAGCGTTTGTTAAGGAAGGAAGAAACTCTCCAATTTAACCAATATCAAGTGCATTCATCAAGTTCCAATGCAATGATTGGTGCTGTTCTGCTTCAAGATGAAGACATGAAACAGCTTTATTCAACAGATAAAGATGTTGTTGAGTCATCTAGTAATGATGATGACAAGTCCAAGGTATTATGCTTCTTGTTATGCTTTAATGTCAAAAGTTGCCACATATTGTTCTGCTTGTTTGAAAAGAGCTTTGTTGTCTTTAATGATGTCTTCTCATTGTTAAATGAGCTATATTGTGCCATTTGATTCTGCAGTTGCATAAGTCATTTTATCATTCCCAGTTGCTTGACAGAGATAACTTCAGTACTTAAACATGGTTCTTTAAGATGGTTTTCAATATAAACATGCAGGGTGCATATAGCAGCACATTCTCAAGCTGTTGGACAGTGCTATTTGCTTTTACATTGTAGTAATAGTGAAGTTAATTTATTCAACATGTGCATGCGTCGCATATATGCGTATATAAATTCCATAGCCAGCATGAATTTTATTTGACATGAGCAAACTGTTAATTGTATATTATCTTATGGTAGATTTATCAAATAGTTGGGATTACAGTTTTGCTGGATTGAGTTCAGTTATCTGTTAATAGGTTTGATATGATTGATTTTTGTGGCATGAGAGTCCACATCAGTCAGGACTTTTAAATTGGTCATATTATGTATATTTGGAATTGGATGCTGATCGTGAATGCTGTAACACAACGTAGGAACCATCTGTCACCCTGATAGAATCTGCAGAGGAAGTGAACATTGCCAAAGATGTAAATATGCCTGAATCCATCTCAGTCCCACCAGAAAGTCTAGAATACAAGTCAAAGATTGATGAAGTTGGTCTCAAAGACAACATTCTCGATAAAATTGTATACGAGGACAGCAATCATGTCTTAGAGCATCATACTTATTCTGTTGCTGAGGAAAATATCAGTGAAGAGGAGGATGAAATAAAGGAGATTGATGAAGGATTGTTGTCAGAACTGGACACAGTTGGGGACTTCAGAGTCGAACAAGTGGTTGGCGAGTCAGTTCATGATGAAGTTAGATCAGTTACAGATATTGAGCTGGCTTTCAAGCAGCTTCATGAAGAAGTAGATGTTGAAGAGGTCATCCTTCCAAGCATGATTGAGGATCAACCAGTTGCTAATGGATCTAAGGGTCTTGGGGAAACCAACTTGGACCTGCAAATTGTTGAAGCAAGATCTATGGAAGATACTCACGTGGTGATGAAGCAAGCCTCAGAAGGGAAAATCCAAAAGATGTCAAAGCTATATGATTTAAGGGGTGGGCCAGAAGAAGTTAACGAAGTCGGTTCTAGCAGTTCTCCTGAGGAACTCCCAATTCTCGAACTTAGATCAATTAATGACATTGATATGGCTTTCAGGCAAATTAATGAAGGTGTGGATGTTGAGGAGGTAATCCTTCCAAGCACAATTGAGCAGCATCTAGCTGTGGATGGATCCACAGATCCTCACCAATCCAGTTTTGACCTGCCAGTTGTTGAAGCAAGATCTCTGGGAGATCTTCATATTGCCATGAAGCAGGCCTCCGAATGGAATATGGAAAATATGTCAAATCCATCAGGTGCAAGGGAAGGGCCAGTAGAAGCAAATGAAGTGGAAGATGATCAACAACCATCCAGTTCAGACCTGCAAATTCTTGAAGTAAGCTCTCTGGAAGGTCATCATAATATCGCCATGAAGCAAGTTCCAGAGTTTAATACTAAAGAGCTGTCAGAATCAGCTCCAACAGAAAAGACCATGGTTTCTCACGAACTAAAGCACGAAGTAGATGAAAAATCTGGAATTTGAAATTGAGCGTACAAAAGAAATCCAATGAGAGGACAAAAACACATAAACCGAGCTCCAGTGATTAAAATTGAAAATGAGATTTGGAGGAGAGTAAAGTGGAAAAAGTTTAGAGGTTTGAATTTTTATTTCATAGTTTGGCTTTTCAATATTGATTTTACCATGGGTAGTTGTTTTTTATTTTTTTATTTTTTGACCTCTTCAATTGATTGATCTCTTCAAGAATGAGTTTTGGTTTGATTTTCTTGAGTTTTTTTTTTTAAATCTTCTAGCTTTAAAGAGTGAGCAGTTTGAGAGAGAAGTTTGAAATCTTTGCATATTGTAAATTATATTCTGTAGAGTTAATGATTTGATCAATGACAGATTGTATATTGTTTTGCACAGCTTTGAACTGTCACTAATATCTTTAATTTTTCTTTTGAGTTCCTGAATTTGTTTGGGTCGGTGTCTTTTGAACCGACTAACCGGTACAGGTCTCCTTTTCAATCCCTTTCAGCATCAATTGTTCAATACGCTTGTTTACAATACTGTGTGCGCGAGAGATTCAAAGACCAACCACCGACATATACCACACTTGATTTTTTTTTTTTTTTTTGCTTTTTATGTTTACAATACTTGTGTGCGCGAGAGATTCCAAAGACCAAACGCACCGACCATATTACCACACCTTGATTTTTTTTTTTTTTTTTTTTTAAGATTTTTAGATTTTTTATTCTCATTTTCATCAAGCAAGCATCTAATTTTTTTTTTTTTTTTAGATTTTTAGATTTTTTATTCTCATTTTTCATCAGCAAGCATTTGTAGAATATTATTCTTGAGAAAAAACTATTATTAGTATTGATTGATTGCAAGTTCTTTTATTATTTAACAAAACAAATAAGATTTTTTTTAATTTTTAATAAAACACACATAAGATAGAAATAATACGCATCCTTTTATCAAAACATGGTAATTTTGATAAGACATGCTCACAGACACCCACATTCCACAAGCGTTGTGAGATCCCAAAGGACCACAGGACCAGTCTCCTCGTATTGTGAGATCCCAAAGGACCAGCCTCCTTGAATTGCAACATTGAAAGAAGCGTACAATTGATTGCAGTTGAGACTTAACCACTGTAAAGTTCATATTACCAATTAAAACCACTGGGCTGTCCTATTTTAAGTCAAGGAGTTATTACGTTGACACTCGACAGTGAAAAAATTTAACGAGGAAGCAAGCAGAGCGACATAGCGCATGCCCTAACAAAAGGCTTTCTTTCCTATTTGCAGAAATTTACTGGAAATAAAGAGTTGCTAATTGTCTATATTCTAACCAATATTGCTAACTTGACTATATAATATTCACACAAATCAGATAAAGCAGCCAAAACTGCTAATGAGCACAGTACATTGAGTAATAAATAAAGTAAGAAATTAAATGCTTTTTTTTAGTATAACCAGAAGGTGTAATCCTTCTTGGGCTATAGCATGTAAAGGTTTTTGGCCCTCAAAGAAATTGAATGCTTTAAGCAGAAATGGTCTGTTGCTTTTGCTTCTTCTGAGCTGGCCCCGGAGAAGTCTGAACCTGAGAAAAATGTTATTTATAAAAGCAAATCCAGATTCTAACGAGGTAAAGGAAAAACCAACGATATTTGCTGCATTTATAAAAGAGTATATACACAAAATCATATTTTTACCAAACCCTATATAAGGCTTATATATTCAACATCAATGTTAACCACTAGTGATGCCATAAAAATAAACAAAAAAAAAAAAGTGTTAATATGACTAAACTGATCCTCCAACTCTTAACTTTCTCTAGAGTCCTCTGTTTCCATGAGGTATTATGTATGTGGAAAATAAAGGGTTGTTCATGGAGTACGGGGAGAGAGAGAACTTGAGTACTGCATGAGATTTTTCTTTCTTTTGTTGTTAAAGAAAAAGAAAACAGAAAATGGACAATTTGATCAAGGGCTAATATTTATATGGAAATGCTCTATACCCAAATGTTTATTTGATATTGAGATTAGGTTGTTTTTGACAAACTGCATTTACAATGTTCAAGGTTTAGCATTTGAAAAAAGCTAGATTTTTTAGATTTCCAAAACCATGGTTATCCAAAAGCAGTTAAAAAGCTTTAAAAAAATAAATAAAAAAATCAAAATGCAGTTTTGGAAAGTAGTTTCAAATTCAATCCCAAACAGAGCCCTAGTAGTATTAACATTATAATTTTCTTTTTTCTTCAACCAAAAAAAAAAAAAAAACCAAAAGTCATCCAACTCAAGCATTTTGTCAACATTGTGGCATGTAGGATACACAAGCACTCCCACATGTTACATTGGATGCATCATTAAAAGAATTCCTTTTTTCCCCCTCAAGACCGTGTGAAAGATAGAATAACCATACCGTGCTAGAAAGTTGTTCACTGATGTAGGTCACTGATCTCAACATAGCTTCAAGTGTGTCTCTAGTAAGCTGAAATTTCACCTCCATTTCTCCTGCAGGAGACTTGGTGAAATCTTGAAGCTGCATATGAAAGATAAGAGATGAAATCTAAAATAAGAAAAAACTGGGAAAAATGATGAGTTCTAATAAGCAAGTGACAAGAATTAGGGCTATAAAAAGGCATTTCTTATGGAATTCTGTTAAAATATTAAACCAGAACTTGATAAAATACTTCAATCGAATGTCTTGATAATAGCAAATATAGCAATTCCAATGCATGCAGCATGAAAAACTGAAAATTTCAATTACTTTCAGAAATCTTAATTATAAGCATTTAAAATTGAATTTGGAACAGCAAACACAACCACAGATTTCCTTACTTCTACCACATGAATATGTGTATGTTTTTTGATTTAGAAACTGAATGGGTTCTCCAAAGACATATGCAACATGTACAACAACAATGATGTTGAATAACCAGGACTAAACCCACCGAATCTCCATCTACAGAGGACTTTCAAGCAGATAGAATAGAGAATAGGAAGTTGCTACTTTGTTCAACCACTTTTTCTTATGATAAAAGTACTTTGTTCATAAGAATTCCAACATCTTCTATTCCCACTCAAACTTCATTGTGAAATTTAAGAATAACATCTTATTTGGTTAGTATTAATCTGGAATCAATCTAACAAACTCAAATCCCTAAATTCTTTTCCTGCATTCCAGCCTAGCTAAGTTCACACTATCAGCAAGATGTCTAGTAGCACCAAAAGTAAATAAATAAATAAATCAAAAATCAATATTTCACCAAGATCTTTGGTAATTTGTGATTTTATTGATCTGTTAATCATGGATGTCAAACTCTATCAATCATGCTCATTATCAGATAATCTAAAGATGATCAGATAAGAGTTGAAAAAGTTAGAAAGTTCCATTCTGTAAAAATAAAAATGCATACTCCATAATTTAAGTTCACTGATATTGCAAAAGACAAAATAATGATAATATTTGTATACCCTGAGACTGATTATGGCTACTCTGTTTGCTGGTGCAGAGTTGCGATTCTCCATGGTCCATGTCATTGACTTGAGACGGGGTAGAACACCCTGCACACACACACTCAAAACAAATATGTAAAATAATAAGTCAGCTCACAGAAAACATGCAAAATAACAAGCAATCTTGTGCACTTTAAAATTTCAACTTATGCAAGAAGGCAGCACAACTTAATAGATTATCTAACAAATGGAGGACTTTACATGAAACTTAAAATTCACTCTTTGCAAATGAATCTCTTGCTCTCTCCCTCTGGCCCGAGTTTCTTTACAGAGTACAGGTATGGGGATGGAGAGGATAGCAGGATGAGGTTGGCCAGGCAGCCTTCTAAGACCAATAAGCTTCAGGTCAGATCTTAGCATGGATATGTGCCATTGCATTATCACTGTTTCCTCAGAAGGTGGGATTCCAACTGCAAATTTTTTTTTTCTTTTTTTTTTTTTTTTTTTTTTTTTTTTCTTTTTTGTTTTTTTTTTTTTTTTTTTTGGGGGGGGGGGGGGGGGGGGGGGGGAGGGAGAGGGGGTGGGATAGGAACTTTAAAGGGAGGGAGAGGGGGGGTGGATAGGATCTTTAAAAGAAAGAAGAACAGAATTATTGTAGATTGGTATTATGCTTCTAAATGTACTGGAGTCTCATTGTACCCGCCTATTACTCTGTTGCCCAGCAGCAAGAGAAATGTGGATACTGATTTTTCCATCATTGAGATTCAATTTGCTTATGCCATTTTCAGTGATTCATGTGTTACAAAGCAGGGAGGAGGGATAATGAGAAGGTAAAAATGTGCAGTTTAGAGCCATTTCAATTTTGCCTTGTGTAGACATCATGTATAAGATGAATAGATAAGCATTTGAAGGTAGGTGGAAAAGGAATGCAGATATTCAGGCTCAATGTTTCAAAAGATTTATGGTTAGATGAAGTTTTTAGTAACCCTTCCCACTCCAGCCTCCAGTCAAATCAAAAAGTCAGCAGCCAGGGTTTAAGACTACAGGCACTGGATTCTTTTTCTTTCTCCTCTTCTCTTTAGTTTGGTTATCATTAGTTCATCACTACTCTCCAAAAGTCAGAAATACTAATACCCAATTCCTCAAGCCAACTCTGAGCAAATGAATTCTGGAAAGGTAGAATAGAAATTAGTATGATACAATATGATGATAATCTCCTCTTTTGAAGGGGGACAAATGCCAGATATCTTCAGAGGGTCTCCATGGGTACTGGGGTATGCATGGTATTAAATATCAAGACCCAAAAGAAGCATAAAAAAAGGAAAATGCAAAGTGTTAAAATGGTAGACAAGCTGAAAAAGCAATGTGTACAAAAATAGAATAAATCAACTGCCTACTTGCTCTACAGCCTAACTAAGAGAAACAAACTAATTCTTATTACCAAGTTGTTAGGAGGGTTAACTTCTTGTTGGATAGAAACAGCTGTAATTTGTGGGGCAGTGGTATGAGCACGGATTGGCGTAGAAATCCTGAGATCATCGCGATTAAAACGTCCACTGTGATCACTTTGACGAGCCCAAAGTGGCAATGAATTCTCAGAAGATAGGAAAGATGTAAAAGATGGTGGTGTGCCGGTTTTCACCTGGTAGGAGATGCTGGTCCTCGGTAATGGATGCTGGATAAGATGCATATAAATATAATTTCAATGAAATGCCAGCAGAACAAGCAACATAAAAGTTACAAACCACAGAGAGCCAAACAACAGCTAGGAACTAATAATCAGATGAGAGAGAAGAAATTATATTACTACACATGCAAGCCACTTAAGAAGACTCCTTTCTTAATGAACTCTGTGATGTGTATTTTTTAAGCCATCTGGTAACTGAAGGATCACAAGTCATCTAAATGAGCTCAAACAAAAAGGAGAGAGAATTTTCGTAGTCGATGCAAATCTTCTCTTTGATTCCCTCCTGATCCAGGATTTCAATTGACATTATGTGAGAATAAAGCTAATTACAAAAGTTTAGCCCATTCTCACGGACTAAAATATTTAGCTTCCGAGATGAGTACTTAATAAGGGTCCAATATCATATATTCCTTCTACCCGATTGAGGCATAACTTCAATCCCCTGTCAATATTAGCTAAGCCAACATCCTTCAAACTATAAAATCAATGTGCAAAAACACAATGCGATGGAGTAACATGCCAAAGTTTTTAATTCAACAATTATAGTTAGTTACTATCTTCTAGTTATGCTCGATAACCTTGTTCAACAACAGCATCCCAGCAATGGATATGTAAATTTAACCACACCCCATCATTCATGCCCAGCCCAAATATACCTGTTCTTTTGATAATTCCTCCTTCCATTGATTCTGATATTTCTGAAGTAACAATATAAGAATGCTTTGCAGATCAAGTGAGAGGTCAGGAGGAAACAGCTTCAGTAGATCATCACTGGTGAAGTTCTCATGGACACTTTTTCTGATAAGCGAACGAAGGCATGCCAAAACCTATCGTCAGAAAATTTTTTTGTTTACATCATTCGTGAGAAGCAATGATTTTAACCAAAAAAAAAAAAAAAAAAAAAAAAAAAAAAAAAAAAAAAAAAAAACATATAAATCATTAAATTAAGCGCGAAAAACAAACACCCGGGACCCCTGAAACTTTGTTGTTTTCTGTTCTACTTAAGCCTATCGAATGTGACTATCTCCACTATCAAGCCCTCACAAGCCCTACTTATATTTTTTCATCACTCTTGCTCTACATGAGAAATTGATATCCTGCTTTAGAATATACAAAATGCCAAAAAAAAAAAAAAAAAAAAAAAAAACATATAAATCATTAAATTAAGGGAAAAACAAACACCCCGGAGCCCTGAACTTTGTTGTGTTTTGTCTATTAAGCCTATGAATGTGATATCTCCATATCAAGCCCTCACAGCTCTTATTTTTCTTACTTTGCTTAATGAGAAATTGATATCTGCTTTAGATTACAAAATGCATAATAGAGAAACCTCAGAGACAGAGTTGAATTTTTCCTTTGGTTCAGTTATTTCCATTAAAGTATTGTATGTAAATGCAATTCAAAGACACAATGGTGAAATTCAGTGATTAAAACTGAAAACAAAGGAAAGATGTTTACAGGATCGACTTCGGAGAGGGAAGAAAGATTGAGAAGAGACTGAATGTGAGACTTTTCCGGCGAACGGAGACCTGTTTTTCTGGATTTCCATAACGTTGTGAGTAAGTTATCGAGCTCTTCCTCTGAATTTATCGCCGATAGCTTTTGCAGTTGCAAGTAAAGCGAGTCCTCCTCCATTTTTCTTATACTCTTGTACTGTTCTGCCGTATTCCCCTTTTAGTAGATTAGATGAAGCACGCGATGTGCGCATGATAAGGGAAATGACAGTACTTGCGATTTAGCATTTTTGTAATTCTACCACAATTCTTTTTCATTTTTATAAATATAGTGCATGTTCTAAAAACTTTTCAATTATAGCCATCATTTAATGTTTTATATTTATTTCCCTCTCTGTGTGTAGCGAAAGGTTTAACTTCTTTGAAGTGGATGGTCTAACTCCTGAGAGAAAATAAATTTATCCTTTTTTTTTTCTCTGAGAAGGCAAAGTTTTGGAGGAAAGAGAATGTTATTATTTAAGTAAAGAAACTCTAATCCATCTCATGTTATTATTTAAGTAAAGAAACTCTAATCCATCTTTTTTCTATGCAATAGTCTTTTAACCTAGTTTTAATTTGAGACTGTCGTTATTTGTTAATAGTCCTACAAAAGTGAAAAAGTCAATTTGACCGGTGCTTAATTGACATATAATAAAAATATAATAACTCAGTTTCCAGACTACTGATTGTCGTTAATAACTTGATTAATAGCTGATTGTCGTTGTTTATCTTTAATTTGAGACTATTTTGAACTGATTATTACCTTTTTATAGTCCTTAATGCAATGTTTTGAGGTTTGCTTTTAAAAAAAAAAAAAAAGGTTCTCTCTAAATTCAAATAGTCTATTTATCCATATTTAGTCAATTATGTGGTCCAAGCACTTGTTTCAATCAAAAAATTGATCCATTTATTATTTTCATTCAAGATGGACTCAATGAACTGCTGGGCAGGTCACTTCCGGACAAATAGATGATTGATGACAAAAACGATGGGACTTCAAGAGAATGACTAGCTTTTTCTAAAATCAATTGAAATGTTAACTTTTAGCCAAATTATATTGTCTCCCTCCGTACTAAAAGAAATAATCCCATTTTTTTCACACTCACTCATTTTAAGAACGGGCGATTAAATTAGTTCAATCATAATATTTGTCATTTTATTTATATATATATACCCCTATATTTAATAATTTTTTATTAAATTTTGAATTTAATGATTGAGTTTTTCAATAGAAAATAATATGTTAGAATATGTTTGAATTAATTTATATTATTTTATATTTATGTTTAACTAAATATTTAATAATTTCATCCCTTCCACCATATAAAAAAAATAGTAATTCTATATATATTAATTATTGGCATAAATTATATTATAATAGTATTATAAGAAAATTAATAAAAAGATCATTTTAAAAAATAGAAATATGACTATTATTTTGAAAACGCATCCGTTTTGAAAAGTGAAATTATTTTTTTAGGACGGAGGAATATTATTTCTATCAATCAATTTTAAGGTAAGTTCAATACTATTGCAAAAGGTTCTTTCAAAAAAACATTATTGTAAAAGGAGAGAAAGTAATAAAATTGAAATTAAAAACTACAAAAAAAAAATTGTTAGCATGTCACGTAGTTCTGATTTATGCGTAACAAAAGCTTGATGGACTAAAATGTAATTTACACTTTATCAACAATATTTATTTACAAGAAATTAATGCGTTTAAGAGCACAGGATAGCCTTCTACCAACCCATCACTATAGATCGACGGGTATTCTTCGATCCACGTGCCCCTTCAAGTTTTTTCATTGCCACTGACATATTTATTTTTTTTTGATTTTTTTTTTCGTTTTTCTCTCTGTGGGTCTTTCTTTCTCTCTCAGATTCTCTCTGCAAGCAAAAAAGAATTCTCAATTTCTAGGGTTTTTCATCCCAATTTCAGAGGCCGAATTCTCCAATTCGCTTAACGCTTCCTATTTCTTTACAGGTGAATTACGTTATGCTTTAATTTTAGCTTGCAGTTACTCATTTAGTTCATCGTTTCATTATTGCTGCTATAGTTCTTTCGTATCTTTTCATTTATCTTTGTAATATTTAGTTGCATCTTCAGACGCTAAACCGCTGAGAAAGCTCTAAACAAGAAAGAGTATTTAGGAAAGTGATATATCAGTCCTTTTTTTTTCATTGGTTATAGGGTTCTAAAGTATTATTCAGGGTTCCATTTGTCGTGCAATATTGCTGGTGTTCCTTTAATTTTTACTTTCACTTTTCCTAAAATAATGAAAAGTTTCAATAGCAAGGAGTTCTCTTGTTAATTTATGAGGAGAAGACACTTTGTTTTCTTTATGTGAATATTTTTGTTATTGTAAAGTTTGTTCCTAGTACGGCTGGCTCTTTATCTTTCAATCCCTGAGAAGAACGGGGATAGAGACAGCGGGGAGTATTCATGCACTGTTGGCTGTAGAGTTTTAGTAGGCACTTATTTTGGGTTGCAGGAGGATTAGGTGGAAGAAGTTCTCGTGCTCAGGTGACTGTTCTAACAACAGATGGGTTCGTGGGTTTTAAGTCTAGTGAAGGGTTGCTGAGCCAAAAAGTAGTAAATTGAAAAAGCAATCAACTAATGAGTTTGGTGTTCATAATTATGTACTAGTGAGGATGGGCCTCGAGGATTAATGGAAGAATTAGTGGATTTATTGCATTTCCATGGATAAGTTATCTGTTCTAGCTGTTGGGTATCTTCATGTTATTTTTTCTTGGATTGCAAAGATAAGATGAAATGTCTTCTACTCTTCTGTTTCGTTTATCCTTATCTTGGGAGGTCCTACCTGAATAAGATGTTGGAAGAGTCATTGATGCCAGTTCCATTGACAGTTTCTAGGTTGACAAAGTGCATGAAGTAGTAGTTAGAGTTTGTTTTGAAGGTGACTTGTTTCTTTCTAGGTTGAGTTTATTTGACTTGTGGGGGACATGATCCGGACAGTAAGATGTGTTTTTCAGAGTTTGCTCGAAGTTGGGACATTTTTGGTGGAAAATGAGTTAGGGCATGTTCAAAGAGATTTATTATGTATTCATATATTGTTTTTGAGTCGTGGTTGAAGCGACATTAGCATTATTTCCATAAATTATCCACCCTAGGTAGATTGTTGGCTCCACAACATGGATGAATTGGGAAATATCAGCAAGGTTTAAAGCCTAAGCTCTATGCTATTATAGTAGTAGTAGCCCATTCAAGTGCTTATATTAATTTTTCAATTGTCAAAATCTTTTTCATATGAGGTAGTAGTATTATTTTTCCCCACTTAACTTTACAGTGTCATTACTGGTCTTGTTGTTGCGTAGATGTTTAATATGGGTAATTCATTATCTAATTTGTTGACAATATCATATATATTCTTACCACACAGTTTTGGCTAGTTTTGATATTTATCATGCTCGAAACTGCCTATTGTTCCATGTAATCCAAAATTGAATATATACTTCTAATCTAATATTATGAATTTAAAATTTTGGGCCTTGTGGACACTGATGCATTCTATCCATGTTGTTATTAAGCAGCTTGGCATGGCAAAGAAAGAAAAAAGAAGAAGATATTAGTATATTGGCTTTGATTTGTGGCTATGAAGGTTATGAATATGGTTGATGAATGGTGTTTAATTATGTTAGAAATGAATCTTGCATCAACAGTTTGCTATTTTAGTAACAAAGCCTGCAAAGCGGACATGGTGATTTAAGTCAAAAGAAAGTAATATCCATTTCACTTTCAAAAGATAACATGTTAAATTAAACTTTTGGTTTGTGTGGCCATTAATTTTGTTTGCGGAACAAATGGAGGGTTAAGTCTCAACTTTTCTTCTCTTCTTTTTGTGTTAGTTTGTGGCCATTCTTCACCCTTTCTCATATTCCAAGCTTTTCATAAGCTTTCTAGGAATTGTATTATGGTTCATATTTAGAGAATATTATATTCATGCAAAATTCCAGGTAAGGGGTTTTTTCTAGTGGAGGAGTTGCATAGGACAGCTCAGAGGTGGCTATTTAGAGTAGATTTTAGGTTTATTAAGAAGATTGAATGAGTTGAAATTTAGGTCGAGTGTTGGACAACTGGGTTTGTACAAGACTTGGTTTGAGAAGTGAATGCAATTTGCAAGTCCTTGGGCAGTTCTAATCATGGGGTTTATTCTACTTTCTACTTTTGTATTTCTGAAAAATAATATCTGTATGTTCATGTATTTTGGCATTTTGTTGAACTGCATAATTTCTTTTTCATTTTTCTCTAGTCCTTTTCACATTCTTTCCTGACCTGTTTGTGAGTTGGGCACGTTATTTTTCAGTGCAATAATGTCAAGCTTTTAGCTAGCTTTGTCATTCTTTTAGCTAGCTTAGGCACTTTGGGAGTTCTCCCTTCTTAGTTTTCATGTCACATTATTGCTCATGTTATGTGTATTTTTAATGTCCATTTGGTGTGCTTGTGATCTAGACCATGTTAATTAGCTGCCTAATTGTATTTTGCCTCGGGGTTTATTTTATTTTATTATTGATTTATGTAAATTGTTTAATAGTTAGTAATGTGAAACTTGGAAGCAACGTTCTTTTACTTTTATCTTTTGTCTCTTTCTCTCCCCTCTGGCAAGAAATCATAATTTTGATTTTTGCTCTTCTAGCTAACTTCAGGGCACTCTGAGAGTTCCTCCCTTCTTAGTTTTCATGTTCCACATTATTGCTCATGTTATGTGTATCTTTTAACTGTCCCAATTTGGTGTTGCTTGTTGCATCTAGACCATGTTAATTAGCTGCCTAAATCGTATTTTGCGCCTCGGGGTTTATTTTATTTTATTTATTGATTTAGTAAATTGTTTAAATAGTTTAGTAAAATGTGCAAACTTGGACAGCAACGTTCTTTTACTTTTATCTTTTTGTCTCTTCTCTCCCCTCCTGGCAAGAATCACTTAATTTTTGATTTTTAAAAACAACTCAACATCCCCTTGGCGTGCTGGACTGTAGACCACTGTGAACTTAAGCTGCCTAATTCGTATTTCTGCCTCGAGTTTTATTTTATTTTGATTTGTGTAAAATGTCAGCTAGTTAGTAATATGCTGAAACTCGGCAAATAACTTTCTTTTGACTTTTACTTTTGCTATTCTTGACTCCCCCTGGCAAGAAATCATAATTTTGATTTTTGTGAAACAATTTCAATGCATACTCTTAAATTCAGTACTATAGTATAAACGTTGCTAAATCCCTTTTCCAGCGGTGCATGCTATATTCCTCCTTAATTCTCTCTTCTGTCATTATCAGCGCGAATTCTTACCAACATTGGAGAACAAAATTAAGGGCTTAAGATGGTACCTTCATTGCCCTGCGGGTAAATATTCAATGTTTTTGCCAGCTTTTGGAAGACTGATTCAACCAAGATTCTCTCTCTACATTTTGCCATCCCTACTATTTTGAAGCTAAATCATAATTTTGATTTTTGAAACAATCAATGCATATTTAAGTCAGTACTATAGTATTAACGTTGCTAAATCCCTTTTAGCGGTGCATGTATATTCCTCCTTAATTCTTTTTCTTCTTGTCATTTATCAGGAATTCTTACAATTGGAGACAAAATTAAGGGCTTAAGATGGTACTTCATTGCCTGGGGTAAATATTCAATGTTTTTGCAGTTTGGAGACTGTTAACCAAGGATCTCTCTCTACATTGCCATCCCTACTATTTGAGCTAAAGCCCAGATGGCTATATCTTGCTAGTATTATTGACTTTGTGGAAATTTTTCTCTCTTAGGTAACTCTATAGATAGTGGAGGGAAGGGGAAAGTGTGGAAGGGTGGGACCTTACTCATATAAGGTAAGAGTGGAATATGGGTTCTTTGACTATGATTTACATATATAAGATTATTATCATAACCCTAGCAATGTATTTGATGTGTAATATCCTATAAATTTCATGTTTTCATTATCTATCTACACACTGCAATTAATCTTTGCTAGTTTCTCAGTATTAAAGTAAAGGTTCCACTCTTTATTTTTGCATATATGTTAGTATTTGGTTTACTTACAATGCACCTGATGGCCAATAATACGTTAATTCTTGGTTTTTGCATATCACCATTTTATCTACAAACTGGCCTTACAATCTAGCCACGTATCTACAAACTATGTTTGAAAGATGGAAAATAAGCGGGGAAGAAGTAATAGGTCTAGAATAAGAGGTGAAAATGGTATTTCTTTTGTTTGAATTATAGTAGGAAAATAAGAGAGGGTGGAAAAAAAAAAGTATTTTACTTTGGGCCCATAGTTGTGAAAAAAGCACGCCTTAACTCAAGATGCGGGTCCTGGAGCCTCAGGAGCAGAAAGGCGTGCCTCTGGAAAAAAGCCCTTGCTGAGGCACAAGCATAAGGCACAAAAAAGTGGGACATTTGTTATTTTATGCCCCCAACAGATCTTGGAGTTTTGCAGTCCGACTATATTTATATAGATTTCTATTAATGAGAAAAAAACTAAAAAAAGAAATAGAAGATATCGATAGATATACAAAGGAAAAAAGTAGCTCGACTCTCTTTCAAGCTCCTCTACACCATTTCTTCACAACTAAAGAAAGCCCCCAATTAGATGATTTAAATCCATTAAAGTCTTCACAAAGAAGTCTCTCCAATTTAGCAATTGATTAACATAAAGGAAAGATGTCTCTCAACTATTCTTTTAATTTTTTCTTGATTTCCCTTTCTCTCCCCTTCTCGCTCTATTTGATTTAACAATCTGCTTCTACTCCCTTCTCATTCTAGTCTAATAGCTTCAATTATGAGCAGTTATGCTGCTGAATTTTTTGCTGATTTGTGCTGCTGAAATAATGATTTATATAAAGCTATGGTTATAGTTCTTAACATCTTTTTATGCATTTACTTTCAATTATATTTAGATATTTTAAGTATTAAATAGTGTGATTTAACATTTTATATGTTTTATATTATTAATATGAATGTTTTGTTCAACTTTGGAATTATTTTATATTTTTTCTTTATTTTTGCACCTCACCTCGCTTAGGCATGCGCCTTGCGCATTCCGCATAGGCTCCAAGACCCCCTTTGTGTCTTAGTGCTTTGCGCCTTTAACAACTATGTTTGGGCCCGCGCAAATTTGTACTTTTAATTTGGAGAGAAAATTGAAACAAAGTGGTAATAGATGAATATGATGGAATGTCCCTTTTATTTTCCTTCCAATCCAAACAAGACGAATGAAATAAAATAAAAATGCAGACATGTTCATGTTTTCTTTCATTGCAAATTTATTTCTCAAACAATGTGCTTGGGCTTTCTCTATTTGCTTAATTGGAGCTTGAAGTTGATTTAATAAATCCTTATTGAGTTGGCATTGATGCAAGGGTCTTTTGCTGGAACTAATGTGCAATAGCATGTTTATTATTGGAAGCTTATGGAAATTCTTCAATTTTTTAAGGCATCTTTGAGAAGGCTATTATATGCTTGTAAAATTTGATGAAACTAAATAATGTAAGAAGGGAAAATGTGAGGTTTAATTTGGGAAAATAAAGTGAGAAAATTTAGAGAATCAATAATTTTTGAAGACGCTTTTTATGGAGAAATGCTTCTCGTCTTCAACAATGTGTTTCTCTTTCTGTTTTAATAAAATTGTCTAATCAACCTATTTAGGAGTTCATGACATGATAAAATATAAATTTGTAAAATGAAACACAGCAAGAGACAGAATTGGAAACTTTTTTCTCTGGACTGCAGAAAATCTCCTTCCATTGCAGCTTCAAGACATGATAAATCAATTTTGACCCTGTATTTTTGCAATGAAACATCATTTTCTTGCTTTTCCTGGAGTAATTGCAAAAATATTTTCATCTTGCAGAAAATTTGGAAATTTTTTCAAAAGCTCTCACAAAAGCAGCATAAGCGATAATGTAATGTAATTATAAACTAGAGACACTTTTTTTTAATACATTTTATTTTTATTTTTTGGTGATGAGGAAACTAGTTACTGTATGGGAGCTTGGTATTTGTGATGAAGCAGTGTTTCTCACTCTATTCCCCTCCTTTTCAAACAAATTAATACCCTTGTATTTGCAAGGCATTTTGTTGGTCCATCAAGATGTTTAAGATTATCTAGATGTTTCAAGCATTTTCCCTGAAATAGGTATTCCCAAATTTCTTGTAGTGTCTTTTTTTCTTTTAGGATTCAACATGGCATTGTTCTTTTTGAATTTCTTGTAGTTGTGTTATTTCTTAATTTGCATCCTCTATTTCTCCAACAGTTTGATTTGGTGATTCATGAGCTTGATACTTATATAGTTAGCAACTTTGGATATCTCCATTATTTTTAAATATGAGTGTGAACATGGTAAATAGGCATGACAACGGTTCTAGAATTGCTGGTTTCGGTTTCAAAACTGTCGATTCCAATCATAAGAAAGGTGAAACTGAAACCGGACCGCTTTTAGGCGGTTTTAAGATGTTTTGGAAATGCCGATTTCGGAAAAGTAGTTTTTAAGACGTTTTGAAAATTCCGATTTCATTTTGAAACCAAAATTAGATAATTTATTTCAAGCTTTTTGAATTTCTTTTTTAGATTTGTAGCTTTAATAAATAATAATACAAAAAATTACTATTGAAAAAAACTAAACCAATTTAATAAAAATTCTTAAAGTTTATTTTTAAAAATTATAATGAAACAAAAAATGAGTTGTGAGTGCCTTTAAAGACATGTTTTTCACGGTTTGAAACAGGGACCGTGGGTTTTAAACTAAAACTGCCAGTTCTGGATTCAAAATATGAAGAACCGGAACCGAATCTTAAGTATACAGTTTTAACTATGGTTTGGGACCAGGAACCGTCGACCATGGTTTAGTGTCAGTTTTGACCAGCTCAGTTTCGATTTGGTTCCGGTTTGGAACCGAACTGTGGTCATCCCTTCTACTAAAGTCCATCCCTTTTATTTCATAAGTGATAGTTTTTACCTGCTCTTAATTCTGCCTTTTCATTGTTCAAAATTCGAAAGCATCTGTTTGACTAAAACAATGTTTTCTTTTCCTTGTGTCCTAATTGTAGGATTATTGCAGGATATGTGAAAACTTTTGAAGCAGCAGGATGAGCAATGATGTTTTTGATGTACAGATATTAAATGAGAAGTTGTCAAAACTCAATAACTCACAACAGAGCATTGAATGTATCCTTCATTTTAAATCTCTGCATTGGGTTTCCTTACAGGTTTTTGTGATAGGGTCTTGTGCAAGGGGGAGACTGTGACATCTGGCATAATTAGGAAGTATTGCGTTAATTTATGTTGGGTTTTATTTATTGTTTATACGTACTCCTTGTTCATACTTCTCTATTAATAAAATATTTACAAAAGAAAATTGTATTTTCTTTTGAGATGCTAACGATCTTTATCTTGCAATGCTAGGTTTCTTCACAGTTTTGTCCCTGGAAATTGTTGTTAATGCTAATGTTAGTCATATGTGTTCATGTTCCTTATCTCTTGGCATATCTTTACTGTTAGTTTGTCATATGATTAAGCATGATCAGTATCTGGAGAAGAGATTCAAAAATTTTATTTACAAAAAACGAAGAGTACCTTTAGCTAAGAAAATGAACTCTTCTATAATTTCTTTATAGTTGATTCTTAGTTGTTAAATCCCTAGCTTTCTTCTTTAATCTTAAATTTTTGCTCGTGTCAGGTGTTGGTTCCAATTTTATCACATGATTTTCCTTTAACTAAACCGATGAGTCCCAAGTCCTTAATCAGCTCTTTGTTCTTGAAGTTTTCAGTTTTAGGATGCATCTGTTGCTTTCACTTTAATCTTAGAATGGATGACAGACACTGGATGGAAAGCACTAAGCAATATCCAGATGGCTGTAGGCTAAGAAGACAAGCTTGATTGTACTTGGATAAGAGCTGTTTGGTAATTTAGCTTAAGAGCTTGATAGTGCTTGGTTTTGCTTGTAACTACTTTGTAGAGACAAGCCTGGCTTCAGGCTTGGTTAATCCAGAGTGAATTTGGACTTTTTTCTTTCCCAGTCTTATTTTCATATGGCTAATAAAGGTGGCCATAATAAAATGCAATTTTATTGTTGGTGGTGTCCTACTAGTTTGAGGCCGCTACTGTTTATTAGGTTGTAATACAATGTATTTATGGTTGATTAAGCTTTTCATTAATACCCTGGTAACTGTTGTATTCATGGCTTGTTTTTTTCTTTTTCTTTTTTTGGTTTCTTTATCTTGAGTGCCTTATGCGAAGTTTATTTTTCCTACTCTTCCTACAATTTGCTTTTTTTTTTTTTTTTTTTTTTTTTTAGTCTTGAGGCCCGCTTACTGTATATTAGGTTCGTAATACAAATCGTATTTGATGGTTGATTAACGCTTTTTCATTAATACCCTGGTAACTGCTCTGCTATTCCATGGCCGCCTTCTTGTTTTTTCTTTTTCTTTTTGGCTTTCTTTTATTCTTGAGTCTGCGCTTTATGCGAAGTTTACTTTTTCCTACTCTTCCTACAATTTGCTTTTTTTGTTTCTTTTTTTTTTTTTTTTTTTTTTTTTGTTTAGAATTACAACCTGCATGTTCTTAAATACTATTTCTTAATTACTTTTTATCCATGATATCTAAATTAGTATTGCAACTGAAGAGAATTGAGCAATTATCCGGACTATCAAGAACAATAATGTGTCTTATACCTGTGATTATGAGTATCATGACCTATGAAATACACTTACAAACGGTGTGCACCTGGTCATCCAGTCAGTCTATCTTTTCTTTTCATATTCATGTGTTTGTGTAATTTGATTTTATATGTTATGTTTTCCTTCAATCGTTGGATTAGCTTTATCACGCTGGTGTATCTTGCACCGGAAGAAAGCAAGGCAGATTGTTGAAACATGGGATAAATTGTTCGACTCTTCCCAGAGAGAGCAGCGTGTCTCTTTTCTATATTTGGCTAATGACATCTTGCAAAATAGCAGGCGGAAGGGTAGTGAATTTGTGAATGAATTCTGGAAAGTTCTTCCTGGATCCCTTAAACAAGTTTATGAAAATGGGGATGAACATGGGAAGAAAGTGGTGACTAGACTGGTAAGTGCTTAATTATTTAATTTGTTTCTTAGTCCTTGTTTTGCTCTACTTTTTTTCTCTTGGTAATGTCTATTTTCTTGTCAAAAAAAGGAATTCCCAGTCATTTGTGATCAAGTCATGTAATATTTACTTGCCATATTTGTTCCCAGGCCCTGAATAGTTGTTTCTTTGTTTTCCACTTTAAGATTTGATTCAGGGGAAGAGTTATAAGTGTGTGTATGTGCAATTACTAGGCAATAGTTGTGAGAACAAGAAATGGTAATTGCATATCAAGCGTGAACTTTACTTGCTTTGCAATATAATTTTGTCATTTCTTTAAGAATTTTTTTTGTATTCTATAATTTGTGAACTTCATTGTGCTTTATGGTTAATATATTGTAAGATGAGATATTATATGCCTGTTTGTGGAGTTCATCATAATCAAGAATTTAACTTATGAATTATTATGTTCTCTGCTGTTGAAGAGTTTTTATTGGTTTCATGAGCAAACAATTCCATTGTTTGTTGGGATAGTATGTGCCTGTCTCCAAAGCCTATCAAAATCAAGCAATTGACTTGTGTGACAAACTTGCTGTATTTCAATGGAATTTTGATAGAAAATTTGCTTGTCTATTCCCACAAGCTGATTGGGTTTAAATAGACTGAAGTATCCACAAATTTGTCTCCAACCAGGAAACCTATCAAAAGAAAATCAAGCCACACATTGACTTGTATGCTGACAACACCTTGCTGTTTATTTTCAACTGGAAATTTTGAACTAGAAAAATCTTGCCTTGTCTATTCCCACCATACTTGATGGGTTTAAATAGACTGAAGTATCCACAATTTGGGAATTAAATTCCTAAATCTCAGCCCTAATTGCATGGCCATTGTTCTTCTAATTTATGGCTGCATGACACCTTACATTGCTCTCTAATGATGCCTAATAATCTCTCCTAATGATGGCCCATTGTCTTCCTAATACTGGTTAGACATTTACACAGCCTGAAATTACGCTCCCTAATTTTGATGCCTAATCTATCCTCCTAAGTGATGGTTACTTTACAAGGCTATCTTACACATTATAGTCAATAATCTCATTAATAGTATAGCTAACATTATACTAACATCCCCTCAAACAGCTATCTTACAACAGTATAGTCAATTAATTACAATAGTATACTAACATCCCCCCCTCAAATTGATGCTGGGCGATCAAGAAGCATCAATTTGCCAACGAGAAATTGATGACGCTGTCTTGTCATAGATTTTGTGAAGACATTAGCAATTTGAAGAGCTGTGGAGACATGTGAAAGAGAAATGACACCTGTATCTACGGCCTTTCGAATAGAATGACAGTCGACTTCGATATGTTTGGTACGTTCATGAAAAACAGGATTTGTAGCAATTTGTATGGCACTAGTGTTGTCAGCATGCAGAGGAGTAGAACGAGGCTGAGGAAATCCAATTTCAGCAAGTAACCCACGTAACCAAACAATCTCTGAGCAAGCAGCGGACATAGCCCGATATTTAGATTCAGTAGAAGATTTTGAAATACGGTATTGTTTCTTACTTTTCCAAGATATCAAAGAATCGCCAAGAAACATACACTAACCAGTTATAGAGCGTCAAGTGTCTGGACAACCGACCCAATCAGCATCACTGTAAGCAACAAGGCATACGGGAGAGCCAGTAGGAAAGAATAAACCCTGAGAAGATGTACCAAGAAGATAGCGAATGATTCGACGAACTGCCACCAGATGTAAGTGACGCGGAGTACTCATGAATTGACTGACTTGCTGAACTGCAAAAGAAATATCGGGCTGTGTAACAGTCAGATAATTCAAACTGCCAACTAATTGCTGATAAAGAGATGGATCAGGAAGAAGATCTTTGTTTTGACTATGATACTTGATGTTTAATTCCAAAGGGGTATCAACTGGAGATGAATCCTGAAGGCCTGCTAAAGTAATCAAATCTGTAGTATATTTGTGTTGATGCAAAAATATCCCAGGAACAATCATAGTGAACTTCCAGCCCTAAGAAATATGTAAGTGGACCAAGATCCTTCATATTAAAAGAAGTTTGAAGAGATTGTTGAAGATGGAGGATCGTTGATGTGTTAGTGCCAGTGATAATAATATCATCTACATAAACAAGGAGTAGAACAAAACCAGCAGAAATCTTATGAAGGAACAAAGAGGAGTCATATTTACTTTGCACAAAGGAAAACTGAAGTAAGGTAGACCGAAACTTGTCAAACCAGGCACGTGGAGCTTGTTTGGTTTGTCTAAAATACATACAGAGACCTTTTTTTGAACTACACACATAGTGTTGACTAGATGAGTGAAGGCAACCCCAATGGAAGTGTCCATATTAAAAATATCTTCGTTAAGATCACAATGAAGAAAAGCATTTTTGACTCCATTCTGAATGATAGACGCCAACCTTGAGAAGCAGGCGACTGCAATAATAGTACGGACGTATCATCTTTGCAACTGGAGCCAAAGTCCTCATAGTCCCACTCCGTAATCTTTTGCTTATTGCCAAGGGCAACCAATCGAGGCTTTATATCGATCAAGGTTCCATAAACGAACTTGAACTGAATAAACCCATTTACATCCCATGGGCTTAACCAGTTTGGAGCAAGGAAAAATTTCCATGTATGATGTCCGTGAAGAGCCTTGAAGTTTCGTCCTGCATGGCTTTTGGCTTTTTGCCAACATTCATTCTTGGAGGCGTGTGAGTAACAAGATGGAATAGAAATATCAGATAAAGTGGCAGAATATCCAGCAGGATTATCAGAAAAATCATACCGTCGTGGAGGTCGAGATACTCTGGTAGAGCGACGCAGAGTAGATGCAGGAGAATCAGACATAGATGAGGGATCAGTCTCGGGAAGAGGCACCGTTGGTTGACGTCTTCCATACACAAATCCAGGCTTAAATCGATTAGGAACAATTGGTAAATCCTCAAAAATTGGAAGAATGGGAGAAGTAGAAGAAGACTTGGCAAGATTGGGAAAGAAATATTGATGCTGAAAGAAAATAACATTTCGAGAAACACGAAATTTGTTAGAAGTGGAATCATAGCAAACAAAACCCTTTTGAGAAGAACAAACCTTTTGAGAAGAATTATAACCCAATAAATGGCACATTTAACAGATCTGAGCCTGAAAGTTATGACGTTTTCATCGGAGGTAGATGAACAAAACAACACAACCAAATTGTGTGTAAATCGATGATTAATAGGATATTGATGAATACGAAGACGAAAATATGGGATTCCAAAGAACTTAATACATGAGAAGGCGATCTATTAATGTAATAAGTTGCAGAGATAAGGCTTGCAACCAAATACTGTACGCATGGAATGAAGATCCAATTTAACAAAGTTCGAGTTACACGCAAAAGATACGATTTTTTAACGCGTCAGCAACTCCATTTTTTGGTTGTGGTGTATAAGGACATGGAACTTGTGAGACTATTCCTTTCTCAACGAAGAAAAATTCTGAAATTCATGAGACGATATATTCCTCCTCCAGAATCAGATCGTAATACTAATACAAGTAGATAACTGAGTCTCACATAGGCTATAAAGGTCTTTGAAAACAGAATAATTACATCAGATTTAGAATGAAGGAAGTATACCCTGTATTCTACTGTATCATAATATACAATGTCACAAAGTCCTTGTATTGAGCATGAAAACAACGGGCGGAATGCCCCAAGACATCACTTGAATTATATCAAACATTGGACAGCACGACTACCAATATAGAAGGAAAAGGAAGAGTTTTGCTTTTACCGAGTCTAACATGTGAACAATCAAAAGGAACCTTAGCAAGGAATTCTTATTGCCCAAGAAACCAGAATTTATAAATGAGACAAAATACAGGATTAGGATGACCTAAACGTCTATGGCATAGTTCCTTTTACTAATCTGTAGACAACTATGCCATAGTTCACTTTTACTAATAACTGTAGTACAAAATGAAGAGATACGAGGAATGGAAAACAGTAGTGGAAATAGTCTCCCAACTTTAGGCCCCTTCGCGATTACTGTCCCCAATTCCTGATCCTGCACAAGACAACCATTACGAGAGAAATGCACATCATAATTGTTATCTACTAACTGACCAACCGAAAGAAGCTTAGTTGAGAGCTTTGGAGATATAAAAACATTGTTGAAACATGGCCTAAGATCTCCAATCTCAGTAATAGGTATTGTACTACCATTTGCAATCTGAATTTCAGTTGAACCGTGATATTTGCAAACATTGGTAAGCATGCTAGATGTGTTTGTCATATGATTTGAGGCAGCAGAATCAACAAGCCAAAGTTGAGAGGAGGAAGGGGTATCATTACCTTGTAGTCCCAAGGCGGAGAAGGCTGAAATGATCATTTGTTGTACCATTTCTGGAGTAAGAATCACAGGTTCAGCAGCTGAAGAGGGAGTTGTAGAAACCGTTGAAGCAACAAAATGAGTGAGATTATTTGGTGCAATTGGGGCAGCATTCGATTTTCGATTTTGAGGCCGTGTCGGACACTCCTTTATGACATGTCCTGACAATTTGCAATAATTACAAAACTTCTTTCCACAATTGGCAGCAATATGGCCATAATTTTTTTTGCACGTTTATAACATGTTGCATTCTAACTCATATCCCGGCCCTTTTCCTCTTTCCTTGGCAGCAAAAGCCAAACCTTTGCAGTATTTTCTTTGTTGGAGAGGCCGATTTGATGAGACATACAGAACAACGTTGTGCTTCGCGAAGTAATTCGCCAAAAACAAATATCTAAATAAGGTGTGAAGGAACGTACTCATTAAATTTGAGCGGGAAAGTGTCTTCAAAGTTCGACTCAAACCTTCATTAAGATAATTTGATCTCTTTCTGCTTTTGGCTCATTGAATTTCTTGGAAGGTACAGGAGTGATTCTGCAAGGCCACTTTTAGCATACAATCAGTGTCAGGGTAAACTCAGGCCCATAAAATTCTTTGCAAACCAGAATAATATTCCTTGATGAGAGATTTTCCCCTTGGAAATATTAGCCAGATTACTCCGCTCTCAAATTGACAAACGTTCTGCCAGCATTGTCTCTTGGATCATAGGGGGACCTTTTTCAAGTAATCCCACATGGGCTTTTGCAAGTTTTAGAAGGGGAGACCTTCAGATTAGAGAAGCAATTTTAAAGGGTCACAAACTTGACCCAGGATCCATGTCATTTACGTTCTTGCATTTCTCTTAACTTTTCCTCAATTGAAGCAACTCCTTAGCATCTTTTAGGAGTGAGGATCACTTTCCATCTATATTGGCCCAACATTTCTTTTTTCCCTGTAACAAGAGCTGAAACTGAAATTTCCCAATGAAGAAGTTAATTTTTTCCGGTTGAATGCGACCACTGAAAACTCTCAACTGTGTTTGATGTGGCCCATCTCAAATAGCCACAAGGGGACCAGAAAATACAATTAGGAATAAAACACAAAACCAGGGGAGGCAGGATCTACTAGAAGAAAGTAACAGGGACCCACCAAGATGAAGAAATCCTAACAGCCAGGACAGTTGACAGAAAAGTGTTTCCACCAGAATCTCTTGCCAAATTGAAGAAGAACTTCCAAAATATAAGAAATTCAGAATTTCTATGACCGAGAAGATAATTCATCAAAGATATACAACTAAACAAAAAGAAAGCAGAAAACAGGAAAACTGCAGAATTTAAATGAATAGCAGGAAAATCGCACTTTGTTCTTCAGACAAAAAAACAGCAAAGCTGAAGAATCTCAATAACAAAAGAACAGCCCTACAACAAATTGGCACTAATAGGCTCTGAATACCATTGACAAACTATGCTGAATATTATACAATGGAATTATATAGATAGAAAATTTGCTTGTTATATACACCCCAAAGGCTGTTAGGGTTTAATAGAGTGAGTATTCCAACAAATTGGGAATAAATTCCTAAATTACAGCCTAACATTGATTGCCCATTGCCTATTCTTGAATTATAGCTGGCATTACAGGCCTTAATTGGGGCCTCTCTCATTTGATGCCTTAAACTTCCTCTCCTAATTGATGCACCATTGTCTCCTAATATGGTTGGACATTATCTACAGCGCTTTGAATTAGGGCTCCCCTAATCTTGATGCCTAATTGTTATCTCCTAATTGCATGGTTATTTTACCATTGTCTCCTAATATGGTTGACATTTACAGCCTGAATTAGCTCCCTAATTGATGCCTAATTTATCTCCTAATTGATGGTTATTTACAGCTATCTTACAACAATATAGTCAATTAATTATAATAGTATACTAACATTATACTAACATTGTGAATTTTTATTTTGTTTGGTTGCACGTGGAAAAAATTTTCAAGATTTTTTGATCATGTTCCTTATATGTTTCTGTTCCTGAGCCACCACACTTGTTTTTAGCCCATCTGTCCCTTCTTCATAATTCACATTGATAGAAGTGTTTGAAAAATGGACTCCAGCCTCTTCTTTCACCTTTGTTTACATGGGATTCTAACATGAAATTTGAGTCTGGCTTTACAAGAATTGTGTTTGTATTGTTTGTCTTTTAGGATGTTAAGTATCATAGTAATTAAAGGCACAAGGCGCACTGATGGTGCTAGCCATTGGGCCTAGGCGTGCGCCAGACTGAGGGGAAGCACAAATATAATAAATATATAATAACTTCAAAATTGAACAAAAAATCCTCATTAATAATATTAATATAAAACATATAAAATCTTAAATCAAACCATTTAATACTTGGGGCATTGTTTTTGGGGGGTGATTTGGGGTGATTTAAGATTTTATATGTTTTATATTATAATGAGAATTTTTTATGATCTTTTTGGGGCAACCCTGTGATGTATTCATTACTTCATTTTGGTTTGTGTTGGACTAGTAACAATTTTGATCCTAAAGTGATACTTTTAATTGAATTATTTTGTTCATGAAATCCTACAAATAATTGGTACCTGTTGCTTATAACTAGGAACTAATTGTGGGGGTAAATTATTTCTCCATCAATATGCTTTATCCTTTGCAGTGAGTACAACACCTGCAGATAGCAATGTCAATTTGTTGGAATGTGTTAATGCATGTTTTGCTTATTCAATTTCATAGAGAAATATGTCTGCAACTTTGGTGTTTTCTGTGGCAGTGGTAGAGTGGCTGTAGTCTGGAGTATCCAATTTCTTAGGCATATTACATGGTCTCATAGATTTATTGGATTTTCTTTTCTGAATTTCTTTCAGTTTAGAGAGCCTGATTGAAAGGAATGCATTTTTCTGTCTTGAGTTGATTTCTTGTCTTATATTTGAATTATTATCAGGTTGACATATGGGAGGAAAGAAAAGTTTTTGGTTCTCGTGGCCAGGGTCTTAAAGATGAAATGCTTGGTAAGAATCCTCCTCCTCTGTTAGCAAGCAACGGAAAGAGCTCAAATTCTATCAAGATAATGAAAAGGGATGCACACACAGTAAGAATTGTAAGCATTTAGCTTCTCCGTGGTAACATATGTGTTCTTGTGTTTTCGTGTTTCACCCTTTTATTTTGTTTATATTTATATTGATCATGGATATATCTTGCTTGGTCATCTTAACTAAGAAATTGGCTGTTGGAGGTCTACCAGAGAAGATTCTAACTGCATTTCAATCAGTAACTGATGAACATCTTGATGAAGAAGCTGCTTTAAACGAGTCTACTGCTGCTCTTTCTCAAGTTGGTAAAATTAGGGAAGAAATGGAAAATGGTTCAACTCAAGGTAAGAATGCTGCTTCAGGTTTCCTTTGAGAAATCAGAATAAGGCATCTGATGCTAAATCCTTCTGCCTAGATTAGTTAAATTACATGCTAAAAGAGTTTTGATGTCCACAATTGATTTGAGTTGCTATAGTTTTGCACAATCATGGAACTTTGAGTAGCTACTTTTGTGAGTTTATCTCTATCTATCTATCTTTTAAATTGCTATTCTAGGAGTCAGCTGTCTTGGTGTAAAATTGAGAGTTGTCTGTGTTGTTAAATGGGTCACTATTCACGCTGAAACAAGAAAGATCTAATACATGTCTGTGTTTGTGCTTTGTAGGCAGTGTCCAGAATCCAATGGCTTAAATTTCACAGTGTGACTTCTTTTTTTTTTTTTTTTTTTTTTTTTTTTTTTTGTTAACACGCGCGGCCACTATTCACGCTGAACAAGAAAGATCTAATACATGTCTGTGTTGTGCTTGTCAGGCCAGCTGCTCCAGAATCCAATGGCTCTTAAATCTCAACAGTGTGACTTCTTTTTCATTTTTTTTTCTTTTTTTTTTTTTTTTTTTAATTTTTGCCGGCTGCACTATTGATTCTGTACTTATTGGGCTTGAACACTAGATCTTTAAATTTTTCTTCTTGCTACACATTCGTTGCCATGGCTCATTAATGTCGAAACCTCATTTCCTGATCTTATGCGGCAAAAATAAATTACAGCATCTGTATAATCCTCCTGATGTAACAGTACCATTTCAGCATTCTGATTTTTCATAAAAGTCCTGCCATCTGGAGTGAAATACTGTGATTTTTGTCACGTTGACCAACTGTGTCTGTTTTTTTTTTTTTTTTTTTTTTTTTTTTTTTTTTTAATTTTTGCGGCTGATATTGATTCTGTTACTTAATTTGGCTTGACACTAGATCTTTAAATTTTTCCCTCTTGCTAACATTGTTGCATGGCTCATTAATGTGAAACCTCATTTCCTGATCTTTATGCGGCAAAATAAATACAGCTATTGTATAATCTCTGATGTAAAGTACCTATTTCAGCATTCTGATTTTTCATTAAAAGTTGCATTGGAGTGTAAATATGTGATTTTTGTCACGTTGACCAATGTGTCTGTTTAATTTCTCCCTTGACATTTAGCATTTCTTCATACCTAACAAGTAGATTCCATAGAGTTCTTAAATTCAACACTTCAATGATATATATTGTTTACCAGGAGGTCAATGAAACCTTGAGCTCGCAATGAAAAGTTAGGGGTATCCGTCCCTTTTCCCATCAGACCCCGTTACTCATTGGATGAAAGCTATGTTTGGATTGAGGGAAAATATGGGAGGAAATAAATAATTAAAGAAAACAATAAGGAAATGCTATTTTCCCTTCTTTGGAAAAAAAAAGTAAATAAGGAGGAAGGAAAATGCCAAAATTGGGGGGAAAATAGAAAAAAAAATATAATAATAAATTAGTGGAGGGAAAATAATTCTATTTTCCTCCTATACAAGGAAGGAAAGGGATGAAAAAAACATTTTTTCAAAATTTTCCTTCCCTCCTTATTTCCCTCGTTATTTTCTTTCCTTTTATATTCCAAACATAGTGGACATGTTTAAGTTTTGATGTCTGGGTTTTCTCATAGGGACTCGTCATAAATATTATTAAGAAGATAATGGTTCTGTTGTTTCGAGGACAAAATTAAGGTAATGCTGATTGTTGGTCCTTTTATCAAGAGATGGGGGAGATTTGGATGTTAAGCACTATCAATTATTTTATTATGTAGAATCAAACTATTATTCTTGGTTGGATGTCAATTTATTCCATGTAATCAGGATTATTGCCAGGTTAAGTTGTGCCTTTATTTGAAGCTATTGATATTCTACCTTGAAATATTTTATTTGTTAGTGATTTAATTTGGGGGATTTCTAGTTAGAAGTTCCATATTAGCTTTTGATAGCTGTCGGTCCTTGCTGGTGTACTGTATTATGGAATATAAAATAGTCTTGAACTTCTGTTTTCTACTTCATGTATATGTCTCCATATGATTAGTTTGGTATGTCATGTTTTGAAATATTAGGAAATCAGCAAGGCAGTTCATTTGTGGAGGAGTTACAAGTGCAGGAAAATGTTCTCCAGCAGTGTGTTGGGAAACTTGAAAGTGCTGAAGCAACCAGGGCTATGCTGATTTCCCAGCTCAAGGAAGCACTTCAGGACCAAGTACATTTTGTCATTATTCAAATTTCTTTTGACATTTTATGACTTGTTTTACTGTGATGCTGACTATTTTAACCTTCTCCAGGAATCAAAGCTGGACGTCATTCGTGCTAGGTTACAAGTAAGAGTTGCTTTCTACTCTCTTCGAAATTAGAGCTGCTTGAGATTGGCTAATGGTGCTTTGGATTTTGAAATACTTAGAATCATGACAATGTTGACTTGATATCTTGATCTACGGTAGATTGTTTGACCGTTTGAGGTAAGGAACGAACCATGTGCCCTTACAAAGTTCAACTAGAATGGTGGCATGACACCAATATAATGTTGGAAAATTTTTGTGCTGCTAAGGCAGTGTGTTTGATTATCTAGGAAATCAGTTACGTGTCATTTATAGAAATGAATAGTGCCAATTTGATTGTGTTGAAGGATAAGTCTTCTACATTCTAGTGAAATAAGTTGGTTATAGATGTTAGATAGTTGTACTTAAAAATTATCTTCATCTGTGGAGGTCAGTCTATTAGTATAAATGAAAATCGTATACAACAATAAAAAATATTCTTTAATTCTCAACTCAACTTATTTACAACATAATGTGCCAGAGCCATTTTGTGGCTAAATCGCTTCATCCACACAATCTAGCCCTCAGTCATCTCTGCACACTTGCATGATATGTCTTCTTCTGCTTCTTCAATTCCTACTCCTTAATCTACAATTCATCATTGTTTTTCAATTGAACTCTCCCTACAAACTATCTTCTATAGGAATCTCAATTTTTGGAACCTTTATGAATATATTGATGGTTGGCTATCCTCTCCACAAAAACTATTGCTTCCAGCTCTGAACTCAATTCTCAAATCCGTAACACTGTTTATATTTTTTGGTTTCAAAAGGACCAGTTGTTGATGGCTTAACTGTTGAGTTTGGGAAGTCTAAGCTCATATAAACTCCACATTAAAATCCTATACTTCCACTTTGAGATCCAAGTCAAGTACCATATTTTGTCTTGCATCTACGATCATAATATCCTGCCACTCTCTGCAGTTCTGGCGTTCCCAGATTGCAACTGGGAGAAGAAATGATTGGCGCTAATTCCAATTGATATGACCTTGAAAGAATCATATTTTAAAAGCTAGCCATTGATGTTGGAGAGCCCAAGTTCATATGACTCCACATGGAGATCCAATACTTCCAATGTGGGATCTAAATCAAGTCTCATTCCTTGTCTTGAAACTAGGATTATAACACCTACATATAACATGATTTTAAAATAAAATGACTTGAGCTAAATAATACTTCATAAAAGTTCAAAGTGGAAGAGGAACATGTAAAGATAAACATGATGAAATTCATATTCCACTTTGGTCTTAGAATTTGAATTTCTAAGGGATTGGGAATTATGAATGTAAGGAGCAAATGTGTTGGAGGCCATGGAGAAAGCTAGGAGTTAATTAAGGTTGCTTTGACTGAATGTTTTCTCGATAAGTACCAGGCTCAACCATTCTCCCATATAACTTGACCAAAGTCTCATAGTTCATGTTATGAAAAGGAGAAACCATTTTTTAGGAAATTTATGATGGACTTGGGTAGCCTGTTCATCAAGTAAGTGTAAGATTTCAGCAACTTCACTTTGCATGTTAAGTAATAGGCTGGTCAAGATTGGTTTCTCCTTGTTAGCTGGGTGAGTAATAAGTTTGAGTTTTCTGCAGGGATTCTTCAGCTTAGCTCATGGAACTTTGCACTTTTTTTTCTCTTTTTTCAAGCAGGGGACAGATAGGATGCAGCAATTACTCTATCCAACCGTTTTCTCTACTGACAAGGAAATCAGAACAATTATATTAGAAGGCCCAAGGATTTTAGAATTATGGTCTAGTATTTATCTAGGATTTATTTTAGATATTTGATTAAGTAAAGGTTTTGGAGTCGTTTGTATCTATAAGTACCTATCTTTGTGATTTTTTTTTCTAGTTTTCAGTCAATACAAGTATGGTAGGTTATGCTTTTATCAGAAATGGGTGATGCAATTCTAGCCCTTGAAAGACTGATTCTTTCTTGATGATTGAGTCTATATCCTGTTAATGTGATTCCAGTAGTTTATTTTCGTTTCCTTATTTTTTCCTTTATTTTAAAGAAATTCAGATGTGTCATATTGATTTTCAAGCTCAAATTCTTGGTTTATAAAACCCTAGTCCTGACTCCTAAAACTTAAAGCTTTCCCAAGCTTTCCTGCGTCAGTCTTACTTTATGCATGTAGAGAGTCGATGTATACTTGTGCTTTCCCATTAATGTGATATTTTTCATGATTTTTCAGGCTGCTCGAGTCCAGATTGAGCAAGCAGTCAGTCTGAGAAATAGGTTGACATCTTCCATTGTTCCTGGCCCCTTGACCACCATTACGATGCCCTCGGCGGATGCTGCCAAGGTTGTAGAACACAGCATAGCTCCAGTTCAGCCAACCAGTACTCCACCTCAGCCTCAACTTACACAACCTGTGGTTTCTTTTGCGCTGATGAAGACTACTGATGAGGATAGCAAGAAAGCCGCGGCTGCTGCTGTTGCTGCTAAGCTTGCTGCCTCTACATCCTCAGCACAGATGCTTACCTCTGTTCTTTCATCTCTTGTTGCTGAGGAAGCTGCCTCCTTGAATGGTGGCTTAAAATCAACTGGATTTACTACAGGCTTGACCATGTTTTCCCCAGAAAAAAGACCAAAACTTGATAAACCAATGCCAGCGGATGTTAACAATGCTGATATGGGTAACTCGGCCTATTTTACTCCTTTGCAACAGCAATCAGGGACAACTATGCCTCTTGTGCCACCATCTTCAAGTTTGCAATCGATGTCTCAATCAAACCAGATACAGACTTCATTTGGTGCTTTGCCACCATTGCCGCCGCCACCACCTATGTCTCCAGCTAACCCAGCAACAAATCAATATGTCCAGTCTACTGGCATGATGGTTGGTGTGCTGCCATATGGATATGGAGCTAATTCACTACCACCTCCACCATCATTACCGCCACATATTGCAATGGGATTGGCAAGGCCTGCTGCTCAGCAACCACAGCAGTCACAACCTCAGCAACCACAGCAGCAGCAGCAAACACCAGGAACAGGAGGATATTACAGGCCACCAGGTATTGGATTCTATGGGCAAAACCATCAACCAGCAACACCTCCTGTACCTCGGCAGTGAGTGTCTCCCTTTCAGAGTTAGTAGATGGAAAGGCTTCCGAAGTGGAGATTGGTTTTATGGTTGAAGCCATAAATAAACACCGAAAACTTTAGCTGTTAATGCCTCTTGGAAAATCATTGAGGCTGGAAGGTCCACTCTGAGCTTTGTGTTATTTTGTATATTAATAGAAAAGTAGGTGCATCTTCTAGACTTCCTTGGGATGCCCTTCTTCCTCCTAGTCAAATGTTTGATCTATTGAACATGAAATTTTCATAGATAGCTGTATCTTAATCTAACTGTTCATGTACCAGTAGCAATACATCATGCACACTGCATACTTATATGGAAGCCTTACAATGGATTCTGTAGTTTCCTATGAATTTGCATGTGGTGGGTCTTTAATTGTAGCTGCTTTCCTGCCTCGTTCGCTGTTTCCTGGAAATTGCTTCTGCTTTCTTTAATGTAGTTATGCTGCCTCTTCGCTTTGGACTAGGTTTTGAACTTACAAATTCACGGTTGTTTAGGCGACTGTGATGAACCCTAAAAACACCAAATAATTTTTGATTCCTTGGACTTGAAAAAGGTGCTTGTGGCTGTACGAATTCATATTTGTACAGGACATGTTTATGCCTGATACAATTGTTAATTGAGGGAATTGGTAATGATTGTTGGTTCAAAATTGAATTTCCTTGAACAAAAAAAAAAAAAAAAAATTCAATTGCTTAGCTGCCTTTTCCTGCCCCGTTCGGCCTGTTCTTCCTGGAACATTTGCTTCTGCTTTTTCTTATAATGTAGTTATGCTGCCTCCTTCGCTTTGGCACTAGGGTTCTTGAACCTTACAAAATTCCACGTTCGTTTAGGCGACTGTGATGAACCCTAAAAAACACACCAAATAAATTTTGATTCCCTTTGGACTACTGAAAAAGGCTGCTTGCTGGCCTGTACGAATTTCAATTTGTCACAGCGACAGTATGCCCTACGCATACAATTGTTTAATTGAGGGCAATTGGTACATGATTGTTGCGTCTCAAAACTTGAATATTTTCCGTGAACAAAAAAAAAAAAAAAAAAAAAAAAAAAAAAAGCTAGGTGTCGGTGCAGAGCAAGAAATTTCTAATTTTATCATGTTATTTTTAGGAACTCAAATACATTGTATAGATGCAGTATTTGTGTTTTTGTCTTTATATTTCAAAATCTTAAGACATAATTTTAATTATTTGCATGTGCTAATTGAATTCAATAATTAATAACCATATGATAAGTTTATTATATTAATGAAATACTCTTATTTTTTTCAAATTCAAAATTCAAACATAAGTTTATTGTATTGATAAAAAAAAAAAAACTCATCAATCTTTTTGATAATTAATAAAGTCATATAAGTTTTATGTTAAAGTGTTTAAGTTTTTTATACGCATATATATAATATATATATAATATATATATATATATATAATATATATATTATATTATATTGATATAAAGAACAATGATTTTGAAAGTTTTCCATTTCATATTCACTTTGCCAATTTGTAATAGCATGAAAGGAAATCGAAATTTTTTATTAATGAATGTTAAATTATATTATTAATTATAGAAAAAATAAACTAAAAAATTGTATTATTTGAATTTTTGATAATAATTGATAGTTCTTATTATCATTAAATTTATTTTTAATTATATATATTATTATATATATATTTAGTAACAATATTGATATATATAGTAATATATATTACAATGATATGCAAAATTGAAAAAGATAAAAATTATAATAAATAAACTCAAAATTAAATTTTTTTCTTTGTCATTATATCTTAATTATTCCCATTCGTAATCTATAAAAGAACAATGATTTTGAAAGTTTTTCCATTCATATTCACTTTGCAATTTGTAATAGCATAAGGAAAATCTAAATTTTTTATTAATGAATTGTTAAATTATATTATTAATTATAAGAAAAAATAAACTAAAAATTTGTATTATTTGAATTTTGAAATAATATAGCTTATATCATTAATATTTAATTAATTAAAAAAAATGTAATATTAGTAACAATATTGATATTAATATTAATTCAATTGATATCAAAATTGAAAAAGATAAAATTAAATAATAACTCAAAATATAATTTTTCGTGTCAACTTAATTCCATTCGTAATCACTTTATAAATTTCTAAAAGTACAAAAAACGATTTTAAAATTTTTATTAATGATAATAATTAACTTTATTATTCATTAGAAAAAATGGAAGTTTTTTATGCAAAGTTTATCATTCAAAATAATATTATTAATTATTTACTTAGTTATTGGAAAAAAATAAAGAACATTTAATATTATTAAATTAAAGAAAATTTAATACTATTAAATTAAAAAAGAAAACAATTTATTAATTTGATTTGATTTGATTTATTAGAAAAATAAACAAAAAAATCATTTAAATCTTGTTAATTTGATTTGAATTTGAGAAAAGTTATTAGTACATTTAGGTACAATGTGTTTCATTATGGTTTAGTAAACAATGAATTTCTTTTAATTGGAAAAAATTGATAAAAATTATTAATAACGAGTCAATCTTTTTAATGAGAATCAATTACTGAAAATTATATTTCTCAATTTGAAATCAATTTAAAAAAAAAGAGGAAATTTTTTTAATTAAAGAAGATGAAAAATATACAAAATAAAAATCAAATGCGGAAATCAGTAAATTATCTAATAATAACCATAAATATTTTTTCTTTTTTTAGTATAAATATAAACCGAGGAGGTAGATTCAGCACAGGCAATAAATCTCCCAAGTAAGCTTTTGAAGCTTCCATCAATTAGAAAGAAAATGTCTTGAGAAAAAAAATCTCGAGACAAAAAAAAATAATAATAAAAAAATAAAAATAAAAAAAGAGTAAATATAAAACCAAAAAAGTTCATTGGGTAATTTTGGTGGATTCGGCGGGCTTCACATCGTAGGTCTCCCCATTCTCTGTCTTTCCCCTTCTCTTCTTCGAGGAAGGTGATGCAGAGAGAAATGGAAGAGACCCAATAATTACTCAAAAAAATATTTTCTTTTTCCTTATTTTTCCTTTTGATTACAATAAAGTATACGCTTTTAAGCGTATATAGGTATTAAAAATTACTGTCTCTTCCATTCCTTAATATCGAAGTTTTTCTTTCTGGTACTGTATACACATATATACATACATTTCGTGCTTGAAGCGTATGTTTGACGAATCGTCTGCAATAAGTCATTCCGAGATTTGGTGAGTTTTCTTTTCTTTTCTTTTCTTTTTTCTTTTCTTTTTTTTTCTTTTTTGTTATTAGAAATTTTAATTTATATCTCACACACCTTATGTAAATACATAGGTGCTTATTGGTGTTAGGTATTGGGTAGTTGCTGAATTCCTGAATTGGGGCTTATCTGCTTCTTATGATTGAAAACTAGCACCGAAAGTTTATTGTCTTCCGTTTTCTGATGATTTAGTATGCTGTATGGGGTTTTCCTTTTTCTTTCTGCTTTTTATTTGCTTAAGACAATGAATTTAGAGTTTTAAGCGATTTGCCTGAGTTCTAGCTTTTAGTTCTGGCATGGATAACTTGAATTTACCTGCCTGTATTGTTTTCTGGCTTCATATAGCTTAAAGGCTCGGGGTTCATTTTTTTGTTTTTTAATTTGGCTTTATTCTTGCCGAGTAGTCTATCATTTAAAGAAATTAGGGCTGAATTTGACAAGATGTGCACAATCCATGGCATTATGCTCTGCAAAGAATTAGTATCTTTTGTATATTATTCAGGCAGTTTCTTTACCATTTTTGCCGAATTTATTATTTGAGGTTTGTATTAGTTCTCAGAACAATGATTAAATTTTGACATTCATGTTTGAAGTTATGCGTTAATGATTTTGAGTTTGGTATTTGGATTACGTTTGGTTTTCCCTTTTGGGTTTTTAATTTGTTTGAGAATTTTATCTAGGTTTAACTTTAATTCATGTCGGCAAGAACGGTAAGGAGGAGACTTCATCACGGGGATGTTGGTGGGAAAAGGCAAGAGCATTTGGACTCATCAGGGTATGATGGTCTCAGTGAACCTCTACTTGGGACTCAAGAAAATAATGATATGCAAACGTCGGTGAGGGTTTCTTGCTACTGTTTCTAGAAAAGCTGTAAAAGGAAATAGATATATAGGAATCAATACTTATCTATGTTACAGGGAATCACACTAGAAGACATTTGGGATGCTGAACAGAGAAGGGAACGGCTCCATTGGACTTTGTTACTATCGCATTTGATTGCTGAGTGGGCACAATGGTTAGGTATGCTGTTTGTTATTGCGGTGGTATATTCAGTTAAAATTATTTATGTATTTCTTTTAGATGATATTTGGTATTAAGGAGACCAGAAGCTATTTGCCATTTTCATTGGATGAGGGATAGCATTTGGACTAAGTAGTTGAAAGTATTATTTTGTTTAGAGGTCAATGACTTACATCAAGGACATTTGCTGGCTTAATTAGGGAACTCCATTGCATGTTATAATTTTTTCTTGAAAGAATAGTCAAGAAGGTCCTTTGTGAAGTGGCTTGGATAAATTGAAAGCATCTTTATAGCATTTTTAAGTAGCAGTTTGTGTGTCAAGAATCGTTGGACTTTTATTGGTTTAGAATGGAGTTCTGGTGGCAGGCAAGATACTAGAACTTTGGAGTTATGTTGTTTTCTTTTTTCAGATGGAGAAAAATGTACATATGTTCAAAAATCAAAATATGTCTTTTACTTTGTGATGGAATAAAGTGTATTTTTGCCTGTACATGGGCTTATGCTTCTAGAGCTTTTAGAGGGGAAAAATGCCCTCCAACTTGATTGGTGGGTGTTACTTTCTCCTCTTTTTCATCTCCTTGTTTGTAGTTGTCCTTTGGGTTTATAGGAGGATTCCTTGTCCTCACTAGTCAAATTGTGTTATATATTACTGAAACATCCGACAGTTACCATAAATGGTAGACTTTATTTGTTGATGATGAGCTATTGAGATATCGTTCCATTTAGAATGGCATGGCTTTGGTGAGAGACTTAATAATAAGACTTTTAAAAGTTCTTTTCTTGTTATTGTTTCATTTACCTTGGTTGGTTTGCATTTTAAACATTTACTTAGATTAAGTTTGAAAAATGTTCACAACCAGAGAATAAAATAGGAACAATTTAGATAAAGTTATGCTGCGATAAACTCGGTACCGTTTTTGTAGCCATTTTTTCTATTCTATCATCGATTATTTTATTCTTTTATGAATTGTTCAGAAGTTCCTGTTTGATGATAACTTGCTAATGTAAGCTATTAATTTATTTTGCCAGAAAATATTAATTAATATTTGAAAGTATTATAGATGGACTGACTCTCAGATATGAAGCTCCTCATGGTCTTAAATAAGCCGTTATTGGACATTTAAGTATTTTCGTGTTTTATTCAGCAAATATTGTCCTAGGTACTGGATCACTCATTGGACGGTTTGTGCCTTTTGCTGGTCAAAATGGATCAGACAGGAAGCTTCTTCAACCTTACCTTAATCCTTTACAGGTAATTTTATTAATTAGGTTAATTTCCATAGCACTAGAAATCTATCATGTCGGATGACCAAAAGGAAACAAATGGAAACAAATCTATCATGTGTTTTTGAGTTTTAAGAACTGAAATGTTCTATGTACAGATTCTTTCATATGTTTTGTAATGTTTAAGAGAAATGAAATCATCATCCTCATCATCATCATCATATGGCCTGTGGCAACTTAAATACTTTTTAGTTTTTGGTGTTTCTCATATTTAATTTATGCTTGTCAAAACAAGTTACGCACTTTTTGTTTTAAATTTTGTATAAACAGGATGCATATCCTTTTTTTCCCGTATTCACTTCTATCAATGCATTGGTATTGCTTTATATGGATATTTGATTAACAGATGCAGTCTTCTTTATGTGTAGCATGTTGGTGCAAAATATTTGATTTGTTTCACTGCTTTTAATTCGTTGGTGAGCCAAATGGTGTCTACTAATATGATACTACGGAGGAAACAATAGTCTTCTGGAAATATGTGGTCTTAATCAAATTACATGACGTCTTAATATAAACATTATTTGTCATATATTTTCTGGATTTTTGATGGTGTAACTTGGTCTATTTTAAGGAAGCAAGAATCAGAAATCTACAGCAAAGGCTGGGAGTTCCCTTTGATGGTTCCTGCATAGAGCATCAAGTAAGTCCTTTCCCTGTCCCATTTTAATATTTTGCAATTTTCGTTTGTCATTATGCCTTTTTCCTATTTCCTTATGCTTGTTGAATTGAGTTTCTGATTAAGATCAGCTTGTGCATTTAAAGGAGGGGGCTTACAACTTATTAGAATCAGCCTTTGCTTTTAATTGAATGGAAGATGTATGAAATCACAAATTTGGTGTGAAAATTTCAATCCCTCGACAGAATTGCAAAACTATTCACTTAAGCCGCTCTTTCCTCTTTTTTGTTTTTTTTTTTTTTTTTTTTAATGGAAATGTATGAAATCACCAATAATTTTTGTGTTGTGTGATAAATTTCAATCCCTCGACAGAATGCAAAACTATTCACTTAAGCCGCTCTTTCCTCTTTTTGTTTTTTTTTTTTTTTTTTTTTGCTTTCTCTTTTTACATCTTTTTCTTTGGATTGTTGAAAGTTTACGGTAATAGGACTACCCAATAATGGCATTGAACACCAATTTCAACGATTTTGGTGGCCTTACTAGAATCCTGCACATCATGTTGGATTGACATGTTTTAGTAAAAGTTTTTTTTTTTTTTTTTTTTTTTGCTTTCTCTTTTACATCTTTTCTTTGGATTGTTGAAAGTTTACGGTAAGGACTACAAAATGGCATGAACACCAATTTCAACGATTTTTTGGGTGGGCCTTACTAGATCTGCACATCAGTTGTGATGACATTAGTAAAAGTTGTGCTAAATCACACAACTGAGTCTATAAATATGTAGCTAAACCTTTGGGTTGCTTTCTCCTGTTCTATTGCTAAACCTTTCCTTTAAGACCAAGTTACTACTTCCATCTCCCTCCCTGCACTCCCCTTCTTAACTCCCCCATATTCAGGCCTCTAGATATTTGCAAGTGGAGATAGAAATGCATTTATGCTTATTAAATTTGAAAGAGAATAACTTTGATGGTGAAGAAGAAAACATTAATTTACTATACTTATTTTATCCTATTATTGAAGATGTAAGTCTCTTTACAGTGGCCTGGTATGCTTTTGACGCTAGGTATTAATCAAGCCTTGGAACAGGCAAAAAGATGGAGGTTTCAGTCTTATAAGGGCCCACTTCAACCAATGGTGTTTGACGTGGGAATAAAATTAAGTTCTATCTTAAAGATTCTACTTAAACAGGAGCAGACTGCCATTAGAAAAATACTGCATAATGGCTTTTGTATTTTGAGGTTGGATAAGAAATTAATTTTGTTTTTGTTTCCAGGAAGCGCTTAAACAATTATGGAGGTTGGCTTATCCTGGTAGGGAGCTCCCATCTCTTAAATCCGAGCTTTGGAAGGAGATGGGCTGGCAAGGTTCAGACCCTTCAACTGATTTTCGGTATGTAGAAGATTGTTGGAACCGGTTATGATTCTGGTAATATTCTGAGTTAATTGCCACAAATATATATTGATTAAAAACTTTTTCCATGCTATTTGAAGGGGTGGAGGATTTGTATCGTTGGAGAATCTAATCTTTTTTGCAAAGAAATATCCGGTTTGTTCCTCTACTCTGGATGACAACTGACTATAATAATTACTCATATGTATTATGTGGAGGCTATTGAGCATTTCCCAATTACTCTGGTCAAATATCTTCTTGGTTAAAGGAAGAATAAGTCATTTTTAAGGAAAATGATTTTCCATTTTCAAGAGAGGAAAACATTTTCCGGACCTTGACAAACTTATTATAACCATTTAACTGACAGTACAGTTCTTTTACAAACCAAAGGAAGTTGAAGAGATTGATGAATCTCAAAATCATTTCATACAAATATTTGCCGTCATCCTTGCTTTAAATAGCTGATTTTTCATGTTCATGCCTTGTTATCCTAGATGGATAATTTAGTTATGCAGTTTTGCCTTTTTCTTTGCATTCTTTTCTTTTTCCTGTTATTTATTCCAAGTAGAATTATCTATTATGAAGTAAAAATTACTCTCTTCTTTAGTTCTAATATTGACCCTGGACACTTGATATTTGGTCAACAGGACTCGTTCCAAAGATTGTTACACAAAAAAGATGGAACCAGAGCTGAATGGGAGTATCCATTTGCTGTGGCTGGTATAAACATTTCCTTCATGTTGGTACAAATGTTGGATCTTCAAACTGGTACTTGATATTCCAAACGAAGTTTTATTGAAATACTCTTTAACAGTGGCACTAGCAAAAGAAAAAAGAGGTGAAAATGTTACAAGATATGCTGAATGGCAAATTTTACTTGCAGGGAAGCCTTCCACTCGAGCAGGAATCCGATTCTTGGAATTTCTTGCAGAGGATGAAATGGCATTTGACAATCTTTATTGTGTAGCATTTCAAATGATGGATGCTCAATGGCTTGCAAAGCGTGCTTCATACATGCAATTTAACGTAATTTCATTTCCAAATGCCATATGTTGCGTAATAATTTGGCATGCGTCTTTCCTAGGATGTTTTAATACAAGAAATTTGTTTAAATAGTTCTTTTTCTTTCATATTACCTTGCCCAGGATGTTTTGAAGTCTACAAGAATGCAGCTAGAACGTGAGCTTGCCCTTGAAGATGTCCATAGTGTAAAAGATTTACCAGCATACAATCTGTTGACTGGGTAAAACTATCTTAAAATGTAAGAAGAGAATGTAAGAAGTATATACTCTATTTAGTGTTGTATACATCAAAGTTGAATTAGAAATAATTGCATCACAGCTTATGTATACAATCAGTTTGTTTTGTTGCAAATCGTCAATTTTTCATTAGGTCTTTCCAATGATGACTGATGCGTGGAAATGCCTTTACCTGCGAGAAAGTTTGGGCTGAAATGCTATCAGTATGAACTGAACTTGCTTAAGGGCTCAAAACATAAGTTCTTCGGGCTGATTATACTCTCTCTCTCTCTACTCCAATTATCATTCCAATCCAAATACCCTATAAATTTCAATAATGAGACAGACAAATTAGCCAACAAGAAATCCATATATTTCAGGTTCAAATTCTTTCAATTTAAATCACATATTAGAATATTGTTTTTCTTTAGTGGATGGCAAGAGTAAAAAAGTTTTATATGGACATTCATAGATGATTATTACAGAAAAGAATGCTTTTTAGCTAATAAATAGTTAACTAGTCCATTATTTGTCTGATAATATAGATAGTCATATATAATTAACATTGTCTTTAATAAATTTGCAATTAATTTAAATTGTGAATAAGATTAAAATAGAAGTCTAACAATAAAGTAACTAATAATCTTTATACATTGAAGTTGAGAGTATTTAATATAAAAAAATTAAAATTGAGGACACCATCAACAAATTTGGCAAGTCCCACATTTGTGTTACACATGCATAAAACTAAATTATAATAATATATCTAGTATTATATTACATTAATATACTTGGGAGGTCCAATAGACTGGAATAATATTTTAGACTACACAACAAAAAAAAGTCTTACCCTTTGAATAACATTCACCAAAACTTCTACAGTGGAGATTTTTTAAACTTGAGACTTTACATCTTTTATAAGATATGAGAGGACCAACCTAATCACATATGATCTTTATTAGATTTATATCTCTAATGAGTTTTAATTTAGTAACATACATATATCTAATCTCTAATTTTTTGAGATTCCAAATTTAAACTTGAATCGAAGCGGATTTTATCTAGAAAATAAAGAGATTAGCCGTTTAATCTTTCTCTGATGGAATCTTCATCATCAAATTCTTCTGAAGACTTCAAGGACCAACGATTGAGACGATCAGATGCTTTTTTGACCTAGATAAAAATTGATTACAAGAGAAAACATTACTATTATTAGGCCAATAATTTATTATGTGTGTGATTAAAAATTCACAAAAAGGAAATACAACTTATGCTCTTTGATGCTTTGTAAAGGAGGATCAGAAACATAAAATTAATCTATTTTTTACATTTACCTGTTCATCCCAATTAGTTCTTGCTGTAATATACCCAAGTATAAGAACTTGCAGTACAACTCCAACTACCATTCCAATCCATATTCCCTTCAACAATAATTCAATAACAATAAATTTCTTCTTGCAATTTGAGTTTATCAAGAAAAGTAAGACCATCATAAATATATTATCAATATATATATTATGGTGCTGATTTTCAATTTATATTAATAAAATTATTGAGGAGTCGATGTGTAAAATCCTTATTTGCCAATACCGAAAAGAAAAATCATTAATTCTAAACTTTTGTAGAATATTATTGAAAAATTTCCAAAGTATGACCAAGCAAACAGTATCCTATTATTTTTATTAATAATACTGTATTAGAAAATTTTTACTTGGTTATGCAGAAAATGGGGCTGAAATATAATTTAATAAAAATTTAACATACTGATTTTATTAATGTAAAATTAAAGTTTTCTTAAAAAAAGGGGCAAAAGTTGAAATTTCTTTACCTTTATTTGAAGATGAGCCACATATCCAAGAATAACTCCAATTGGCACCCCACCAAGGTAATAGCTAGCTATATTAATGTAAGCAACCGTACCCTGTCTGCCAGATCCTACGGCCACGCCTTAATATCAAGAATTTAAATAATGTTAATGAAAATAATTAAAGAGAAAAGTAAGTTAATGTCAAATTTAAAAGGAATATATCAACTAGTTTATACTAATTTGGGTAAATTATGAATTTCGTCTGGTTTAAAAATTTATTTCAATTTTAGCCTAATACTTTAACTTAATCAAAACGTTGGAAAATATCAATCTAAAACTAACTTTAAAATTTAGGTGCAAACGAGCCAAACTCTGAGCTCAGTCGAAGTCTATCAAACCAAAACAACGGTGTTTTAATCTAGATTTAATTAATTTTAATTTATTGAGCTAGTTTATGAGCTAAGTTTGTAGTTTAATAAAATTGGCTCGCGAACTAATGAACTGAGCTTGAGCTTGACTCGCTTATTAAACGAATTCAGTAGCTCAACTTTTGAACTAGGCTCGATTAGGTTATTAAACGAGTTTTTATTGAGTTGAGTCTCGAACAATTCGTGAGCGGCTCATCTTATTGACATCACTATGCACGAGAGCACAAGCAAATAAGAAGGATTAAATTGAAATTAGTGTCAAAGTAATTCAAAATTGAAGCAAATTCTTAAACAGAATAAAATCAATATATATTATACCTGTAAGTAGTGCTTGAACGCTATTGAGCAGAACTGAGAAAGCAAGAAGGATGGAGAGATCAGATACTGCTTCCATAACGTTTTCTTTAGTTGTGAATATTTTAGCCATGTCGCGATCAAATGCTAAACAAATGACGAAGAAGAAGACTCCCATCAAAACTGAACTGCTCAGTATTACTTTAACTGAAAATTTTGCAGCTTTTGCATCTCCTCTTCCCAGTTCATTCCCAACCCTCACACTAAACACAAACCAAATCACCATTACCTATACATAAATATATATATACTCTTAAAACCTTACCTGCATCCAAAAATGGTAAAAGCTTTACCTAGCGGAAGTTAAGAAGCCAACACAAAGCATCAGTTCCCAACTTGAGATATTAAGGCTGCAAGATCATTTAGTTCCATTTAAGGAATTATGTTTATCGGCAAGATGGTGAACTCAAAAAATTAATCAAACTGCCAGTCATATGTGGTCTGGTTGGAGTTCACTGCGGAGCTTGTAGTATTATTTCCGTCCACCGGAACTCCCAATAAATAAATAAATAAATAAAAAGAAACTAACGAGATGAGGAATGATCGATGTTACCAGATGGAGAGGGCAGATAACTCAGTTGTGGCATTTTTCATGTATCCTGCCAAGAGGACTAACAGAGCATTGTACCACACCTCTAAGCTATTCAGGCGAGCCATAGGAAAATCAGAGACAAATATTGGATAATTATGACATCATATCTAAGTAATTAGATATATAGGATGGAACTAATAAAAAAAACTAAATAATAATTGTTGAAATAAATAGAGTTTAAAAATTTTTAATTTGTCTACTACAAGGATGTTCTTATGCAAAAAGCATTTTATTAGCCATTAGATTTTAAATTTGCACTTACTCAAATACAAATATTATCGATGGTAAATAGTGTAAATTGCAAATTAAACATTTTATGGAAATTTTAAAAATTTTTTGGAATATGTAAGTGATATATAAAAAGACTTTATTATTATTTAATAGTCATATGAGTTATGATTGTTATCCTGTCCAACGTAAAGGATGAGAGTATGATGTTTCGCTTAACAACATTATTATATATAATCTAAAATTTATATCTTGTTTTTTTTTTTTTTTTTTTTTTTTTTTTAAATAAAAATAGACAATTTTCTAACTAACAGTCAAAACTTTCCCACTTATTAATTTAAAAGTTGGAGAAGAATGGACTTACCAAAGCATAATCCCAGAGGATATTGAGAGTTTAACTACAGGAATTAAATCAGAAAGCGAAGCTGAAGTGAATCCTTTCCAGGTATTACCGCACCACCCACCAAACACATAAACTACCCCTCCAATTATCACCAACCAACTTGAAATAATCATAGAACTCATTGCTCCAGGAATTCCCCAATTCAATTTACTGACAAAAATCCACGACAAGATCATATGAAGCACAAATGAAACAGCAGAAAGCCATCCAACAATCATATTCTTTAGTTGACATTGTAAGAATTTTTGGAGAGGAAATGCAAAGCAAAAGAAATACAGAATTGGAGCGAACCACAAAGCGATATATCCAGCAGCGTCAGCTATTTCTTCTTCTTCACCAATAAGTTTAAATAGTTTTCCTGAGAAAATAAATACAGGAAGCAATAATGTTGCAGTTACCATATTTATAATCCATGACCTTTGCAAGTAAATTCCCATCATATAATGTTGTCCGGCTCCAAATGCTTGTCCACATAGAGTCTCTGTTGCACTTGACATGCCTAGCTACAAAATTTAAAATAAGTGAAAGTTTTCCATATATAAGCTAAGGAATTACTTAATACAAAAAATTTTTCTTACCAGAAACCCATTTGCAAATCGAACGGTAATGATTTGAACGAGGGCATAGCCTGCAAGTTGAACATCACCAACACGTCCAATGAATGCTTGTGTTACTACGAACATTCCATATTGTGTTACTCTTGCTAACATAGAAGGAAATCCAACCTTCCATATTTTTTTTTGTTCAACCCAAATCCTTCTTTTCAAATCACTAATATCTTTTTCTTCTGATTCAAGAAGTCTCTCTTCCATTTCTTGTATATATGCATAAAAGAAGGAATACTGTGTTTATATATATATATACATGAACCACTTCTTGTTAGAAGCTTTAGGTGCAATTTTGTATTTACTGTAACTGCTCCCACCAAATATAAAAGTAATAATAAAGAATAAAAAAAAGATAAAGATCGACCCTTTTGATCATATCTGATTCTTTTTCTTTTTTATTTAAACTTTATGAGAGTATATGGAAAACTTTTTAGGGGGAAAGAATGGTCCAGATTTGAATTGGTCAACAATCTAAATTTAAGACAATTAATTATATGTGTGTGGGCTATATGTATTTTAATTTTACTTTTTGCATGATTGAATGTATTGGGTTTTGTAGCTAACATGTGAATTATTATTTAATGCTCTTATTATGTTAAAAATCATCCGCCACGTAATGAATCTCTGCATAATCCAAAACTCGTTTAACAAATTGATTAATATTTAATAAAGACAATTTTATAATTTGAACGAGACAATAAATCATACTAAAGTTCAATACCTTTCTATTCCGTGAAACTTGACAGTTTTGAATTTCTTTTATTTCTTTTAAATGACACTTAAAGAAAATCAAATTACTATTAATTATTGTGTTAAAAAAATAACATTAATTGTTTTAAAAAAATAACATTAATTGTTTTAGTTCAATTTTATCTTTGTCTAGATACCTGTACTAAATATTATTTCAATTAAATAAGCATTAATTAAGATAATTTAATCAAGCTTTTTTTTTTATAATTGGGGTAATTCTTTTATTTTCTTAATTCTTATGAAAAGTCAAAACCGTTAAATTTAATAAAATAGAGTATAAATCACATTATCACATACAAAACGTGTAAAGATCAAGTATGATTTTTGTTGATTGGTGGGTGTACATGCAATTTATGGTGTTATAATTTTTTTAATTACGAAGTTTTAACTTTTTAAATTAATTTTCCATATCATAAGCAAGTAATAGAAAATAATAATCTAAACTCAATAATTTTTATTAGCCTTATATGTACTTCCTCCGGTGACAAATAAATGTCACATTTATAAATTTTAAAAATAATAGATACTTTTCTCATTTTTATCCTTTGCAAATGACAAATATAATTTTCAAAAATTTCTCTCTCTTATAATGATAATATAGTCGATTTACTTAATAATTTATTACAAATTAGATAAATTAAATAGTTTCTTAAAGGATGAAAAAAGTACAAATACGACACATATTGGTATAGACATGAGGAGTATTATAAAATTTACATCAATCATTATTAATGTCTTTAGAATCTTTTGATTGATCCAATAACCACCGGTCGAGACGCTCTGATGCCTTGTTTACCTAAAAAAGAAAAAGAAAAATTATAATTAATTAATTATTTTTAATTATGTGACAATATTTAATTATGATCATTAAAAAGCTATCATTTTAGAAGTTAATTAATTAATGTGTGTATATATAATATCTCAGAAATTAACCTGCTCATTCCAATCAGTCTTCCAAATAAGAAAGGAGAGTATAAATGTTTGCATGGCCACTCCACTCAACAATCCAATCCACAAGCCCTGTAAACATAAAGCATACACAATTTTCTATTTTAGAATGAAAAAAGGATATTTAAAAAAAAAAATCGAAATTTAAAAATAAAGCAATTTATGTTTTTAGTATACTTGAAAAAAATATATATCTTAATTAATTAATTAATTGATTGATTACCTTGACTTGAAGATCAGCCACATATCCAAGCAAAAATCCTACAGGTATCCCAATCACATAGTAGCAACCCAAGTTAACAATTGCAACCATATTTTGTAGACCTGCACCAATAGCTACTCCTGTACAGATCAATTAAGGATTAATTTTACTAGTTCATGAAGAATCCTTAACTCCTCCACTACCAAATATATTGGATCATGTCTAGACCTGGACCTGGTCTATAGATTCATCCATGGAGGAACAAACCAATAAAAATAACGGTTAAATAATTTAACATACTTACCAGATAATACAGGCTGAATGCTGTTGAGTAAAATTGAGAAAGCAAGCAGCGGAGAGAGATCTGAGACGGTATCTGCAACTTCCTCACTAGTAGTGAAGATGTATGAAATTTGTCTATCGAACACCAAGCACAAAATGAAGAACACTAATCCAATCAAGGTTGAAGTGCATAGAATGACTCTGATTGAAAATTTTGCAGCCGTAGCATTTCCTCTCCCCAATTCATTTGAAACTCGTACACTGTTCATATGCAAATTATAATATTAGTCTATAGTCTAAGGTTGTTAGGCTTCAGGTACTACTTGCCTCAACTCTGATACCACTCGTTGAGCCTTCACAAAGAATTAAGAGAAAATTAATGCAGCGGAAAAGTAGAAATGAGACACACAGAAATTTACGTGGTTCACCCTCAACTGTTTAGGGTTACGTTGAAAATTAATGCAAGCGGAATAAAAGTAGAAATTTGAGACACTTTTTTTTTTTTTTTTTTCATGAAATTTTATTATTTCTATTTTTTTTTAATTTTATTTTTTTTTATTACGTGGTTCACCTTCAACTGTTTTTAGGGTTTACGTCCCATGGGACTTTAACTCTGAATCATTCTTCTTCAACTATTAAAAATAAATATGTAAGTTATGAACTAAAAGAGTATATAACATAAAGATTAGTGGTCATATCAAAGTGTTTCACAAAAAGAGTAATACAAAAATAGTGGCACACAAAGTGTTTCTCAAAAACACCCCAAAATAATTTTCTCACTATTTTTCTCTCCCCTAATTTTAGGAAGGGTTTCCTAAAACTAGAAAACTATCTATCTACATTTTTTTTCTTCTTCTGGTGTGTGTTGTGCTTAAATGAGCTTCGTCTGCCTCCTTTTATAGGCAGTTCAGTGAATGACTCATGTATAACTCATTCATGTGTTTATACTTTGTCAAAGAAAAATTGCCTAACTTTTTTTCTTTTTCAAATAATACGTTTTCTTTTTTTTTTTCTTTTCAAATATATGTGAATCCCACGTGTCGGAGGAACCCTACAACAAAGGTGTATCTCAGATGATAAATTGATTAGGTATCTGTCTTATAATACCTTGCAGCTCCTAAGAATGCAAGAGATATCATAAATTCCCATGCATTGATATTGAGGCTGAAAAAAAGAAAGGGTTAGATAGATTAAACTGAATTAATTGATGTTTTTTCTAAAAAAATTAATTTTGCAAATTGTAAGAGTAATTAATTAATTCTTACCAAATGGAGAAAGCTGAGATTGCAGTGGTTGCATTCTTCAAGTATCCAGCTAAGACTAAGAGAATAGAATTGTACCATAACTCTAAGCTACCAAACATAAAAAGAGAAACAAATATAATCAGAAAAGTATTGAGTTCATTTCAACCCATAATATATATATTGATATTAATCAGACATGTTTCTGTCCTAGGTTAAAACTAAATCTTATTTCCAGCAAGTCAGTCCACTGAGGAGGGTAAGGAGCTCTCAATAGATATTTATGCCATCACGTAGGGGTGGCCACAGTTCCGGAACCAGCGGTTCCGGTTCCAAAAAAACTGAAACCAGAACCGAACCGAAAAGTTTCGGTTCCGGTTCTGGTACGGTGACCAAACCGACGGTTCCGATCGATTTTTCGGCGAATCGCATAATTTTAAATTTCCGGTTCTGGTTACGGTGACCAACCCGATCGGTTCCCGATCGATTTTTCGGTCGATTCGCAATAAATTTTTAAAATTTTAAAATTTGGATATAAGACCGGTTTTATAAAAAATATATATATTTTTGAACATAAAAATTAAAAAGTATACACCTAAAAGAAATTTTAAAAAAAATACTTCAAATTAAATTTATTTTTTTTATATGACTTGAAACATAAATTATTTTTAATTTTTAAAAAAAAATTTTTCAATCCTGAATTTTAATTTTTTGTTTAAAAAAAGTTTGAACATATTTTTAATTTTAAATTTGAATATATCAGTGTGTTTAAAAATAAATATATTTAACTCATAAAAAATTTTTTTTTTTTTTTATTTTTAAAGGATATCATCCTAATAATTTAATAAAATAACTTCAATTTAAAAATTTTATTTTTTTAAAAGACTTGAATACATAATTTTATTAAGAGATTTCATCATAACAAAATTTAAAAAAATAAATAAAAACAAAACAATACCTGTACAGTTATTATAAGGGCTATGAACCAGCGGTTCTTAACCATACGGGGCAACTGGCGGTTTCAGTCCGGATTCCAACTCGGTTTCTCTTGGAAACCGCGGTTTCTGATTCTAAGAAATTCTAGAACACGGTAACTGAACGGGGAAATTCTCCGTGTTTCAGTTTTCTAGTTTCGGTCCGGAATTTTTCTGGTTTTTATATACGTTTTGGATTCTGGTTTAGAACTGATGGTTTCCGTGGTTCCCTGAAAACCTTGTATATATGGCAGCCTGCCAATTCTTACGTGAATGAATCTCAAGTTAAAGTGAAAAGTCAATATCGATATCACTGATTTATTCCCATACACATAACATATGATTAACGTGGTTTCAAATCCTAAATCCTTAACGGGGAACCGGCGGTTCCAGTCCGGTTCCAACCGGTTCTCTGGAACCGCCGGTTCTGGTTCTAGAAATCTAGAACCGGAACTGAACGGGAAATCTCCGGTTTCAGTTTCAGTTCGGTCCGGTTCCGGTTACGTTTTGGACTGGTTCGAACTGATGGTTCCGGTTCCCGAAACCGTAATATGGCCAGCCCTGCCATCACGTGAATTGAACTCTCAGTTAAAGGAAAAGCATACCGAATCACTGATCCCAACACATAAACATAGATTAACGTGTTCAAATGCTAAATCCTTAATTATTAACTTATAAACAAACCAAAACATAATTCCCTTTTTCTCAAAAACCAAAAAGAAACGAAAAATCACCAATTCTTAGAAAAGAGAAGTATGAAATCACCAAATCATGATGCCCGAGGAAATGGAGAGCTTGACGACCGGCAAGATATCGGTGAAAGCAGCGAAAGTGAACCCTTTCCATGTATCAGGGCACCATCCTCCAAAAACATAAACAAATAGTCCGATAACTGTTAACCAACCAGAAATGTTCACAGCACCCATTGCGCCATTAATCCCCAACTCAAGCTTGGTAACCAAAAACCAACTCAAGGGCACATGAATTGCAAAGCATATAGCAGAAACCCATCCAACGATCATGTTCTTCATCTGGGCTTGTAAGTACATTTGCATAGTCAAGCTAAACACAAAGTAATAAATAAATGGTATGAACCATAGCGAGATTTTTCCTGCTATTAGTGATATATCCTTCTCTTGACCAATTAGGATAAGGATTGGTGCGGTGAAGATGAAGAGAGGAAGAAGAACGGTCGCGATTATACCATCAACAATCCATGATCTTTGCAGATATATACCAAGCATATGATATTGTTCTGCGCCAAATGCTTGTCCGCATAATGTTTCTGTTGCGCTTGACATGCCAATCTGATAAACATTGGCAAACGACACGTCATTAAGCTATTTTTGCATACAAGAACAAACATTAAAGACCAAGAAAAAGTAAAAGTTCAAGTTCTTATTAATTCTTACCAGTATTCCGTTTATGAATCGAAGAAAGATTGTTTGTTCAATTGCATAGGCAGCAAGCTCTAACTCGCCAATGCGGCCGAGAAACACTTGTGTTACTACTAGGAGTCCGAAAGAAGTGACTCTAGCCACCATTCCCGGAAATGCAACTCTCCATATCTTCTTTGACTCTGTCCAAATTCTGGTTTTTAGATCATTAGTAGCAGTAGTGTTGTATTCTTCTGATCCCAAAAGCCTATCTTCCATGGAGTCTTCCATGGTCTCTTAGAAAAGCCCGACTGACCAAACTAATTTATGAACCCATTTTTGAGATGATATATAATTTGCGATTGTAACCACTTAATTTTCCTTTATTATTTAATACAGTGTCTGACTGGTTGTTGAAACTTTAGGTAAGTGACAACCCCCAGCATCCGTCCTTCATTAATATGACTGCAATTCTACTCACATTTTTTCATATAGAAGGAGGAGGCGCAATCTTATCATGCAAAAGTTTTTTGTCATTCTAATAAAATGACAAAAAACTTTTATGGATTTGACATAGTATGTAGGAGGAGGAACCCATTGTTGAAATGAATTTGTATTTTCACTCTTACATATAGTAATTTGCAATTTCTCTCTTAATTTGATATATTAAAGATCTATGAAGGAACTTTAATAGACAATTGGCTCCTTTTATGGATGTATATCTCTTTAATTTAAATTTTTTTGTGTTTTGTTCATTGTGCTATTTTATATATTAAGTAAAACATCAATACGAGGTTACATCCTTTCTTTCAGTGAGAAATCTAATTTTAGAACTAATTTTGATTAAGAAATTGAAGAGTAACTATCAACGGTGAAGTGAATAAATTATGTGTTTTAGCAATTATATTAGATCCGTTGGATTTCATACTAGATTGTCTTTACGTAGGTGATTAGTTTCATTTATATAAAAATATAATATTCTGATTTATATTATTTTTGTACTTTATTTTTTAACTAATGAAATATAAGTTTTTTTTTTTTTTTTAAAAGAAGAATTGGTGAATTTTTGCCTTCTTGTACATATTTTTTTGAGTGTAGAAACGGGAAACGGGCAAGTCATTATTATTGACTTGTCTACGTCTTTGCATTTGTGTTCTTCCGGCAATGTGGCAATCTTTTCTCGCCCGTGTTGAGCATGGACATAACTTTGTACCCTCTTTGATGTTTATTAGTTGTCGTTTTTATACAATGAATTTTATTTTTATAATATAATTTTACATGGAACGGGGATCAGTTTTTATACAATATACTGAATTTAAATTACCTTAGATGGATTAAGGCTGGGAAATCTATTATTTGGTCAAAATATAGAAGAAGAAGTAGCAAATTACAGAAAAAGGAAGTTTGAAGTCACCCATCTTGTGTGTTCTGTTGAGAATCTGCAACATACCACTTTTTAATCCGGTTATGAGCTAGAGACACCTGCAGAAGAAATTTGATTAATGCATAATTTAAAACTATTTATGTTTTAATCGTAAAAATCTATAAATAATTATTTTGAGAGAAAAGAAGATAAAAAAAAAATGGGAAAGAACATTAGAGGCAACCTATAATACCTGTTTTTCCCAGTCAGTGTTACAGGTGATTATAAGTAGAACAATGGTTTGAGTGAGTGTTCCAAACAACATGCCAACCCAAACACCCTGCAAAACAAATAGATGAGGGTGAAGAGACAAATAGAACTAGGCCTCATTGATGCACTAAAAGAGGACTTTGAGATATATAAAAAGAATGCACAATCCCCATTTTTACAGTGCAAGAAAGGAAGAAGAAGATAGCAAGAAACCATAAAACTGACCTTGATTTGCATATTCAAAACATAACCAAGAACAACTCCAACTGGAATTCCAATGAAGTAGTAGCAGGCAATGTTAACATAGGCTACAATACTCTGCCATCCAGCTCCAACAGCAACTCCTACAAAACAATATATATTTTAACGTTATCGATTTTCGAATTCGAAGAAAAAGAGAGCCATGCAATTGCAAGAATTGGAAAATAAATTACCAGAGAGAACTGGTTGTATGCTGTTCATAAGTATAGAGAAAGCCAACAGAGGCGAAAGATCAGCCACTGCATTAGCTACCTTAGGATTTGAAGTGAATATGTAAGCTAGCCTTCCTCTTAGGAACAGGAATAAAAGAAACAGAACAAACCCAATCATAAATGATGTAGCAACTATCGTCACTATTGAGAACTTTGCAGCTTTTGAGCTCCCTCTTCCAAGCTCATTCGACACACGAACACTAATTTTTTTTTTTTTTTTTTTTTTTTTTCCTCTTAGGAACAGGAATAATAAAGAAACTAGAACAATACCCAATCATTTTTTTAAATGATTGTAGCAACTATCGTTCACTTATTGAGTAACTTTTGTCAGCTTTTGTGCTCCTGCTTCAAAGCTCTATTGTTCCGATACTCCGAACACTAATTTTTTTTTTTTTTTTTTTTTCTTGTATATTATCAATCAAATAATTCAGTTATTTAGTTATGTATTTTGATAGGTCGTTATTGTATTCAATAAGAAAATTTTGTTAATTAAATTTTCTTGTGAATATTATCATATATGTATATAAAAATACCTTTGGCTGCAGCTAAGAAACCAAGATTAATTCACATCATTTCCACATCACATTAATTTTTTTTTTTTTTTTTTTGAAATTTCCAATCAAAACAATTTCAGTATTAGTATGTATTTGATAGGCGTATTGTATTCAAAAGAAAATTTTGTTAATTAAATTTTCTGTGAATATTATCATATATGTATATAAAATACCTTGCAGCAGCTAAAAAACCAAGAGATATCATCATTTCCCATCCATTGATGCTGAGGCTGCAAAAAGCAATGAGAACAAGAAGACTATGTTAAGAGATAATTTATCCAAAATAAAAAATATAAAGAAAAGAGGAAAGAGGAATTTTAAATCTTCAATTGAATAAATTATTACCATATAGAAAGAGCATCGATAGAAACCTCAGCATTTTGCATATGTCCAGTTAAAAGAATTAGAACAGTGTTATACCAGAGCTCCAGACTGTCAAAAAATTAAACCATATTAGTCAATTTAGTCAATAAAATTATTTAAATGACTAAAAATTAAGTACCCTAAAACCTACCAAAGCATAGCACCAGAAGACAGAGAAAGTTTGATTACAGGGCAAAGATCTTTGAATGCTAAGACAGAAAAACCTTTCCATGTTTCCCTACAACCTCCACAAGTAACAAACATAAGCTGTCCTAAATTTGGTATCCAATAAGCTAAAATTGTGGATGCCATTGCTCCTGGAATTCCCAACTTGTATTTAACAGTTAAGAGCCATGAAAGAAGGAGATGGAGCGAAAGCGAAAAGGCAGCTAAGTAGGCAATAATCATGTTCTTGCTTTGTGCTTGTAGAAACATTTGGCAAGTAAAGGATATAATGAAGGAGAAGACGACTGGTATTAGCCACAGAGAAATGTTTCCTGCTACTTTTGCAATATGCGGGTCTTGCCCTAAAGCAGTTAATATCGGAGCTGCCAGGATAAACAATGGCAGAAGCAGGATCGCACAAATTAGTAATACAATCCATGATCGTTGAAGATATATTCCTAGCATGTGATATTGTTTCGCTCCATACGATTGCCCACACAGAGTTTCTAGCGCACTAGCCATTCCCAACTGCACACTCAGTAATATCAGAGTCAAGAGTTACAGAAACCACTTGGCTTCAGAAACCAGAAAATTTGAACTTTTTATACATACCAGGATGCCATTAGCAAATCTCAGAAGAACAGTAAAGACGAGGGCATAAGCGGCCAATTCAGTAGAGCCAATGTGGCCAATGAAGGCTTGGCTGATGATAACAATACCAAATGTAGAAAATCTGGTGAAAATGGCAGGACCAGCTACCACCCATATCTTCTTGCTTTCTCTCCATATATTCTCCTTGAATTCAACTTCTTCTTCTCCTCCTCTTACCAAAAGCTTTTCTTTCATCTCTCCCCTCTCCATAAATTAAATATATTTTCTAGAAATTAAAATAGATTTGAGCTTAATGTGGAGAAGTATACGTATGATTAATATGATGTAACGAAAATTAATGAAAAAAATACAAATTGAACACCGACGAGACAGCGACCAACCCATTTAAATTTTGTAATAAAAAAAATTGTCGTTTTGTTCATTAAAAGGACCAATAATTAGAGATTCTTGTCAGCTACCTGTCAAATACCAATTGATACAAAATAAAAATACTACATAAAAAGAAACAGTAGCAAATACCCTCATCCCAAATGAAAACAATACTCAACACAGATTAAAAAAAATGGTTCAGACAAGAATATGTAATTTTCTATCCTCAAACATTTGAAAAATATTTTATGAATGAAGTTTATTATATTGTGATTTCATTTAGTCACGAGATCATATTTTTGCTTTTTTTAAAACTTCAATATTATATATATTGCAAGCTCAAATCTCAGTTAGAACCTAAATATAATCAGAAAAATAAATAAAAAGGAACAAAGAAAAAGAAAAAGACTAACCTTCTCCTATAAATAAATACATATATCACTATTTGTTAGCTATAAAACTATTTGTTTTCCTTCATTTTCATGCACATGGAGTGCAAAAAATATTTATCTACTTAAAAAATAAAGAAAGCTCTGTGGAAGAAGAAGAATTACTCAGGAGAAGAAAACTTACAGAGAGAGATAAAGCGGCAGCAAGAATATTTTAAGTTTCTGAGTCCAAAAGATAGTTGAAGTTCAAGACAGAGAGAGAGAGAGAGAGAGAGAGAGCAGGAGATGGAAAGTGATTTGTTCACCTTCTTATGGCATATGGTTTTGTTTAAATGGAAAATTTTTAGATACAACTCTGTCAAATATAAGAGGGGATATTTGGCATTAATGTTAGAAACTATTTTTTGAAAAGTTATTATTTTAAATTTTATGTTTTAATTTATTGAAGATTTTTATGAGCGAAATAATATAGCTGACTACACAACAATAGAGGTAACCCTCCATTGACTCATCAAATCGGCGAAAACAATTGTGATAGAGAGGATTCGGACTCGAAACCTCTCGCTCTTTACATAAGTGAGAATACCAATTAAAATATTCTTTTAAATTTTATTGAAAAAAATAATTTTGAATGTTTAATTATTTTAAAATTTTTATTATTATTAATTCAAATTAAAAATAAATTTCAATTACAACATTTAACCAATATTTTTGAAACATTAGTTCAAAATACAGTTTCTTATCTCTCCAGAGTCCAGTCAATCTTTATGATTAAATAGTTATTCTGATCTTTGTGGGTTGCATTAATGGATTTAGACTTGCACCTATAGTTAATTGTAAGTTCAATCACAATTATTGACTAAGAGAGACCCTTTCATAACACTTTATTTCAATTTCTCAATTGGAAAAAGGAGTGGCTGTAGTTCCTTTCTAATTATTCCACACTATCGCGGAACACGCGCTATTTTTATTAATTCGTTAGAAGACTGAAGGATACGAATAATATTATTCACTGTACAATTCTGATTCTCTTTTTTTTTTTTAATTCTTTGAATTTATGAAAACTCTTAAAAGAATTTGAATTTATCTATGGATTCATGACTTAGTTAACAACACTGAATAGACATATGAGAAGAGTTTTCAGGTTCGATCTTTACGAAACATATCCATAGGGAGGAATGAAAAGCCTACAAAGAGAGGTCAAGAGTCTTAACTAAAATTAAATTATGAGCAGGATGATTTAAAAAAAAAAAAATTTATTGACCCTGGCACGATATCGATGGGATTTCATATTCTAGTTTTTGTTTAGAATTAACGTTTGCCAACTATGTTTACCCTTTATTAAGAAGTTAAACGTGTCCTAAAATATTTAGAAAGTACCTTTAAAATATAAAATTAAAAAAAATAATAAATTATACTTCTTAGAGTATTGTTCAGAAAAGTTAAAAAAGTGTCGACGTAAGATGAGACTGATATATAACAAATTTTTAAATTGCCCCTATACAGAATTGATCCGTACTATAATAATTTTGCAACACAAAAATCACTAGCTCAAATGCTTGTCCTTTTTCCCCCGACATATCAATTCCTAAGTTTGAGCAGGACGGTTAGGCGAAGGAATGATTATATTTTATCAGGAGTTTTGATTAAGATTTGACGAAATAAAATCCATGCATGTGCATTAGTTTCATAAATTAACAATCTATTGGTTTGATCTATGAATTAGTTTCATAAATTAGATCTAGACGAGTATAATCCATGCATATGCATTCATACGCTAATTTTGTTTTAAAAATACGTATCAAAGAGATTTCAAAAATATTTGTTGTCAGTAAGAATGTAAAAAAATTCAATTGTTTTTTCTTATATAACATGAGTGTAATAAAACCTATTTGCTTGCTTTTATTTTTTATTTTAGCAAGGAACGGTAGCTTGCTTTATCTGAGAGGATAAGAAGTTTGGGATATTTGTTGCAATGTAATCTTTTGTTTTTATAATTTATAATAGCTGATATTTTTTTGGAAAAAGAAAATAAAACACAGACTTTTTTTTATTTAAATACGCTAATCCAGTTAAAAATAATAACAAATAAAAAAACAGAACACTATTTATACAGTTGTCTACCTTCATTTTTATGCATGCACTGTCAAGAAAATGAAAAATAAAGACTAATACTCATTTTTAAATTATGTGAAGAAGAAGGAGATGTATATGGAAAGTGTTCCCTTTCCTTAATGGCAAATTTTTATAAACAACTCACTGCTCCCATAGGTATATAGAAGAGGAGATATATACTGGATATTGGGTCCGAATCATAGCTTTTTTAAAAATTAATTTTTTTTAATCAGTTGAAATCTTATTATAATTATAATATGTGAAATTTACCTTTAAAATATGGTTTAATTACAATATTTGATAAATATTTTATATATTTGCGACATTAGTTCAAATAATAGTTTAATGTAGTTATTTTAATCACTACAAAAAAGAGTGGTCATAATTAATCCAATCAAAAATTCACATTCCATCTACTTATTCATAATGACCAATTTATAATTTTTTTTAAAAAAGATTTAATGCCATATATTTTTGCAATGGAAATACCAAAAACAATTGCAAAAAGTCGAGGTGTTGTTATTTGAAAAAACAAAATATATGGAAAAAAAAAAAAAAAACCACCCTATAAAGTCCGTAATCATTAAGCTTTTTTAAAAAATTAATTTTATTTTAATCAGTATGAATTATCTTTTTTATATATTATATATATGGTTGAATTATTTACCTATTAAAATTGGTTTATTACATAATATTTGAATAAAATATTTTTTATTATTATTTTTGCGACATTTACGTTCAAAATAATATTGTTTAATGTTGTTTATTTTTAATCACTTACAATAAAATAGAGTGTGTCATAATTAATTGCCAAATCAGAATAAATTTTTCACAATTTCTCATCTACTTATTCATATAATATGACGCTTAATTTATAATTTTTTTTACAAAAGATTTAATTTGCCATAATATTTTGCAATGGAAATACTATATAACAATTGCAAAAAAGTCGAGGTGTTGTTTTATTTTGAAAAACAAAATATATGGAAAATAATAAAAATTTGAAAAAAAAAAAAAAAAAACCCTATAAAATAAGAAAACGTTTTTGGGGATCAAAATTATTATTTGAAAAGACCAGATTACTAAATTCCATAAGCAACTAAGAGGCATCAAGCACAAGTAAATATGGCAAATTCAGCCACAGTAATCTCTGAAGATAAACCCTAATTCAGAGAGACCCTAACTGGTCAGCTCAATCATTGTCTGTGAAACATGGTGTACCCATCAGAATAGAAGAGCAAATAAAAAAAGGTTACAAAAAATTAATGATAAACCAGTCTGAGGCACTTTGAGACCCATTATTCACCTTCGTACACGTCCTGTTAAAGTAAACTGGCCTACCAAAAATTAACTACCAAAATTCTACCAATGAAAATAAAGTAAGCCATGCTTTAATAATTTTGTAACACTAGCAGAAATGCTTGTCCATAAGGAAATGATACCTCTTTTTGACTAATTTATAAGGAAACAAAAAAAAGCCAATATATCACTTGCATCAATTGCATCCACAGAAAAATATCCAAGTATGCTTACCCATATCACAATATGCTTTTACAAAACTTGAGTTGAGATTGAGTATCATGTCTTCTAAGTAGATTCTGGTTGTGATTCTGGTTCTGGTTCTGCGGCGCTCTCCTCATTTGTTTCACTTGCAGTCTCAGCTTCTCCTGGTGACCCTGCTTCTTCAGCCTTTGCAGGACCTGGACCAGCTGATACTTTCACCATTGCTGGTCGCAGAAGCCGGTCACCAAGTTTGAATCCCTTGCGAAATTCATCAAGTATAATACCTTCTTCGAATTCTGTTGAATCCTCTCGCATAATCGCTTCTTGCAACTGTCACATAAGAAGTACATGAACACCAAGTTTATGACACACATATATGGAATGTAAACCGTCTGCTCAAAAAGCATTACCATCTTAATGTCGCCCACCTATGTTAAAATTAGGTATTTTTATGGAAGAAGCACAAAACCAAGGTTATTTGTATTTCAAAATGTACTGTTACTCATGTAACTCACCGAGTTGGCTCAATCAATCAATGACTGGTTCCGAGTTAAAACCGTATCCAATTCTTCCAAAAACCAGAAGAAATTTGATCAAATATTCGAAAAATACCATCAAGTACTTGACTAAGTTTCGAGCCAACTCGGTTCTTTGCCTGCATTAAACCAATGATCAATACTACCAGTCATTTTGCCAATTAATTGAAGAGGGCAACAGTATCATTTGGGCGTTCCATTAATCAACAACTGTTTGATCATCAGTTTAAAGCATATATTATCTAACTATCATAAAAATAGTTTTCTTAGCTTTATGGATCAATCCAACTAAAGTTTTCACTTTGCTGGCATCTTCAACAAAGTGCATTATCACAGACTCTCTACTTAGCAGATGCTCTTTCTTATCATAACAGCATGCGAAAACTCAAAACCAATAAAGAAAAGGTGTACATGCAATGATAATGATCATTTCTTTGTTAGCTATCATTTACATAAACATAAACTGTAGTTGAAAGTTGAGCAACTCACCAATGGATCAAAGGGTTTGCCTATTGTCTCCACGGGGACGACACCAAGCGAACCCAGAATTTCAACAAATTGCTTATAAATGCTCTGATAGCTATTGTTGATTTTCTCTTCTCCTTCAGTCTCCAATTTTATCTGGGATTTAGCTCTCTCAAAATTATCTAAAACAGGTAACAAACTCTCTACAACTTCCCCTTGGGCATTTGTCAACAGTGAAAGCCTTTCCCTCTCCGTCCTTTTACGGAAATTGTCGAAGTCGGCACTAATCCTGAGAATCCGATCTTTTTCTGTTGACAGATCTTGACTCAAACTAACCACCTTCTGTTCAAGGTTAATTTTTTCATCTTCAACAGATTTTAAAAAAGCTTCTATCTCAACAATTTTGGACTCATCATTACTCGCTAAAGCTTCTTTGTATGACTGGAGTGAAGCTAGGATGACAGAAGGTGCTTCCTTAGTGTCATCAGCCTCTTCACTGCTGGAACTATCTTCCAACTCATCAGCACTACCTTCTACTCCAACAGCACCATCCGAAGAATCCTGTTACATAAATCTATCAACAAAAGAATCCAAGACAAGACACCGTCTCTAGAAACAGTAATAAATCAGGGCACAGGCAAGGAAATTTTTGAACAGAACAGTCTGTTTTGGTGATAGGGGCTTGAAATTTCCAATCAATCAGAACATAAATGCATTAGAAGCTGCAGTAGTAAAAAGAAAATCAGGACCAAGGAATTAGCAAAAAAATGGATAAATATAAGTAAACATATCATTTTCTATACAGACATAACATCACCCCGCAACACAAGGCAGACAATAGCAGTGTTATCAGGATCTTATGATTTGATTCAATTTTTCATACTAAACGATTCGAATCTTATGGGTGACTCGGAATTGAGCACAAATCGTAATCTTATGATTTGAGTCAATTCTCATGCCCAACGAATCTCTTACCCAACAAAATAAGTGAAGATGTCAATGTAGAGAAGGGAAAAAAAAAAAAGCAAGAGAATGTAGTTATGTTAGAAGATGAAGGTGATGAAGGGTTTGAATTTCAAAATGATAATGAATGAATATGGATTTGGATAGGAAATTTAATGGCTTGATAATTTTACTTTGTTTTTTGTTTTAAAATGTCAACTTCATAGTTTGATATGTTATACTTGGTAACTACACAAGTCATTAGGTTCTCTTTCACTTTGTGTTTAGTACATGCTTTGGAATTAAAATTTATATAAATACATTATTTGCAATTAAATTTTTACTATTTGTTGATAAAATTGATGGAAATATATCCATCAATGTACATTTAATTAATTTTGAAAAGTTATACCGAATCTTACGATTCGATACTCGACCCCAAAAACAAGAACTTCAATTCTCGGCTTGATTCTCTATTTGACAACTATGGAAAATAGACAAAAAACACCATTGCCCAACAAGTGATGAACGAAATTGCTTCTATGCACTATGATATATCTTTTATTCCTACATAATCCAGCTACAATATCTGAAAATTCTTAAGAAAGTACATGTTGAGGAGGGACAGGACAACAACCAGCCTGCTGAGGGTTAGGATCTAAACAAAAAGAGAAATTTTCAAGGTTAAAGGGCAGAATTAGGAATCATTAGAACAATAAAAGAAGAGAATTTGGAGCTGTGAACAGCAACTCGGATTAGTGTAGCAAAGATTTTTGGAAGAAATAAAGAAGAGAAAGGGAAGACAGGAGACCGGCAAAATCAGTCAAAACTTTCAATTCAAATATTTGTAGAAGTACAACTATAAAGGTCAATATGTATATATAAAAGAAACTTATTAATTTCATAATTAATAATTAAATCAAAATAATTGCCAAATACGATTTGCACTGGCTGCATCAAGCCTAAAAACTTTCAACCATCTTCTAGCCAGATACAGATGCCTAGCAAAAAATGCACTGGTTTATCTATTAAAAATAGTAGACAAACTAAAAGGTCTTTAAAAGATTGAAAAGATGTGGGTGGATAAATCTCAGTCTAAATTAGACTTCATTTTGTTCCAACTCAATTGGACAGGCCATATGAATCTTCTATGCATCTCAGCTATATCTAGGGAAATATTCTCCCTTAATAATTCAACAATAATGGTGTGTTTGGCATTGTTGTTTGAGATACTGTTAGGAAAAAATCAGTGTTACTAGGATCGTGGTACAATTCGGTACATGTACAGGTACGGAGTACGTGGTACGGGACTTTTCTTGGTAAGCAGTACAGGGATAGGTTTATTCAGTACTATTTTTAGGAACGAAATTCGCCGAGCAGATCGCTATGCATAAACTTCAATTATACATTATAAGTTAAAAAAATTATGAAATATAAGTGCATAAGCAATAGATTGTTAGTAAGTTGTTATAATTGTTTAATCAATCCAATTCTTTATTCAATTTTTTTTTTTAAATAAATATATAAAAATTATTTATTGAGGTGTCACACCACCACCATCCAATATTTGTATTTAAGCGTTTGCCTAACACGTAGCTTTTAGTTTTCTTTCCTTATGTTTTAGACTTTTAGTTTTCTGCAACTTTTAAGCTTCGTATAATTTTCATCTCAAAATTACACAAACCAATTCGGATCACTGGCTTAACCAATCTGGTTTGCAAACTAAGCACGTTTCAGAACGTGTGTTCCAAAACGCGGGAAGCATAAAGATTGAATGATCCGGGTAACACTGGCAAAAAAAACACTTAGCTAAAACTGTTGGTTAGAGGTCACTAATGTTTGTTTTTATGGCAATCCTAACAAACACTACTCATAAAAGCTATAAGGGCGCTTTCCCAGAAAAATAGTTTCAACCACAATGCCAACAGGCTCTAAATCTTCTCAGTTACTTTTATTACATCTAGTTGCAGAATATCAAATTTTGTTAACTAAATTTGTATTTGCATGACTAAATAACAGCACTACATAAATCTAGAATTAAACTCGTGGACAACTATTATCCCAAAATATAGCCATGTCAATATTATAGGGCAAAGTGGTTAAGATAAGAAGCTATAAAAAGCATAAGCAGCAGATATTGTGAAGCTGGATTATCTACCAATTATTTCTGTAATCAAATCTATCTCATCAAATTGCATGATTAAGGAAGTTTTATATAATAACACATAGAGGAAGTAACTGCTAGGTGCACCATCTGAAGTAATGTTATTTTAAATAGTTTTCCATGAGTACATTACAAAAAATGCTAGTAAATTCCTAACTGAAAAGGCATCCAATACAACTAGGGTCATGTCTCATTCTTCCCATGTAGAACAAGTCCTAGAGGGAACAAAAATACCAGGACTAAAAAGAAGGGACTAATGGTATAAAAAAAGAGCATAAAAGTAATGCGAAAATGAAAGGACTTCAAACTAAATTGCTTCCTTTGACCAAATGATACTAAAATTGTTTTAAACTTTAAGACTTAAGTGCCTAATTTGATGGTTGGGTACATTCCCCTTGTCATTTTCAGAATTTCTATCTCTCTCTTTGCTTCAACAATGATACTTCTATCACACACAAACACACACACACTCACACACAAGAAGCCAAACTTTCTCTATGTTATGAGGTTCTGATTAAAGAAAAAGTTCGAGTAAGTAACTAAGCATAGAGTAAGGAAAATTGTCAACAGATTAATTGCAATAATGAGTTTCTTTAGATATTACAAAATTTCACCAGCTAAACCTCACTTATAAAAGTGAGATTTGAGAACATGTACTTTATTGCATTAAATGACTGGAAATCTCAACTCAAAAATAATTTCCACTTACCTGATATAGCAAACGCATATTCCCTAAGACTGACATCTTCACTCGTCAGGTAAGGAATGCAATTGCAATTGACTTTCATACATCGCATCACACTAACTATCATCCATTAGAACTCCACAATCACTTCCACACGTTCTTTTTATCTTTCGCAATGGCCAATGAAATTAAACTCTCAAATCCCAAAACTCTTAAATGAAGTGAAGCAGAAAAAATTTTACGTTCATTTCCATTTCATCTATAGACCCAATAGTCTTATAGATTAGGTTCTCAAAGTTTTTGAAGTTCTCTTAATATTAAAGTTAAGACCTTTTTGTTGCCCAAAACTTGCTCGAGAAACAAAATACAGAAAGTCTGATTTATTAGCAGTCAAACAAACCCCTAAAGCAACTCCAACTTAACTAGCCCCAAATAAACTGTACTCGACACAATTGCATCCATAAGTACCTGAATCTCTGGTTCCTGAATTGTCTCTTCGGTCTCAGTAGTTTCAGTTTCTCCTTGAGTAGCAAAAGGAACGAACTTTATGAACCGGTGGGACGATTTGACGGGGAACCGGAGACAACTTGTGCGCGAAACTTCGGTGCTAATGCTTCTACGTCTAAATGAGAGACAAAACGGATTCGGCGATTGTAAGGAAAGATTGTTGGTGGCGGTGGTAATTAGTCGGGGCGGGACTTGTGCCCTCAGTGGCGGTGTTTTGAGGACAGTGGCCATCGAGGAGTGGAGAACGAGCAGGAGAGAGAGAGAGAGAGAGAGAGGGACAGATAAGAGTGGTGAAATTGAAAGAGGAAATGAAGTTAGGGGATACAGTGATATTTGAAGAAGATGGGTGTGATTTTATCAGGACCGTTGGATGTGATTTGGAGTAGTTGAGTGTGGAGGTTCTTGTTTGGTTTTCATGTAGATACTTCTGGATTGTTGTTGACCCGACCCATGGAAATTGGGAACCATAGCGTCCACTTGTAGTTCATAGCGTATGGGTCGGTTTCGGGCCAGACCCAATAAGGCATACCTATGCAGGTTTTTTGTTTTTCTATTTGAAAGGAAATTCAAATTTCACTACTGCAGATAAAAAAACAAAGCATTACCAAATGATTGAACATTACAATTTTATTGTTACATAAATTAAAAATAAAGAATTTTTATTTCAAATTAAATTTTGAACATCTTAAGATGTGTTAATGCTAAGTTAATAGAGTATAAGCAAAATTAACTTAGAGAGAGAAAAAAAAAAGCTGTAAATGAAAAAATAAGCAAAATTATCTTACAAAAATGTTTATTTAAAATTTAAATACAATTTATTTTTTAACGATTTTAGACCATATAAATTCAAATTAATTTTATTGTTTTAATGCTTAGGCTGTATTCGGCATAAATTTTTAAGTAGCATTTCAAAAGCTAAAAATTATTTAAAAAATTTATTTGGCAACATAATATTTGAACTAATTTTTTGAGATTTTGTAAAAAATTAATTCATGTAACATTTAATTTTTTAGCGTTTCATAAATCAAAAAAATTAACAATTATTAAAATAATTAATTTTTATCGAATAAACTTTTACTATAAAATCATTTGAATTGTATTACTATCACAACAAAACAATTGAATTCGAACCTTCTTTTCCTTGAGATAATGGAATATGCATTATTTCTTTCAAAAAAAAAAAAAATCGAATTCGAACAAAAAAAGAAATTCTATAAATAGTGTTTTTTCTATTGCATCCTTATTGTACCTCATAATTTCAAAAATCCAAATATGCTCATGTTTGCTGCTTCCACACCATCAGCATTTAGAAAGCTCCGCCCATATTCGTGGAAGCAGCAAATCTCCGCTCGCCAGTCGCCGGCTTTTCCATGACCCAATAAAGGCGTTACATTTATAGTTCAACGAACTTACTTTAGCGAACAGCTAATAATTACATACAGATTCATCTTAATAATTACTTTATTTAAAATTAATATTAAATAACAAAAGCGACTTTAATTATTTATATTTATACGATTCCAAAAAAAAATTTTATTTGTTTATTTTTATTTAAAAATTTAAAGGCACAGCGCAGCACAAGAAGAGAGAGAGTGTATTTTCGTGGTCTCAATTGAGCTGATCTTAGAGAACTGTTTCTCTAATAACTGAATTCAAAAACCCCAAACCAACCTAGATTTTTATCTTTTTGTGTAGTTTTTTCTGATTTTTTCTTTTTGTTTTGAGCTCATAAGAAGCTCTTGTCCGTGGTTTTTGTCGGATTCGTTGACTGGAACGATTAGTTTAGGGTTTGAAGGCTCTGATTCTGTGGAAAAATGGGGAGTAGAAAGGAAGAAGAACGTAATGAGAAGATTATTAGAGGTCTCATGAAGTTGCCACCTAATCGTCGCTGCATCAACTGCAATAGCTTGGTAACTGCTCTGTGTCTAGTGTACATAGCCTTTAATGAACTACCCCCTTTTTTTTTTTTTTTTTTTTTTTACCATTAGGCCTTTTAATTGGAACTACCCCCTTTTTTTTTTTTTTTTTTTGAATTTATTTTTGTGCCTTCGAGGTTTATTAACACAAGTCCTTGAATATATGTTTTGATTTGAGGGCTCTTTTCTTTTTTATTGTATTATTTTCTGGGTTTGGTTTGTTGTTTTCCGGACGATAGAAGATTTCCTTTTTTTTTTTTTTTTTTTTTGAATTTAATTTTTGTGCTCGAGGTTTATACACAAGTCCTTGAATATGTTTTGATTGAGGGCTCTTTTCTTTTTTATTGTATTATTTTCTGGGTTGGTTTGTTGTTTTCCGGACGATAGAAGATTTTAGTGATAATAGTACAAGTTTAGTTTGTTATTTCTAAATGATATTTTTGATGATCTAGTTCTAAGCAGAGTGGAATGAAGGAATTGAATCTCTACATTTTTCTCTAACTAGTCTGGGGATTATGGTTTAGCTGAATTGAGTTGAATTTGTAGCTGGAGTTGAAGTTTTAGCTCAGGGTTTAGCTGGGTTTGTGTAATTGCTGTTTATAAGTGCGGTTGAGAAAAATTTTCATTTTGGATTTAGAGAGTTTAGAGATTTTAATTTTATTTTATTTGTTTGTAGGGATCATATGATTGATTTAAAACTTATTTATACTAATTGTTTGTGCAGGGTCCACAGTATGTATGTACTAATTTCTGGACTTTCATTTGTATGACTTGTAGTGGGATACAGTGAGTATTTTCTCCTTGCTTGTTGATTTTCTGCCTCTGTGTGCTTTATCTGTTTTTCTGAATATGATTTTCCATCCAATTCTGAAATAACTTATAAAACTTCATTTTCCTTTTTTTTTTTTTGGGAATTCTCAAAGTTTACAATGTAATTGATAGCTAAAAGAAATTTAATATTAGAAGATTGTGCTGGTATGCTTGCAAATTTTTGGGTGGTTGCATGTCCAAGCCATATGTTTGAGTGTATAGATATCAAAGTCTCCTGTGAAGCTTCATGTTTGGTATTGTCCACATAAGCCCAGAATATAATAGTATTGGTTAGAATTAAGATATCATGAAATGCAGAAAGATTGTTCAATGGTACTTTGAAATTTACGAACTATTCAGTGGCACTTCGAAATTCATGTGTCATGGTAATTAGGACTTACTTTGAAACCTGTATAGTTTTGCTGCCTTCTTGGATGGAACTTCTTTAATGCCCAGTAGTTAAAATTTGCATTATTATTTCTGGTTCATTTGGAAATTATACTGTCTCATTGATTTTAGTTTGCTTGGCATGGTCTACACTATTTTCTCCATTCCTTTTCTTATATACTGTTCATCCTGTTTCTTGTCATACAGTCGCGAGTTCACTCATCGGGTGAAGTCTGTGTCCATGTCAAAGTTCACATCTCAAGAAGTTGAAGCACTTCAAAATGGTGGTAATCAGGTACCTTACTATTTTATATTGGTTGGCTTTGGAAAGAGTGGATGCTTACTCTTTTGCTGACAAAACACACATCTTCCAGCGTGCAAGGGAAATATACTTGAGGGAATGGGACCAACAACGGCAGAGATTGCCTGATAACAGGTGCAAGATGTGTGGCCTTTTGTTTGGGCGCTAAGCATATACATGACAAATATGGAATTTTTCTAATAATGTTTCTTCATGTAGTAATGTTGATAAAGTGCGAGAATTTATAAAGACTGTCTATGTTGACAAGAGATATGCTGGCGGAAAGACCCATGATAAGCCTCCTAGGGACTTGCAGGTAATATTGCTGCATATAGTATGACAAAATTTTTATGGAACTTTACTGTTTGCTTCTTAATTCTATATTATTATTGTTTAGTGGGACATGGAAAACAAATTTTCCTGAATTTGGTTCTGAAAAAATAGTTCTGACTGCCAAACATTTTAATAAAATGATTATCTTTCAGCAATTTGTGTAGCTGCTTTTGTTTCTGTTGGTTGGGGGGGATGGAAATATTATTTTGCCTGAGTTTGGAATTCCTGAAAAATCACATTTTCAGAAGCAGTATCAAAGCATTCTATCTCACTGTTATTATTTTCTGAATCAAATGATCTCATGTAGCCTGAAACACAAGCTTACTATGTGATATTCATACATGAATTTGACAGAGGATGAGAAGCCATGAAGATGAGACAAGGCGTGCAAGCTCCTATCATTCTTACTCCCAAAGTCCTCCTTACGACTTTCAGTATGAAGATCGACTTTACGGAAAGCAAGCTGCTACTCTCACCCGAAAACCTGGTTCAGATCGAGGCATTTACGTTGGCAAGATGTCTAGTTTCATTTGTAGTCCTACTCGCTTAAATGAAAGAATGTTTGAAGACAGGTTCGCAAATGAAGGCTCTGTTTCTAGGGTATCGGACTATTCTATGTCGAGTGGGGGTGATCTGGTCAGTGCAGAATCTCCAAATTTTCAGAAGGACATTGGCTATACCAGTCCACCTATCCAGACTCCAAGGAATACTTTTGGCGAAGATGCACAACATCAAAGAATAGATCTATTTTCAGAGGCAAACTTTAAGAAAGAAGCACAAGGGATTCCCCATCCTCAGGTCATGTTTCTGGTAGCTACATACTGACAAAATCAATTGGTTTATTCAGCATTTGAGCTATGCTTTTTATACCAGAGTATCATAATCCTGTTGGAGCATTTCTGTCATATAAAATGGCAAGTGTGATGCATAAAATAATTATGTAATTGGCATGTCATGTTAATTGAGAATGTTGGCTTAACTGAAGCTGGAATACCAAAATATCAGGGCTGCTTTTATTCTTTCTTTACAAAATTCATTGAGACAATGTAGAAGAAAAAAGAGACGTAGGCATATGCATGCAGCCTCATGCAAGCAACATATGTGTATATGGATTTGACGTATGAAACATGCAAATTTTATTTTGTGTTTGAAGTATGTGCTCTTTTAGACTTTTTTTTTACAGTTGATTGATAGATTTTGATGAACATTCTCTAAAACTATCCTTGTCGTGGGATTATTGTTGCTAGGAGGTGTAAACAAGCCGAACGGAGCTCAAACCTGTCATGCTTGAAGCTCGGTTTGGTAGAATTTAGCTCGGCTCGGTAGAATTTAGTTCGGCTCAAAGCTCTACAAGCCTGTAAAATTTAGGCTCGAGCTTGGCTCGAAACTCAAACAAGCCTAGAATTTTAGGCTTGTGCTCGACTTGAGGCTCGAATTCAACACAAAAAATTTTGAGCTCCAATTTGGCTCGATGAATGTTTGAGGCTGAAGTAGGCCTAGAATAAATGTTATATATATGTATATAAAAAGCTTAATAAGGCTGGAAGAGCTTTCAAGCTGAATCATTAAGCTCGAATTTGATTTGAGCGAACTTTTTCGAAATTTTTTCGAGCTAAGCTTGAACAGCTCGCGAGCCACCTCAGCTCATTTACACCCCTGATTGTCACAATGACCTTGCATACAATTTGTTTGTATTTGTTGTGTCCAATTTATCTTAACAACTTTTCCTTTTGCTGATGCTCTCTCTCTCTCTCTCTCTCTCTCTCTCTCTCTCTCTCTCTCTCTCTGTGTCCCCAATTTATCTAACAAACTTTTCCTTTTTGCTGATGCTCTCTCTCTCTCTCTCTTCTCTCTCTCTCTTCTCTCTCTTCCTCTCTCTCTCTCTCTCTCTCTCTCTCTCTCTCTCTCTCTCTCTCTCTCTTTCTCCTTTTGGTCAACTGATATCAAATGGTTCTCCTATTCAGAGAACGGCATCTTTGGGAAGCACTGGATCATTTGATAGAAAGTCCATATCTATCAAGCCATATAATTCAGGTAGTTTACCAGATATTGTCTCTGAGCCCGAGCAACCTGTTGGGTCTACTTTTCCGCAGCAACCCGTCTCTGGGAGTTATGGTAACGTGGATCATTGCAAGGCACCTATTGATCAAGAATCAAATGCTTCTGCAGCTTCACCAATTGATTTGTTTCAGATGCCAGCAACATCACCAGTATCATCAATCAATTTGTTTCAGGAACCCCCAGTAAATCCAGCTCCATCTACTACCCAAACTTCTCTGCCCGCTTCTCTTGACCTCTTTGATGGAATTGCTCAGCAGCGGCCAGTTGCTAGTTTGGACCAAAATTCAGTAGAGTCATCAGCCCCTAAAAATGAAGGGTGGGCTACTTTTGATATCCAGCTCACAGCCTCTGCACCAGGGACTGGAAGTCTTATGCCTTCAGTGATACCTTCAAGTGTAGGCTCTTCAGCAATGTTTGACCAGCTTTCATCACTTTCATCGTTAGATACAAGTATGCAGTGGCCACCATTTCAGAACTCTAGCAGCCAAGGGTCACCATCAGTGTCTGATCTGTGGAACAAAGGTTTGCATGATGTTCAAGCTCCTGGTAACACTGGTAGTTCTCAGGTAAGCTCCCACAGTATAGAATTTCTGCTTCTCGGAGTCCTTTAGGTTGTGTTATAGCATACATCGAATGTACCACTTGATTCATGGACATATTCACAAAGTATTGCCCTACATTCTAATAACAAACCTTTGCTTCTGTACAGATGTGGAATGCTTTTGAAAATTATATTCCTCATATTCCTTTAGAGGGCTCTAATCAAGGTAGTCAATCACAAGTAGCAGCACACTTGCCTTCAACTGCTGACCAGTATATGGGATTGAAGGCTCCAGAGGTTGTATCTGCATCATAATGCTTCAAGATAACTCTTTTTTTTTTTTTTTTTTTTTCATAATGCTTCCAAAGATAACTCTTTTTTTTCTTTTTTTTTTTTTTTTTTTTTTTTTTTTTTGTCAACTTCATAATGCTTCAATATAATCCTTCCATCAGTTTTTACTCAAAATTTTATTTTGCAGGACTCCAGTAAAGATAGAATTGAAAGAGCTGGTCCTTATGGAGGACCCTCTGTTCTGAATGGACCATCGGATATTGTCCTAGGGGCATCATATACTCCTCCAATGTGTCCAATTATGGTTCGTACGCTTGGATCATTTTATTACTTTTGATTTTAGTTAGATTAATTATCTAGTAATGAATCTCTTTCTTTCGACAGGAAGCATCTCAATCACATGCTACCAATCACAAATCAATTAACCCATTTGATCTTCCATATGATTCTAATATGGATCCAGGCAATATGGTATGCTATTGAAATTACTTGCAAACAAGTTGATAGAGCATTATGCCATTGCCAAAATAATTTGTTTCATCGTTTGAAATGATAAGTTTGCTTTATCATCTATATCGTATTGTTCTTCAGTTCTGTAAGTTCTCTCTGCAACCTAGTTGGTTATAGTAACTGGTTTCGAGGTCAATGATTCAGGGTTGGTAGAGAGAGCAATAACAGTCTGTCCACCACTTTTAAGTTTAATTAGAAAACAGCACTGAATAGGTGAGTTTTATAACTACAGTGTGCATTTGGCTGTAGTGGTAGTTCCCTCTCCTATCTGTGGTTGTCTTAGGTGGTTGTTTTATATACCTGAATTAATTATTTGAAATAGTTTCCTTACGTGTTGATTGTATAAACTTTATTGATATTTTATATGAGTCAGGATTTAAAATGATGTAATAAGTGAACTTCCCTTCATTATGGGGTTTCAACTCTTTTTGAGTGGTGCTTAGGGCTGAGACTGACTGTAACGTTATATTCATTCTCCTAATTGCCAACTTTAAATGAAATTAGTAGTGCGTAAATTGGGTTGCTTTTGATACGTTTAATGACAATCAGCTCTTTATTGGGTTGGGTGAGGTGGCAGTGTAGAGAAAGGAGTCCATCCGAGAAGAATTAAGAAGGCAAATATTGGCACGTTGCCTCTTAAAAACCGTGAGGAAAATTAAGAATAGGGATGGTGTTAGTGGATATGCTACAAGTAATACAAGAATGAGTAGCCTATGTGGTTATGCCTGGTTCCTATAAAATGAAACTAGTGGGATAACTTGCCAGGATGTTGTTTTAAAGAAGCTTTCATCCAGAAGAAATGTGGATGAAGTTTGATGCTAGGAAATGAAGTGTGATTAATTTGATGAAGACAACTACATGATTAAAATTGCTCTAACTTGGGATTGATGGATAATTATTGTAATGTTATTGTTGTAACTTCACCTGCTGAGGTTCACTTATGTAGCTGGTGGCTGACCATTTCTAAGACCTTGTTTTTATATTTGGGCGATTGTGTCATCTCCTGTTTGATATGCTGGTGTAACAAATTGGTTGAAAGATAATTCCATCCATAACCTGTTTATATGAGATTCTGGTAAAAAGGGAAGAGGGAGAGTTGGTGGGTGTCATTGTAACTACAGAAAATTAGAGGGAGAGAGAGTGGGTATAATTTAAAGGGGCGCTCCACTAGCCTATGCAAGATAATGTGAACTTATAGCCTTCATGCGGCCAATGAAATGGTGGCAGTTCCTTGATTATGATGTGATTATGCTGTTGCAACCTCTCCCTGTCCTTTTAATTTATGCGCATGATTGAAAGGAGTTAGAAATTTGATTTTCTTCAAATGTTTGCTCATTGCTACATTGAAATGCCATGTTTAAGACTTGAGTATAACTCTGGCCATAGTATAGAAGTGGATATTTGAGACACAGGTCATGTAATGATTTGGCATATTATAATTTGTGGGTTCATTTTAATTCTGTTCATTTGAATATATAGTTGTCTTGCGGAACAATCATTTATTGGCATGCTGAGGATACTGCAAAGGATTGATAATTGTTTCTAATTATATCTTGGTGTATCATATTGCAGTTCTTGGACATGAGCTCTTTGCAAGCTGCACTGCCTAATAACCATATGCCATCAACCTTCCTTGGAGGTGTTGCAGAACCTTGGTTTCCTCAAGATCCTGTAACAACTTATATTCCAGCTGCACCTCAAGGTTAAGTCTTTGTTGATTCTTTTTAGAGAGACTTGTATAGTTTGTTTTAGCTGTTTTAACTTTTAATTCAGCAACTGTTTTTGCCAAAGCTGGTAAATTCCATGGTAATTCTTTCTTTCTAAGCATTTTATGCTCCGCGGTTTCACATGGGAGCATTTGAAACATGTCTAGTAAGATCTTTGCTTCATCCGGTCTCACTGTCGTTGTTGCTGTAGGTGGCTTGGCATATATGGCAGGACAAACACCAAGTCCTCAATTAGCGTAAGTTTTCTGTTTTTTGTTTTCCACTATTAACATTTCTGTTGTCATTGCCATTTTTCTACAGGACTAACTAAAAATTGCCTTTTTAACAGGAATATCCAAACACAAGGACCTGTTGCTTCTGTTGGAGGGAATCCATTTGCTTGAATGATTCAGCCATCAAAACTATCATCTTACCATCTGGGGTTCATTGTAGAAAGTTTTCCAAGGACTAATTGTAGTCAGTTAGTCAGTAAACCATGTCATCACGATTATTTTCATTATATATAGTTCATTGTTAGAAAGTTTTCCAAGGGACTAATTAATGTAGTCAGTTAGTCAGTTTAAACCATGTCATCACGATTTATTTCATTAATATATATATATATATATATATATACTATATATATAATTTTTTTTTTTTTTTTTTTCTTTTAGTAATTGATATTTGTATTTTTTTTACAACTAAAACCTTGTAATCTAACCTTGCAGCTAGTTATATAAGCCTCAATTATTAAGTGCAATCTTTTCATTTTTAGGATTTTGTTTGTATTTCTGAATTTCATATTATTAGAACATGGTTGTGTATTATTGAATGTAGCTGCAAAATTTGGAAATATTGTGTTATGATCCTTTGTTATTTAATTTTTTTTTCTTTTAGTAATTGATATTTGTATTTTTTTTACAATAAAACCTTGTTAATGTCTAACTTGCAGCTAGTTTATAAGGCCTCAATTATTAGTGCAATCTTTTCATTTTTAGGCATTTTGTTTGTATCTGAATCATATTATTAGAACTGGTTGTGTATTATTGAATGTAGCTGCAAAATTTGGAAATATTGTATGATCCTTTGTATTTAATTTTTATTTTTATTTTTTTTATTTATTTTCTCTCTTCTTACTCTTATCGATCACTCGGGGGAAACTATTACTTGTCTTTGAACAAGTTGAGTTTTTTTCGAAAGCCATCATCCTGGGATTTATGCAAATTACTTTCTGTTCTGCTCAAATTGTTAGCTCAAACTGTCAATTGTTAAGATTTTTTTTTTCTGTACTTAAAGTGTCGTTTTAAGATTCAAGAAAATTTTTTTGCATTTTTACTTTTTTATCCTAATTGAATTCCACTAACACTTTAGGAAAATTTGAGATTTGGAAAGGTAAAAAGGTATTAAAGTAATTTAAATTGAGTTTTATAGAATCAAAATAAATTAATTATTTTCTTGTTCTATGCGTGAAGCTGAAAGTGTTTTACGCAGAATATGAATTAATTATTAAAGGAGTTGCAAATTTGATTCTGCAAAATATACTTTGTCGGGAGAACTAAAATCCTTTTAAATTGAAGAAGTATTTTCTTCTTTTTAAAAAAAAGAAAAGATGTACATATTCCATTAATATGATAATAAAAATTAAGACGAAAATCTCTTCAGCAAAAATTAATTGAAACAAAAAAGAGTATTTTTTTATTAAAATATCAATAAAATAATTTTTAAATAAACAATATTCATCACCGGCAAGAATTTTCCTTGATTAACCCCAGCAAAACAATTTTGTAGATGAATAAAAAAACCTTAATTAAAAAAATATGAGAAAAATAGAAGAAGGCTAATAGAATTATTCAAGAGTCAAATCAAATAAGCAAATTTTTTCTTTGTGAATAAAAAATTTTTTTTTGAATGAATAAAAATAAGTATTTATTAAAAAGATAAAAATAAAAACAAAAACAAAAAAACCATCTTTGAAGTCTCATCTCACAAAACGAGAAGAGTAAAGTACAGGAGAGACCCAACAGCAGAAGGGGCAAAGTAAAGTATGAAAACTAGTCCTATCATTTCTGCAACTCCAAACCTGCTTTCCGAAATTCTCCAAATGAATTGAAAACACCCAATCCTGGCCAAATCACCCACCAATTGCTCGACGAAATTCCTCCTCGAGATCAAACTGACAATGGAGTCCAGCATTCTAGAATCACTCGGCGTCGAGATAATTGGTGTGATGTCTCCAGTGTCAATCTGCATGCTTCTGGTCGTTCTCATTGTCTATTCTCTTTCCCCATCAAACCCTTTTTCGGATGCTGCCTCCGCCTCGTCGATCCGCACCGCTGCCAATCTTGTCTATGTCGAGAATCCCTCCGACTCCGCTGCCCAGAAGCTAGAAGGCGCGCTACTCAATGCGCTGGTGTTTGTTATTCTCATTGCCGTCTTCACTTTTCTTTTGGTTCTCTTGTACTACTATAATTGTACAAAATTCTTGAAGAATTACATGCTTTTCTCGGCATTTTTCGTTTTAGGTACATTCTCTGATTCAGCTATTTTTTTTTATGCTCGTTGACTTAATCCAATTATTCTCTAATTTTACTGTTGTGTGTGTGTGTGTGTGTCTCATTGATTCACTTGCTTTTAGTGCTGATTAAATCGTTTGGGTGGTTTGATGTTTCATTTATTTTCGTGACGTGAGTTTGTCTGGTTTTGAGGTCAGGTGCTTGGTCTGACATTTGGGTTGATGATTCAGTTTTTTTCTTGGAAAAATGATGATTGGAGTGTATTTTTCTTTCCTGCAATTTAGCAATATTCTAGAACGACATTAGTTCAAGTGCACAATTTCTGTTTCTTTACGTTTAAGTTCTTAGGCTCATGATTGGCATCTTGTTCATATTATAGATTATAGAGCATGATCTCGTATGTTTCTGTTGTTTTGTACTATTTTTCATGCTTGCATGATACACTGATTATCATTTAATGGATGATTCGGCCTTTCAATTTCATATGCTCATTGACTCAATTGCACTATTAACATTAATGCAGAGACTTATTTACAAGTTTCTGTTACTTTAGCTTGGTAGTTGTGTTGTATTAGTACCATCTGCTATTGATGCTCACTTTGCAACATTAGTTTTTGTTTCTTAACTGTTGTGTTTTTGTTGTTTTGTAGGCACAATGGGAAACTCAATCTTTTTGTCATTGATTCAGCACTTCTCAATTCCTGTTGATGCGATTACTTGTTTCATTATGATGTTTAATTTCACAATTGTGGGTGTATTATCTGTGTTTTCGGGTGGGATTCCGATCTTTTTAAGGCAAGGATATATGGTGGCACTAGGGATTTTTGTGGCAGCTTGGTTTACTAAGTTACCAGAATGGACTACATGGGTTTTGCTGGTGGCATTGGCATTATATGATTTGGTAGCAGTTTTGGCACCTGGTGGACCACTAAAGCTGCTGGTAGAGTTGGCCCAGAGCCGAGATGAGGAACTTCCAGCATTGGTTTATGAGGCTCGGCCAACAGTTATACAGAATGCAAATAATCGAGGTCGGAGTTTGGACCTTTTGATTGGTGGAGTTTCAGATTCGGGATCTGTGGAGATGCAAACAGTGTCAAATAACAATTTAAATCGAAATGAGATTGAAAACCGTGTGAACTCTGAATACACTGCCGCTCCGGTTAGGAATCCTGAGAATGTTGAAGGTGTAGGAAACAGAGATGATTTGGAAAGGTCTCCCTTGGTTGGTTCTTCTTGGGAAAGACGCAGGTCAAGCAGTGAATCATCAGAGTATTCAACAGTGGTTGGTAATCAGGACTCTGAAATTGTTGTGGATGAGGAAAGGACTCCTCTTGTTGATATTCTAGGATTGGGGAATGAGGGAGAGCAGCAGGAAAGGAGGGATGCTTCTGAAAACTCTTGGATCTCTGATAGAGGTATTAAACTTGGTTTGGGAGATTTTATTTTCTACAGTGTCCTTGTGGGTAGGGCTGCGATGTATGATCTCATGACAGTATATGCGTGTTACCTAGCAATCATTTCAGGACTTGGCTGCACTCTTATCTTATTGTCAGTGTATCACCGAGCTTTACCAGCTCTCCCTATTTCAATAATATTAGGTGTCATATTTTACTTCTTGACACGGTTAATAATGGAACCTTTTATTGTTGGGACAGCAACAAATCTGATGATGTTTTAATGCCCTACTTCATGTAAGAGATGAGGAGGACTTTCCATACCATTCAAAGAAAAACTAATGTCTTTAGCAAATTTTGTGTACACTGTGGTTAGTATTGCTTACCAAATTTTAGTATTGCCTACCAAATTTATCTCCCATTCTCATGTAAATTTATCATGATTGAACTCTGTAATTGGTTACTGCAACATCCTGAAGATAAATATAGTTCAACTTGACTATCTGTTTTGGTTTCAGCTTTATGCCCTATGAAACTCAGTTATGCTTGATTTTGTTTACATTTATTTCTTTGCTTACCTAGTTACCTTCCATGCTTCTATGTCGGTTGACATGCTGAAACTCAAATGTGTAATTACATATAATCGCAGGAGCAAACAATATAAGGAATTGTGTTTGCTTTTGGATTATTTTGATTGATGTGAATTTGAATTTGATTTTAGCTTTGGTGCTTATGACTTATATATTTTTTTTTTCCCATATTAGTCATTTTTCATGAATTATCCAACGGATATATGCTTGGTCATATTTTCGATTGCTGTATCCTTTCCGCAAAACCAATATTTCCTTTGTGTTTTGCAAATTTCGCTAGTTCTCAACAATCTCAGATGCACAAGGACTTTGATCCTTGGCTTCTGAATTATTGGAATGGTTATCAAATTGCAAGCATCAGCTTCCAGGAAGGTAGTATGAGTTCGATTAACAGGTGAGCGGAGGTTCATCATCTTCAGTTTGGGAATGCTGTTCATTGGTGAGTTTGTTTTTGTTCGGAGGCCTGTCGAGCAACGCAAAAGAAAGCTTACCATCTTCTATTTTCGGGTTCCAATTACTGTACTGATTATAATAAAAAAAAAAACTATTTTCTTAATTGTCAATTAGATTAAAAAATTTTATTGAAATTTAAATTGAAGTGAAGCAAATAAAGGTAAAATATATCATGGACATAATTAACATGCAAAATACTATTTTTACTAATTTCTTTTTTAAAAAAAGGAAAGAAAATGGCGCTAAATAAAATATGCAAACAGGTAATAAGTCTTTGTTTGGATGAATGTAAAGTTTGAGTGGATGTAAAATAAAGAGTGAAAATTTATAGCGATTATCAAAATCGATTATTTGGTTTGAGGTAAAATATCAAGAAGTGAAAATTTATTTTACACCTATTTTCATTTTCACTCTATTTTAAGAGGGAGTAAAATTTTTCATCCTTATTTTACTTCCACCCCTTATTTTACTTCCCCTCTTCCCAAACAAAGCATATACGTCGGTTCCGTTAAAATCTTACAAAACCAGAAATATAGAAGCAATAAAATACGAAATTTCATATGCATAGAACCAGAAGTTAAAAATGTCAAGTCTACCAGACGAGCTATGGAGGCAAATCCTCGAAATCGGAATACAGAATGAAAAATTCAGCTATAAAGATTTATGTTGCGTCTCGATCACCTGCAGACGCCTCCACCGATTATCCAGTGAGGACTCGCTCTGGTCCCACCTTCTCTCGTCGGACTTCCCTCAACCGCAAAATCCTAGGAGCAACAACCACAGTCCCTCTTCTCGATGGGCCAAATCCATCTATGAAATTAGGTAAATTTCATTCTTGTTCAGTTTTTTTTTTCCAATTTGGTGTTCGTTATTGAAGATTATTCTGGTTGTTGCTTGTTAGATTTGAGAGGGAGAAGGAGAGGAAGGTGGCAGCGCATCGGAGGGCGGTGCTTAGAAAGGAAAGTGAAATTATGGAGCGGGAGAGGAAGATGAAGGGAATAGAAACTCGACTGTGTGAAGAGACTGAGAAAATGAGAGCCACAGCTAGTGAATTGTCGAACTTACACAAGGTCAGGTAATAGGTCGTAAATGAATTCTCCTATATGTTCGATAATTCTGTGCATGCTTTATAAAGAAAGAAGCTAATTCAAATAGTTGTTGAAGTGACAGAAGTGTTTATAGCATTATATGATATTTTCCTTTTTGGTGGGAAGGAATTTGATTTTGAATGTCAAAGTAGTTTTTGTAATTGAATTGTATGGAGAAATCTCCTAATGTGCTTGGTTCGGAAGTCTTTTTGAAAATTTTCATCCACGCGGTTTTGATTGTTGATTGTTTTTCAGGCAAGCTTCTGTGGCTTTGAATGTGTGGCAACCAGAGACTGTTAGAGGTAGGCAAAAGCAAATAGTCGAGCAATGTGCAGTTTCTGTTGAATATCGATTTCAGTCACTCGAGATGGAACTTAAGCTTTGCAAGCAACAAATAGCAGCGTTCAATAAGGCCTATGTAAGTTTCAACACCCTGTTAAGTCCACAAATTAATCTTATCAAATTTGTTCGATTTGTAATGAATATTTGTAATGCTTGTGTGACTTGGTGGCAGAGAGACGAGGAGCGCAGACTTGAGACAGCAAAGGAAGAGTTGGCATCCATGAAGTATCACCCTTTACGAGATTGTAGGCCGATGAGTGGTGGGGATAATGAACACAACAAAAAGAGGAAGAAGCTGAAAAGATGCGTTAACTGTAAGGTTCTAACTTATTGCTTTTTGATATTTGAAAAATATAGAGCACTCGGCTTGCTTTCTTCTCTCTCTTGTTAGCTCTTGTTTGTTATTAGTGAATGTTACAGATTGGAGTGGCTCTGAACTCCAGTTGATCTTCCACTTGTTCTTCTTTTTTTATTCTTCTTATTTTTAGTCACCTTGCCTTGGCTCTCACTTTCAGAATCCGTGGTAATGAATTTAACATTGGTGTATTAGCCTGATGCACCAATTACCACAAGCCATGTGGCTGTATTTAGCATCAGAGTAAATGACCTTATTCGCTATGTTCCAAGTGACTAACTAATACTAGTATCTAAGGAAATGATGATTGGATCAATGCCTATGAGCTACTATTCTGAGATCATAGTCATTGAGTTTTGAATAGTTTTGCTAGTCTGCAAATACACCACTGGAACTGCTATATTTTATGAATTTGCCCATTCCATTTTTTTGACACTTGTTTCTAGTAGGCCTGTTTGTAGGACAAGTACTGAATAACCTCCTTATTAATTGTCCGTACAGTTCCAGATAAATAAGGCGAAATATCTGAGCTAGTATCAGGGAAGCAACAGTGGACTAGTTGACATTGTCATTGCTCGGCTAGTTGGCACATCCAAATTGGACATATTGTTAGAGAAGTTGCTTTGTTTAACTCTTCCTGCCATTCACATTCTCCGCAATGGCCAATGTTCCATAGGGAGGTTGGTCCAGAATTCATGAGTATGAAAAATTATGCTCAATTTGCATTCCTAATGGTATTGGTAAACAATGCATGTTGTTATCATGTGCACATAAAGAATAGAAAAATGCTGTTATGCTTTCCTTGTAATAGTAAGAAAAAACTCACCTGGGCATCCTAGATCTCCAAGAATTTCAGAGGATATAAGAATTTCCAACTATATATACGTATAATTGGTATTTGACCTGGTACCTGGCAATTGACTATAACTCCCACTTTACCTGATGGATTTACTGAAAGTCGGTATGCAGAATTGATGAAGTGATGATATGTGTAGTCAATATTTTCCCGCTGTGCCGGTCCTCTGGTCTGTGGTCCTGATTTTGGTTGGACACTGTTGTCTGCTGGACAATGCAGCTGAAGAGAAGTCTTCTTCAGATCTTTTGCAAGAAGTGACGTCTCGAAGTCTTTGCCACAGCAAGTCCTTCTCAACACTGTAAGAATCCTCCATTGTGTTCATGTTAATAATTGAAAGGTATTCTTACCACCGATTTTAAGAGTCTAAATGCCAAATTCAAACAGCTTTAATCATTCCCATGATGTTGGTCTTCAACAAAGGATGTACCATGCAATGTTGTTACATTTTGGTTCAGATTTTCCATTTCCCTTGCAATTCCTTTATCAAAATGTGATATTTGCTGGACAATTTTTAAACTCTGAAATTTTAATATATGGTGTGTGTGTATATGTCTTCAACAAAGATGTACCATGCAATGTTGTTACCATTTTGTTTCAGATTTTTCCATTTTCCCTTGGCAATTCCTTTATCAAAATGTGATATTTGCTGGGACATTTTTTAAACTCTGAAAATTTAATATATGGGTGTTGTGTGTATATATATATATAATATATAATATATATATTGATTCATTCATTCTGCAATAGTATAAGTTGTAAGTTGAAAATTTACAATGATCTTCCTTATTCTAAACATATATATATTGATTCATTCATTCTGCAATAGTATAAGTTGTAAGTTGAAAATTACAATGATCTTCCTTATTCTAAACCAATATTAATATTTGTTTAGAAGCATTATGGGAACTTCCAACTTAAATTATTTTTTAGAATTAAGGGATAAAATTTTAATATATCTTAATTAAAGTATTATTTATATTTAACTAGGAAATTTGTCTTTCCAGGTCAATTTGTTGCATAAAACAAACTAGATCTAACATGAAAACTCAAGTCTTAATAACTTGTATATATGCACAATTAAATTTTATAAGAAAATTAAAGTGGTATCTTCAATATTGGACTCTCTATCATTAAAGTTGTCACTAAACACCTTTAACTTGAAAATTTATACTACTGACTAAATGTCATATTCCACATTTTAAATTACTGAGTAAATGTTTAATAAGTTCCAATACTTTTATGCATCTCTAGATATAAATTATTGAATAATATTTTTTAAAAAAATTATTTAATGAGTGTTTGATAAATATAATTTTATAAGTTGAAAAATATTCAATAAAAAGTTGTCTTTTAAGTTGTAGAATTTAATAGATCAAAATAAAATTGAATGTCAAATTTTTTTTTTTAAATGGTACTTATATATATATACATTTGCTATCTTTTCAAAACTCGAACTAGTCGGTAATAAATTAGGTTTAATTTATTTTTATTATTTAGAAAATATAGCTAATTCCGCGTCGACATGAATGCAATGCAAGGCTCTCCCCCACTTTAGCCACTACTTAATAAAATAAATGTCCGCAGACAAATCTGGTGGGTCTCAAATGCTTTTGGCAAACCACATTTTAACACAATTATGTAAACCTAATTTATGACAAACTATATTTCACCAAACGTTGAAACAAAAATAAAGACCACATAGGAAATGGACTGAATTTATCGAATTTTATTTATTAAAATTTTGAACTATCTTTGTTGATATTGAACTTTTCAATTTTTATTTTGATAATGATTAAATTAATAAATTTTTATTTTAATAAAATGTGGCATCATGATTTTCTTTTTTCTTTTAAATGTTTTTCAGAAAATATAAAAGTCTGAAACAATAAAAAGTGACTGTGAGATTGTCTCCATTAGAGATGAGTATATGAATGCAACCATCATGTCTGATTTATGTCCTTCACTTCACTACAAAATAAATCCACTCTTTTGGCCTTTTCGCCCCACTTTTTTTTTTTTTGTTTTTTTGTTTTTTGCTTTTTCAATGCTGCTGTCAGGTTTTCGAGCCTTCTTCGTGGCATCATCATTTTTTAACGCGTGTACACTTATTCGCGCATGCTGCAAGTCCAAGCTCCAATGAATTAGAATCCTTACGAACATTTTCAAACATAAAATAGAATGAAATAAATATTTTTTATTAATAATATTAATATAAAAATTAAAAATTTTGCTAATTTTATAATAAAGATAAAAATATGTGCTAAGATAAATTAAAAAAAAAGATTTAGTAATTCGTTTTTATTTTCATGTGAATATTCGGTTGAAAAAAAACTGAAAAAAGACTGACTGGTACAATAGTATTATTCATCGTGCAGTAAAATAAAATTAAATAATTTTTTATCTTATAGGGCAACTTCCCTTTTTGTTCTTGAGCATATAGTCTATGTTAAAAATGAAAATGAAAATCACATAGCTAGAACTCATTTATGTCTCCATTAAATGGCCATTAAAAGCTTTAAAGAAGAGGGGTCCTGCCAAAAAAAATTATCCCAAAATTAACATTATGCGATATGCCGACTACGGTACATAGGAATGAATCGAATCATATATTGAAAAAGGAGGAAATTAATCGACAAAAGTAGTTTTTAGTGAAATGGTTTGGAGAATTGGAAGAATTTCAAGGTTAAACGATGGGTGACCATCTGAAAAGTTTCCCATTTCACGACAAAACCGTGCGGATCCTGCTAATCTAGTATGGAATGATTCAGCTTGATCCAAAGCGGATGGTTCCTCTGGTGGTTGGAGTCGGGCGTGACACATTAACCCATAAGGACATAATTAATTTGGCAAATCAATGTATTAATAAGTTAAAGAATTCCAATAATTAACATTTTTCATATAGTACTATGAATTCTATTTTAAAAATCAAAAATTAGTGGGCTTTGTTTATCCACTCACCTGAACACATAACCACAAGTGAGGAGAGAAATTAATAAATCAATAATATTCAAATCATAGACAAAGACAGTTTCTACCCTTTGGTTGATGACAGAGTTGCTATGGCATGTGATCAGCAAAGCCATAGCTCTCTCTGACTTTACTAATACCTCCATTTATTAATTAAAAAGACAAGAAAGGTGACTCATTTACATAGATTTAATTTTTGGTGGGTAAAAAGGGGAAAAAAAAAAAAAGAAAGTTCCTTTCCCTTCTAAGAAGTGAAAATGGGCCCAAGCCCATTAACACTCGTTTAAGCCCAAAATGGCCCATGAACACCCATTTAAGCCCAAAATGGCCCATCTAGGCAATTGGGAGTCAGTGTGCGGATCGTATACTTCAGCAATTCTGTCTACTCACCACATAGGGGGCAAAATCATCAAATTGCCCAAACCACTCGCAGGTAAGTTTTCTTCCAAACATCGCATCAGGAAGGGTATACTTGAAAATTTAGGACTAAAAATTTTTGCCTAAATTTTTGCTAAAATTTTAAAATTTGGCAGCACAAATTAATAAAATTTTCAAGGTTTGCTTAAAAGATATTATTTTTGGTCTCGGGATAGAATTCCAGATTGGGGGCAAAAATAAAATCTTTTGCCCTGATGCAAAATTTCAAATTTCAAAATTTATTATTATTAATGCATGGGGGCATGTGATGCCCCAACATTTAATAAAGGCGAGATCTGTTTTTTCTGTTTTTGGAAATTAAAGGATTGCTAAGGTGCAGCAAAAGTTGCAGGCTTAGATGGACTAATTACTTAAGACCAGGAATTAAAAGAGGCAATTTCACACCTCATGAAGAAGGAATGATAATCCACTTACAAGCTTTATTGGGTAACAAGTAATACTCAATTTTCTCTCCTGGTCAACTTCTTTTTTTCTTTTTTTTTTTTTTTTTTTACAAAGCTTTATGGGGTAACCAAGTAATAACTCAATTTTCTTCCTGGTCAACTTCTTTTCCTTTCTTTTTTTTTTTTTTTTTTTTTTTTTTTTTTTCTTTTTAATAATTATAATTTTTCAATTATTTTTTAAATTTGGCTATGCATGTAACTAAAGATGGGCAGCCATAGCTTCATATCTTCCACAAAGAACAGATAATGATATAAAGAATTACTGGAACACCCACTTGAAGAAGAAGCTGAAGAAGTTCCAATCAGCTGCTTTAGACTCCATACCAACAACAAGTGAGAGATCAAGAAACGTTTATAATTTGAGCCCAATTTCATCAAGAAACGTGACCAACTCACCATCATCATCATCAACCTATGCATCAAGCACTGAAAACATCTCGCGTCTCCTTCAAGGTTGGATGACTTCATCTCCAAAAACGACATTTTATGGGAATAATACGACAACTAATGATGGAGCAAGCATTATTATTGGCAATTCACCAGTGGGTAATGATAATGTTAAAGGAGTTGCTGTGCAAGAAATGAGTAATGGTTTAATTTCTCACGAAGAATTTGAGTCTATTCTATCTTTTGAGAACTTGAATAATATTTCTGCATGGGATAAGTGTACTTGTGATTCTGCAAGCGAAGAGAAAGAAGCAGAGAACAAGAAGAAGCAGAAATCTGAGATTAATAATAATCCGCCATTATCATTTCTTGAGAAGTGGCTTTTGGATGAAAGTACCGGTAATAGTGATCAAGTACTGGAAGAAGAAGAAGGAGAAGGAGAAGGAGAAGAAGAAGATGAAGCAATGGAACTGTCTCCAATATTCTGATCATGTCATTGTCCTTTTCTTTTCTTTTCTTTTCTTTTGTTTTGGGTTTTTGTGTGGAAGTTCTAGAGCCGAAAAAAATTGTCAATGGGATAGTTTAAAGGAAAAAAAAAAGGTGGAGCAGGGGAAAAAAATGAAAATTAAAGACTTCTAATTAATCTTTTTTAGTTGGGGTTCTGAGACGTTGGGATGTCTTTGCAAATGTAATTAACCTTTAATTAGCATCTCTTAAGCTATTCTTATTCAAATAATTAAGCATTAATAATTGATTGTAACTCTTTCTCTCTAGATATATATATGGATAGATAGAAACCTGATAAATGTAAATCTAAATTCAAGCCAATGTGAAAATTGATGTTATAAATCCCATTTAATTTCTTCCTTTTTAGAAAAAAAAAATGGAAGAGAAACCTTTAGATAAGGTCTTTATATGCATCAAAGTACGTATCATATGTTGACATTTTGTCTATATTTCTCTTCAGCTATTTGTGTTCACACGGTTGAATTATGTGGTGCTAGCCAAGTGTTTGTCAAGTGTAAAAATTCAAGATTTAACATTTGAGATTTGACGCTTGACACCACAGCTTTTCAGAAATATTGGAATTAAAATATATTCAAGATTTTAACATTTGAGATTTGGACGCTTGACACCACAAGCTTTTTCAAGAAATACTTTGAATTAAAATTATATATATATATATATATATTATATATATATTAATTTAATGGTTTATCTTTCTTATGATAAATCGAATTATCTCTCTTCTTTAATAATTAAAATATTAATGGTTTATCTTTCTTATGATAAATTCGAATTATCTCTCTTCTTTAATTAAATATTTTTTGATAATATTAAAAAAATTTGTCTAAAATTTTTTTTAAAAAGGTAATTGTATACATAGAAGAGAAAATTAAATAGAAACATGTACTAATCCCTGTACTTAATTAATTAATTAATCACTAGGTTGTTGCCCATTCTTTTGAAACATTATAATTAAATAATAATTAGGAGAATTAGGTAGCAGAGTTATCAAAATGCAAGAGTTTGGTGATTACTTGAAGAAATAAAATAGAAGAAAGTAGTGCAGAGAAATGAAAGTGTAATGAGAAAGAGTCACGAAAGTCTTGCATCCAAAAGAGGTAAAATGGAAGAGTGATTGCCCTCTTTTTAGCAAATTATGAGGAGGAAACATGTGATCTTCAATCACCTTTCGGTGTACACAAACCTATTGGAAATGGAAATGCATGCAAATATATACTTTCACAAGATTATACACTCTTCAAAATGCTTTGCCTTCTCTGCTGGCTACTCTCCACCTTTATTTTTTTTTTGGTCTCCGACACCCTGGGAAATATTTATCTTTACCATGTGTATGCACTCACCCACGTACCAAAACCGATCGAAAATAGCTTTTTTATTTGAAACGATGATGTTTATGACTATTAATGAAAAATTGAAAAAATAGGAGTAATTTTTAAAGTCTTATTCATCAAGTGTAGATAAATCTTATTCTTGTCATTCATCTTCAATTTTATTTATTCAATTTAACCATTATAAATAAATTAATTGTAAGGGGTAAATCAGACAATTATTGATTATATGTTAATTATAAGATTTGAATTTATAAACTTCTTACATGTTGTATTTATGCAAAAAGAAAATGAAACTTAAGAAAATGCAATCGCATGTAACACAGATAAGAAACTTTTGAAATACGATTTATAAACAGAGATTATGTATCAAGATTTTTTAGTCAGAGATGGTCGATGTTATATTAAGAAATTCTACATATATGAAGGACGAATAAAAAATAGTTTATATTGTTATTTTTTTATTTTTAATAATTATGAATGAGTTTTGGTACGTATTTTGGGTTAAAAAATGGCATGTGAAAGCATAAATGAGAATCTAACCATGTGATTCAGCTTTCGTTTCGCGTTGCATTCATTTATTTGCGTTTGCGGTGAAAAGTTCCATGCCGGCCCATATTAAATAATATTGAAATATTTATTATTTATTGGACATTATATATATATATTTCTGTTCTTGCCCATGAACACGTACGTGCACATAAGAATACCATCCATACACATATATGTATTATATATTAATAATAATAATAATTTATAAATATTGAAATTTCCATTTAAATATTGACACAAAATTTAGGAATCCAAAATTAATAGCATGCATGTTCATGATTTAATTTAAATGGATCCCAATTCGCAACCCCATCACATCACTTTCTATTAACACTACAATCAAACCCTACCTAACATTTTAACATACATGGCTGGCAACTGAGATATGAGCCACCTCCTATTGTTATGATCCTCATCAATTCAAAATAAATAAATAAATAAGAGATATTATATACTTGTTGTAATTTACAATATGCATATATAATGACTACTTCTGCTATAAAAAAAAAAAAATCAAATAAATACACAATTTTAGTCCGTCGCAATGAACTTGACCATCATTTATAATTGTAGCACATAATTATTCAAACTTAATTTACGACTATGCGTAAATTTAAATTAACAAGTTAATTCGCGAAATTATCAAATAAAAAATTGATTATACATAAGTTATATAAAAAAAAAAAATTGCAATATCTTAGGACAGTACGATAATTGAAATGATTATGAAAATTTAAAGCTGAGAAGTCATTTTAGCATAATACAAATTTTTGTGTCTTAAAAATAAATGAAATGGGGAAAAAGAAAGGCTGGGGATGATGACTCTAACGCATTTAGTGACGATGTTTTAATGGCCTTCAAAATTAGGCTAGAAAATGATATATGGCATCCAAATTCTAATTTTCTACCACCAATTGCTCTTTCATTTCTCATAACACTAACAAAATATCATTGTCAATAATAATATAATTTCCTATTTATCATCAATTCATCATCATCATCATCATCATCATCATCATCATCATATTGATGAGGCATGTGCTTTGACGTGCAGGAAAAGCTGTTACGTTCCGGCATGCAAAAATTTTGGCTTCACTTGTTTGCTATGCCTGTTAGCCTCCTTTGTTGAAAATTAAAATAAAAAAAAAGAAAAAATAGTTTTGCTCAATCCCACATCGGGGAGATGAGTTTTTGAGGGTGTTTGAATTGGCTATAAAAGGAAGCTAATGTTTAGATTTTTAAATACACCAAAAACACTTGAATGTGTTTTATATTATGAGTTTAGAGTTAAGTCTCTTGGAGTATAAAATATTGGAGTGTTTTTGATGTATTTAGAAACCTAAACATTGGCTTCCTTTTATAGCCAATTCAAACACCCTCAAAAGCTCGTCTCCCCGATGTGGGATTAAGCTAAACTTGCTAATGTTTAGATTTTAAAATACACTCTCCAAAAACACTTGAATGTGGTTTTAAATAACTTATGAAGTTTAAGAGTTAAGTCTCTGATAATAAAAATGCGGAAGTTGTTTTTTGATGGTATTTAGAAACCTAGACATTAGGCTCAGGACCTTTCCTTATCCAACTTCAAAACCTATAGCCAATTCAAACACCCTCAAAAGCTCGTCTCCCCGATGTGGGATTAAGCTAAACTTTTTTTTTTTTTAATTTTAATTTTCAACAAGGCTAACAATTTTGTTTTCTTTTGTTTTCCTTTGTTGAAAATTAAAATAAAAAAAAAATAATTTAGCTCAATCCCACATCGGGGAGATGAGCTTTTAAGGATGTTTGAATTGGTTATAAAAGGAAGCCAATGTTTAGGTTTCTAAATACATCAAAAACACTTGAATATGTTTTATATTAGGGATTTAGAGCAAATCTCTTGGAGTATAAAATATTGGGGTGTTTTTAAGGGTGTTGGGTAGAAAAATATTTTGTAATTGTGGTTGTAACAATTTGCCGCATAGTGAATATTTTTCTTGATTGTCGTTTGGCAACTGCCGTGGTTTTTCTCCACTTGGGGAGTTTTCCACGTTAAATTATCGTGTTATTTATTCTCTTTAATTTCTCAGTTATTATTTTATTTTCTCATTTGTTCTCCTGCTTGAAGCGAATTACGTAGGGCAAGGGAAATTAAGCGATTTTTCCAACAATGCCTAAAATCATTTAGCAAGCTGCCTAAATAAAAGGACATTGAAAACATAGTAGGTTGAAGCTCCATTCTAATCATATTTGTATTTGATATTTTATGTCTCAGAGTTTCTTTTTGCCTTTATCAACATTTGACCACCAAACAAAAAAAAAAAAAAAAAAAAAAAAAAAAAAAAAAAAAAATTCATTGCCCAAATTAACAATTATAACTTGTAATTTTTGGATCTTAATATCCCAAAATCCCTTAAACCTTATTTAATTTGGGATAACTTATTAGAAAAATTAATTAATATAATTTGAACAATCAATTTTGCTTGTACTTTTTCTAATATACCCCCATATTAATATTAGATTTCACTTCTGATAAAAGATTGGATGGGAAATTTGTTGATAATAAGATATTTATGGGTATATTAAAGAATTAACAAATTAATTGTAGTTTTAAAAAGAGAAGTAGCCTATAATTTAAAACAAATAAAAAAATAAATTTATTTTTATGAGACGATGAGAGTATAATTTAACGAGCGATTATAATGAAAAGGAAAAGTTAAGACCTCCCAAAATTTTCTTTACATGATTCCAAAAGTTATAAACTTCCCAATAAGGCCAAGCAAATTCATCTTCCTAATGTGAGAAGATGTTAAATGACTAATTTTAGCATCTTAGTTTTTTTTTTTTTTTTCTTGGTTATATTTAAAATTAGTATAATTATTATTGATATTTTTAGGACCAATTAATATTTTGAACATTTTGTAAATATGTTATTATAAATAGTATCTTTATAACAATTTGTACTGTATATCAAATGAGGCCTTTGATATGCATATTTAATGAGAAAAAAAAAAAAAAAGAAAAAGGAACACTTAAATTTTATTTGTATAACCAAATCATCAAGTAAAAATAAATATCAGTTAAAAAACATAATTAAAAATACAACACTTGTCTCCACACCATGTAATATACTGAAATGTATTTGTATTCCTCTCTTGCCTCCAAATCTACAATGGAGAGTGAGGCAGAGAGGGAGATAGAGATTGCCAGAGACAATGCATTTAAGATGGAAAATGAAATCATTTATCCCAAAAAAAAAAGAGGGGGGGAAATGAAATCATTTATCCCAAAAAAAAAAGAGGGGGGGGTGGGGGGGGGAGACTGGGAGAACTAGGCAATAGTGTCCTCCAATCCTCTCTTACAAGAGTTGTAGACCTTGTAAGAATCATATGTTTATGACTGAAAAAAAGACTCAACGTGAAGGTCCTACATAATAATTTCTCATTGATTAAAAGGCTCATCTCATCTCAAAGATGTGGCCCATTGTCCTTGAGGAGGCCCATCAGTCCATCACAATCAACATTGACTTTTCATTTAAGTAGTCAATAAATGTGGAGGCGGTGGATAAGACAGTACCATCTAAGGTACATCATTATTTAATAATCTCTCAGAGTAATGATTCTGTACATCAGAGAACATAATAAGATCTGAAATTTTCTTCTACAAGAAATTTGATGATCCTAGATATGCTTCATGTAATGAAATCATGAATACTTGCATGCTATTTAAAAGGTACACCAAGTTCTTCACGAATTGAATATCAGATTCTAATATAGTCAGCAACAGAAAAATCTGTACAACAGCTTCATATCTGATATCTGACTGTTTTTAACTGCAAATTCTTGTAGCAAGAGATGTGCCATGCATAGACAGAAAATGGAAACAAAAATATGAAACAAAACAAAACAACTTCTGTGGATTTTTCTCTCTACAACGGAATTTTGCCACTCTGCTTTTCTCAGAAAGTTAAACCAAGAATCTGTGTCTTGATATAAAAGATTATACCTGCAATCAGATTCTAATATAGTCAGCAACAGAAAAATCTGTACAACAGCTTCATATCTGATATCTGACTGTTTTTAACTGCAAATTCTTGTAGCAAGAGATGTGCCATGCATAGACAGAAAATGGAAACAAAAATATGAAACAAAACAAAACAACTTCTGTGGATTTTTCTCTCTACAACGGAATTTTGCCACTCTGCTTTTCTCAGAAAGTTAAACCAAGAATCTGTGTCTTGATATAAAAGATTATACCTGCAGAGAGTGAGCATATTTGGGTTGAGCGATCGAAAAACATTAATTGGAAATAAAAATGGTCAGAAACTATTTAAAAGATTTTACCTATTGATGCAACAAATGCCCGCATTTGAAGAAGTTAAAAATGCTCAAATTGTTTACATAGCCCGATTATCTTGGTTCCATATTTCGAACCTCTTCATATAGAGAATGAAAAAGGACAGTTGGTATATACCTCTCACCAAAACTTGGAAATATAACCTATATAGCATTTAAGTTAAGATGTTATCAGTAACTTGAATCACACATAAGCATTCGTAGTTATAATTTAGATCTGAGAACAATTTCTGCTAAAATTTTCAGTAAATTAAATTTACTCACACTGATGAGCTTTCCAGCATTCTCAGGCCTTTTCCCCAAACTGATAGCAGCAGCTGCAGCAGCTCCTGATGAAATACCGACCTAGGGAAGAGTGGTACATAAATTGAAACAACCATTTTGTATTTATTTACAATTCATAAAGAAGAGTTCTCTTAAGTTCATGCTGTCTCATAGAGATAGCTATTATCAATTAAAAAGGATGTGACCTTTTTTTTTTCAACACAGATATGAAGTTAAGAGGTCCAACATTATTTTTGGTAAGCAAATTCCAGAAATGCCAATAATTATCAAGCCTGATGTAATTTGCATATGAGAAAAACCTTGAAACTGAAACTTTGAAAAGTAATGGAGGAAGAAGAAATATGAATACTAATAGGAAGAATTATACTGAAAGATCTTTGCATATTACCAGTAAACCTTCCTCCATTGCTAGTCTCCTTGCCATTTCGACAGCTTCATCATTTGTGATCTACATTTTGTGTCAACAAAATTGGATCAAATAATTCATCCAACTCAATTAGCCAGTGGTAATACATTTATGGGACCTTTTCCAACAAAGAAGTAAATTCACATATTTACATAAGAAATTAGACCAACATCACCTCACCTTCATAACTTCATCAAGCAATTTAACATCCAAGATGCTTGGTACATAACCTACAACAAGATATATTGTCTTTAACAGAGAAGATATACCAACTTCTTCCAGCAGAAAAAAACTTTAACAAAATTAAAAATTATACAATGATTTCCACCTGGGTTTTCTCCTGAGATTACACTCCTTTCAGCAGGCTCCACACCAACCACCTAAATAAACAAGACTTGACAATGAATGTCAATATCATATAGGAAGATGAACAATGTAGAAAAAACATGCTGCATGCCATTCTTCAAGGTCATGTAAAAAAACCACTTCGAGTGACCCTTCAAAGAGGCAAGCTACATGTAACCAACCAGATAACCACTGCATCATAATCTCATCTTTTATGATGCCAAAACCAAAATAATTTTGCAGAAATTCCAAATTTTGTAATTTTAATGATAGGTAAACCTATCATATCACAGGATATGATTACTGAAACAAGTAAATGCTTGTTATAGCAACGGAAGGCTCAACATAATAGGCATTTTCATTTTGTAAGCTGAGATAAAACAGGTAAAAAAAATAAGTCAGATAGAAATCTAAATAAGCACTTTATTTTCTTTTATCGTATATTTTTTATCAGTTGGATACAATGCCAGACTTCAGAACCATACTCACCCTCAGAGATATTCTATTTGTCTAATGTTTTTATTTAGTAAATTATCCCCAGATTACCAAACTTGGCTTTTGATAAATCAAAAACTTATGAAATACTGCCTTTAGTTCAAATTACCATAACTATCCTCCAACTTTATAAATTTCTCTCTTCTTCCTTTCTTTCTTTCATCTTTCCTTTCTTCTGCCTTTATTTCCCAGTCTAATTCAACTACAATTGTCTTGGAAATGTACATATTATCCTAAAAGTATTAACAAATTGAAATGATAAGCATTAGAGATTGTAATTAAATAAAAATGCCCACCTTAATTTTTTTGTTCATCATTTTCAAGAAACGTCCTGTGCCTGTTACAGTACCACCAGTTCCAATTCCAGCAATGAGTATGTCAACTTTGCCTAGAGTATCCTCCCATATTTCAGGTCCTGTAGTTTCAAAGTGGATCTGTAGTTTACACAAAAAACTTTTAATAGAAGGCCTCTGCAAGAAAAGACAGCAAGCTACAACCACAAGATTCGTACATAATGAGAGACGCAGCATTAATAACCTTTGTATTAGCGACATTCTCAAACTGTTGAAACAAGTATGCATTTGGTGTCTTGCGAACAATTTCTTCAGCCTTATCAACAGCCCCTTTTAAACCTTTCTCTGGGTCAGTCAAAACAATTTCTGCTCCAAATGCACGTAACATTACCCTTCTTTCAAGGCCTATGGATGCAGGCATGGTAACAATAAGCTGGTATCCCTTAGATGCCGCAACAAAAGCAATACCAAGTCCTGTATTTCCACTTGTTGGTTCAACTAATATACTCTGCACCAATACAAGATGCTAGTGCTATATATAATCAAACTAAGTATAATTTCACCATATCTAAACATACATTTTAAAAAAATAAATAAATAAATAAAAGTACATGGCTAACCTTCCCAGGAGAAATCTCTCCACTTTCTTCAGCCTCAGATATCATACTGTAACCAATTCTGGAATGACAACCATTGACAATTAGATAACTTCAGGAAACTATAACGCATCTCTTTGAGGCTCAAGAAAACTAGAAAATTTGCCAAATATTTTACGCACTTCATCCATTTTTTGCTACTAAAAACATTTTGCTGAATTTGATGAGCTACAAGATAAAAAGGTCACATGTGTCTGAAATTTACACCAATATTCTAACCTAATTATGTGAAATGTGATGGATAATACATATATCATGACAGAAAGTCAGAAACTATCATTCACATATTCCATGATTTATATTTACTAAAAATAGAATCCCTAAAGACACTGTCAATGGACTGTGCATAGAATGCCACTCTTTCCAATAGAGGAGAAAAAATTACCTATCCTTGACACTCCGGCAAGGTTCCATGGATTCAAGTTTTGCAGCAATATTAGCTACACAGCCCTCTGTCACTTTGTTTAGATATACCATTGGCGTGCTCCCAATCAACTACATGAATTTGCCACAACTGTTCAACTCAGTAACGGCATAATCAGTAATTTCATTGAAAATGAGAGACAGAAAACATATTTTAAAATAGACCTGGGTGACATCCTCTGCTATATTGACGGTGTCAGTTTCTTCTTCCTCTTCTTCTTCTTCTTCATCCTCCTCTGTGGTGGTTGTGTGGTAAAGCGAAGGAGCCCTGGCTTTAGCATAGACAACAATGGAAGCTTTTCGTTTTGAAGCGAAAGAGCAGCTAGCGGGAGCAAAATTCCAGGATTTGAATTGTGCGAATGGACGCTGGTTAAGGGGGTGAACGATAGACGGAAATGGAGGGAGAAGGAGGAAAGAAGAAGAAGAAGAAGAAGAAGAAAAAGATAGCGCCATAGATTGATAAGCGAGGTTTTTGAGAGGTTTACAAATTGTGGTTTTAACTTAAAAACCTATCAAGTAGTGCATATTTATAATTTAGCCCTTCTTGTTTTGATTATTTCGAACATTCAGCCACTATTCTTCCACATTGGACCTGATTGAAATAGAATCTTGAGCCCACATATCTTACCTATTCTAAATTGATTTTTCTATTTAGATTATTAGATGAATAAACATTATTTCTCTTTTCCTACCTTTCCCTGAAGTGCATATTTATCTATAGAAATTTTGATTAATTATAAATTTTTTTTTTCAAAATTAAGGTTATTCAATAATATTTTTAATTTATGTGCAATTTTTAACATTTTAATAGAAATAGAGGAAGTGTGTATTTGTGTATAACACAATGCTTGAACTGTGATTTGGATACATTTTTCTCTTTCAAAGATTAATTTAATTGGCACATGTATGGATTATATTTACCTAGATCAGATCCGTAGCTCCACTAATAAAATAAATCAATATATATATATATATATATGTTTTGTTAAAATGAGAATATTTCTTATCATACTTGAAAAAAAAAAAGATAAATTTTAAATAATATTTTAAAAAATTCATAATTTTGATTTAGTCCATCAATGGCCTATTGACCCATCAAAGTAAGTCAATCCCCGTGACGGAATGTCAGAATTTGGACCTTATTTGTAGAGTATAAAATAAGCGTTCAATCTATAATTAAATTTGTAAAAAATAAATCAAGAACCTATTAAAGTTCTCAAGTCATTGAAGACCATGACTCTAGAAATATCATTTCTTTTGAGTCACAAAATCTCAAATGCTAGTCTACCATAATTGTACTGTCAAGTGCCAGCCAGTTTCTTGCATGCTTAATCTCAAAAGATATTAAAGAAGAGGATCTATTGCCAGTCAAAGCAAATAACGGAAAATTTCTCTCAAAAATTAAAGCACTGGAAGGAAGTTTACATTTCAGTTTCTCTGATGCTATATAGTTCCATTCAGAGATAAGGAACCAAAATACAAGAGCAGTGTAGTCTTTCATTCATTGAATCCACGCAAGTGATAAATAGTGCCCCAGGTACATATGGGGGTCCCGAACTCGTGAAAGATTAGAACTGGAACTGCATCTCAGATGTGTAGCCGAGAGCTTCGAGGTGAGCAGCCATGGCCTTGTTCATAGGTGGTGGTCCACATCTCAAAATCTGCAAATCACATAATGACAATTATTAGCACACCATAAGCTAGGGGTGTTTGGAGGACTTGTACAAAGCACACAGATTAATAGCAATTTATAAAAAATTCATATTAAACCAAACCGTGAAGGATACTCAAACCAACCAAAACTATAAAGGAGATTTGTTTCAGTGCGGTTTGGTTTAGTTGGCAGTCCGAAGGTGATTTGGAAAGTACTCACTGTTATAAAAGGAAAAAACACTTCACATTAATAAATCCTTTATGGATGCTATAATCCCATTTTTTATACTTTTCAAACCAAATCAAACTACCAACATTTCAAATCCAAGGTCTTTGATTGGTTTAGATCAGTTTGGGCAGTTTGTGGCAGTTCATGAACACCCTAATCATAACCCCTCTCTCTATAGGATTCCATTTGAAATTGAGATTGGAAATGCTTCTCGGAAAAAGAAAAAAAATCTCTCTTTTATATGTTATTGGAAAAAGCAGTTGGAAACCATTTTTTTGCTGTTTTGAAACCTTTGTGATTACAGGTCAAATTTTACCTTGAAAATAAATTTTACTGGCCTTAGTCAACACTGATAACATAGTGTTTTTCTCAGCAACTACTCACGAATGGAATGCCAAGAGATCCTGTATATCTAATTATATAGGCGAGCTTTTCTTGTGATGCCTTGTTGTTTTTCAGATTTTGCGAAAAAACTGACAAAAGTTGCAAGTCCTGAAGGCATATTCAGAAGCATAGAACAAACAAATCAAAAGCATACCTGGATATCAGATGCAGGTGCAGGGCAGTGCTTTTCAATCATTTCCTTCGATACAAAGCCAACACCACCATGCCATACTTCAGGAGGCTGAGATGAAAATTTTGTTCAGTGAGGCAGTTCTTTATTAATCAAATGGCCATTGGTTACATAAAAAATTCAATACTTATAATTCAATCAGGAGACTGCACATGCACAAGAAAAGTACTAAAATCTAACTTAACCAGAATTAAGCAGCACACACAGCAAAAAAAATGGCTGTATAGAAGCAGTGTCTGCCAAATAGGCGACCAATAGCCACCAATGCATTTTCAAGCTCATCCAACCACAATGATCAGTTAGCAAATCATCAAACAGAATTAGTTATTTCTTCAACTTTAGTCATAACATCCAGCATGCGCACTCAACAGATTTTTTAACTGGTTCAACTTAAGAACATTTTAGCTAGTTCAACAGAAACATAAAATACAGCAAGGATTGCATAGTAAAATAAGAAATTTTTCATTGATGCAGCTAAACTAAAGAGAATGTACCAGGATCTCAATAATTCTCAACCTACCTCCCTTAAACTGGCGGAGAAAAGAATGAGAAAGTAAAATAAACAGTGGAAGAAAGTAGAAACATATGTTGCAAAAGGCACTAACCTGATTCAAAACGTAGTAGACTTTGAAGCGAGCAGGGTACTTAGAAGCAAGGCCATCCAATTCTTCCTGTACATAAGAAATAAATAACTCATTTATTTACATCCTGAGTTGTGTAGAAATATAGCAAGTGGTGAGAGGATTACCATTTGCACAAGGAAAATACTCGAAAGGGAGAATACTGACAAGGACACTAGTGAATTAACCAAGTAACTAGCCAAGAACTTGACTCAACTAACCCTTAATCCCAAATCAATTGAGTTGTGGTATAGATCATGGAATAACTGCATAGTTCTGCTGACCAACATTACAACTCAAAATTTGTACAAGAGTAAACTTGGAAAAGTTTTTAGTTCCAATCAACCGACATCTACTACCCCAACTTTAGCTGAAATAACAGTTTCTAGTTTAGCATTATTACATTTGGCAAAAAAAAAAAAAAAAAAAAAAAAAAAAAAAAAAAAAAAAAAAACAAAATTGTACAAAGAGTAAACTTGGAAAAGCTTTTTAGCCTTCCAATCAACGCACATTCTACTACCCCAACTTTAGCTGAAATAACAGTTTCTAGTTAGCATTATTCACATTTTGGCAAAAAAAAAAAAAAAAAAAAAAAAAAAAAAAAAAAAAAAAAAAAAGAAAAGAAAAGGGTTTTTCCAAATAAGCTGGTTTGCTTTCTAAGGAAAAAAAAAAAAAAAAAAAAAAAAAAAAAAAAAAGAAAAAGAAAAGAAAAGGTTTTCCAAATAAGCTGGTTTGCTTTCTAAGAGAATCTGCACATAGACCTTTTCTTTCAGCAGATAAGTTCACTTTAGCCCAAATAGTTTTGATAAGCCTTTTCTGTTACCCCTAAAATTTTAATTCATTAAAACGAATGCTCAAGATTCCTAATCTATTTTTTTTTTCTGTCAATAAAAGAACAGTAAGCAATCAATTTAAAGGACTTCCCATGGAAATTTTTAGAGATTTTCTCCCATAGAGCAGCAGCCAGTAATCAAATCCTAAGAAGAGGTTGCATGAATCAAGTTAGAGCACTACAATAATGTCCAATTTATTATGTAATGAGGCCATCCAAATACTTTCTTGTTTCAATAATACTAATTATATTCTTTTGCAATGGTCTGACTGGTTGGAAAGGAAACAAGTCTGAAATTAATGGAAAAGAATATCTGTAAAACCACTTATATCTGTGTGCGCATATGGCAAATCTGCTTGTGTGAAACTTGATTTCCCTTAAATCTATGTTGAAACTACATTAAAACAGCAAGTGTATTGATTCACCAATAATGGTCAATACTAAATAATTCAAATTTTGTTTCACAGGTTCAAAACTTCAATTGAGAGTGATCCATTGTAAGAAAACAGAGCTTCAGCTTACCTTTAAAAGAATGTCCTCATATGTAACATTGGCATAAATGAGGTGCACATTTGTCTTGTCCTTTGGGTTTTCCAATATTGCTCGGGCAACCTAGGTTGAACATCGAGACAGAGCATAAATTTATGATCATCATAGCCATGTAAAGCAATATCTCAAATACATTGCAATTTAAGATTTCACAAAAAATAATGAGATAAAAACTTAGAAGTAACTTCTTAAAACATACTTGGAACATTGGAGTAATGCCTGAGCCTCCAGCAAGCATTCCAAAGGCTCTAACCTGGCCAGGTTGATACCTAAAACGCCCCTGGTAAAAAAAAAAATCAAAGATATTTAACACCAGTTTCCAAATGAGAGCCTTAATTTTTGGCAATATTCATATAACATGTGTATGGCCAAATACTAGTTACTTTCTCAACTTAGAACCCGATACTTCACAAGACACAAAGGAGAGCTTCTTGAGAAATGGTCATTGCAATCTTACAGTTACCAAAAAAAAACAAAAAAAAAAAATGGTAAACTTTAAGTTACCATAGAAAACTCATGCATACTATGTCTGCATCTCATTATTACCCAACTGAAGTCATAATGAAATTGTAACATGAAGACAGTGAGTTAGGTAATAATAATACCAAACATCTACACTGCATAGAAGTATTTTGTTCGCTTAGAATGGCATGTTTATCAAAGGAAAACAAAGCACAGGAGCATTTTATTAAGTTCACTTGCAAAGAGAGCATATACCTTGGGTCCCTTTACAGAAAGATAATCACCAACACGCATTTCTCGAAAGTGATGGGACATCCTTCCTTGTGGGTACATCTACTCAGAGAAAAATACAAAGCAGCAAATCAGTTCTAGAGGGTTAAAAGCCACCATGTAATGAGACCAACACTATCAAGTCCATGACAGAAAATTCTCTGGTGCATACTTTAATAACTAATTCGAAGTGGCCAACATCAGAATCCAATGTTGTTGGAGTATATGGTTTAATAACCTCTTCACCTTGGCCATCCTTACCCCTGTTCAAGAAAGTAGCTAGTGAAAAAGCAAAATCCACGACAAAATTACATTACAATTTTCAAATATTGGTATTGTTAACAACCATTGATTGGTTATAACCAGCATGTCCATAAAACAAATGAGGAAGTACATCTGTATAGATCAAATTCACAAGCATTTAATTTGAATTTGGAAACAAATTCCCATCAAGCTATTGTATCCTAAAAGGGAAAAATCAAATAAACCTGCAGCTTATATGTTGTCCAATTGGAAGGCCCAAGACTGAAGTAGGTGTACGAAGTGCAAACGTGAATTTTGCCACATTATGACTTAGCTGAGTGCGCTTCACAAGTTTAAAATCCTTAAAATTTTCAGGATCTAAGCAGCCTACAACCACAAGCCATAGGATGAACTACTTTTCAGAAAACACAAATCAATAAATAAATACAGAGATAATGCGCAAGGAGAACCAATTCGCATTGAATTATTTAATCCCAAGTTTTGTTTCAAAACATTAGAAAAAATAACAGAAATCAGAAAGCTATTGAAATTAAAAAACAATTTAATCCCTCAAAGAAACAAGATAAATATTCAATCAATACCCAGAAGTTAAAACATTCACTTAACGATAATAACAACACTGCTGAAAAGGGAGAGGCAGAGGAAGAATGAATAGATAGAAAAGTCAAACCTTTAGACTTTTTGGAGGAGAAGAGAAAAATAGCACCAATAACGATGGCTAAAATAGCCACAGCTGCACCTACAAGAATCTGAACATCAAGTGTTTGCAAGAATTCCAAATCCATGGTAACCAATTACCAAAGAATTACCCTCGAGCAGAAAAAGGTTTTAGATTTATTAGAAACGAGAATGAAGTTTACAGTCAAATATAAGAAACTGAATCAGTAAGTGGGTGGAAGAGTGAGAAGCACTAGATCTGTTTTACAAGTCCCCCTTCCTTTTATCTTTGGGTTTTGATGCTGTGACTGTGCTATTGATAACGAGTTAACAGCACAGAACAAAGCAGCCACTCTGCTCTCTTTTGTACCTCTAAAATCAAACTTAAAATAAAATTAAATAACGTGGTAGGTGAAGAAATTTAGAGGTATTGAAGAACGGGGGCAATGTGGAGATCTGGTACACCTACTCGCGCCATAGCCAAAAGGTGGATGGCCACAAGTATACATCTTTAAGAGCTATCTCCAAAATGCTTCTGCGTTTTTCTTTTTCTTTTTTTATTTAAATCTTGTAATAAATATTTTTTTACTTTTTTAATATATGAAAATTCGCAGAGCTTTGAGTTGAATTCTTTTAAAAAAAAAAAAAAAAGAGAATGACACTAATGCCGATTTAGACTTCTAGTCATTAAAAGAGCATAATAGAAAAAAAAAATTTATAAAATTGACTTTAACTAATTTATAAATTAAAATTTAGTTGTTTTCATATTAAGAATGAATCTTAATCTATTTATTTTTCTTTACTTTAAATATATAAAAATAGATAATTATCACCTTAATCTAATAATAAAAGTGATTATTACAAAAGGTATGTCACTCGATTAAACTTTTATCAAAATACATTACAAATTAAACTAAAAATCATGTGTACATATATATATATATACTCTTTTATGAACAAATTAGAGATTTTGTGAAAATAGTGATTTTCAAGCATTTTTTTAAATACAAATTGAAATATGAAGTTAATTTTTGAAATCTAGTTAATCCTATACTTTGTTTTTAAGTGCTTAATTCCAAAATTTCATAAATTATATCGATGTTTCATTCCAGCGCACCTACCATATCTACTTTCGTTAGCTTCTTATTTCTTAGATCTCCCAATATATATTTGAGATCGTGTTTAAAATTAATTGAATAATATAAATTCATTTTATTTACACAATATTAGTGTGTTTCTATATGTTGGGTAGACAATCGTTATTGAAAATGGTGGAATATTTTAACGAATTTGATATGATGCTAAAATTTATGGGTAATATCACCTTTTATCATCTGATTCGAGAGAGAAACTATTTTGTTGATAGCTTAGCCAAGAGAGGTATAGATGCAACAATGCCCTTTATTGCTTAGATTTTATTTTTACTGTTGAAACTATATAATCTATTCTTCAATCGTTCTTATTTTCTTTTTTTATCTCGAGAAGAGACTTCAACCTGATGTATAACTTATCGGATTTTTTCACTTAGCATTTCCTAGCTAGAATGGGGTGAGCAGGTCTGATGTCCTGGGTTTAGACGCTTAGCTATGTTAAGTTTTTTTCTGGAATTTAATAATAAAAGAAATTTTGCTGATAAAAAAAATTAGTGTGTTTGTATTTTTTTTATTTTCATTTATTAAAAATTAATGTATTTCCAAAAAAAAAAAAAGTTAGGAAAATGATAGAATTAAGAAGTTTGAATGAGAGAATTATTTTTCATTGTATAGTTATTGGTGGTTTTCTTATGAGAATATAGCTTGATATTTTCTTTTTTTTTTCTTTTAAATCATACAGGTAGCCAATCTTGACTATATTAGTCAAGATTAGCTACCTATATTTATGTACACTCAATTAATTATGTGTGACATTGTAGGGGTATATTTGTCATATCATGAAATTACTTTCCTTTTTTTTTTTTTACACAGATTCAACTCTTTGTCATTTATTATTTGATCTACATTTGTCGATGTTTGTTACTTGTACGTACGGAGAAGAGGAAAAGAAGGAAGGATTGAAAGTTGAAAGACAATAATGCCCACACAAAGTTGAATGTCTTTTTTTTTTTTTTTTTTTTTTTTTTTTACAACAGATCTCTCAACTCTTTGTCATTTATTATTGATCTACATTTTGTCGATTGTTTGTTAACTTGTACGTACGGAGAAAGAGGAAAAGGAAGGGAAAGATTGAAAGTTGAAAGGACCAATTAATTGCCCACACAAAGTTGAATGTCTTTTTTTTTTTTTTTTTTTTCTTTTTTTTTTTTTTTTTTTTTTTTTTTCTTTTTGGAGATGGATTCGTTGATAGGTCTTTTGAAGAAATAGATTATTGATAGTTAATATAGCTAAAATAACTATTATATTAGAAAACAAAATTAATAAAATATATTTCCCAATGTTTCTTATTTATTTTGGCAAGCATTTAATAAAATATTTTAATGATTATATTAATAGAATAAATACATGTCTGGAAATAAATAATTTCATTCTTAAATTTAATCCTGTAATTTCCTACGCAAAGGGATGGAAAAATAAAAAGAAGGGAAAATGCTAAGGAAGGGTAGTTGAGTAATTTGGGTAGTAAACCCAACCACGTACCAAGTACATAGCCAACGGTTTTGAGCCGGCACATGGTTTTCTACTAGATACTGGAAGAAACAAAACAAGGAGGCTTTGGATTTATTTGTTTAATTATTATTGTTTGTATTATTTTTACTTAATCATTAAAAAAAAAAAAAACTCAACTTTCACGAGTTTTTTCAATTTAATAAACTCTTTTAATTTTATCACTCAATGTTTTATATTTATTTTTTATTATCAATTATAGCTTTCGTCAAACGTTTAATCATACATACTCTGAGTGATATAGATATTATCACAAAAATTCAATATTTCAATTTAGAATTCTAACAGCAAAGATAAAAAGCCCAAAAAATCATGTGAATTGTCAATCAACAACTAAATAACAAACTAACCAAATCCGGTTAATTGAAAAAAAAAAAAGTTTGAAATCGTATTTGATAAAATTAAAAATATTGGCTAGATTTAATAAAAATGTTCGGTTTTTTTAATGATTTTTTTACACTGTACTTGACAACTCGAAAAAATCACATATATTAATTAATTGTCCGTATATTTATCATAAGTAGCTAATTGTCTATCTTTTTTTTTTTTTTTTTTTGTCCTTTTTGTTTTTTTTTTTGTTTTTTTTTTTTTTTTTTTTGAGAATGAATTGTCTATCAATATTAACATTCTTCCTCGGCAAAGTGTAAGATAATAGTAAATTTAAAACTTTGTTTATTTTCGGCTAATAACTTATTTCTAGAAAATATTTTTATATTAAAAATATAAAAATTTATTATTTAAATAGCAAAATAAAAAATTGATTATCATATTAAAGCAAAAAGTTTTAAATATATCCTTTATAACAATTACAAACATTTGCAAACATTGTTTTCATCAAAGTCCGAATAAATTCTTGATAACTAAAAAAAGTAATATATATACAGCCATATAATATGACAAAACTTCCATAATAGGATTTTAATTCCTAAATAAGTTTGGGCAAACATCCCAACTAGGATTGCTAGTATATGCTTGATTTAATATTCATGAAGCATAATTAAATTTTATATCATGTTTAGTAATATTTATAATAGATATAGTATAATGTTCATTATTTTAATTGTAATTAATTTATTATATTATATTATTTATATTTTTAATTTTTAATATAAAATTACGTTTATGCAAATCTTTATGTTAGTATTAACATAATTACATATATAATATTTTATTTAATAAAGTTTAGTTAAAGTAATTTTCTCACTGCAAAATCAATTTTCTAAATTAAAATTTGTACTCACAATCTTTTTGTAATAATAATTTTTTATTTTATTTTATAGCTAATAGAATTTATTTTTCTCAATCAATAAAATTAAAGGCCTTAAAAATATCTTTAACAAGGATACTTTGATAATCCTAATTGTTAGATTTTTCATTCTCATTCCCGTCCTCATTTCATTCTCCATTCCCGTCCTCATATACTATATATATATTATATTAGATATATATATTATTATATATATTATTAATATATATATTATATATATATATATATATATAATATATAGCTACAGATTATAAATTATTGATATAGATAAAATGAAATTTTATTAAAATAAAATTTTTATATTATTATTGGAGTTACTTAACAGAATTTTTTAATTTTTTTGGAATCCATTGAAAAAATTTTAATTAATATGCCTCCGTTGAAATTTAAATTTGTATTATTTTTATAATACTCTTATTTTACCAGAAGGAAAAAAAAAATATATATATAGAGAGAGAGAGGGAGAGAGAGTAATAGAGTAATTATTCATTCTCCAATAAATTTATATTAAATAGGTTATATAAGATAGAATTAAAAAAAAAAAAAAATGAAAAAAAAAAATGAAAAGAACACCACGAGCATGAATCCAATCCCATATCGAACAAAAGTGGAGCTTCTATATTGTTAATAGTATAAACTTTCGGGGCAGAGCAGATCGCCCCGAGCCCTGTACGCGGCTTTGTGATACGCCGAAGTTTGGGCATGAAAGTGATGGACATTGACTTAAAAAAAAAAAAAAATGAAAGAAACACGAGATGAATCCAATCCCATATCGAACAAAAGTGAGCTTCTATATTGTTAATAGTATACTTTCGGGGCAGAGCAGATCGCCGAGCCCTGTAACGCGGGCTTGTGACCCGAGTTTTGGGGGCATGAAAGTGATGGAACATTGACTCAGCTCCGAAGGGTTGGGTTTGATGTGGCTAATCTCTGGCCTGCCCGTTCCAAGCTGAGAGTTGGCTCGAGTGGCTCAAGCGAAGGCTCGAGCCTCACGAGTCCTATAGAGGACGGCACTGCGTCAGGCTGGTTTCACAGAGCAGCGATCACATCCCGCTCCTGGCAGTGGAAGGATAACAGGTCGATGCCACTTGGATCCGCATGACCCGATGGGCCGGTCCAATTGGACCATCACTTTTTTTTTTTTTTTAAGTTTTGAGAATTTAGAAATTAATTATTGTATTTTCCCTGCCAATGTTGTGTCAGGGAGAAAGATCCAATGTAAGTATGTGACACTGGAGTAAAGCAGATGAACTGAAGCAGTAATTTCTTTCCTCTAACTTCCATTTTTCATTTAAAACCAGTAATTATTCAACAACTGAAGCACATATTCTCTCTAAATTGAGGGTAAATTCCTTCTCTCTACCAATAATTACAGAAACATGGTCAGCATTAGGGATAATACTAACTTCTGCCGTAGGAACCTTGTTCTTGATGTTTTTGCTACACTCCAATGGAACAACATTGTCGCGATCGCCGTGAATGACAAAAATCTTCACTGTAGATTTTACCAAAGTTTCCAGAAAATCATCTGCAAATTTTGCTCCCCCACATACCACATTATGCATTGTATGCCAAGCGGAGTGATGGGTGTGCTTTGTCAAGTCAATAATCATGAAATGGAGATCCCTGAAAAAGCATAAACCATTCTTATTACTATTATTGTTGCAATAAGCTACAATGTGAGTTACTGTGATAATGAAGTGTTGGTGTCGGTGTTGGTGTTGGCGTTGAGTGTTACCTTCTCCATGTCAGTAGCTTTAAAATCCTCTCCCAAATCCTATGGTTTCGACAAACAAGAAAACAAACGCAACGACCCAAATGTTCATACCATGACATAAGTGATGAACCAAATAGCAATGGCGGCCACAATCTTTTTCCGGCGAGTTTATTAAGCACGGCTGAACTTGCGCCTTCTTTAGAACTTGGGAAGTAAGGCTAAAAGCATTGTTGGAGAAACCAAAATAATACAAGGTCAGAACAATAGTAATCACAAGAGAGAATTCTTGAAATGGAAGAACTGAAAAAGGTCTATTATAATCATCTACAGAACTGTAACGTTGTGAGTTCAACCCACCCTCATATAAACCAAATTGACACACACACACACACACACAGAAATGAATATCAAAACAACTATTGAGACCAGAAATCAGGGCAAGTGTGTACTAAAGTTTATCATGTTTCAGATGGTTTTGAAATTGACCTATTTGAGTTTCATATTAAAATTTGCACAAAAGGGTAAATCATACCAATCTAGCATAAGAGGCTCATCCAGACTTACTGGTGCTATGAGGGTGATTGATTTCACACAATTCGAGTATTTTGCAGCAAGTGCTAGTGCAATAATGCAGCCCATGGAATGTGCGACGAGATGGAAAGACTTCAACTCAAATGGATTATTAATCACAGATTTTTCAATCATCTCCAGGTGATCTGTCAAAGTGTAAAAACAGTTCTTTGGCTTAGGGCTTCTTCCAAATCCCAAAAGGTCAATAGCAAATAGTCTGTAGTTGCGTTTAACAGGCTCGGAGAGATTAGGAAACACTGTTTCTGTCCAAAATGAGGAAGAAGATAGGAATCCATGCAAAAATATCACATTTTCTACCAAATCTCCATAACAATCCTTTCTAACACCTACTAAACAAGAAATGACAATAAAATTAGTGACTATGTTTACATTCAAAAGCAATAACTGTTATTTGAATTGACAAGTTTAGTTAATTAATGAACCTGACAATTGAGTTAGAGTTCTTCTCTAAGGATAGAAAATCCAGCCAATTAATCAATTTTTAACTAGAAGATCAATCATCAATTATCCCTTGTCCAAACAAATTGGACATTTATTTTTTGGTCAAGAATTCAAAATTTTCTATCACAATCAAACAAATAATAATTCTGGAAACATTCTGACACATAATATTAATAATTTACCATAATGACAATCTTCATAATCCAAAATTCATCATGTTAAATTATGATCTTCTCAAAATTCCAAAACAAAAATAAGCAGAACTACCTCCAGAAGGCTCCCTGACAACTACATGCAAATTCTGCCCACCACCATCCTTAATCCAAGAAGTACAAGACTCACACCCACAATCAGACCACTGATTAGCCGCAATTAATCCACCACCATCACCAGTTGGTTTCTTGCAATTCTCCCATTTTCTTGCAAAACCCAGAAATCCCATTTGCCTGAAAACATTTTTTCTCTTATGTAAAGTCTCTGACAGCTCACTTTCTTCTTTTAATCCCCTGTTTTCACAATAACAAGGGTAGGCCTTCCCTTCAAAGAATTCATCAAGATATCTATAGATTATGCAACAAATTATTTCAAGAAAATCAAGAAACAGGAATACAATGAAGCTAACTGCAGAAAGGATTATGGCAGCTGATTTTCTGGCGCATTTGCGCAACAGAAAAGGAGGAAACATCGATGATAGAAAGTAATAGAATATGTGAAGAGACGAAGATAAAAACGGCATTGGACACCAAAAGAAATACGTAAAAAAACCATTGGCTTTTGAGTTAAAAGGAAAGAAAAGATGAACATTGAGCCACGTCGAGAGGATTTGAAAACTGGTGGTCTGTTGGAATCTTCAGCCTCCATACACACTTGTCTGTAGTTTGGTGTCGTCTCTCGAATGCACTGGGTCTTACTCATTGATTTACTACGCCTTGAATATTCGGGAAGCAAAAGATTTGGCGCTGTTTGTTTATTCATTAACAGATTATTGGATGTCTTAACTTATTTATTTATTCCAACAATTAAAAATAAATTTTATTTTTTTAGCTGAATCAATAATTAATTATCTCAAATTAAATTCATTATTTTCAAAAATTAATTAAATGGTCCTTAATAAAATATTATCCTTTAATTAAATAGCCACTTTGTTAGCTTTTTCTTTTTTTCCCTAAAAACTGCGATGAAATGTCAAATTTTTATCCTTAACAAAACTTTAAATTTTATTAGGTCTTTCTTATAAAATTTGAGTGACAATTTATACATTTTGATCATACCAACTACGATATAAATAACAGAAAAAACTAATCAAAACTTAACTGTTAAGAATTTGTAGACGGTCGAAAAATTGATGCACAAATCCTCCTATTCCCATTCACTTGGATGTAAAGATAGGCATTCGTGCAGTCTATCAAATAAATAAATTTATTTATTTGATGAAAAAGAGCAATAAATAATAAACATCCTCACAATTTTTGAGCAGGGAGCATCGTGTACAAACAATGTCTTCAATTTACAGATGTTTCTCCCATGTTGTGCATGTCTGAACTCCGGAATTCCAAGGAAGCAAGTATCCCAGTATACTCAAAATCCAGATGCTCCCCTAGCTAAATTTCGACTCACAAGGGCACCAAACAACTTATGACACAGTCCTAGAAAATTTCTTCTCTTGACTAATAATCTAGTACGGAACAAAATTTGCAAAGGTGAACCCCCATGTCAGATTCTAGTGACTTTGGTATAATTTCCTATTGTGCATCAGTTACTGTCATTTTCCTTCATTGGATCAGAGTTCACAATTGGAAGACTTCTTTTGTACTGAGTAGATGTCAACCTCCTCTCTCTTGGTGTTTTCCTTTTGCTCACGACGAATCTATTTACACCTTTTCGCATTGGCATTATCGAGGGAAAATCTTCATCGGGGATCTGGCTGAGTTCTGAGATGTTCTTTATTTGGGCAACACGTTTGAACCACCTCTCTGCCTTGGCCTCCTCTGACATGTCCAAGGGATCTGGTTCCTTCACAGCTGACCCTTCCAAGCTTTTTCCATTCCAGCTATCTCTAACTTTCTGATCCTCAAATTGATGAGATGTAGTCCCTGTCAAATTGGCCGCCTCCTTGTTATGCTCTTGACCTTGGAATCCACCACTCCCATTGTCCTTAACACTTGTTGGGGAATTAGTAAAATTCTGTGGTAAACTACCCATCTGATTTGATGTCCCACTGATATTCTCATTTCTAGAATATCCACTGCTCCAACTATCCCTGCAAGTAGGCTGGGGATCAGCAAAAATTTGTGTTGATATTCCACTTGTGAATGCCCCATAAGATACATCTGCTTTTATTTCATTTAAGTTTTCAGAGGTTCTTTGGTTTTCTACTCTGTGGTCATGACCTGCACCAGATATTCTTGGTTTAATGTCATCCACCTTTTCTGGAAGCTTCTCCAGTGTGGCAGAGTTTGAAGTTTCACCCATTGCATTATTAGTCGAATCGGCTCTATCCGACTGCTGTTTATCCTTCTTAGCGAAGTAGTTAGGTGGGAATGGGACAAAAGGCACAAACTTGGTATCATTAGCTTGCTCCATGGCCATACGTCTCTTGTACATTGGAGAAGTCAAAGAACGATCTTTCCTTTTACTGACTACAAATCGATTCTCTCCTTTCGGCATTGGCATGATCTCGGGAAAGTCCTCATCTGGAATTTCACTTGCCAGATCTGTAACATTATGTAACTCTGCAACTCTCTTAAACCATCTCTCAGATTTTTCAGCTTGTTGTCTCTCTTTTTCATTTGTAGGAGTCTGACCTATGGGCTTCTCAGAGGGTTGCCAACTGTCTGTTTGCTTACCAGTGTTTAATGCAAGAGATTTATTGTCCATCTCCAACTTCTCACTTCCTTCCATATTCAATTCATTAGGTTTCTTGGCAAACATATTTGCAGGTAGTGGCACAAACGGAACATAATTGCTTCCTCTGGGGGCACTATGCTGAGGTGAAGATTCAGAAGCAGCTGTCTTATGACCTGGAATCTCATCTAACTTTTGGTTGATTGATTGTTGAGAGGTTGCATTTGCAACTGTGCTTTGAGGACCAGTACCCCCAGCAGCGCCATCATTACCCAGGTTTCTTCGGTACTGGGCATTGGCCAGCCTCCTTTCAAGTGGAGTCTTCCTTGTACTGACAACAAACCTGTTCACTCCTTTCCTAAGTGGCATGATTTCAGGAAAATCTTCATCAGCTATGGCACTGGTCATATCTGCACTACTATCCAGCTGAGAAATTTTGCTAAACCATCGTTTTGCCTTCTCTTCATTGGCAGCCAGCCTGCTATCCATATCAGCTGTATTATTGCCATATCCTAGACCTGATCCGGAGTTGGTGGTACCAAATGAGACCTCCCCAGGCCGCTTGCAATCACACCTTAAGCATGCCATGTTCTTTCCATAATTAAAGAAATCACATCTGCAAAAGAATGTTTCTTGATTCATAATTCAAATGAAAACAATAGAAAATAAGCAACAAAAAGAAACAGTGCTCACTGAGGACACTCCCACTCCCCGCCAGTTAGCAGCCTCTTTGGCCGTGCTTCTTCACATTCAAGGCACTTCACATTTCTTGAGAAGTTCATGAAACTACACCTGCTCAATTGAGAGAATCATAATTCAAAGAGAAATTACAAGATGACAGTAAAGAAAGGATAAAGAAAAAGGAGTTCCAATATTGTATCCACACGTAAATTAATGAGATATCAAAAGAGCATAAACAGAAAAAAAAATATCACCCGGCACATAACACTGACATGTTATATTAAGGAAGAAATGGAGGAAATAAGCTAACCTATAGAAAAATAAGGACTCTACCTCGGGCAAATCCAGTCGCCTCTTTTCATTTCAATGTTTTGCCCAAGAGGCCTTGATGCTTGTCCATATCCATCTGGGAATTGATTTTGTGCAGAACCAGATAGGTTTGACTCTGTAGCGTAGCTCAGATGGGCCAACTCACTCAAGAGATTCCGAACAGATGACTCCACATTTTCTCTGTTTGGCAGATTGTTCTTCTCACGAGAAACAAGATTGCTAGCATAACTTATTAAAAACCTCACCAAGTCAACAGTATGTGCTCTGTCAGCATTCTGCACCTTAAAAATAATTGTTTGAGAGCAGTGATCATCGGATAAGAAATTGGCACATATTTGCTAGACCAATAAATAACAGTATCAATGCATATATTTTAACTGATTTAGTATTTCTAAAGAGAGAGATAAAATCCTACTTGGCCCTGGTTCTTAAATGAAAAAATCTACGCAATATAGTATTCCCCAAGAAATAATTTTAGAAGAAAATTTATTTGAATGTGTGTGTGTGTGTGTGTGTGTGTGAGAGAGAGAGAGAGAGAGAGAGAGAGAGAGAGAGAGAGATAAAATCCTACTTGGCCTGGTTCTTAAATGAAAAAAATCTATCGCAATATAGTTTCCCCGCAAGAAATAATTTTTAGAATGAAAATTTATTTGAATGTGTGTGTTGTGTGTGTGTGTTGTGTGTGTGTGTGTGTGTGTGTGAGAGAGAGAGAGAGAGAGAGAGAGAGAGAGAGAGAGAGAGGAGAAGGTTGGAGGGGACAGCAACATAGTTCCTTGTACGAGAACAAAAGAGATCAAGTTCTAAACCCAAAGTGGAAATCTTCATTACACCACGAAGCCTTGGTAGAGATCTCCAATCACAAATAGCCAATTCTTTTAGAACTTGACAGTCTATAAAATTCTGAGTCTTTTGAGAGCAAGTGTTGTGTTTATGAATTAGATGAATTGTGTTTACAGAGCAGCTAGGAATACAATCTTCTAATCCTAATGGGAATGTATGTAAACTATCACTAATGGTCCCTAAAATTATTTTAAGTCCTTAGACAAATTAAATTTAAGTCCCTGGAAATACTTGAATTCTGCCATACTTTAAACTGAACAACTGAGCATTCAGTTGATCAAGGAAACAGATTTCTCAGTTCTAGTTATTTTGAGTATATATAAGCTGAAGTGCTCGGGTGCGAGTATATCTAGGGTGGATAAGTCTGTTCCTTAGGAAAGGATGCAAGCTTCGGATGACAAGCTCCAAACTAAAGATTATCAAGTGAGTGATGGAAAGCAGATTTGAAGTAGTGAAATTACAGTCCTGTGTTATGTGAGGTCATTGTTGACGTAGAATTAGTACCCAGAAAAACTTCATGAAAAGGTTCAAACTTCAAAGGATTTATGTTTACTGTTTACAATTTTCGCTTATTACACAGGGTGCTTTTCTTAATTACATAAAGTCAATTGATTGTAGGATAAACATAGATAAACATATGGTGCTATAGATGTTAGTCACCAATTAAACATCTAAAGTTCAATCTCATCCTAAGTAAATGGAAATAATTTAATAACTTAAAAAAGGAACAAAAGCACTAAAATTTATACTAAATGTTCAATTAAGCATATATAAAAATTAGCACCAAAAGGCTTACACTACTATGGACACTGCCCAAAAACGATCTCATCTTTCTCCCTGAGTCATCACCATTTTTGAACAAAAATGGCATCCCGTTCTCCGCAACCACCTCTATGTCTCTCCTTGACAGCATCCTATTGATAGGTAAAGAAAGAGAATTTAAACATAAACAGTAAAATTTTTCGAAATCAAGTAATTGAAAAGAGAATATTTTATCAACCCTAAAATATCAGGTCGTTCGCGCGCGAATGCCAAGCAAGCACTAGCAGCAGCTAAAAAGTCCTCAGGCAAATTAACGCCAGCAACGAACTCCTCATCGAATCTTTGCTTATTAAAATAGCCAGCAGCGGAGAGATTTCGAATAAAATTGGACCACTCAGGCCATGGGTGGGCCGCGAGGGGTAAAGAAGAGTAAGGTTCGGCGAAATGGGCAGAGGTACTTTGGGTGTGGAGATTTTGTGAGGCTTTGATTTTGAAATGGCGAGGAGGAGAGGGAGAGGGAGAGAGAGAGTTGGGGAGGTGGTGATAGTTCCGGCACGAGACTCGGTGCCAGTGGTTGGACAAGCGGAGGAGAGATTGGCAGCGGCGGTGTAGAAGCGGAGGAGTGGTAGTGGTGGTGAGAAGCATTAGAAATCTGGTGGCGCTGCCCATATTGTAGCGTATTAGAGGTAGAAATACATGAGAGATGATGAGTACGGTCTGGCAATTGACGGTGGCGCTAAAGCCCTACTGGTGGTGGAGATTTGGCAGTGTGGGTGCTGTATATCTGGTGCTCTTTTTTTGACGACTCGAAATATTGAAAAGGATTTTAAAAATCTCCTGTCAAATTTTCATACCGTTTGAACGACAGGCCGTCTGGAAAGAAAGAATGACCTGTCGTTCGAACTGATGGGTTCCATAGAAGTTAACAACTATCTTTTTGTTTCTTGTGATGGAAGAGCCCATAGAATTGGGCTCAAGCCCATTGCTTCAGCAATGGCGTGTGAGTTCTGAAAATGGTAGACTTCTATATGGGCTTCAAAGTAAAGCTCATAATATAAATTTGGGTTATTGTTGGATCAAGTGTTTTTTTGAAGCCCATTCCACATGCAAACGCAAGTCGTTTGAAGGACAAACTCACTGTTTATGGAACGTGGCTCATTGTCGTTTGCGGAACTGGCAATTTTAGTTACGCATTGTTTCACTAAATCTTGGAACTGCCGTAAATCTCTCTCTCTCTCTCTCTCTCTCTCTCTCTCTCTCTCTCTCATCTCTCTCTCTCTCTCTCTCTCTCTCTCTCTCTCTCTCTCTCTCTCTCTCTATTCTTATGCTTGTTAATCAGCTAAACAAAATATTTCAGTTAAAAAATTAAAAGAGTAATTTTATTTTTCCGATGACTAAAACATTTTCTCTTATCCACAAACGATTGAAAAAGAAATACGTAAACGACACAGTGAAGAAAAACAGATGAGCAACACAAACTGTCATTCCTGTCCTAGTATAATACAAGGCCCAATAAGGCCGTTTTGTTTGTCCTGATCTATTCTATACTACAAGGCCCAACAAGCCTTTCATTTGATAACCCAAACCAAAAGTCTATAATATATTTAAGGCAAAACTATGATTTTGTCATTATATTTTAACATAATATATAATATTATTCTTAATTTTTAGAAATATATTATTTTGTCTATGTTTTCGTTATCTTCGTTGCACTGTTATATATTTTTGTTAAATTTTTATATTTTTTTCCATCAAAACCTTACTATTCTATTCTTGTATTTTACCAAATTTAATTAATATCCCTGTATTTACTGACTATATTATTCATACAGTTTACCAAAATGAACTAGCCTATTCCTGTATTTAAATGGAAAAAGCACAAAAAATTTACATAACGATATAATAGTGTTATGGAGGTAAAAGATTGAGTTAAAATTATATATTTCTAAAAATATAAGGGTAAAATCATGTATTTTGATAGAATACAAGAACAAAATAATAATTTTCTTCATATTTAATATTTTATTATATATTTTCTCTTTATATTTAGTTAATCACTTTTTTTTACGTAGAGCGTGAACATTTTTTTCTCCACTTAGTAAATGTTTTCTAGATATTGAACTTATATTTCTCACTTTTACAAAGATCTAGATCACTTATCATTCTAACCACACATTTTCAGCATTTAGACTCTTTAATTCAATTTTGTTTCTTATGGCAGATTTCTTATAAATGGTAAGTAGGTGTTAGGAATCTTTTTATATCTACTTAAAATGTTGAAATTCTACTTGGTTACGTACCCCTAATTGCAGGTTAGTTAGCCATTGTTTAGAAGAAGCATTCGTCAAGATTCATTCCCTTAGTTGCTAACAGACAACCTCAATATTGAAATTTGTTTTAATCACATTTATGAAAAAAGAATGTTTTATGTAATATAGTCAATGTGCTCTAAAGTTCAATCAAGAAAATTTAGTCCGGATTTGCAAAACTGCCTTGTAATTTGGTTCATCAATCCAAAATTTTCATTATCTAAGAAGAAACGGTGAGAGTCAATCATCCCTTAATAGCATTATTTTACAAAAATATTATATACGCATTAAAAGGACATGAACCATCAATGGCAGACTAAAGGATGAGCTTTCGGCTAATCAAACCAAATTGAATTACCTCGATTTCGATTTATCGGAATATATTTTTATAGTATCTAAATTCGAAATCAAATGATATATTGATCCAAACCAAATTAAATTGATTTCAATTTGATTTGAATTCGGTTGTTCTGAATCAAATTAGCTGTTTGCAATTGAAATGTTATAATTACTAAGAAGTATAGTGTAAGAAATAGTAAAATCGCTGACGTGAAAAGCACAAATCAGTAATAACTAATAAAACGTTGTTTTTATATAGTAACTATAGCAATGAGTTCGTAATGTTAAAATATTTTCCATGTTAGGCAAAAAGTTTTCCTTTCATTTTTTTTTTCTTTTTCGTTATTAATTAATTCATAAAAACCTTAAACCTAAACCCTAGAAGTTGTCTTAGTTTTTTTCAACAAATGCTGCGGTAACCAATTGATCTGAGAAAGAATGTCAGTGACAGTCACAAAACGCCACTAAGAAAGTGGGAGTTGCGGCGGTAGCCGCCCATAACTTTTGGTCCCCTATTTTTTGCGTTTTAGTTGGGGATTTGCGGTGTGTAATGGGTTAGTTCAAGTTCTTGATTCATATTTGATATATTATTATTATTATTATTATTATTTTATGTATACTGTTATAATGTTTACCAATTCATGTCTGGACAAAACTCATCAATTTATAATAAATGATCATCTACATTCAACACCGTGATGGATATTTCAAATATGATTAAGCTACCTATAAATATAATTTACCTACCCAATAATTTTTTAAACTATTTTAAATTATATTTTCTCATTTAATTTAACGGTCAGATATTTGAGATTGGAAATAATTATGTTTAAAGCATTCTCAGACCTACAATTAACCGCTAAATTAAACTTATTTTTAATGAATTCATAAATAAATTAATATGTAAAAAAATGAGATGAATGCATGTGATTAATTCTAGACGTGGCGACATAAAAAAATAAACAAATATATGTTGACACCCATTTCTCAAACTATGACAATGACTTCACTTCCACGTAATTAACGTGGTCGAACATATAAAAAGGGTTTAATTAACTAATCTAATAATTAATTAATTAATTAATTAATTAGACGAAATATTTGATATTGAGATGTTATAAATTAAATTAAATTAAATTGTTTTTTAGCTAAATCATCAAAGCTTATTGATGTGACATTCAATTATTATTAGTATTCAAACATTATTAACCATTTAATACAATCATTATTAAGATTTCATATCACATGTCACTTCCTTTAATTAAGAAAGTGTTATATAAAGTTACTTTCATGAAATGAAATTTCAACATATAGTATTTACATATTCAAAGGTAGCATTCCATCAACCGCGATCAGGAATTTGTAGCAAGTTGAGAAAATTAAACTCTGCATTACAATGATACTATAATTTTTTTTTTTGTTAAATTAAATTTTAGAACTTCTTAAATAAATTATATAAAAAAATATTTTGATACAATATTTTATAATATATAACATTCTGATACTATCTATTTGGAAACAATTAAAGTAGTGGTTCACGTTTTGAATTAAGTTAAAATACTATATTTATTATTTATTATTTATATTGCATGCTGTGTTTCATAAAATATTGTATCTTCCAACATTGAGCACTTGCAATAATTAATTGAATTTTTAAACTTATTGTATATTAACAGTTAATTGAATAACTATATTGATTACATGCTCTACTTTAAATTAACATATATAAACAACTGATCACGAATAATTAATATATTATAATATTCTCTTTTTTTTTTTGCCAGTAATCAAATTGATTTTATTAGAGATTAATAATAAAAAGGGAAAAAACTTATTAAAACTGAACGAAACTAAACCCAAGCTAACAAGATTTCCCTATTATATCTAAGAAATCTAATGCTTAGAATTGATAAGAAAAATCTATACATAAATAAAACTAGATAACCTCTCTTAAAGTAAAAGATGAATGTTGTTTTCGACAGTAGCTTTTTTAGTAGTTTTTAACGTTTTGACTAGTCAAAAACATTAAACGATATTTTTTATAGTGCTTAATAATATAGTGTTTCAACTAATTTTTAAAAGTTAAAGTAGTATTTTATGAAAAACAACTAAAACAGCTAATAACTATCAAAACAACTAATTTTGCCAAACATACTTGAAAACAAGAAAAGAGCAAAATGAAAGTAAAAAAAATCAATAAGACTCAAACAACTAATGTTACCGAACATCGCTTTTTTTTTTTTTTTCCAAAAAATGAAAAAATTACATATATAAACGTGGTTAAGAAGGAAACATGATCCATCTATATCCACTTTACTTATATATGTGATTGGCAAATGTAGATTTTGTCGACAAGATCTCTCCTGCCTAAATTTGATATGTATCTTATAGACAAGGTTGGTATTTGATGCTTGCAAATTAGTTTGACTAATTTAAGGATTTGATTTTGATATATATTTATATATTATTGACAACATCAATACTCAAATTTAGTGACCGACATCTTTTTTATCATTATCTTAGCCTTAGCTATTTATAGAGCTAGCCCTCCACATAACAGTAATAACAATAATATATCGACATCTTTTTTCTATCACATTATCTTGAGCTGTAGCTATTTACCTCAGAGCTAGCCCATATCAAAACATAACAGTGAATAAACAAGTAATATATATTTATACGACATTATATTAATAAACTATAATTAATAATCTATAATATATGTATAAGACTAGATATTTTAATGAATAAATTCATTTAATTTATAATTGGTATTAATTGGGAAGTTCGAAGATGCATTATTTCATAACAAATTGTTTCAATAAATAACTTACCTCAATTGATATAGTTTTGTAACACTTCCATTAAACTAGGAATTTAAGAAAAGAACATGCATCTATAAAATATGTATGCTTCATTGTAAAAAAATCATTCATACATGTGTATTGTGGCCTTACAGGTACACTTTAATTATCAGCATATATTTCTCTTTTTTCTATTTTGGGATTATGTATATAATTATTTTAATGAATAAATTCATTTAATTATACAATTGTATTCTCTTGGGAGTTCCAAGGATGTTGATTCATACATTGTTTCAATAATAAATACCTCCTTGATTAAGTTGTAACACTCCATTAAACTAGGAAATTAAGAAAAG